AAAACCTATATAATTAGGGACCTACTATATATATAATATATATAGTACCAGAAAAAGCTATATTTAGTATTTAGGAAGGCTTACTTGAGCTTATAGGACTTAATTATTATTATTATATTAATAATAAGGCTGGTGAGATGCCGCAATCTCCCCCTGAAGCCCGGGCTTACGTAACCTTAGTAAGCAAATATTTTTGCGTTTTATATAGGGAAAAATCAAAAAAGTAAAAAGGGTCCGTATACTTTAAGCCTCGATTATTAATAAACTATAAATTATATTAAAAATCTAATTAATAGGTATTTTTCGCCTGGTTCTATTCTATAATTGTATTACTTAGTATAAATTAATTAGGGTTGTAGTTAAAAAGTTATTATGGGCGTAAAAGAGTGACCGTTTTGTCGCTTTTGGATCGGACTGACTATAATGAAAAGTGAAAAGTGAAAAAAAGTAGAAAGCGAAAAGCGAGGTTCGAGGCATGCGACTCGCTAGAAAAGGAAGCCCTATAATTATAGGCTACTTATTGCTAAATTTTAGGGCTACGGTTACTAAGTTACAGGCTATAGGTACTAAAAATTTAGTAATATAAATTTTTGGTTAAGTTCTCTCGCTTTGCCTCTCCCCTTTCCCCCTATAAACCCTCTCTCTTATCTATATATATATATATAGAGAGAGAGAGAGAGAGAGAGAGAGAGAGAGAGAGAAGAATTAAAGAAAGTAGATATTTGAAGTAGTAATAGAGGTATAGGGAGAGGGTATAGTATATAGGCGTAATATATAATATTTACGATTTTTGGTAGGGTATATACATGTCATAAATCAGATATCGAAAGTCGAAAACCGGATTCGAAAATCGCTTGATTACTTGATCCTTACGGCTTTCCCCCCCCGCCTCATACAGAGCAATCAGGTTACCGATTAGGTTATTGCTCTCGTTATTGGTCCTCGCGACAATACCGAGGACGACACGCAAAGAACGGGGAAGTTGCGCGTTTCTTTAAGCCTCGTCGTCGTAGTATACCGCTGTCAAACCCAGCAAACCCTCACTGATGGAGGAAGAGCAACGATTTGCGCAAAACGAAGGGTAGTCGTCCCTGCTGGAGTTCCGGTCTTTGACCGCAACGTAGATGTCCCATGCGGTATGACCCACTATGGGAGCGGAAGCTTGCGAATCGCTTCAAGTTCCTACTCTTAAGTTCTTCGACGACCTACATACAGCATGGTAAGAACATAAATCGGACTTCCGCCACTTTGGGTTTTAGGTAGCCCGAGACAAGCCGGTGTTAGATGCCCCCCCCCCCCCCCCCCATGTCCAGACCCTAAACAATACATCACCTTCAGCCTCAACTACTTCATCAACAGGGCCACCAGCTGCAACAAGTACCGCCCAGGGCATTCGATCTGACTCTAGCATCGCTGCTATCTTATATGATGCTTCACAGGCGCCGCCAGGGGCCAGTGATATATACGTATATTATCAGGACACAAATGACTACATCAGAGAGACGTCTTGCAGCTCCTCGTCGCCAAATAATTGGGCGACTCCGATCAAATTAGTGGAAGCCAAGGCAAAAACGCCTATTGCTGCGTCGATATGGGGAAACTCCTCAGTAAGGCTTTTGATTAGTTACTTTTATCTCTGTTCTAATATTCATCTAGCAGCGAAGTTTCTTTTATCTAGATTCCAACAATGTACTATGCGAGTACTTTTGGGATCAAAACGTGGAGCCCAAGAAATATAACTCAACCGTCACAGCTTACTGTTCATCTCGGCAATCTCTATCCTGAGCTTCCTCAACTGGCAGCCTATCAAGATATTGGAGGGAGCCTTTCGATATTATCCTGAACAACAATAGCCAAAACTGGCAAACCGGCTCTTTTGGCTATAATGTCGATACAATTGTTGGGACAGGGCTTTCTATTACACCCTATAAAGTCTCTGCCACTGCAACGTCTCAACTTCAGTTATTCTATCAAGACCCAAGCCTGGCGCTGTCTATAAAGACTTGGAATAGTGGAGTATGGGGTTCAAATGGTACGTTTCATTAAACTAGTCTTTCTTTTATTAGATTCGTAATATAAATTTGTACTGAAAGTTCTACCCATGGATAGATACCGCACTTGAGATTCTTTCCTCCCCGTTCCGCCCAGCTCATCATTCTACTTCGCCGGCGGCGGCAGCGGCAATCCAGTAATTAATGTCATGTATCCATCAGCTCTAGAACACGTAGTCATCGACTATCAGGTTCCGGGAGATGGTTGGAATACCGGAGGAGAGTTGAGTGTAACCATTAATTCTAATAGCTCGATTGGTCTAATTACCTCTAAGCAATTCTATACTACTGTAAGTAACGAGATTCAAGAATATTTGTAATAAGATAATATTAACTTTACGCTTACTTCTATTACTAATACGAATTTCTAATTTAGTAAAATAATAATATTTAAAGTTTTAATTACTTAATTGTAAGAATTTTTCTTTTTTTTTTTCTTTTTTTACTTATATAAAAAGAATATCTGATTATTAATATAATTTACTAATAATAAAAATAATAAATACTAATATCTCTTATAAAAGAATATATATATATATATATTCTAATAATTATATTCTAATAATTATATTCTTTTAATTATATTATTATTAATTAAAATATTAAAAATAATAAATAACTAATAAGTCAATTCTACACTCCTCTACCTGATAAATTCAACCTTGGCATATGTGATAGTGTCAAAAGATTTCGATTCTATGATGCCTGGGACAAGAGATCGCCAATACTCTATGAAATAGTTTGCTGTCTCCTTTTTACCTAAATATCATCCTTTTGAATTGTTTTCTGCATCTCAACAGCTACGTCGCCACGAGAGTTATGTTGCTCAAGTATCACTTACATTCTAAGGACATTAAAATCGGTTCCCTCATCACAGATTACCATTACCCGCACTAAGATGCTATGATCGGGGAGGCAAGAGCGATCGACGCCGAGAAACACTGCACCGTATCCGAACGCGACAACCTCACCAAAGTTTTGAAGACCTCAACAGAGTCCTCCGTTTCCGGTTACGGCCGCAGCTCATTAGAGCTGGTCGCAGACCAGACCATTCCACAACATACGGACTATGCAATCCCACAGATAGGCTCGCTGGGCTCATGACAGTAACAGATGTTCAAAGGTAGATCGAAGAACGACTTGGCCAAGAGCCGGACGTGTCCATGATTGTAGGAGCAGCAATGACGGTAAATCGAAAGGTTAAGTGAAGCCAAGAACGTAAGGTCTCTTCATCCTAGACCGGCCATGGGGAATAACACAGTTGTGGAGTGGGGTACAGGAGTGGGAAGTCGAACGAAACACACGCAGTCCACGAACGAGGATGTGGCCCTTTCGACTCCCAGGCAAAGGGTCTTCGCCGTCAGTGTACGCAAGGTGCACTTCAATGAGGCAGACTGCACATCCTACAAGATGGATGCGACGAGTGAATAGTGTCCGATCAGCGATAATTGTGGGAGCGTCAATGACGAAGCCGATGAGACCATTGAGGCGTCCCTAAATGAGGTAGATGGTGATTGCGGTGGACTCTGCGAATTTGCCCTATTAGGAGGCCCGTGTATCCCTCGTTCTTCTTCTAGACGAGTAAATACTTTCAATCGAATGTCTTGGTATACAAGGAGAGAGTGGAGGAAGGTTGTGGTTGTCACGGCCTGGACAAGCTGTGGAAGTGGAATGTGGGTGTGTTTGTGTAAATATGTATGAATGATCGTGCCCTAAGGGCGGTGAAGAAGCTATATATACGCCTGTGCGCAGCACGTGACAATGGTCATCTCTTGTTGTGGTGTTTCAATCTCTTCAAAAATTTGACATGTGATCGTCTTTGCAGATATAAGACTTAAGCTCAGGTCTATGAAGCATGGTGTATGCGTGCAGCCATCTAGCCGAAATCTGAACGCCTCAATTCCTGTCTTGTTCATATTGACCCCATCACTCATCTGCAAATACTGCCTAAATCTCTCCTTCAACAACGCCAACCTCACCGGCTTAGCAAGACAATCATTCATCCCCGAAGCAAAAACACTTCTCTTTGTCTCCCTGCACAGACGAAGCCTTCAACGCAATAATCGTCAAAACTTGACCAAAATAGCATGATGCACGTCCTAATCCAATATCTAACCTCATTAATTAAGTGGGTACTATTCAGATTGATCAGGGGCTTCTCAGGGGCTCTGCAGGGAGTGCTCAGGCAGGGAGTGCTTAGGCACTAGGTACTCAGGTTGCTCAGACAGCTCAGGTGAGCTGGCGGAGCTGAGGGTGAGCTGAGGGTGATTAGCGCCTGAGCAAGAGCGGCAAGCTCACAAACCGAATGTGGCACGAAGATTGAGGGTTTAGAGTTCAACTACCATTCGAATTGTCTGCGATTTCTAACAGTATTTGAAATAGGCAATAAGTGTCTTCTTGCAATGTGAGTCGAAAGGAAATCTCCTCTTCCTCAACTTGAAGTCCACTGAGTAGCAATGGCTTCAAGGGTTTACTTGCCGAGGTCAAGTCTTCCCTGCTACAAACAACGCACACTTCAGCAACATCTCGTCGCTGAATCATCCAATGGATCACCTCAATATGAGGTATCCCGATGTTTTCGATCTATCTTTGCGATGTGTCACTGAATGCCGAAACTCATTTATTTCCTTAGTCTTGCGACATCGCATTGAAAGTCGTGCCTTCATAAAGTGGAGTCAGGTGCCGCCTGATAAATTCTCCCCATTCCTGCGGGAGCGGTTCCCGGAATTGGCTACCAAACCGTCTCACTATACAAATGAGGCCTTTGGGAGCTCCATGGATCAAACAACTCACGAGGCTGGCTGAAGCCAGACGTTTCAAGATGGCCGAGAAACAAACTCAACTTAATTTCTTCGAGAACACTTTTTGTGGTAATGCTTTGTGCATGGGACAATGGAGATAGATGCCCCCGGATGAGCATCAAGCATAGCCATTTGACGTATTAAAATGATGGCCTTCTGTGGATTTGGCCCCATGCCCGTTGGTGACCTGGAGGCCGTTGGGGAAGTTTTTGAAGACTGGGTCAACAATGGTGATATTGATGGATTCAACGTAGCTTGTGAGTTCACCTTCTTTCAAACAGTAATTTAAATATTGCTATCTAATTGCGAGAAGTTTCGAATCCAGAGTTATACGCGGATTTAGTAGAGCTGCTAATATCTATACTCCAAGGACGGGGGGTTACTTAGGACGACTACAGCGTTCCTGGTGGAAGTTACAGACAGAACATATTATCGTCCATATGGGCAAAGTTTTGCACCTGAAGGTCATGCTTCAATGGAGTTCGCTTTTGAGGCATTGAAGGAGAATACAAACGGAAATGGTGTCATCACGATCAATCGGCAAGATCCAGAGCCAAAGGCGGTGAATGGAGAAGAGGCGTCGAAGTTGACAGCAGCGATCAATGGCTGAAGCTTGGTGAGAAACCCGGGGTGGTGAAGGCTACGGTATAGTTATCAGTGGTGTCTAGTTCTAGTTTCACTTAGCAACGCAGAATACGTTCCTGTTCAAATGAGATTTACGATTACGTGACTTTCTCTGTAATCTACATACCTAATCTCGCTAGTCACCATGCCTCTCGCCATAGTTAGCTACACTAAATATCTTTTGTATTCTATTATAGCTACAAGAAGCTCGCAACAAGCAAGAGCAACAAGTAAAATTTCGAGCCCTGTCGACCCCCTATTCGAAGCGAGGCCCCTGAATCTTCGGGAACGTGGCCTCAAAAGCACTCATGAATCTGAAGATCAAATCCTCGCGACCAGCCCTTGCAATTAGAAATAGTCCATACGGATGTCCATTCCCAATGTTACCAAGTGGAACCGTGGCACTCGGATGTGCTACTCTGGTCAGTACAGTTTCCGTTTTACCATCCAATTCACTCACCAGCATTTGCCGCCCAGATAACCAACGTGCAATCAGAATTCGCGACAACAATATCGACATCACTTTCTCTCATATACTTATCCATGCCGTCTTTCCGTGCTTTTCGGTAGATTTCTCGGTAAGCTTCAGCCGCTTCCTCGGCTGAGAGCGGGCTGTTGTGGCTATCGATCAATTCTTTCTGGTTCGTATGTGCTATATAATTCAGTGGACTGGTTTCTCCAATGTTTCTTGGAGTTTGCTCACGTGGAGGCATAGCAATCTCTGCATGCTGTTTGTTGTATTCGATGATATCTCCTGAAGTCCGGATTTTCGGATTCTCAAATCCATTACAGAATTCTTGGATCACCTGATTGAACTCGCAATCTGTATCCGTTAGCTTGGAGGAATCTTTCTCTGGAGTGATAACTTACAGGCAACCTCCTTTAAAGATAACTTGTTGTGCTTCAGCACATCGTTGGTGTGAACTGCTTCCGGTATCCCTATAGGAAACACACAAAGCCATTATTCTCCTGGGGTTTTAGTTGATCCCTACTATCGCTTAAGCTAATTACTACTATCAAACTCTGCATATGCTCGTTTATTTAGCTGATCACTACTATTGCTTAAGCTATCCTCGCTTATTCAAGCTATCCCTACTATAGTTCAGCATATGCTCTCGTTATGCTCTCCTTGTACTCTGCATATTATGGTACGGCAAGCCATACTCTATCAAAATCGCTTTGTTTTGACAGTTTTGAGGTTTTGGTCACATGACAAAAGCTGGCTTTTCTGTAGTTCTAGATAATAATTTCTCCTCCATATTTAATTAATCGAGCTTTTATATACTATATACTATTTATACTCTACTATTTATGCCTTTAATTTTATTATTTTGCTATTAAGTTACGTTTTATGCTCTAATATACTTTATATGGGTTTTTGTCTTATTATAGTTTCCCTCCTATAATACCTATAAGCTATACGGGCTAGGAAGGTTGGGGTTAGTCCCGAGCTTACGAGGGGGCTTAGGGTCAGGAGTTAGGGTCTGGATTAGTCCCGGAAGGTTGGGGGGCAGTAAGAGCCCCCTGTATTAGAATATATTAAAGTATAAAGGCTTTACGGATTAGGGTTAGTATATACTAAATATATGGGTTCTATATACCGAGTATATGTTTGAGATAATAGTAATAGTAATAGTAATAGTAATAGTAAAGCAAGATATATTCTAACTTACTTATATATGTCTTAGTAATAAAGATAAAGTATGTACTAAGTATATGAGTTCTATATACCGAGTATATACTAGATTATATACTAGAGCAATAGTAATAGTAAAGTATTCTAACTTACTTATATACTTATTAGTAGTAAAGGTTAAGCATATGCTAGAAGTATGCCTAGCGAGCGCCTGGCGGGCCGTTAGAAGGATGTCGGACTTGGGAATGAGGGTGTGAACGAGGACAAGTGTCTATATATTATTAAAGCTATGGTTTTTGGTAAGGAAAGTTAATCCCTACTATGGAAAATACAAGGTTATTCTCGCTAATGAATAGTGGTAATCAGCTTAAGCAATAGTAGGGCTCAGTTACTGGCTCCATTCTCCTTGATCTTCTCTGCGACAGCTTCATAAACTTCTTTCTGGTTCTTATCAGTACTAAAGCTGCCGTTTCTAGAGCAAATTACAAACCACAGGGGAAGTTCCCCATTTTGCCTTCTGGTCACGGCCCTCTATGCCCTATGTCGATGGTAGAATCCCAACTCTCAGCCCTTCCTAGCTTTCCGTAAATGAGTTTCTGTATCCATTTTCCGGAAGTTTCGCCCGCGCTTCGGGAGTCAAAAGGTCTGCGACGACTCAACACCTCCTCATGGTGCAGGCTATTAACCTATGCTCTCTGGAGCATAGGGCCAAGATTGAGTCAATCAACTATCAATATGCTATAAAAGCGACGCTTCATTCGAACCCTCGCACGGTGTTGCATGAAGAGATTTTTCCTTATCGACAATCCTCTATAACTTACTCCTCCTTTTCCTCCTTGACACGCAATAATACCACTCGTTTTATATATATTACAAAGAGAAATCAGGTAAATATTATAGCCCAGTCGCCTTGTTTACTCTCTTGAGAAGGCTATATAGTAAAGGAACCCTCCTGTAAAGGCAAGCCTGATAATGCCATATAGCGGATACGAGAGAGAGATCGTGGGAAGGGGGAAGAGGGAGGGGAAGAAGTAGAGAAGACTTAGTATTATGCCTTCGTATATCGTTAATGCGCTTGTCTAAGGGAGCTTTGGACTACCTGGGGTAGTTTAAAGAGAACCTAGTAGCCAACTTAACTAGCGGAGAAGGCTTATAGTTATACGCCATTAACCCGGCACTTTTGCTCATACTTGAAATGCTTTCTATAAGGTCTACGGGGCACTAAAACACCACGGGATTAGGGACCCGGGGCTGCTCGTGAGGGAGGTCTTTTTACCCCTTGTGGTTTTGGCCTCTCTTGCGAGCAGGACTCTGTATATAAATATCCTATAAGCTTAGTACGTCCCCATACCCTTCGGGACGTTTAGTGACCAACCGTAGGCCGGACGTAAATAACTATCAATCAATCAATTAATCAATTATTTGGGAGTCAAATGCTTTCCGCCAAAAGGTTTACATCAGACGGTGTTCTCGCCATTAAACCTATTACATCAAATGACCGAGAAATTCGAAAGACACCTTTGGCAGAGACAGATCCGTGAGCAGGTCTCATGGCATACAGGCCTGCTTTGCTAGCGGGGTATACGAGTGAGCCTCTAGTCTCGGTCCCGAGGGACAGGGGAGCGAAGCCTGCTGAGACTCCGACTGCTGATCCAGAGGAAGGGCCACTACACGGCATGGCCATAATTAGCACTTTGAACTCGAAGGAACACGGGGAGTGCAACTGACAGCGTTCAATCCTGGTTTTCGTTCCACCACATCTGGTGGGGGACCTGTCTCGTATGCGGACCTCGTCTGCCCCCCAACAGCAGACCATCCCGGCGTCATATTCTCTGCTCTTGAGGTTGTCAGTTTCCTAATCGGAGTTTTGAGGGTATTGCACGAACATATACCCGCAGAATTCCTAGGCTAGTCAGTTCGGCTCAGGTTAGAGTATGCGGATCACTCACCGATAAATTCGCTATTCCCAAGATGATCACCTCTTTCTTGATGAGCTACCGGAATTGATCATCAGTACACTTTCAGTGTGACCGAATTATCACTTACTTGCTCCATCACTTCAGCGTTCTTCATCGCTTTCTCCTCCGCAAAACAAACTGCTCCGACAGTGGTCTTCAGTCCTAGCTCAGGTCCAAATTGAAAGCAATCCTTTTCCTCGTCAGCCAAGAGTCCACAGTCTTATAGTCCCGTGGTTAGCCCACCTTAACAATAATCGACAGTCCATGAAGTTAGCCCTCGAGTTTTCCATTGACTCACTCATGATCTAGCTTCTCAGCAGCCTCCAACACCAATTCGATGGGTGCAACGCTTATCATTGCATTTAACTTCGCTCAAACATGATTGTGTTTTCCTATTTGGGCTAGATAAGTAGTAATTATTTCAACACTTGTCAATGTTCCCGCTTTCAGGCGTTTTCGCAGCTCTGATGGTGTGGTAGTGAGGACGTTGAAAGATGGAGGAGACATGATTGGCCTCTGAAGAAAGCTCGAGTAGTTGATAATTAGACAACAAAATAGACAATGTTGATGAAACGTAATCGAGTCACGGGTACTTTGTACACTTCGTTGCCTGAAAAAAGATTGTTGCCTTCAAGTGAGGTCGTGGTGCTAACGTGGTGTCCTTCCAGATCTGTTACATCGGCGTTTCGTTCATGCTGGCTGCCTATCGAGAAAGCCCATTGGCAGTAAAGAGAAACAAAAAAATCCTTCCAGCATTGAGACACTTCAACTGTGACTCACCGAGATATGGCCAATCTATTGGTCAATTGTCAAACATGTCAGCAAGGCCATGGACTTGAGAAGGCTGCATGCATATAGTATGAAGCATCCTTGCAGCATCTCTATGCAGCCGCCCGTGATCACCAGACAGCCCAGCTCCCCGACCTCCTTCTCAAATATCACGGCATCTTCGAGAAAAATTGCTCCATTCTTCGATTCGTCACATCGGCAATCAGTCATCATACTCCCCGCCAAGAATGGAAAGCACAGGGCGGCGGTTGCCCCAGGTACCTTGCAGACAGTGCAAGAGACGACAGATGCCTTGGAAAGGATCCAACCCACGCACCAAGCCGTATGAGAAGGCTGACAGTGCTTGCATTCGTCATTCCGGCAATTCTTCCAAACCTGGTTGCCTCGAATGCTACACCACTCTGCAAAAAGATGATGCTGGGAGTTTGTGTTGTCCTAATCCTGAATGCCGGAGCGGGTTCTTCATCCCTGTACTCATTTCTATACCCACTTTCCTCCAGCAGATTACTCTAGTCCCAGAGCAAAAGAAGTCGAAGAAAGCCCAGGCGCCGTTGATCCTTCGAACCCACTGTCGGAATTGTCGGCTCGAAGATGAGGTATGCAGTGGTTTGATATTCGGCCCCCGCTGCGAGCGATGTAAAATCGAGGATCTGGAATGCGACTGCAAAATCTTGAGCAGGTCGTGCGAAGAGTGTATGAAAGATCGAGGGAGGGCGGCCTGGAAGAAATGTGTTGGACTTCGTGACGAGTGCGATGCTTGTATTGAGAAAGGGATTGAGTGCAAGGAATTTGTTAGCGTGTCTTGGAAAGCAAGTGCGGAGGAGAAGCCGCCTGAAGATGCTGTCGGGCACGGAACGATGGATGTTATCGATGGGACGAAAGCCATCAGGGCTTTTGCTGCATGCGAAAGGTGCTTGGATGACGAATTAAAATGTGATGAGAGTCTACCTGCTTGCGGAGGTTGCCAAAAGGAGGACGTGGAGTGCAAGTACAGACTGCTGACGACAAAATTTTCTGGTGAGTTTCTTGTCTTCTAGTGCAATCAATATCTGAAACTTTGGCAGACTTTCCAGGGAGAAGAGTTGGGCAGAGAAGATCCTCCTTGTCTCGAGTCCATCAAGAGGCGTTCAAAGATGAAAATGCACGTGAAGTTACTCCGCCGCAAAGCAAGTTACCAGTATCATGCGGAAGGTGCAGCAAGCCAAAATCTAGGTGCTCGGGAATTCTTCCCTGTGGGCGATGCGAGAAATTTGGTTTGGAGTGTATCCCAAAACCAAAAGCGTCAGAGATGGGTGCCGTTGCAGCCAAGTTGAAGGAAATTGGGACTGAAACTAAAATCGAGCCACTTGAGGGTCTGATGAGTGGCCTGGATTTAGAAAGTTGGCATTTGGTGTCGCACGAAGAGGTTGAAGAACCAGTGCCGTTTACAAGTGAAAGTACCTAGATAGTCTTTGGTTGTTCGACAAATGTCCGGAGGACGGAGGCGTATTTTTGTTCGTCGGGGATGAGGCTATGTTAGGACGGTTGGTTTGTAGACTCTGTTTTACGGTAATTGGATATTAGTGAACCCAACGAATATGTACCCAGAGCTCATACCATGACCTCTTCTGATTTCCGTGTGAGTCGTCGCAGGTTTTAATCCATTCAACATTCCACGTGCGGGGATCGAGTTAAAATTTCGGCATCCCACTATCAGCACCTTCAGGCTCGATCTTATGAAGCATGAAAACATTTCACCCAATTTTGAAAGAGCTTGGGGTATTTGATTACATCTCATTAATGTTTACATAACATCCTCCTGCTATTTCTTCAAATTTGACGTATTTGGCAGCTAAGCGAGGCTCCTCTAAATAGGGGGCGATAGCGTGAACTCCCGTTCAGATTCGGGTCAATACTGTTCTTGTACTTAGTGAATAAATCTGTTAGATTTTCTGCGGAATTTGAGGTAGTCTATTTAGAAAGTTTTACTTGAGACCTTCTCGGCTCCGGTCAGTGTGTCAAATGAATAGAATAGAATAGAATAGAGTAGTAGCTACTACTCTATTCTATTCATCAAAATTTACCCACTACTCATATTCTATTCATATTCTAATCAAGGTATTCATGAATATTCATAAATACTTTGAGTAGTACGTACGTGATTTTACACGTGAGGAGCTAGCTATATTAGGTAAAGCTTCCGCCCGCTCCCGCTCTAGCGCCACCTCACCACCCAATTAGGCAATGGCGAGGCTTAGTAAGCGAACTAAAATATAAGATTCCGAGGAGAATAATTAGTTTATTATTATAGAAAATTAGTACTTGGCTAATATTATATAAGCCTTAGCTTAATCTAGCTAGAGCTACTAATAAGCGCCTTAGTTATTTAATAATTATTAAATAACCCTTGTTTTTTAATAGTTATATAACTAGTAATTACTAGTATTTATCTTTATCTTTTCTATATTATCCTATATTCAGGCCACCCTAAGCAGTTGGCTCGCAGGGCGCCTGAAAAAAAACTAGTTATATAAGAAATACCAGAATTACTCCCTTCTAGGGAATCACATATCAGAATGCAATTATATCCAAATCCTTAGGATATAGCTAGGAATTAGAAAGAAGAAGCTCAAATACCTTTCTTTCTATTTTAGTAGTTCTAGAATACAAGAGGCTTTTCTTACGATTTTTTAAAGCTCGGAGGGAAATCTGAAGCTAGTAGTTCTATAGAAAGCACTAAGAAAAGAAACCCTAACTTTATATTACTTTTCTCTCTTTCTTCTCTTTATTACTATAGATCCTCCCTGCTTTTATATTTCTTATAGGCAAAACCGGCCTGCTTTTGACTTTATTATAGAACAGGCTAAGCCATATAAAACTTGCTCTTACTATCGAGTTTATATCTTCTTTCTTTTCTGGCTTAATTAACTAATTAATAGGCCCGAAATACTAGTAATTATATCCAGTAATATCCTGCCTTATAAGAACTCGATTTAAATATTCTTTCTTTTTTCTAGTAATAATAATAGTTAATTACAAATGTTTCTATAGACAAGCCAGCCCTATAGTACTAGTAATAGATCCGTTAATTCTCTATTATGGCTCTAGTTTATATTATAGAAGACTTTCCTATTAACCTATCTATTATATAGCCTCCTGCCTTTCTTTCCCGCTTCTGGCCGGCTCTTATATATATAACTAGTCTGCTTATAAATTACTATATAGCTTATAGAGCCCTTTATTTTAGTTATATAAATAATTACTTTAAGGCCTATTATAAGAAAAGTAATATTATACTTCCTCTAATTTATAAGTCTTTTCTATATCTTTCTTATTTCTTTATAAGTAATAATCTGCTTTACTAGGCCTTTTAGACAAATATTCAGGTATATAATTATACTTTTATCTTTATATTAATTAGCTATAAGAAGAATACCCGAATTAACTTCTTCTATAGAATCTAGTACTTTTAAATCTATAGTAAGCTCTTTTATTTCTAAGGCCTACTATAGCCCGTTCTATATATTAAACTTTTCTTTATATAGCTCTTTTTCTATAACCCACTTTTTATAACTAATATTCGGGCTACTAACTTCTTTTATTTAGATTATATAGTTCTTTTATAGTTTATAAATATATTTATAGACTATAATCTATTTATTATAGTTTATAAAACGGCCTATAAGTATCTTATAAACTAATAAACTAATTTCCGGGTCTTATTTAACTTATAAATGTATTTAATTCTCGAATTAGATATGAATTATTATTATAAAAACCTTCTTATAAATAATAAGATTACTATTCTAATTCTAGACAAATATATAAATATAAGCTATTATAATCTAGTACTAATAGTTTATAAGGCAAGCTATAAGTATCTATAAATATATATAGTTAATATTATATATATAATATATATACTACTTTATTATATCTTATTTTTCTTATATAGTAATCCGGACTAATACTACGAGTTATAGTTATAGAATTATACCGGGACCTACTAATAGATATAGCTCGAATAATAAGCCTTTTACTAGTACTACCTCTATATTTATTTAGCTTTCTCTCTATTCTTTTATATTAGCTACTTCTTTTAGTAATATATTATTAATATATATATTACTTATAAAACTACCTTACTTAACTAGCTCTATTTATATTAGTAGAATATTTATATAAATATTTATACGAGACTTATAAATATTCTAATCTATAAAAATATCTATATAAATAATATTAGCTATTACTTATTTTCTTATCTAACTTTATAAATAATAATTACTTTATATAATAGCTCTTTTAAGACTTAATAGCTATTATATAATACTTTAGTAAGTTAAGCTTCTTTATTACTTTTATAACTAATTTATACTAGCCTGAGATTATAAATTATTTCTTAAATAAATAATAAGTAATTAATTATCCGGATTTCCTTTACTAGATCTTTATTCTAAAAATAAAAAAGCTTTTTATAGACTTTAAGAACTATATTTTCGAATAATATATAAGCTATATTTATATAATTAAATACTAGAAATATAGCCTTTTATATATATATTTACTTTTATTTTTTAGAAGAGATATTATTTTTTTAATCTCTAATTTAGTTAATAAGGTAATTTATATTAAGCTTCTAAATCTATTATAGAATTCTATAAGTAAACTTATAATTATAATTACTAGCTAGATATCTTATAGGCTATATAGCCTTAATAATAATCTAAAAGCCCTATATATAGTCTATAGTATATTTATAGCCCCGCTTATATATTAAAAAAGGTTCTCTAAAATATTTATAGCTATAATAATTATTTATAAAAATAGATATCTCGAATATTAATACTAGAATAATAGCTATATATTTATAGTCTATAAATTAGACTTTCTAGATTAGGAAATTATTTATAATAATTACTAGGTTATTTTATATAACTTATATTTTCTTTAGAAATTCCGCTTATATATTAATATTAAGATTTATATATTTATATAAATAATTAAATATATTTACAAATATATTTATAAAAAAATAAATTATATAATTATTATTATTTCGGGAATAAATAATAAAATTACTTAATATTTCTAGATTCGGTATATAGGCCTTATAAAGGCTTTCTAATATCTATTTAAATATCTAATATATTAAGAATTCTTTCTAGTTTAATATTTTATAATTTATTTCCCTAAATAATATATAGTTTATTTTATAGCTAATCTTTTATTTAAATAAGTTATAGACCGGGCTATAAATATTTATTTAATTTTAATAACTTTCTTTAAATATAATATATAAGAATAGCTACTAGTATCTTTATTATAAGTTCTTATAATACTTTATATAGGTTACTAAAACCCGGATATAGTATTAGTTATATTTATTATTATAGTCTAGTTTCAAATAAGTAGTTCTATTTATAACTCTTACTAATAGTTATATATAGTCTATAATTCTTTAATAAGCTTTACTTAATTAAGGATATTTATTATCTTATATATTATATTACTTATATTACTTATAGCTTAGTAAAAAATAATTAAAAGTAGTTTTAATACTTTAATAAGGCTATCTAGTTAATAACCGGCTATAATTTATAAATACTTTTTCTTATAAGTATTTACTAGTAGCTAATTACAGATATATAAGTAATCTAGAACTAGTATAAGAAGTATTTCTATAATAACTTGGCTTATAAGCTCGCCTATAATCTATTAATTAATTTCTTATTATTCTTAATTAATTCTTACTATAATTATAATTTCTTTTTATTTAGTTTTAGTCTTATAAATCTCTAGTAAATACTTATAGATATTATTTTATCTAAGAATATCTTTAACTAGATTATAAGCTATTATATAGCTAATCTATAAATTAATTATACTTATAAAATATTACTAGTAATTATAATATAAGCCTAGCTAAATATAAACTAGTACTTTTATTTCTAGATAATTCTAATAGTAATTATAAATAATTTATAAACGGCTTATTTCTATTTATAGAACCCGAATAAAACTAATAAAACATTTTTTTATAAAATTCTTTATTACTATTATTATAGCTAAGGTAAAATAGTCTTATATATAGTATTAATAAGTATTATACCTTTTCTTTTTCCGAATAAATATATATCTTATTTCTAGTTCCGGATCTTATTTAAGCTTAATAAGTTATTTATAAGTATAATTACTAAGATAAGCTAGCTCGGGGCGCTTTTATAATCTATAGACCTAATTATCTGAAATAAGGTACCTATATAATACAAGTATTATTTTGAGGTAGTATATTAGCTAATAATTAATTTATAATTAGTAATAAATAATATTTTCTTTAGAGAAATACCTGTAATTTTTAGAGAGAACTTTATTTAGATTTTACTAGTAGTCTCATATAGTTTATAGGCTAATATAGTACGGGCCTATTTATAGTAGATATAGATCTGGCTATAGCTTTATTAGTTATTATTACGAATTAATATATAGGTCTATAATAATTCATTTAAATAGGATTTTATAAACTAGATTAGTAATCTGCTATATAACTTGTTTTTAAATAAAATAGATTATATTCCTGCTTTTTATTTCATATATCTAGTTAGTTATAAACCTAATTAATTATATTTACTTATAAGAATAACTCTTATAGGCCTTATATAATTACTAGGCCTTTAGTAAATAGGTAATTCTATTAATCCTAAATAATATAGTTTATAAGCTTAACTAAATAATTATAGATATATTTCCTGGCTAGAAACAGATATATTTTATAATAAATCTAGCTAATATAAATAAAACAGATCCTGAAATTATAAAATTATTTCTAGAAGTTTTATAAAGTATTTATTTATTAGATTTACTTCTCTCTAAATTATAATATAAGATTAGTATACTTATAATACTTTTATAAAATCTCTATTTATAAAAAAGGCTTTATAATAGGTTATAGATATTAATTTATAGCTTTAGAAAGTTCTCGATTCGGATATAGCTATTAAATAGTAATTTTAATAGCTAATTATAAATGATTTTACGAATTAAGCTCTAATTTATAAATTAGTAATTATTTTTTATACTTTTCTATAAGTAGTTTTTATTTATTTTATTCTTTATAATAATTATTAATAAGTTATAAAGCTAGTTATTTATAGTAATAAGAGTGAATTTATAGTTACTAGTCTTTTCTTATAGCTAGTTCTATATAGTAGCCTTATGATTTACTTTATAAATAGAGCTTTATATTTTTTTATTTTCTAATATAGATTATATAAGTAATATAATATACTTAGAAATATTATAAGGTCTTATTTAGCTTTTAACTTATTTATAAATAACTTTATATATTTATAGGCTATTTTTCTTCTTATATTATCTATAAAAGGTTTATAAAGATTCTATATCTAATTTATATATTTAGCTAAAACTCTTTACTAAGTTATATAATTTTAGTTAGGGTCTTTATTATATAATATATTTCTTTTAATTCCAAACCTACTCGAAACGAATTTAGGGCCGCTTTACTAAAATTATTAATTAGTCCCGAAGCTTATATAGGGCCGCTAATTAATAATTTTGCTCTAAACTCGTCTATTTTATATTTTTACTATTTTCCGGAGAAAACTAATACTATTATATAAATATATTTATATAGAAATACTAAAACTTTAGGCATGCTCTATAATTTAGGCTCTATTTTATAGGCTTTATAGGCTTTATTTTATAGGTTTTACAGGCTCTATAAGCTCTATAGACTTTATAGGTTCTATAGGCTCTATAGGCTCCCTTTTATAAGGTTTATAGGCTAATTCTATAAGCTTTATAGGCTCCGTATACTCTATAGGCTTCTAATAAATACCCTTTCTTTAAACTAGCTATATTATTCCAGATATAAGTTCTTTTGCCTAATTATAAGCTTCTCTTTTTATAAAAATAGATATTGACTTTATATTATAAAATCTGCCTTATATAAAAGTATAACTAATACTATAAAGCTATAAGCAAATTTATATAAGAAAGATATAACTGGCAAATCTTATAGGCAAAGAAAGTAAAGCTATAGGTATAAAAGTATAAAATATGGGATCCTATAGACTTGGAGAAGGTACTAGTAAAAGAAGAAGCCAAAAGAGAATTAAGGAAGTTCCAGGCTTAATTATAAAATAATAAATAGAAATAAGATAAAGAGGAAAAATAGTAGGAGATAGAATAAGAAAGGAAATAGAAAGAGAATAATCCGATAAGAGCTTGTAAATAGTAAATAGTAGGGCTAATATATAGTAGTTTATAGACGAGTATAAGAGGAGAAAGTAGGAATAGAAGTAGGAGCAAAAGCAGGAGTAAGAGTAAAAGAAAGTATAGTACTGGCTTATAGCTAGCTAATATTTATAAATATAAAGGAAAAAGGGGCTTATAGATAAAGGAAAAGAACCTATAAATAAAGAGGAACTTATGAATAAAAAGGAGGAATTTATAAATAAAGAGGTATCTATAAATTAATTTGCGGATAAGCCTATAGCCCGTAAGTAGGAAACCCTATTTATAAATACTTACTAACCTTTCTCTTAGAATACTATTCTAGTTATAATTAAAAACGCTCCTTTTCTGAATTTGGATAATTCTTTATATACTCTATATACCGAAAACAGAAGCAAAAGTCAAACCGTTAATATAGTATTTAAAGAAAGGAGCAAGCAAGGGTATTAAGACTTGAAAATAAGCCTATAAGAGACGAGCTTTAAAGACATATACAAGTATATACTAGGGAATCGGGCGAGCAGGAGCTTAAAGAGGCAAGGGCTATAAAATGCTATAGATATCTTATAAAAAATAATAGAAAACAGCCTTTAGAAGTCGATAATTATTTAAATAAAAGCCTTTAAAAGACTATATGCTTATATGTTATATTAGTATAAGCTTGCAAGCGCAATATGGCTATATTTAAAAATAAAAATAAAAAAAGGAGGGGGGGTTAAGTAAAAGAGAGAGCTTAATAAGTAAAAGTAAGGCTTAAAAGGGCCTATAAAAGGAGAGGGAGAGCTTTGCAAGTATAATTAAGGAGTATAGCAATTTATAAAAATAGAGAGAGCTTTATCTAATTAATCTCGAATCGAGATCAGGGCCGCTTCGCTAAAATTAAAACCTGGCGGCCCTATGCAAGCTCCGGGGCCAGTTTTAATTTTGCCCTGATCTCGTGAATATTCATGAATATATATTCTACTCTACTCTAATTTTTTGAGAATTACGCTACTCATATTCTATTCAAGATATTCATGAATATTCATGAATACCTTGAATACCTTGAATACTTTTTTGACACACTGGCTCCGGTCTATATAGTTCTATGAAAACTTAACCGTCCACGTCCGACAATATTTCCTCAACTTCACAAACCCCCGTCCATCCGGACATTGTACCACTGCCCGTCGTACAATGGCGCATTTGCCCTCTTCCCAAAACTTCCAGTAGAGCTTTTGTTCCAGGTATGGGCTTGCCTTGTCGACCCCCGCATGCCCTATCCCTCCGGGCTAGGTATTTGAAATTGTTGTACTACGATTTCAAGGCGCAGGCCACCATCGTATGTTCTGGTGGAAGGCTTGTTCGCTTCAATGGCAAGTTTACCTGTGTACCCTCTACCCACCGGAATACAGTGACCCAGGAGACTACATCTTCAAGCGTATGGGAAGAAAGTCGGCGGTTAATATGGGCCGAAACATTCTCGCAGAAGAGATCGATAAAGTCGAGGCAATCTTCAAGGCAAAGATACATGCCGTTGATTCTCGAGAGGTTGTTTTCCCTACCTCCAAGACCCAGCCATCTGCTGGACTTGCGTCTCACCCTTGCGAGTCTCTGGATGATGTTTTCTGAGAACCCCCAAAGCCCCATTTCGGAGAACACCAGGCCGGGAAGACGAAGATCGAGTGCGATTGGGTAGCTTTGTTGGAGAACGGGACATCATGGAAGATAAAAACTGAGGCGGACTTCGACAAGCATGCCATATTGAGAAGGTGTGTGTGGATGAAAAATGAAGGGACAGCAGATGTCTTTGTAACAACGAAGATTATGACGCCCTTTTAGCAGCAGGTATGCTCAGACTTCTAGCCCATCTTCGCTTTCCTTCATTAGACCGCGACCTTCAAACGATAAATGACAACGGAAGGAAGTGACTTAGCTTGTTATCAGTGCGTTCGGCGTCTACCGCCGACTTTTGATCTGTTGCCCTGAGGCTTCGAATACATAATTAAGGGAGCTCAATTACCTGCCGAAGCTGAGGTCGTCTATTTCACTTCTCCAACCCAGAACACTTGCGCAACCAAAGTCATCGGAAAGTCAGCGACGGGTCATCGTTCACCCGATTCGGCGAACTCGAAACCTCCTCGGGGCCGAAACGCAAGCCAGGCCGAAGATACACAAGGGTAGCTTCCCACTCCAACGCCGCGTCATGCTCCAACCACGAACCCGTGTGTTTAATTTCTTTTAAAAACCATCAGGCCATCACAGCCACAATGCCAACTCTTAACCAACCTTACATTCTGTCAAACCGTCGAAATGGGTCACCGTATCGCTGCCGTCGAACTGCGCACCTCTTCTGGCATCCACTCACATTCGACAGGAACCGAATACGATTAGTGCTGCATGGGATTTTATCCTCGGAAATTCTATGCCGCTGCGCCAAGCACCCCGCTTCTTCAAAGGGCATACATTGCGTAGTGCGCCCCTATCGCCATGGACGCCGTACTCGTACGGCGATGCGCAGATTGCACAATTATTTGGGGGCTGAGTTGTGCAAGACGGAGAAGGTTTTCGAATCCCGAGAGCTCCAGTACGAGTACGACCCCGCAGTTGGATACGACTGGGTACGGTTATGCGAGTGCAGCTTTCGGGATCACAACCTCGAAGAAGAAATGCGTAAAATTATGAGCATCAGGCCATGTGAGATGAGATACTGTTCGTGGGTTCTTATAGGGTTTAGGGGTGAGATTTCTTGCTCCGAACATGCCGGTAGGGTGGTGGAATTCTGCCCGGTTCAAACCCCCACCTTCTGAATTGGCGTTGATTCCACAGCCAAAGTCGCCACAAATGATGACATGCACGGCAATTATTGTAAGAAGAGGGCAAAATCAAAGCGAGAGCCCGAGCAGGGGGGAATTCCATGCCAAGTGTCCCGATTGCGGCTCTGCCCGCGAGTGTGGGCCTTTTTAAGCTTAAGTGCCGGATCTACCTCCGAGGGCATGTCAGTTGACTTGTTAGTCATAAGTCACGCTCAAACTTCCTGGCATCTCCTTTCACGTGTCGATATGTTTTTAGTCTCTGAATACGTGATTATCCTGTTTATTACAAGCTTCCTGTTCTGTAATGGTTGAAGTTACGGACAAGTATCGAGTTTCGAAGCCTCTCGCGGATTCACGAGCAGCTACCGTATCTGAATAATCTGCAGATATGCATGACATGCTTACTTTGCCCAGAGGCGGGGTACATGCTGCAATTACAGCATCTAGGCCAATTGTATTGGCAGAGATGTGAGAGGTTGGTAGTTTTACCGCATTCGGGTTTGAAAACACTCAGCAACTCGCATCTTGAACATCTGTCTCAACCGAACCTTAAACGCTCTCCAATTTCATCAAAGACATGCGCGTAATCAAAAACCGATAAGAAGGGAAGACAGACAACGCATACATAGACTACTCTTCTAGTCTCTGTGTTCTTTGCCTTTTTGATCTGGGTCGATGGAGTTTTACAGTTACATGTATGGATGTTGCGGGGGCGGGAGATCGGAGAACACAGTGCATTTCTTATCCACTCCCAAACGCGCTATTCAAGTTTCAAAATGACATTGGAAAGTTGGTTGATCCATTAGGCAATCTCACCGGAAGTGTCCTGAAGTCAAAAGTGACGCACAAACACGTGAAGTACAGGAAGTCACTTGACTGCCCTGAGGAATCCAAGCCGGCAATGGGAAGTGTGCCGTCCCAGCAAGCCTCGAACTAAAATCCGAGGGCAATTGTCGGATTCCAGCAAGGAGGTCTGGGTCAACAGATCCAGTGGTCCAATGAGCTTCGACCCCCTTACTTGAGACGGTCCAATACGCACTCGTGAACTGCTTTCCAAGATGACTCTGAGCCTTCCTGGATGCTGACGTGAAGACCCAACGACCAATGAGAGGTAAGCATCAGCGCAGCACGACCAACAACTGGAATCATCAATTGCCAAATACAGTGCGTTTTCGGCACAGTATTGCAAACTAACCATTCATCATGCACGACCCGTAAGGATATCTGCCGTCAGCAAACGTCCCGCGTGTTCGAATGGAATCGCGCAACAAAACAGCAACAAGACTCTGCAGCAAGCTCACCCCACAACCAGGTGACCTCTGCACTTCTGCACTTTCCATCCCAGATGAAGCCACTGTGCTGCCTGACTGGAATACGATTATCCCAAAGGGGGAATAGTTGGCACACCATCAGATAAGACCTGGCGGTGTTGGCATGCAAGACGATACGGTCAACCACTTAGAGCTCGCCCGGAGTCATCGTGAGAAATCTCCGCCGAACGGAGGGTGGTGGAGTTAAGATTCGGGCTCGGTTCGACCTTGCTGTCCGAGATTGCGAGACCTTGCGACCAGCGAATTGAAGTGCCTCCGTCTGACCATCAGACGATTTCTTCCCTTCTCATGGAAGAGATGATCCAAGAATGAACTGTCTGTCCTTGTTGGGAGGAGGGCGGAGGGGTGCTGAACGCTTGTCTCGGGTCCGATTTGTGATATGAATGCCGAGCTAATTGAAGGTTTGTCGAGCTTCGTCGGGCTCAGGATTGGAGATCTCATGCTTGTCGCGCCAAATCTAGACCACCCTGCGGCCATGAGCAAGCTCTCGTTTGCGGCGGGGTAGCTGCCGGCACGGCATTGTAATCGATGGTGCAGCGAGCCTGTTGCTTCATGTGCTGTCTTCGTGAAGCATCCCCGTCCCTGAACAACCAATACCCTGGGCGAGCTGCCGAAATCATCGGGATGTGTAATCAAATGTGGAGAAAGGAGCCATGTATATGTAATCACAAGACAAACGGAAGTGGCGAATCCCCCAAGATTTTGCTCCTGCACGCTGCAAGCCAGCGCGCGGCGTTCTCCTGTACGGCGCGCCTAAAGTCCGCTATCCGGACAAAATCAAGGAGCTATTTCCGCGAAGGGGAAATGTAGGAACGCAGCGAGAGAATTAAAGTTTCCCATAGTGAAGGCTTGGAACTGGCTCGGATCCGTCCGAAGAATCAAGGAGATCATTCCGTTCAGGCAGTAATGAGAAGTGAAGTGTGTGTGTTTTGTTAGTATAGGTCAATATCTCCAATTGGTTTCTCCTTGTCATAAACCCCAGAGCACCTGCCAAGCCTGCATTACGCTGAATGAAGGACCAGCTTTTCACACCGTCTAAGATCCATACAATGTCCAGGTCAAAGTATTAACAAGATTGGGAATCATGAAAGTCGTGTCGTCACCGCTTCACAAAGCAAACTACCTTCCAACTCCTCCACCCCATCCCTGGAAACAATCCGAAAGACACATGCAAAACTCCAGGTTGTAAAATATCTAGGCCATCCCCATTTGACCTTCGTAATCTCCCGTGTAGATGATGCTATCCATTTGATCTGAAATATCAAAGCCTGTGTTGCAATCCAGCATAGTGGGTCGGATCGTCCCATCTGCAAAGTTGAGCCCGTCGTTCAGTTGCATAGCTTTGAGCAAATCCGCATCTAACCCTTGCCTGCCTAATGGCGATGGACGTGGCATTCCTTGAATTTGTTGCGCCCTCATGTAGTGTGCAGTGAGGTCAAGTGCGTGTGCGGGACCAAGGAAATCGTCTTGTCCAGACCATGGTGAAAATGGCGAGGTATTTCTGAACATTGGCGATTCAGTCTGGAAATCGGTGTAAATAGGTGATGGTATCGAGTAGGTGGTGTCGAGTGAGGCACGTGGTTGGTACGTCTCTTCGTCGAACGAGGTCTTCAGTGGCAAATTCAGGGGGGCGGGTTTGATCGCGTGGGGAGCGACCTTGGCAGCTTGTCGTTGCTGGGACCATACTTGGCTGTATTCTTTGGACAAATCCGAGTGATCACTCTCGCTGCTGCTTGCTCTATCTGTGCGGTCGAGAGCTGGAGAATAGGAAGAATCCCCTGAGTATTTCCGACTTCCTGTGTCCTCCGAGCTCATCTCCGATCGTGCAGCTTGAAGCTGGGCTTGTAATTCGGCGAAGTCTTCTGCCCCTTCTGGGAAGTTGTTGGGGAGATCTGGGGAAGGTCGAATGCATCCAAGCTTGGAAGCTATGTCATGAATTACTGGTTGCCCTCTATCATTCATCTCTGGCTCTCCCAGATCCCACGACTCGCCATTGCGGACCATGGTGTAAAGTTTTTGAACAGTAGCAATGAGAGCATACTGCGTATTCTCCAAGACTTCAGCATACCTGGAATTGGTGTGTTAGCGGAAGTGAAGGATGTTTGGCGAAGCAAAACGTACCCTCTAGGCAATTGCTTGAACTCTGTCTTTTTCCTGCTTCCGGCCGTGCACACCAAACCGTCATCTTTACATCGTTTGCATGGCGATTCCCCATCACACTGAATAAGCAGTAAGCAAATGTCAACAAGAAAAAGGCATGTCCCATACCTTGGTCTTCTTCATCCTACACCTCTCGCATGCTTTCCAAACTCTTTTATGTCTTCCATCTATTACAACCGAAGTATGTTCATGTGAAGAGTTGGATCTTTTTGAGCTTCTGTTCACAGGTTTGGATGGTTTTGAAACCTTTCTTGATTGGTAGGATTTATGGTCCTCCATTGGAGGGGTAGGTAGACTGGACATGGTGAGAGGCAGAAATGTTCTGGAAAGAAATTGTGGAGGTGATGATAGAGGCTGTGTATCGAGGGGTTAAACGGAATATATATTAAAGCTCCAGTTTCAATCGGCATTAGCTGATTATGTCGGATTATGTGACGTTGCTGATTCACAATACCCCAAACAAGGATAGGCCGTATATAGTTGTCCGAGGGTTCTCCTTGAACATGCGGGTGGACTCGGCGTAGGAAAATGCAGCTGACTTTACAGGGCCCTGGAGATCTCCAAGCAGGAAACCGAATCGGGAGTGGAAATAAACGCGGATGGATGTGGATGTTATTGTTGAGGGTTACTAAGGTCGTGCAGGGTCGTGATCTGTGTGGCTGGATGAGGAGGTAGGTCGATAGAGAGATATCCTGCAGGAGTCGTCAAGCACTTCGGACAAACCACCCAGAAATCAAAAAAGGGGTGTTAGTAGACAGTCCACAGGATATTCCAATGCACGCTGAGGAGTCATGATCGAAGGAATTAAGAAAGTGGAGGCTTGACGTGTTACTTGTATGCCAGTAGGCTATGGGAGCTATCCTGGGTCGTTAGTGTCGCTCGGATGCACCACTGCTTACACCGACCGAAAATACGGTGGCCGTTTTTCATAGCAGGCATAAATCGAGGCCGCTGGATGCTGGGGCGCCGGCCATGCAAGGACCAGGATGGAAGCTGCACTGGCCTGGCAGTGGAAACATGTGGCTACGGGAGGACGTGGGATGCTAATTGAGGCTTGGTGACATATTACGACTCATGGCTAGCCGCTATGACATGGTGTTGGAGATCTTACTTTCTGTGTTCTCGGCTTCAGCCCACCACAGTGCCCTTCGCGGGATCTGGGTGTCTGTGTTCTGGGCTCCTGGAACTCCGCTCGGCATGAACGCCGAGTTCGTCCTGTGAGCTTAATTGATGAGAGCTTCCCTGACAGCATGTCCTGGGCAACTTCTTGCGCAAAATTCCCAGCCTCGTGATGTATGTGGCTCTAGTTTGTGGATCTCACTAATAAGCAGCGGTACTGTCTGAACGGCCAGCGATGAAATAGCGTCTGGTTTAGGAGTTAAAGACGGAACGGACAACGACCCGCTCGCGATGTCTGCTGAATAATTACGAAGATTCGAGAGGGTGCATAATTCGGAATTATTGGCCTGTTCATTCGCTGAGCTTTCTAAAGTTTGAATTGCCCACAGGGGCATGAGATGAATTAATGTCGTTGGCTGATTGTAGGGGTACTAAGCAATGTCAGAAGCAATATCTAGCTTCTTATACCAGGCTTCTGGAGGCCTAGTGTCATACAAAACAGTTTCATTCGCTACTTAGAGCAAAAATCGCGACGTAGCCAGCACCTCTTTGGGCAGTAAGCCGTGTACATACCGCGCTGACTGTGCGGGGCGATACAATCGCAGAAGCTGGCTGGGATTTTCACCGTTTCCCAAGGTGGGTTTACAAAAACGTGATACCAAGGAGGGGTTTTGGCATCTTCTCAGCTCCGATCGCGTCACAACTAATGAAGTTAACCCTGACAGTTTTCGAGGAGAAAATTTTGCAATCATCCGCGAAATCTACGATGTTGGTCGGTAATCAAGCAGCGATTAATCATTCCATAGCCAGAGCAAGCCTGACTGACAAACCAAAAAAAGTTGACCAGGATCGGTACCCGGCAGCGAGTGCTCTCCGCCGTGATTACGGAGCGAGAGTGGCAGGCCCTCCTCAGGGGACGCCCTAGCGGATATTGCGGGTTTACAGGCTTACAGGCTTACAGCGCATCCAAGGACAGGACCAACCCTCTGGGATTGAATCTCAACAATACTGAAAGATGAAGTTATCACAGGTTCGAAACGCAAAGAAATGAAGTTTGTTAGCCATTTCAGTATCAATCTACCTTTGATGGGAAACACGATCTGATATCGACCACTTCAAGTGCTATGACGCAAAGCTCCCGTCTAGAGGCTGAAGAAATGGGACTGGTTCTAGTTCGCTGTCGCGTCTGAAAATTTATAAAACCTGAGGCTCTGGACCTTGTTAGGGGCCTCCTCAGACCCTTCTCCGACGAATCGAGAAATTTTGGTGGGCCCATGAAGTAGGTGGCTCTTGAGGCTCATGCTCAAACTTCCAGAGGAAGAGGAGGAAAATTGGTCGGACCAAGGACAAGAAATGCTCCCGTGCAGACCCACACAGACCACCTCGACGATGCACCTGAGCCGGACGGAGCTTCCACGATTCTTCTCGAAGGGTTGGCAACCCTTGGCGAGTGATTAGCTGAGCAATTTAAGCTGTGCCCAAAGCTTTTCCAGGGCTATGAAGGACGGAGCATTCGACCCTCCGCCTCTCACTTCTTCATCACGAGAGCCCTGGAATACGCGTTTACGACGGCCGCAGCTGATACTTCTTCCAGGCTGTGTACCAGTGTTGCATAGTATTTGCAAAAGTGGCGCATTTATTTGGTCCCCTTGGTTACCTCTATGGTTCTTGGAGATTACGAATAAGGACTGGGCGCCGAGATCCATAAATCCGTCCAGCAGTCAACGAAGACGCACGAATTTCCAGAAGCCCTGCCCAAGGGAACGGCACCGTCCGCAAACTCCCGCAGATTCGTCAACAAATGCCTCAGATCACCATGCAATTCCCAAAACGAAGGCATCAGCTGGCCCCCAAATGATATGTAGACGCCCAACAGCCCCTTCAAAATAATCTCCTGACGCTTTTCGCACTCGGGAGTCGGGACTCGGACAAGCCCGAAAACGACTTGAACGGACGTGGAGGGGACTTGGATCCCGCCCCACGGCAGCGAATCAGCCACTGAAAGACGTTGAAATCGCCTAGGGCTTGTGTGTGTGGCTGCTCGGCTTCGGGCTGTCCCTTGGTCTCGTTGCATAACTTTTGCACAAATAAATCGCCTTGGCAGTCATCAACATTTACCAACCGTACGAAATACTGACCATTTCCCCGCAAATTCGTTCTGAGGTGCAGCCGGCTTGATGTTCGAGCTCGCAAGCGACATGAACCACTGGATTGACACTATGGTGGCCTCGTCACGCCCTGCGGTACTTGGATGAAGTACCGCAATCCATACTCCGCACCTCTAATCCACCAAGGAGGCTCTAGAAACTCGCCCAGCTACTAAAGTTTGGTGGACGTGGGCGAGCTTGATAGCGTATGGAACAACCCGGGGCAAGTGTTCGGGCAAGGTTTTAAGAGATCAAACATTCAATTTCAAGTGCGGTTGAGCGACTCGCCATAAGAGCAAGCGGACTCTTCCCTTTTCAATCCCCCACAGCAAGAAACCTTGAACCAAAAGTTCCTTGGGATCTCATCTTCTCCCTCCTAAAGGGGTATCTAATAGGGGGTGTTTCAAATTTATCAACTGGTTTCTTCAAAACATGGAAGTGATCTCTGTCGAATCTGTACCCTTGTCAGTGGTGCTACAGGGAATCAAAGTTGAAGCTGACCACGACTACTACCAAGTTGGCAAACTGAACTATGTTGCACTACATGCCAACGGCCAACCGACGGATGCAAGCTAGGTCTTGAGAGAGATCAACGGAGTGATCCTCACAGTTAAAGTTGCATAAAGCTACCTCCCTTAGATAGGAGCTCAACTTTGCTGCGTTCATACCCACTTATTATGATCCAAGTGGGCCAGTATTACAGCGTGGCCTAGAAGCTCACACCCACAAAACCTCAGCTGCTATCAGTTACTTTTCCAAATGCGATCATGCTCTTGTCAGAATTGCGTTCTTGCCAAACAATAAGCAATGGGGCCGAATATTCTACGAGTCCAAGCCCTATATTCAGCCTTAACCGTCTTTACTTATTGGGGATGCCCTCACCGTTACTAGCATGTGTCATTTTACCATTTTTGAGCTCTCTCCGCAAACTCAAACAAACGTCACAGATACTAGTAGATCCAATTGAAGGGCGCTCATGGAAAACCGAAAAGGAATTGTGGGCAGAAGCTCCCTGTTCACTTCCGTGCATTTACCAGTCTAACGTACAGTTCAAAACCAGGATTTCAGAATTTCATCTATACTAAAATAGTTGCCCTGCCTTCTGTGTTCTTTGGATCATTTCTGGTTGCGCATCTTACGGCTGCGGAGAGAGCCGCTGACGCAACTCCCATCCACCCCACTGACCCCACCTTTCTAGCGATTGGGGCTCTCGAGGCTAATCGCTTGCCGGACTTTGCTCACAAGTGCATGGAGCAATTGGCCCTCGTCAAAGCCAAACGATTAGGAGTCCTTCGCTGTAGTCAATGACACGTACATTTTATGGTAATCTCAACTTCAACCGCGCATCACATCGAAAGTTGACATTTCAATACATCACGTCAAGTTGCGGACTGCACAACCGCACCCCTCAACAGTCAGCAATATAGAAAGTACAGCACACTAGACCGGGTACTCTTGAACTAGGTTTACGTCATTCTCATTTCGGATTTTTGGTTACAAACCTCATGCTCTGTTGGACGATCAATGTGGGGTAAGAAACTCTAAACCTTAGACTCTATCCTTAGGCCCCCATTCCTCTGACTGGAAACCCCTACGGAACTTGGCACTTCACTGTTAAAACTTGATAGAAAAACATTTAAGTTGCATCTCACTTTAAAGCTTCCCCTCAAAAGAGCTCAAGTAAGCTGGGTGAAAAGTTAGATCCGCACTACCTGACCTGATTCAGACATCTTGAGGCTCTTGATGAGTTCTCGATGGCCTTGTTACTCCGCAAGGTTCGTAACCTATGTCATATCACCGGATGATTTTCCTCCTATGTACATGTCCAACTTTAAATCCCCATCCTATGTCTATCTTTGTCACTTCATTCAAGGCAAGTAAGTAAGTGGCTAGGAGATGGGAAGATAATAAGATAGCGGGATAAACACACTAGTTGGTGGCCGGACAGCGCCATGATATCCTAAAATCTTACATACAGGCGGTACAGTTCGTTGGGGGTGTTTCGGCAGGGTGCAATGTTCTAATCGCCGAACTGGGAGACTGAAGTCAGCGAGAAATCTGCCTTTGAAGCGTCAAGCTAGATTCAGGAAGATTCAGTCACCGCTGGTCTGGAGCGTGTCAACAACTGTGGGGGAGGAAATGTCGCTGGCGCCATTTTTCTGTAAATAGCTTTTAAGCCCCAGCACCTCTTATTTACAGTCCACACTTGCCCGTAAACTCCTCCGTTTTTTATCCATGCTGCTCTCGAAATTGGGACGTATTTGCCTGAAGCCATTCGGCGGGCAGAGTTCAACCAACTGCGAGATATATATCTCTAGACTAGTCGTCTTTTCCATGATTTCAATTAGTAACTAAATCGTGTGTTTCAATTGAAAATGTTCGAATACTTGACAGTATCCTCTGGATGACAACAAAATGGGCTTCGAAAACATTTGGCCAGTTAGGAAGTCCTCAAGCTCTTGATGTCGGGGACTCCCAATCAGCGCAATCAGGACACATCAAGGGCCCAATAATTTGGCTGTTTAGGGCGACCAACGCAATTATGGCAGTCTCTGGTGCAGGCTTTCTAGACAGGCAGTGCAGCGCAAATTTGTCACGATCTCCCTCTTTTTATCTTCGCTTCCGATAGGCGAGGCCAGGGCTCCTGCTTTCCGAACCACATCAAGGAGTTCTTGCCGTAGTTGCTTCAAAACTTTGCTTGCCATCAGGTCCTAATCGCTGCATAATTGTAACTTGAAATCCATACCCCCTTAATCCAGGATCAAAGTCTTCCTGCCCCACCCTAGCCACAATTAGATGCATTCCGCATCGTGAAGAATATAGACCCCAGCACCAAATCAATTCCCCAGTAACTTTTCTAATGTGAAAAGTTCTCAAACCTCCGCTTGAAGTAAGTAATTTTTCCAAACTCTAATTCTGCGAGACTGCTTCCACGCATGCCGCATCGCGGGCTTCCCATCCCGACCTCTCTGCTCCATCCACCTCCGCTCCGTGCCTCATGACCTTTTCAATGAGGCATTAAAGCTCTCCAAATCTCCTTTATGGCCCGAAAACAACACAGAAGTCTCACTCCGCATCCCATACAAAATAGCACAAGACCACACGGCCATAATAGAGACCGAAAGCCGAGGTCACCAATCTTCACTCGGCCGAAGAATCGGTTCGAGCGGCCCCTACCCTGCCAAGCACCCAGTGCCGGAGGCCGATGTACTCCGGTATGCGAAGGAAAATATCCATATTCGTCCACACGCATGCACTGGTAGGACTTTCCGAGTTCGGATGTTGTTGTTTGGCGCTCAGTCAATTATTATGTCATTGATGTCACGAGGGAGAGGTGTGATAGGTGAGGGGCCGGAAATCTCTCGGTATGTGGATGTGGGGTCAGGGGTTGACAATGCATTGTCAGCCGGTGGCTTGCAGCGATATTGCAAAAATATCAGAACTTTGTTATTCATTCCTTAGGAAAGCTGGGAAATGAAGAAGGTTTCGATATTCAATGACGTGGGCGGCGATGGAATCGCGTTTTTGGTCGGGGAAATAAGGGGATGAAAAAGACACGGAAGTTGAGTAAACATTTGCCTTCTGAGCTTCTTCATCGGGATAATATTCGAAAGGGGCCAAGATACGGTGTACCTTTAACGGCTAGTGAAGTAGCCTCGGTATAGGGGCTTCAATTAATTAAACGGGCACGAAGATTAGTTTCTGTTGAATTCATGCCTCGATGTCTGGAGCATCTAGACTTATGCAGCCTCTTCTCTTGGGCGTATATATATACAATATTCGGTGTGGATAGGTGAAGTAGACATTTGTAAACTGTCTCAGAGGGACACCAAAGAGTAGTGTGCGATTTCTTAAGGCACTGGTAGAGAAGTTTACCGTCGACGAAGCGTCAACAAGATAAGATCACTTGCTTTGGTCATAAGATCTTACCACGAAGTTGAAGTACGTTTCCAAACTTAGACATGTGAATAGTTCCACAATTTTGGTTATATCAAAATCTTGTAGTTGCTAGAAATAACTTGAACGTTCAGACCCCCGAATTTTGAATGTAAATAAACTTCTTCAAAAATGCTGCCTCCCGCCTCAGACGACTGAAGAAAGCAGATAGTTCCCTCTGGCGCCTTGTATCATATCCACCCGCCATCGCAAAACTTTTGCTGAGGATCGTGAGGAGTAATATAATCAATTGGCACATTACTGCGGCGTTCCACGAAGGTCTCCACCTCATGCGCCAATTCGTCATGTATTCCCCAGACGGCTGCGGTGGAGCAATGTGAATGTTATAAGCGTTCCCCAGATCTATATACCAAGCAGCTGTCCACAAATATAACGCTCCAAAAGTGCTCGGATCAACTTTCCAACAATGATCCCATAGTTGTCCCACGTAATCATCCATTGAAATAGCCGCGATGCCAGTGACTGCAGAGACGCGCGGCGAGGGCCAGCTCTGGTCCGTTTCTTCCACTGGATACAACAGTGATTCGTACTTGCTTTCCTCCAAACCAGGTGGTTCCAAGATCTTGTAAACGTAGAGCACAGCCCGTTTGAATCCCTCGAGACTTTTCTCACCTCCAATGACCTCCGTTCATGGGACTCTCTCAAATGGCACTGCACCAATACGGTTCCCATGCTGTACTTCTGGACTGCGTTATGCAATCTTTGATTGAGCTGCCACCTTCTCTCAAACACAAGTCTCTCCCAGTCCTGGATCCGGCATCTTGTGGGTCATTGCCGATCCCGTTGCGGAGAGTCTGTTCTTGCATCATTTCTCGTTGGTCGCTTGAGACAAGAACAGGAACAGTCCAATTGTCAAACAAATATATCCTATTTCTTCGTCAAAGATGGCAGTGACCAGAAGAGTTTGACTTTTGCTATAAGTGTAGGAGTGCCATTACAATTTCCCTCTCGATCAGACTCTTGCCATTCAACCTTCCGCACCTGATCTTCTCAAGTCTGAGGGTTTCATTATCCTCCGTCCCTTAATAAAGCCATGTTTCCAATTCCTCCAGCTAATGATTTTGGTCTTGATCACTCACGGCAACAGTTTCAGTTCGAGCGAGGACAGCTTTGTTCATTGCCGCTCGACATGCCTCAAAATTCCACTTCTCAGGATCCAGTTACTCCAGGTCAGCAAGATCTGTAGCGAGAATATTGTGTTCAGACAACGCCTTGTTCGAAAAAAACGGCATCAAAGACAAAGCCTTTATTCAGAGGAACATAGACCAGACAAGTGTCCACCGGGCTTGCAATCGGGATTCTGATGTTATCCATTTCACAGATATGAGCTACTTGAAGGAGGCATTCGGCTTCGGATATCACGCGGGCGAAGCAAGGAAGTGCAACTATATTCAGGGTTGCAAGTGCTCATATAGGTGCCGATAGTGGTCAAGAACATGGGCGAGCATATTACCACAATGAGAATGTAGATGAGGAAACTCCGTCTCCAGGGTATCAGCTTGATGATTTTTTTCCAAGAGTGTGTAATAAATCAGGTTCCTGAAACAGTTGCAGATGTAGGCGGTTGGCCACCAGATGAACATGCCAAGTGGAATCCAGGGAAAGAAAACTAAGTGCCCGAGGCAAGCCCAGTGTGTTCCCGTGTTTCGACAAGGTGTCTCGTTTGAATCGCGGAAGGCGAAGATGAACACCTGCAAGGTCCAGATGGCGGTGGTAAATCCTAGAAGAATTCACATTTGCACGTGTGTGGAATGAAGGAAACGAGTGACTCAAGCCAGAGATGTGCAGATGAAATTTTCATGAGGAGATTGAGGACAATGCAAGCAATAGATGCACTAATAATCAGATTCTGTTTAAAGCCATCACCCCCATCAGATTGAGTTAGTTATGTCGTATTACGAGCTAGGAGGGGATGGCTACGGGCATATGATGGTAGCTCCAGCAGCAAGCTGGACCTATTTGAAGTTCAACAAGGAATATATACAGAAGAAGCGGTAATGCTTATAGTAGATAATGCATTGCATGTCAAAGCAAGTAAATCATAGATTAGCAGTGAATATTTGAAGTGCGGAAAGAAGCATCAAAGCAAAGGATGATCGTTGCCCGACGCTAGTAGGGAATCATGTGAGGGATGTTGAGCTGAAAGCGTTGAATCTGTCAAAAAAGAACAGATGGTGCGATATTTCAGAACCAGAACCTTATTACCCGATTCTCGCATGGTTGCTCTCAAATGGTGTCACTCGACTAGAAAAAAGGAAAATGGGCTTTTACGGCTTGCTCAATTTAGTAACGGTTCAATGCACACAGGCTTGGCAAAAATACTTTTGGTACCGATAAGGTATTAATACTGGATGGTATTACTTAGGTATCGCAAGGATCAATACGTATCGATACCGAATTAATACTTAGCCTTAAATTATCTCTTCCATTTATTATTTAATTTATATAATAATATAGTTATATATGATTTCTTTATTTTCTAGTCTTTCTATTAAAGGAATTACTTAATATTATTAATAAAAGTTAATATTATCTTAATTTTAAAATAGCTCTCGTATTCGGAAAATTTAGTATTATTCGTACCTCTTATCGGAATGCTTATTATAAGCGAGCCTCACGAAAATCTCAAAAGCTATTTTTTGCTTAAAATAGCCGCATTGAGACGAGTTTTAGTCTAAACTATAAGATAAGTAGCTAAATAGAAAGCCTAAATTAAGTAGAATATTTGCGCTACCAAAAACCATCTTATAAGGGAAGTGGTTCTAAAGTTAATTGCAATTAAAGTGGGGAATTGGGTTCCGGGAATCGATAGGAATCGATACTTTATCGATAGTATCGATACCTTACGATTCTGGCATCGATACCTATCGATACCAGAAATTAGGTATTTCTGCCAAGCCTGAATGCACATGGGTCCTGATTTAAAAAGTCTTCCGGTTTATGGACTGACAAATGCATCCACCTCCCGAAAAGTAAAAACAAGCATTTAGAGTCTGGATTTTTCGAGGGCGGTATCAAGCACTTAATCTACTTTTTCATAGACAGTGAAGTTTGTGAGATTAAATAGGGTGCAATAAGCAAAAAGGTCAGCTGTGTGCTCGAGACATTGAACCACATTAGACAGGGACTGCGCAAAGGAATGCAAGTGTCAGGGAATGGGAAATTCATTTCTGCAACTCTATGACTCTGCAAACCTCTGTTTTGTTCTCACTAGTTCACTTGTTCATAGCTCGGAGATCTAGGGAGGACGGTATTTGCTTGCAGCTTAATCTTCTGTACTCAGACTGCTCTCAAGTTGCAGCCACTTTCGGACGAATTTCGTCTTATCTCTAAATAGTGACTACTAAGTTTTAGGCGTTTTAGACGACTGTGGCATCAAACTTCCATGCTAACATATAGGTGCTTTCTTGGGTATAGATCTGTAGGGTAGAACGCACTTCAATCTTCAAGTCAGGGAACACCTTCTTAAGGAACTCACTAGAAGTCACTTTGGGGATCGCACCAGTTCTTATATAAACCAAAGAATGTCAAGTCCAATAGAATAAGGAAACACATGAAATGTGCTTTAATCAAGTGACTCGATCCACCTCCTTCAAATTTATAATAGATACTAGAACAAGGAACTCGATTGCTTAAATACTTACTCTTATAAGACTAGAAACTCTGCTCATGCCATTAGAATCTATAAAATAAGGTTTTCATAGTACTCTATTTGTTCAAGGGACCTTGGGACATTATCAGAGTAAGTGAAGGTGAACGAAAGCATTGGCTTTGCAAACACGTATAAGATCTTGCTTTAGCCCTTGTTTAAACGCTTTACAAGCAAATCCACGTCTTAACTGACTTAGATGGCTTGCTTAACTCACACTAGGTCCCTGCACCTAAATCAAAGTGAGAACGTCACTAGGACCAGATAGTTAAGAGAAGCCCACTCAAGCCAGACGCCGAAGCCTGCCCTTTATCGCAGGTTCGTCCTATGTCCTTAGCACTGTTACTCAATAAAAGCTTTCGGATGAACTTCGTCTGATTATTTGCAGCTCCTTTAACAAAACCCTTGGGAAGTCATTATTATTATTTGTTCTCTTCCTTCCTCACGTAGTAGGGCTGAAGACGAAGCCAGCCTGAACCAATTTCGAGAATGAGCTTGATTTGCGGCGACTGGACTTTCTCAGAATCGAGGCCATCGGACCCTCAATCGGCGGGACATATCTTGTGCACGAGAAGAGCTATGTCACCTTGTAATTATGGCAAGGAAATCGGGCGGGGGGCGGGGACCACTACCGGTTCTAGACATTGGCTAGGATGACTTCGTGCTCCAAGTGGGTTTTGGAGGGTGTGTTTGAGAATCAGTGTGCGGATTTTTTCACGAATACAACTTGACTAACAAAATTTATAGTAGTTGGTATACTTAGTAAATGGAGCCTAGCAAGGATGATAGAGAATGCCGGGAGCTGTATTTGAACCAGCATTCTTCCTCCCGTTTCACTCTCCATCACTCTGCGCCTCTCAATATCAAGAAGGGAGAATGGTGTCCTGATGAACGGGCCTGCTACCCCAGACGATGGTCAGGCATACTTAAAGGCTACCGCGGTGAAGTTGCCAAGGACAAAACAGATAGCAACACAGAGAAGGCAGGTACTTGTGGTGCTTGTGTTGGGATTAACATTGTTGTCATGCAGTCGACACTTTCGGACGGCTATTCAGGTACTCTGGGCTGTTGCAGTGAGAAGCGGTGATGCTGAAGTGATGTGTCGCATGTGCGGCACTAGATAGTGAAGTTGGGATGACAGTGGCGATTACATTGACAACAACAAGAATCAGTGAACCTTAACTCCGAGATTAGAAAGCTTACTAGGCGGTGCTGAGATTGATTGTTGAAGCAGAGTGTCAGAAACCCTGGAAGCAATTGGTCGTTAAGGGCATGAAGGAAAAAACACTGTGGATCGCAGACAGCCGCTTGGTAACTGACGAGTTGAAGACGAAAGAATGGTAGGGTATAACATGGGAATTGCGCCCTCTTTTATAGGAATTGTGGCAGAGAAGCTCGCAATCCATGAAGCGCAAAGAGGATCAAATTGACTCTAGTGACTAGTATTCATTGCTTAAGTAAGTGATCTGAAGTACATTTGCAAGAAATTTGCTGTATAAATCCCCACTTGGGTGGTGCATCAAAAAGAAAGTAACAGTATCGTTGAAAGAGTAGGAAGTAAAAAAAGTAGCAGAACAAAAGGAATTTAAAAACAATGGTATTCATTTTAAGCAGAGAGATAGCTGCCCCTCTAATCACTATCTAAAACCACAACCTCGGCTTCAGCCTCACCAATGCTCTCAAAGCTCAACACATCCCCAGCATTGACATTGCTAACAAAAGCTCCGTCACCCTCCCCGATGACCGCATCCTCTCTTCCATCAAGTCTGATCTTTGCATTTCCATTCTTCGTCATCGGCACATGAATATAAACATTCCTGCCCGTAGTCTTCTTGACGGCATCAGCGCCTACAGTCCACTTGAATCGCTTATCCACGCCAATTATGCCTGCTCCCATGACGAAATCTGCGTGAATGGGTATCGTGTTTTCTAATGTTGGTTCTGCGGCCTTCTCTTCTGCTTCTGATGCGCCTGGGCCGGCTTTCAGGGGTGAAAGGATTGGGAGGAAAGCAGAGCGCTTTGCTTCTTCGGAGAAAGTCTTGGTGTGATATCGTGGTGTGAGGCCTCTGGACCATGGCAGAGCCCAGATTTGTAGAAAATGGACCTCTTCATCAGATTCGTTTTGTTCTGAGTGTGCGATACCTGTTAAGAATAAGTTAGTATTCGCCTGACAAGAAGGGGAATTGGGGAAGGTAGACATACCCCTTCCACCAGTGGTGAATTGGACATCGTTCCTCTTCATTCGGAAGAAATCATCTCCTTGTGTGCCCTCGGAACCCTTTTTGATCATACTGTCCCGATGTGTCAACTCGCCATTAAGGATGTAGCTGAAGATTTCGGCATCACGGTGAGGATGTGTTGGGAAGCCGGAGCCGCCTGCGACTCTGTCCTCATTGAGGACCCGCAGAGAGCCAAAATTTTGAAACTTGGGATCGTAATAGCCTGCGAACGAGAATGTGTGGTAGGAGTTGAGCCAGCCGTGATCCGCGTGGCCGCGCTCTGTGGAGCGTCGAGGGACGATCTTTGCGTGAGAGAGGGCTTTAGACATGGTATTCTTGATTGTGTTGACAGCTGTCATAGGGGTTTCGATTGATGACGACGTTTTGGAGGTGTTAACGGTGTTCGTTGCTGTGGATTTGTAGGTAGTTATGTTGTTGAAGAGCTCTTGGAGCGGGGTTCTGAAGATCAGTGAAATTGATGCAATGAAAATGGCTGTAAGAATGAAGAAGAGCTTCATTTATAGATTTAGGGAACAAGATCCGAGAACATTGGAGAGGATTGGAGAAGGAGAAATCGTTACGTGTGAATTGGAAACGATTACTGGATGCTTTGTGTGTTTACCGATGATTTGGAGCTTGCTTGGTGGAGAATTGCGATGCTGATTCAGTTCATCAGTCAGCACTTAGCAGAGGTTCTAGCCCCGCCTACTTTCCATTTGGGGTTAGCTCTTCCGAGATTTGTCACATGACTAAGTCCCTCTTTACTTTCTTGGCAGCACCAACTTTCTTCCTTCAATTGCAAAAATATCATGGTGCGCTTAAAACTGTGCCGCATCGTATCCACTATGGCCAAGACTCTGATTGAATTCCACTCAGGTCCTCACCTGGAGACAAGTCGTCTTTCGGGGTGTTTCCCAAGCTCTCGGGCCTCAAATATGGGGAAGTTTTTCCAAGCAAGTTGGTGGTATTCTCTTTGGGTTGCCCTTGATACTAAGTGTGGAATGTTTTTGCATTTCTCAGCTCTTTCAATGCTAGAATCTTCGACGATTTATTCTTCCCGGAGGAAGTAAAAATGCCATCGGCGAAATCGCGGTGGAACATTCATCATCGAACGAGGGTTTAGCTGCAACAGTCCCCTGTGGGGTGCTTCATGCTCGGCGACTTCATCTTCAGATCAGCGCACCCAGCATATCTCCTTACATCAAGATGTTGCCACGATGCCAACGGACAATATACTTGCGGATATACCGACAGATCAACTGGTACTCAAGCTTTCGCAAGAGCTTGCCGCTCGTGTGAGAAATTGGAGAAAAGGGGGGAGACTGTGGAACAATGGAATTCCTCATTGAAAGAATATCAGGCCATTGGCTCCCCAGAAAATCCTGTCGCCAACACCACCCAGCCAAGCGCCACAAGCTCTGCGTCCGAAGGAAGTGAAGCTAAGGATGAGGGTTCTATTGCAGGGTATGTGGAGGTCTACTAGCGAGCTCAAGCGACTACATCGAGATTCCATATGGATACCTCCTCGATGGTGAGGCGCCCTCCAAAGACGCACGCTTGGTGAGCATCAAAGACAAGCAAATGCCCTATAACTCAGTGATCTAGCTCGTTTCACCGCAGTACAGGGATTGGGCATTGCTGGCATACCAGCTAATGGTCGCTTTCCCTTCCGGAATTTTTGGTCATCAAGTCATTTACAAGATCTGAATTAAGGCATTGCAGCTGTTGGTCAGATCCATAAGCCCGGGAGTAGAATTGAGGTGCTGGATTTCGATCCTGAAGGCGGATGCACTGAGTATGGGACTTTGCCACCCCATCGTTGAAAACCATAAGCCCTTTCAGGTAAAAGCGCCTTCTTTTAAGTTCAACTCCAGAGACGGCTACTCGGAACCCTTAAGTTGATTCATGTAAGCATTGATCGCGTATGATGTTTCAGTATGCTGATATAGAACAGCATCATTGATGGTTACAGTGTGATTGGGCCATTTTCCAACGCATCTGGTAATGCCCCGTTCTTTGTTAGCGAATTATTCAATTGCGGTACTGGGATGCATCTGCTCCCACAGTAATCTTCTTCTGAAATGCGACTCGAGACAGCGAGACACCGGAACCACCACATCCACCACTTGTTCCATCTTGCATCGTATGAGGTTCCTAAACGCAATGTGGGGTTAGCTTCATGGAAGAAAGACAATGCTCGGGGCCGACCAGCAACTTGTCTCTCTCAAATTGCCCTCACGGTATGCACCAGTCGTTCTTTTCGGAGTACTAAACCCCTCACTTACGTCTACGAATAGATTGAAGTGTTTCCTGACATTTTGCAAGAATACTGGACCATTTTGGTACTACCTCCCCCCTTTCGTGATACTTCGATATTGCAGAACCTTTTATTCACAATAGAGATGAACATTCCAAAGTCACGTTTGGTGCTCACGATGGCCCAATTAATCTGTACCACCCTTAACGAAGCGTGTATTGGATGGAAGACTTTGCATGGACACATTGATGAGCTACTAGGCATAGGCGACGAGATATTTTGATATCGAAGCTCACGATAATTTGGTCTTCGATGATCTCTATTCTCGTCTACGAAAGTATTTCTGGGTGATTAATTGATTGAACGAGTCCGAAAACGAACTTGGGCGCAACATTCGGGCTTGGATCATATACCGAGATGATGCGCTTTGGCTAGGACGCTAGGCACTGCTAGAAGCGGGCAATCATTTGGTTAAGGAGGGATTGAATGACGCCACTCGAGAATGCGATGAGTCGCAGGCGAAGCTGGAAAAGTTGAAGGAGCAGCTCGGAGAGCAAAGAACGAGAGCAGCGGCGCTCCGGGATGGGGTCTGTCTTCCTAATCATGGGCTAAGAATCTTCTTCTGACTATTCCAGTTATTCTCCGCAAGCGCCGTCATGGAACCTCGAGCATCAACACTGCTTGGACAGAATGTGAAGCTCTTGACATACGTCAGCATCTTCTACTTGCCACTGGTATTCTGCGCGATACGGATTTTCCCTATAAGCCCAACTTTTTCTCTCCGATTTTCGCATTACGCGAATGCCTCCAAACAGTCCATCTGGAGCACCTCCGACACATTTGGCTATCCCAACCTCGTCTGCACCATGGTCAACATCGGGGTTCCCAATTAACCAAGTGTGCTATCGATCCACGACCATCGAAGTTGGTCCGGGGAATGCCTGCGCTGGCTGAGCTAACGGGCGAGTCAGTAATTACTCCACAGAGATTGTCCTAGGAGATTAAGGCACTTGGTCTTTACCTCGAAGAGGAACCAAAAGACTGGCCGGAACTGGAAATGTATTTGTATTTTATTGTCACGTATCGCCTGGCTTTTTTCAAGTTCCTTGTAGAACGCTTCTTGTGCTTGATTGATTGCTTCGATCTCCGAATTTACCCATGATTTTATGGTATAATGTGAGCCGTAAAGGAGGAAAGCAATGGAAGGAGAGTTTGTTTACGCGATCTGGATTTCTGAACGTGACCATACACGTGACCTTGGAGCTAATGGATAGTCCCTCTCTTCCCAACCTCTCCACCCGACCGATCACCAAACGCACAATAAGATATGCCCTGCCTTGCATTGCGACCTCGATCCTGCCAGATGCCGCCCTCTGAAGGATAAATACCGGCTCAATGGTCCGTAAGCCTTGAAGCGGGCGTATTGCCCGCATTCTGCGACTTCCCCCGCCGATAAGGCTACCGATCGGGCCCTCATTGCTACGGCTTATTCCTGAGCATTTTTTGCGGGGTATAAAGTGCCTTTATTCTATCTCCTGGACCGGCCCGCCATCGTCCAGCACCTCAGAGGGCGATGAAGATTACTCAGGTATATTTGAATTAAGAAATGCGAGAACCTCGCTGATAGGCCTCCAGCTCCACATCTACCCCATTAAGTCCCTTCGGGGCATCTCCCTCCCCACCGCAACCTTCTGCGCGCAAGGCCTAGCCTACGATCGACGATACATCCTCCTCAAGCCGTCTGCCAATGGCACCTACAGGAACATGTTCGTCGGCGAGATACCGGAGATGGCCCTCTTCCACTGCAAGCTCTCCACTTTGACCGAGAACCCATGGAGTCACTTCACAGTCGACTACCATCCACCAAGTCCTCCCACCTCTGGTCAAAACAGTCCAATCGAAATCCCTTTCTCTCCCAATCTCGACTCCTCCGAGAGGATCAATATCGAAATACACACAGACCCCACCTATCCGACCTACCGCATGCCTGACGAGATGAACAACTGGTTCAGCGAGTGCTTCGGGTACCCTGTCATTCTCGCATACCTTGGTGATGGGCTCGGCATAAATATGGAGAACGAGAAAGCGAAGAGCTGGATAACTTCCATTAAGCCCTTGATACCCAAGCCAGACTCCGATATCAACTTCTCCGATAGTGCTGCACTACTACTATCTTCGGAATCCTCCCTTGAAGATCTACACCCCCGTCTTGGAGGTGAGAAAGCTGTTCTCGAGAAGTTTCGCCCCAATATAGTGGTCGATGGAGAGGGGAAAGCGTGGGACGAGGATTTCTGGGGCGAGGTGAAGATTGTAAGAAATGGTTTGAATATCGTACTCACATCCAACTGCGCGAGATGTACGAGCATCAATGTGGATTTGGATCGCGGAAAAATGGGAGAAGGCGAAAGCGGAAGCTTGCTAAAGAAGATGATGAGAGATCGACGAATCGATCCAGGTCACAAATGGACTCCCATCTTTGGGCGGTACGGCTTCCCAACGCAAGGAGGTGAGATCAGAGTTGGCGACAAAGTGGTTGTCAGTCGGAGAAACAAGGAACATACTGTCTGGAGTGAGTGGTACTGTACAGACAATCCTTCTTTTGCTAACAACGATAGATGGAGTGATGCCTAGGCTGACACATGTCGACGAAATCACAGTGTAACAAAAGCCAGCCCAAGCTTACCTCCGATCCTGCGCCTAAGTTTGCCCTTTTACCACGTATCTGGAACCCAACAACGGCTGCCCGACAATCGGCATAGAAGCCGGGCGGAAGCAACAAATCAACACAGAACCGCGAGGCTGAGTCTCCCGTGCCGTGGCAATGCCAGCTGTCACGGCACACTACATGCCATCACATACATCTGCCGTGTCCCTCTCCAAACTCCCGGAACCATTTCTGCTCCAGTTCTACTTCAGATTACCCCATCCTATCCACTTTTCTAGCTCAATTTCTCAAACCGGCAGGTGACACAGCAATCGCCAACAGCCTTACAAGCGGGACCTGGCAGCTAGGGCCCTGCTTGGCTTAGGCACGGTTACACCACATATCGTTGGGGTTTGTCATTCAAGCGAAAAGGCGCCACACATATACATGAATATATATGTAAGGCATCGCTGTGTTTGGGAATATGTGGTGAAACACCACTTTTCCCAACAGTTTGCAATTTCAATGTGTTGAATAACAGGAGAGATGCGGTTCCACGTATTTCGTGGCCTGATCGATATTGGTATTTGATGTGGTGTAGTGAGTGTGGAGTTTGCCGTTTTGATCCTGGACAGCAAGCTGCTGTGGGAAGTTGAACAGACTCCCCTTAATCCGAAGCTAGGATGGAATTCCAAATACGGAGTGGTCTGATTATTGAAGCGAGAGAATTTGTTGATTGTCTTGTTGGCAGGGCTGGCTTCCCCGCTGGTGGCCTGGACATTTCCCCTCCTCTCCTCGGCAATTTCGTAAGCTCCGAGCAGGGAGGGGTAACACAGTTCAAAGTTCAAAGTTCAAAGTACCAGTACCTCGAAACACATCTCTCAAATTCAAATCCATTCATCCATTACTTCGCCCTCGCCCCATCCTCTCTCTAAAATCACAAACGCCAATCCCATCCCTTCTTAACGCTCCCGCTCCCGCTCCCCTAAACTCCACAAACGGACCCGAGTACAATCTTTCAAATCTCTGCCACCTGCAACAAACACCCCAAACCCCCCCCCCCCCCGAAACGAAATCAGACGAAATGAAATTGAAAGGGAAAATGAAAAAAAAAGGACCTCCGTTACAATTTTACTTTTAGTGCGTGAGCAATCTTTCTCTGAAAATGAACAGCGTAACAAATCAATCTAGCCTCCCTCCCGCTTGAACAAACAACACCGCCTTCCCGAACTTTTTCCCCCCTTCCTTCCCTTTCCTTCCATTTCCTTAACAAACATTTCTTTCCGCCCAACCCAACTCGGCCTGGTGCAGAGCAGCCAGGTTGAGAAAACAAGAGACTTCGGTACATTTGACAGAGAGGAGTGAGTGGTGAGGGAGCATTAGTCGAGGTTGGATAGATGGGGAGGTGAGAGGAGAAGTAAATTCGTGACATTCGTGAAAATGGGCAGGTGCTTTTCCTTCGCTTTCGTTCGAGGTACAGTGGTGGTGGGATTTGGTGTGGAGCATCGTTCAATTCAGTCGCCTCGCTTCTCTCTCGTCCAAACTCAATACACCATGACTTTTCCTTTCTTTCCCACAAGCCAAGTAGTTTGACGTAAGCAAAAGTTTAGTGGTAGTGGCCGAGTGAATTTGCTTTTGCGATAGGGGGGGGGCTTGAGCGAGGGCGATAGGCTTGCTTGCTGATGTCAGCGGCGTGAGCTGGTGAATTGAAACGGGAAGAAACTTGGGATCGACGTAAGGATGCCCAGACGAAAGAAGCGGGAGCAGAGGGCGTTCTGACCCCTGGTGTCTGGGACAAGGCAAGACCGAGGGTCGCCGGGCCGGGATGGTGGTTTGGGAGTTCTTGGGATGTGTTGGAAATAAAGTCCTTGCTTTGGGGGTGGGTGCGTGGGGGGCAGGTGGAGTGGGGGTCGAGGTTGGTTTGATAGATCGAACGATGAACGAACTAAAAATAACGAAACTTACAAGAAAGCGATGGAACGAAAGGCGGTGACGGTCGTGCTAGACTTTGTTCGTGCAAGGGCGACAGGTCTTGAGTTTGCAGTATTTGCACTCGAAGATGTACCAGTGTGGTCCGGAATGGCACATCGAGCACACCCATTGAATAAGAGTCGACTCCGACTTAAGCAGGTTGAACGAATGGTTGCAGTAACCCGGTAGAGCCATTTTCTGGGAGCTGGGAGACGGGAAATGCCGGAGGAAAAGGTGACCAGGTACGAGACAATTGCAAGAGGCAGCACGGGACGGGGTAGGCTGGGAGGTCAGCAAGAGTTCGGACGAGCTGAAGGACGAGGGTGGCTACTTACCAAGATTCGGGGGTGAGTCCGGAACGGTCTAAGAAGGACGGGATCGAAAGCTGTTGGTGGTGGTGTGGAAGTCGTTCCTCGGGTCGAAGAAGCAAAAAGCAATCTGGTGCCCGGTCCAAGAAAGTCGAAAAGGAAGAAATTGAATAATAGTGTTGAAGAAAATAGATATGTGACCAAAGATTGAGGTAAAGTGAATGTATGTGTGGCAACGATGTTTGGCCTCCGGGTGCTGCTGGTGGGCGGTCCGGGTCCCTTTATGTCGAGATCCCAAGTCTCCTCCTGTCAAGCAGCCCTTTGCTTTTCTCTTCCCTTCCGAATCGAAGATCTGATCTCGAATCCTCTAGCCGATGAATCGAAAGAGTGAGCGATTCTGTGCCTTCCCTTGAAATAAGGATGGTGATGTCGGTGCCGGGTCAAAACATAGCAAACTTAGCCCAACCAAAAGTAAACGGAAATTGATTTGATGCCTCCCTTCTTCTTACTTCTGCCTGGTGAGGTGCTGATGATGAGAATATGTACGTGGGTTTGTGTGATTGTATGTACGGATAGCAGCCGGAGTCGACGGCGGACGTATATACTTCACGGGGAACGCTGCATGGAGTGCCTGAGTGAAAACATAACTAGGACCAGGGAGGGAAGAGGAGGAATAAGATGGAGGAGAATAAAATGAGGCTTGCGAGAGGAGAGCAAGCAAGCAAGTGCTTGTGCTGGCCTGACTTGAACTAAGACCTGACAATCAACGTTTGCAACGGCTATCCCGTGGCGCGGTAGGTGGACACCAAAGTTGGTGGTCGTGTCTTTACGATGGACTGGGCAGACATGGCATGGTACTAAGCGATCAGGGGATCAAGGCTTGCCAGCGGTGATACGGAGTCAAGAGGAGTCATGGGGAGGGAGACAGCAGAGCAGGGCAGAGAGGCGAGCAGCTTGGGGGGAGAGGGGAGGGAGCAGGCATGGATGGGTTCGTGACTGGGCGGCAGGTACTCTACATGCCGCAATGTACAGGGCCAGAGCATGGCAGCGCATGGGAGAGCCGCTGAGTGGTTCTCAGACTCCCCACCTGAACCCAAGAATGGACTCCCGGTTTGCTGAGCAGCAGCCCAGTGGCCGGAGAGAAAAAAAAGTCCGCGTCGTTCGTGACAGGAAATCTTTATTTCAGCCCATATATATCCCCTATTGGGCAAATAACAGCTGTGTTCTCGGAGCCACAGGATAGATTGGGATTGCCCGTCTCGCGCGGAGTCCGGAAGGCCGTGCTAAAGGCTGTTAGTACAGTCAGTACCTACTAGCCGGTACCTTGTACTACAGACTACAGTAGCGGTACGGCACTACTTGTGACTTGCTTCAAGTTGAAGTGAGGTTTGAAGAGGGCGTGCTTTAGTGGATGTTTGCTGTGTGTTAGCCTGTGGACGATCGAAATAACGTTTAGTGGTGCACCTAGGGGCGTGCGCATGGCGTGGGCTGCTGGGTTTGGCCCTGTATCTGGTCGCCTTGCCGGCTCGTCAGGGTTTACGTAGGCCACGAATCGAACAGACAGACTGCTGAAATGAGCAGCGGCGGATGATTTGCTACGAAGCTGGGTGGGGTCCGTTGCCTTGCCATGGCCCCTTAGGATCTCACTGCCTGACTGCTTCCTCTTCTTAGACTGATTTAGGGTGGCGGATGCCGCTCCCCGTCAGATATGTACTGGGTTCGGCCTCGCAAGAGAACTTGATGACTTGGAGCTGGATATTCGGGGGCGAATTCCATGCCCGAGTAAGCAGGATATTGGATATTGAGCGCCACATAATCCATGTGGTTGTCATAGAACACATAGGCTGCCCAGTCATATTTGCCCGTCTGCCTCTAATGAAGTCTGCCTGAAGGTTTATGGGCCAAGGTGCCTAGCACGTTGGTGACACAAAGTATCCAAGTCGTCTTTCGCAGTGATGATGCGAATCGGGATCTTCCAGGTTAGGCGCGGCACACCCTTCTGCCTCGTGGCACTCGTAGGGGTGGGAGAAGCAGAGCAAGGGGGGCCCCGCTGTCAAAACTACCAGCGAGTTTGGGAACGTCAAGCCTTCAAGGGTGGTGAGGGATTGGAAACCCAACAAGGCACATCATTGAGAAGATGGCCAAGAACATATGTCTTGCCATGAACTGCAATACCCCACCACACCACGCCCCGAGTAGATGCCGATACTCTGTAAATACACGAACCAACTTCCGTCCCTCAACTGTGGCATTTTGGCGTGCGCATTCATTGACGTTGGCACCCCTCCAAGCCGTCAAGGCCGTTCTGTCAATGATGGAGGTTGACGCTGTATGGGCCGATGAATGGAGCAGCTCCAGGGTCGGCAGCCACCCCTGCGAACCCAGGGCGTGGTAGCCGGTACTGTGGCAGTCAATCACGGAGGAATACCCTAAATCGAGAGCGGCACGGCGGCGAAGATCGGTCATTCAGCTGGTTCCCTTCCCCTAGTTGCTTCTCGAACAAATGAACAATCTCCTGCGCGGTGCTCACTGCTCATCCGGGAGAATATGATGCGATGAGGTTATTGTCGGATGTTCGAGGCTTTGTGAAACTGTGGCTTCGATTCGCTTTTTCAGCCCACAGTGGAAGCATTATCACAAGAGTTTGAAAGCGTTCAATGGAGGGGTTCTGGACTTGGCAGAACTGCCCCTCCAAGTCGGCAGATTGGAGGGCTTGCCCGCTTGTCCGGATCATGCCATATCATGCCAGGCTTCAAGGCTTCAGATACTGTATCCGCATGAGATTTTCTTTCAGTCCATGGCCATGCAGCGCATCGCCGGGGAGGAAGGATCCTTGAGTCGATGAAGAAGTAAGACCCGCAGTCAAAGAACATGGCTGTCTGTCGCCGAGGATTCTTCTGGAGCGAGTGCTGAGTGAGACTTCGAAAAGGGGCTTCGCTTGGCGATCCTCGCCGTTCTCATCCGCTCTACCGACCAACAACCCAACGGCCGGAACTCTTCCAGTTCGCTTCTTTTGCCCTCTAAAAAGTCGAAACACGCCTGCTGAGCCTCTTCAATGCGTCCCTCCCTCCCCGTGGAACCTTTATTGCGGAGTCAATACGACGCTGAAGTTGTCAGATATGCGGTTCGTGCTCACACCATCACAAGCCCTCATCTTCAACCACCACACCACCCCACCGGCTTTCACTAATGCAGCCCGGTCCCAAAAGGGGTGTCCCATGCGGCACGAATAGGCGATAAATCCCCGACGCAACTGCATGCCACCGCTTTGGGTGGTGTGCACGGGCTGGTGTGGTGCCGCCTGCTTGACCAGAGAGACGCAGTTTCATGAACTTCTTGACTCAGATTCGTTCTGCACCGAACCTTCGATCACACCAAGAAGTGGAGGAAGACGCCCGAGTCCATCGAGCCTCCCATGCAGCCCGTCTGTTCGCCAGGGTGCGAATCTCTTGAGCCGCGCAAGTCCGCGTACCATGTCTCCTCGACTTCCACCAACGGCGTCCATCACTGCCCGAAAACGGAAGAACTCCACCAGATGTCCAGTTTCAGTACGCTCTTCACCGCCTGTAAGGTCCGCAATCTTGCAGCGGTACCTACCTTAGCTCACCCAGTCATGGCTCTCCTCGTGCACAATAACCAACACTTTAGCCCTGAAGGCACATGTTCCAGCCTCCAACTCCAACAGAAGAAAGGAACCTGCATCTCCCAAATTTAGAACAAACCCACATTTCTAATTCCCATATGGAAGACTAGGAAGTGCTCCCCGGGGGTTACGTAAGCTGGCTGTTTGTGGATGCACGCTGATGCTTCTGGAAGTCGGTCAGTGAGACATTCTGAAAGGCGCATTCGCCATCCGGTAACCGCCAACCGCCATCCACACACAGCCTTTAAACGCACATCCGCGGGCACACTTCACACCGTCACTTAAAAATATCGTATTCAAACAGAACCTGCGAAGCGCCGGGATCAATCCCATTCGCCGTCTCATTCACGGTTCAATCGGTATTGAGCAACCGTGCTCACCTCTCCATTCTCATCAGGATTCCACAGGATTGACCAGGAAGCCACAGGTCAATGTACTTCCTTTCGTTGTCACCTTCCCTTTCGATTCTCTCTCACTCGCAAACTCTCCACAAACCTTGATGCCAGCCGCTGGCCCATAGCCGCAGCGAATTGAATACTTGCCCGCGGAAAGGCAAGCGAAAGAAGTGACCTGTTTGGATGCTGAGCCCATCCCTGTCCCTGACCATGCGGCATGGCATGGCAGACATGTGGTGCATCCTGTCTGAATCCAAACCTTAAAAACGTACATCTTCACCTCCGGCATCAATCTTGCCCGCATCCGCCTTGTCGGTCGAACTCGGTGAAATAGAAAAAGCCGTGTGGTATGGAGGGAGGGATGAGAGCACAACCGAAACCGGCATCCCGGGTCGGCGAGGGGAACGCCTCCGGCATTTGCATTCGGATATGTGCTGACGTTGTCAAGATGTTCTGAGGCCGTGTTCCTGGTCCTGGTCGAATCTTCCAACCTCTTTGCGGGGAATACCCAGATGATGGCTTTTATTGGCCGCTGTGGCTTTTTGTCTGTCAGGGATCAAGCCTTCAGGCAGGTCAGGTACTTTCTATCAAGTACCGAGACTCAGAGTGTAGTCTCTGTTTTCTATTCATGGATTCATGTCAAGTAAGTGTCAGAGACGTCAAGAGGCGTCATCAATAGTCCGAGATGAAGGACATTAAAGCCAAGCTGCTCTTTTACTCTTCCCCGGAGGTATTCAGCTCCTGCAATTTACTGCAACATGACATTTCGGGAATTCTCCTGGAAGCCAAAGTTTCAGTCTTTATCCCCTAGTTCCGAGATGCCTCAATTCCTTCTCCACAGAGATTGGAACAAACATGAATCCGCTTCCTCGTTGAATTTCATCTCACCCCCTCCAGTCTTACAAATTTCCGGAGAAAGCCCTTTATACCCGGGTCTCTCTCGGTCTTGCGAGTCTTCCCAAAGGCCCGAGAGGCATGACAACTTTTCACCCTGCCGAGCACACTTCCCCTCTTCTCCGCCGAGATGGAAATCCCCATCCCCTCTTTCCCCTTTCCTTTTTCCTCTCTGCCCGCCCGAACGTTTGGCCGAGAAGTTCACCCACCATCTCACTCACTCACCACCAGGCTCCTCTTCCCCTCCCGGATGAAGTTCTGCTATCGATTTTCCTGACAACGAAGATGACATCTCGACGTTCTCCTATTGATTACTAACCATACCCACCAAGACACGACCTGTCACCCCCTCAAACGCCACGATATCACATCGCAAATCCGGGGTGCCAAGACAACGAACTCTAACCCAAACTGGAACCCCGCACCCCATCATAGTACCCACCTTTTAGACACGAAAAAAAGGATGTGATAAGATCGCTCACATCCTACCATCTCTAGTGAACGGGTGAAGGCTCCGACTTGCTCGACTCCAATTTCGGAATCTCGGGCCACTATCACAATAATTTGGAATATGCTTACCTCCAATTTCGAAATCTCGGCTCCATCATTAGAATATTCGAAATAACGAGAGCACAAGAAATCAGGCTCTCAAGATTCGCCAAGAAATAGTCGTATGATTCGATTTCCTTGATTCTAATCTAGCTCTAAAAGTCATAAACTCTATCTGCTCTGCCGGCCGTGCTGTGATCACAAGCCTCTTCTCTGTAAACCCCGTCTGTTTCCCCTATGAATCCCCATCTAAGCACTAATCCCTTTCCATGCCGAGCGTGCCCTCACCCGATCTTGCTGTTCCCAGTTTGCCCAGTTTGTGAAAAAACGAAAAAAACCAGCTCACAACCCCGGCATCCCTACCCGGCCCACAGGCTCGAAACTGACACATCGCATTCATTCCCCCCTCCAAAACTACACGAGCAAATTGCATGCTGATCGGCGGTGAGCAGCTGAGCGGCGTTGCCAAATGCCACGATTCGCAAATCCAAGTCCCAGCTCCCCGCCCCTCGGGCCCGCATCCGCGTGGGCGCAACAAGGCACGCATGCGAACATGCGGTGAGTTGGGGGTCCCCAGTGGGGGTCAAACGGTACCCCCCATTTTCTTGATGAAGTAAAATCAAGAGGATCGCGAGTCTGGCGTCGGCGGCACAGTCGAGTTTTCGTCGTGCTGCTGCTGCTTCTCTGGCTCGGGAGAAAGCAGATTATTGTGTACGACTTCAGCATCTGCCTCTGGCTGTCCGAGCTCTGGTGGATGATGGAGTGTTCCAATTCCTTCGTGTGATGCTACTCCTTCTGTGTGGGTTGCAGCCGTTTCCTCACGGTCGACTTCATCTTTCTTATGGAATGTGTGCGACTCGCTCAAATTAACCGCCAGGAAGCTCTTCGGCAGCTTCACAGTATGGAACTTCGCCCTCAACGTCTCGATGACCTCTTTCCAATCCTTATGCGCCGTCAGACTACGTCTAGGAGCACAGCCGATACAGTGCTTGCTATCGAGCTGCACATCTAACGGGTCGAAGGTGTGGCAGCCGGGACTGATGGTAATGCGGATACTGTATGCATACTTTGCTACGTCTTGCGCGTCTGGCGGGGTCTTGTTCTCAGACTCGTAAAGCTCGAAGCAGATCTGCGAGAGGTAGTCGAGTTCCGGGATGGCGCTGCGCTTGATTTTCGTCGTGATTCCGCCCTCAAGGATGCAGTTGAGGAGGGTGTAGATGTGGGACTCTTTGGTGAAGTAGATGAAGGACTTTGCGTCGTCGGAGGCTTGCATTTCTTCGAGGTCTTGTACAATTTCCTGGTTCAAGTTAGCAAACGGTCTAGTGCGCCTGAAATCGATCATACCTTGAGCAGCGGCAGTGATGTCAACAAGCCGATCTCCAACTTCTCATGGTCCGTCATGCCATACTCCTGCGGGCAGATAAAATCGAATAAGACCTTTGCCAGTTTGTACAACTCGCGCAACTTCTCAAGTCTCGCATCCGTCTTCGCTTTGGTCTGACTACTACCAGTAAACAACCGGAAATATTGCTCGGGTGCCTCTTCAGGTTTCGTTCCAACCATCATCGACTTCCGTCTGAACATGCGCCGATGAAGACTCATATTGGTATCAGATCTCTGGAAGGATACCGTTTCCTTGACGAGCTGCTCATCTCCAAGATCTCTTGGTTGTTCCTTCTCCTTCTCCAGACCATTCGATTCGGCTGCGATAGCTTCCTCTTCTTCCGCGAGAATGCTCTTGCTCGGTGTGAATACCCATTCTAGGAATTGCCGGTTGTGTAGAGCGTCAAACTTCATGGTATCGTAAAGCTCCGATATCTTGCTTGGATCGACTTTCTCGCCATCGCAAAACTCAGCGAAGAGCTTCTCCCATCTTTCCTTGAACAGTTCGGCATCTTCACCACAGCACCAGCGAGCTTGAATGCTACTTGTTGCAGTTGCTTGAGACATCGCATTGCCCATTGATGATGAAGGTCCTCCCTTTTCATTATCGCCAGGTTTAGCAATAGCATTGAGCGACTGTGATGCACCACCGTACAGCTTGCTATAATTAGAGCGCATGACCCGACGATGAAACTTCATCAATTGGACAACGTACTTCTGGACAATAGAAGGCTCTGGCATATTCGCAGGCCATGCAAATTGAGATGGAGCTTCTTCTCCTTGGCGAAGCAAAGTCTTCAACTTCTTCTTGACCTTGTCCATCTCATCCTTGGCAGCATTGGAGTCATCCAGAAGGTCTTTCCGAATCGTGATGAAATCTGGAGGCAGTTCTTTTTGATCGGTGAAAGCAGCTGCCCAAATCTGAGCGCTGGTAGTAACGCGACGCTCTGAACTGCTGAAAACATGGACTTCGTCCAAAACCTCTCTATTCATCAGCATCAAATCGTTTCGCATATTCTCTCCCAGCTCTTGTGATTGGTATCTGGCTGAGTGGGTTGGCTCGCCGCCCCATTTCACAATAAGTTGAAGCTTATCGAGAACAAGGCTGTTCTCTGCAGCTGTAATGCGAGATAAAGTGACGCCAGAGAGCGAGTCCTGCCTTTTAGGTGATCTTCCAGGCATGGGTTCATCGCCTTCTTCAGTCTTCTTCGCCTCTACGGCTTTGGTATCTTGAGGATCTGCAACATTGAACTCTGGGATATTCATTGCCAACAATTCTCCAGGCTTTGGTTTTCTAAACATAGGTTTGATCTGAACTTTGGTTCCTGCCCATCCCCCTTTCTTCGCCAGCACGTTTCTCAACGTCCGAAGCTTTTCGCGGTCTTCAACCCCCTGTCGTAGAGCAACGTCAACAGCAGCAATGACACTGTCTAGAGCGGCTTCCCCTGTTAACAGAACCTCCTCTTCATGGCCCTTTAGCAATTCGATGAAGGGTTCCGTATGAAACGTGAACTTGTATTTCTGCTTTGGAGTCCGATCGGCATGGCGAATAACCGAGACCATACCTTTCAGTTTCCAGGTATGCTTCGGGGCGGGCGGAGGTAGCATCTCTCCATTCGTTGTATTGCTAAAGGCGGGTGTGGATGGAGTCGTGGACGGGGCAGTTGATGGAGCGCTAACTGGTGGCAAACTTGCTGCAGGCGGCGGCAAGAGTGGCGCTGAAGGGGCTGGTGGTAACTCTAGACCCTTGTCGGCGCCTGGAGGTGTAGTCCGTGGAGTTGGTGCTGTTGAAACGTCAGTTGATACGGGATCCGTCTTCTTGTGATGATGTCCATGGAGGTTTTTGATACTTGGAGACTTCGAAAGGAGCTGTTGTAGAGTTGACCGGTGGTTATCCTTGAGCCCTGAATCCTTCCTATTGACAGGAGGAATTACACCACCATCCGAAGATGGAGGTGAGGTAAAGGAGCTGTTCGGAGTGCCCAACAGTTTTCTCTTTTCTCGGATGAACATATCTTTCATAATCCTAGCGCATTGATCATAGTATTCATCATTGTCTTTCACGAAACTCCAGCCATTAACGTCGATAACGTAACTCTTGCCCTCAGCACGCAGAAGGTCGAAACCACAGACGCGCTGCCCGAAGCTCGTGGCTATCCGGGAGGCCATAGCAGCTTCGTCCTTCGAAAGGCTTGTAACATAACGTATTTCTTTGCCATGAGTGTTGCGGCGGACCAAACCATCCACAACGGGTGATTTTCGGGTCTCGGCGTGGCAGAACGTAGGGCCTACGGTATAGGCTTTGACATCTTCTGAGTTGTCGACCCGCATAAACTTTTCATAAATATAACTGCTTCCTGGCTCCAGGATCGCGCGAGGAACGATCATGCCTTCCACCCATTCTGAACTTTTGTTGCCAATCTTGCGGAAAAGCTTTCGAGCTCCTCCTCCTTGGCTTTTAGGATAGTAGATGCATATGTTGTGATCCTCCCCGCTGATGGGCTTTTCGACAAATGGTTTTGCCAACAAGCTACCGTCAACACTAAGAGTATCTCCATCATCGAGAAGTTCAACCTTTCGAGGGGGCCGACATTGGCCACCGGTTCCATCTTCCGGGCCTTCGAGGACAACGCCTGTGGTTTCCTTTAAATGCTGCGCCATCTCAGGTGTAAGAATGCCTGGTCCACCGTCCCGGTTGACTTCGAGTCTCTTCGGAGTTGGAACGTTGATCTTGTCGAGAATCATGAGACATATCCGTCGATCCCATAAAATCTTCTGCATAGGAACGTCATTGACACAGAAAGGCTTCCGAGCTTTGACATAGGCAATGGCTTTGTCCAGCGGAAATCCATCTGAATAGAAGGAGATCAAAAAGTCGCAGACCGGCCAGTTCTCGATGTCTTCGTCCAAAATAACCTTGTCCCCAAATACAACCACTTCGAATTCTCCTTTGGAGATCAGACGATTCAGAATATTTCGGCTGGGCTTGCTCCGAGCCTTCACATCCAAGGCACAGACCCCGATGATACCGATTGGAGCAGGCTTGTCTTCGTCCTTCTTATGTATTCCTCTCTCGCTGCTCGGGCTGTGACTGCTCGTAGCCGTACTTCCACTAAATCTTCTCTTCGCACGGCTTCGTGATCGGCCGGGTGGCTGTACTCGAGGCGCTCCTTCCCCACGTTGTGCCGCATTTCGTTTTGCAATTTCGGACGCATGAGATGGTGTCTCTCGTGGGGTGAGCTGATGGCCATTCGCGGTGCCATGACTGGTGAACTGGCTTGATGAAGACGTCGTGACAGATATTGCAGAGGTAGATGCTTCCGGATGGGCACTCTTGGTCTGTGACAAGGGCCCGGATGGAGTGCGGGTGTTGGATCCTGTTCCAGCTTCTGAGCCATTCGCAGATGCTGCCGAGCTCGGAGCCCCTCCGGCACGAACTGAGCTGAGAGAGTACATTGAGGACACTGACATCCGCTTCGTCTCCACTGCGTCTGCAGATGGCTTTGGGCGAAGTGCTGGGTCTGGCAGGACACCATAAATATTTAATTCATCTGTCATTCCCGGAGACAGGCGAGGAGTGTCGAAATCGACCGCGAAATCGTCCCCGCTGGTTTTCCTGTCTAGCTTCTGGCTGTATGTGGATGATGCGCGAGAATGGGCGGACGGCCGTCTTGGTGGTTGTGATATGCTAGCTCTCTCCGAATGAATATCTGCAGTGCCAACATTGGGTCTCCCTTTCCTGCTTGCAATCGAGTCGGCGGCACTGGAGGATGACAGATTGTGAGGGGCGGTCCGTATCTTCTGTCGCAGCGGGTTCGCAGAGAAGTTTTCGCGGTCTGGGCTGGGTAGGCCTGTACTAGGATTCTTAGTCTTCCCATTGCCGCTCTCAGGGAGGTCCATATTTGATGACGACTCTGAGGGACGGTTCTCAGGACTTCCAATTGTCAAAGAGCAGCTGAACGAAGTTTGGGAATTGGCGGCATGTTGAGCTGTTGACTAAGAACAGCGGCATGCTAGAGAAGGGCGGTGTTGTCGCTGCACTTTATCGCCGATGACGCAGAGGAGGGCAAGGGCTTAAAAGCGGCTGTCAAAGAGGAGGGGCCGGCCGAGGCCAGCTGAGACATAAACGCGAAGACAAGTCATGATATGTCCCTGTGCGAAGTGATAGAATAGAATCGAGAAATGCAAAGAATGTATGTAGAAGAAACAAGGATTGAGTTCATTGCAAGGCTGACGTTTCATTAGAGCCGTCTCGGGTGTGTCTTCAACCCCCACACTCCAGCCTGCAAGCGGCACAAAAAACAAACATTCTTGCAGCTTCCAAATTGAGCTGTGTGTAATTCCTCGAGATCAACGAGAATTATTCATTCATAAATAAATTGGAAATTTGATATTCTCTTTTGTTGCTCTCTAAAGACATACTCCAACGGAGACTATTTAGTTAGGGCTTCATATCAAAAGTGTGCCCTCCCACCTCTGCCCTCCCATCCCTGCTCTCCCATCCCTGCCCTCCCGCCCCGCCCCCAACTCCATGTCAAGCCAGAGGCTGCGGTGGTAAACTGGCTCATTCTCCTTCTCCCTTCCAATTTTTTCTTCGGTTTATCAGTCAATCATTGTTCACCCACGAAAGCTCGCAGTGCATAAGGAGAGACTGTTTGTGCAAGGCTGCTTGAGCTGAGGCGTGGCGGAGGGAAGGCGGCCTTGTTGTCAAGATGCCAGATCAAGTCGAACAATTGTGAGATACAGCCAAGGAGCACGGTAGGGGAACGGACGTCCAAAATAAATTATCAATTTTTTTTCAACAAAACATGTATTGAGAGATAAGAGGTTATACCAGAGCCTTGATTTGGACATCACTAGTACTTGGAAGTCTCGCTTGCCAATATTGATACCTGGTGCTGCGGCTACGCAGCTTTCTCCTTAATTATGATTGTCTCCTGTTTAACAAACGGCCGAACCTGTTGTTCTCATATCGATTGTAGGTGGTGAGTGGTCTTTTAGGAGGAGGGGACAGCAGACTCGCCCACATAACTTCAATCCTAGCATCCCCTTCAGCCTCGTCCCTTCGGTCTGCCTGAAAGACACAGGGGGGCTTTCGTCTCGATGTAAGCGAGCCACTAATCTCATGGCATTATTCCAGTTGAGAACTGCCTGCCTGACTACAATCTGCCTCGCGAGTTGCTTCTTTCCCTGTCAGCCAGCGCATCACTCAAGCCACCAGAATCATTCGCCCAAGTAAGACAAGTCTCTATTTTTTGGCCCAAGAAGAGCTGAGAACCCCGTCTCTCTACCATTCATATTCACTCTTGATAAAGATTCGCTCAGCAGGTGCCTATTTCCAGAGTGCTATGAGGTATGGAGCCCTTCACGGCTTTGAGCCTCGCTGGCAACGTTATCCAGTTTGTGGACTTTGGAATGAGGCTACTGTCCGAGACTCATGAGATTTACCAATCACCCTCCGGTTCATCAACAGGAATCATCGAAATCGAATCCATCTTCCAAGACCTTAGCAACTTGGGTGCCAAGTTGAAAATATCTTCCATATCGCCTTCCAAACCATCAGGTATATCTCCAGAGGAGCAGGCGCTTGTCGAACTTGCAGGCTCTTGTAAAAGGCTCGCCGATGACCTCCTTGCCACCATTAAAGATCTCAAAGTCAACGACGGCCCGAATCGAAAATGGAGGAGTTTCCGCCAGGGACTTATAACTTTGTGGAAGAAGGACAAGCTCGACGCCGTTCAGAAGCGATTGAATAACTTCAGGAAGCAACTCTCTCTTCAGCTTTTGGCAATTCTAAGGTCTGAAGCCCTTCGCCACAAAGGTCTATCAAACTATGAGACTGACACCAAGTGTTATCAGAGATGATCAATCCGATCTTCTTCAGGAGGTCAAGATGTTGTGCTCTGAATCGAGATTCCTCAATGCCGATAGAGAAGAGCAGCTCAACCGACTTTCCCAAGATCTTCAAGATGCTCGAATGGAGATTGCGAGAGCGGGGACTGCAGAGAAACTGGCTCAGCTGTTTGATAAATTCTCTGCATTAACTGTTCGAGCGTCAGTAGTAGCAACCGAGCATGCATTTCTCAAGAGTCTTGATTTTGTCACGCTGAAAGTTCGCCTTGAAAGAATACCAGATGCCTATGCGAAGACATTTAATTGGATTTTCAATCCGGGCGATTCAAAATCCAGTCCTGAATTCTATGAGTGGTTGAGATCCGAGAATGGGGTTTACTGGATCTCTGGAAACGCAGGGTCAAACAAATCAACATTGATGAAATATCTCACCAGCCATGCAAGGACCCGGACTGGCCTCAAGGAGTGGGCGGGCAACAGAAAGCTTATAATTGGAAGTTATTTCTTTTGGAATGCAGGTACGACCTTGCAGAAGTCCTTGGAGGGGTTGCTCCGGTCTTTACTTTACGAAATCCTACGTCAGTGTCCCGACCTCATTCCTGTCGTTTGCCCCTCTCGTTGGTCGTCAGTTGACAGAAACGCGATGGATCATGGACGATGGAGTTTTGAAGAATGTTCAGAAGTAATGGAGCGAGTAATCAGCCAAGACTCCAGCTCGGTGAAGTTTTGTTTCTTCGTCGATGGACTTGACGAGTTCGAAGGGGATCACCTGGAAGTCATTCAAACCCTCAAGGCTCTGACAGAGGCTACAAACATCAAGATATGTATTTCCAGTCGACCATGGAATGTTTTCAAAGATGCATACGGACGTGGCTTGAATAGAGAACTTGCTTTGCAAGACTGGAATCAGCCGGATATCGAGGTCTATGTTCGAAATAAACTAGACAAACACATCAAAGCTGGTTCGGGTGGACATGGAGATGAGCAATTTCAACGAATTATCCAGGAGATTGTGGAAAGATCTAATGGTGTTTTTCTTTGGGTATTCCTCGTCGTTCGCTCCCTCAACGATGGTTTCACAAACGGCGATAGTATCACGACCTTGTACGCTCGACTACGGGGACTTCCCAGGGACCTGGAGCCATTCTTTCAGCATATGCTAGATCAAATCGACGAAATTTATCGCGAGCAAATGGCCGTGTCTTTCAAATACACTCTCGACGCTATCGAGCCACTCACCCTGCTTACCAACTCGTTCCTCGATGAAGATGATCCAGATCTCGCCTTCAAGACAGAATTCAAAGCTTTAGATCCTGGTGAACTATTGCGAAGGCATTCGGTCTTGGAGCGGCGCATTAATGCAAGGTGCAAAGGGCTGTTGGAAGTTTACGCTGAGTCGCTGACTCTTCGGGGCTCTTTGCTTTTGGAGGCCACCGTGTTGATTTCTTCCATCGGACGGTTCGCGACTTTCTCAAATTGGAAGAATCACAAGCCCTGCTGGTCCGCCACGTCCCTAAATCTTTCAATGCCAGCTTGTCTATTTGCAGAGCATACTTAATTCTTATAAAGACCATGACCCTCACAGACCATCGCACTCTACCAACACACCTGGATCTCCTCATGTGTTACGCTTGTAGGGCGGAGCGAGAGCTCGGCACACCCGACACGGAGTTGCTCGATGAACTTGAGCAAGTGATTAAGAGGCTCTCGGCAATTCATCAAGGACCAATTCTCACATGCACAGTTAAGGCTCAGGATACTTGCCCTACGGACGAAGAAAGAAGACCTTGCCTGTCGTTCCTTGAATTTGCAGTTGCAAATGGGCTCTCCATCTACACTCAACAGAGGTTGCGCGACGAAACTTTCAGGCCACCGGACCTCTTACGAACCGCTTTGCAGCCGTGCAATTGCGTCAGACACCAAGAAGTCAACTTTATTCCAATGGTCAAGCTATTATTGGACACCGGCGAGGATCCAAACAGCTCCCTTGACAATGCGCGGCCAACCACCCCTCTTGAAAAGCTGACGCTTCTTTATACATCATGGTCGCGGGCAAAGTATTCGGTCTGGGGGACCTGGCTCATGGAATCTGGAATTCTATTCTCGTCTAGATATGCGAATGAAAATCGACTGCAAACACTAAGTCTCCTTCTTCGACACGGAGCGAACCCAAACGCTCAACACAACCAAACAACTATCTTGTCAGCTTTCTTAGGATGGCTGTATTCCCGACCCTGTAGCGACTTAAGCAGTAGATCGACAATGGACTTTTATTTCCTAATAATGGACAAGCTGCTGTCCCATGGAGCTGACCCGGAAGCCATGGCTTTCTCACCAGAAGAAGACGCCCGCACTGGTGGGAAGCCGAAGATTTCAACAGAAAAGGTGATCGAGCTATTCCCTAATCATCTGGCCGCAACATTGAAGAGACGAGTACGTTTTCAATCCAAGAAAAAACACCGGAATTGCTGCTATACCATGATGATCTGGCCCTCGACAAGCGACAGCAAAGATGAGACGATGAAGCCTCTCTTGCTGCCCTCGGAGTACTCGACTGACAATCCTGACCCCTAGACAAGCTCTGACCTCTTGAATGGACCATGGACTTCTTGTTGCCCATAACGAGTACTCCGGAATAATAGTAATTGTGCGTTCAAACAATTATTCGTCCAGGAATCTTGCCCCTCTAGACGACCAGAAATCCGCAGAGGCAAGCCGAAGTGGGGACGCCAAATATGTTTTACGTCCCTGGTTCCCTGAAGCTGGCGTCTCTGGGAATCTGAAGCAATCTTGGAAATTGGAGATAGATGGATAGCTCACGTTTTTGTCTGGCCGATGATTAGTAGGTAAGATTACAACACATGTTTTTGTATTGTTAAATTCTCTCCAAAAGTTATGCATGTCAGAGCCTGGAGCCGGTGTATTCTTACCATTAATACGTCAACGATATTTGCGCGAAGTCCTGAGAGAAGTTGCAGCGAAACCCCCCTCCCTCTAGTGAGATTCAAATGTGTAAATTGTGCGATGGGGGGGGGGGGGGGACGTTCGTAGAATGGCCCGTGAGACGTCTGGTCCAGACATCGCCAATCCAGACTCCGGCCGCTGGAAGAAGCCTTCAATTTTTCAATCCCTCCTTTCATGCATTGAATAGCTGGATATATAGAGGTGATGTAGTCGATAGGAAGTCGCATGGTGCGTCCCATACTCCCAGAAGGCGTAGAATACCCACCCGATCGAGGTGTGTGCTGGATTTGTAGAGCGATTCCAGAGACTGAGGGGCGATGGATGCGAAGGATCTTTCTTCTGGCGGTATTGGAATGATCAATCCATCACCGTCAGCTTCGATTGTATCCAGAAACCCCATCTACCAGATCAGCATCCATCGCTATAAATCATGCCGCTCTCTCTGCACCACACCCCGCTCCTAGCAGACGGTTTCACAACTCTCTTCCAGACATTCGTCATAAGTCTTTGAATGAAGACTGACGGTGAATCCAGTGCCATTGGCTTCTGTGACGCTGTGAAACATTCGCTTTGAGGTGTTTAGTGCCATCGCTGCAATGTTTGAAGGGGCTGGTGATGGTGATGGTTAGAAGAGGTGAAGATTGGGTCAATCAGCGCGACTTGAGACGCGCCAAATTTCGGTCACATGACCATCTTCCAGCCACCAGATCTCAAACTTCGCCCTCTGATCTTGAATTATCCATCTTAAACGAGAAATGGTATGGAAGTTTACTTTACCACCAAATACAACCCGAAGTCGGGGTGCATGGCTCTTACGAGAGCCAAATAAGGCCAGTGGCTAGAGTCGTCCAGTGATATCATTGGAACTTCTGCTGGGATGGAATCTCCGAATCACGGCAGGAGCTCACCTCAGATAAAGCTTGTCCTTCACTACTGCAACAAGGCTGTTTCCCTAGTTGAAACTGCGTTTCCCAATCAATTCAGAGGAATCTATGCCAAGCGATTTGGGATTTGTATTGATATCACCTGCTTCTTATCGACTTGTTTCCTGCCTTTCAATTCGGATCCGATTGCATTGCCCCTCACTGCAACCAGAAAATGTCCGCGCTACCAGGCGTCAACCAGCTCTGTTCCCCCCCGTTCGTCAATACGAGCGATTAGTCAATCGGTCCTAAGCGAGGAGCCCGATTCGCTAATAAAAGAGCCCGATGTTAAAATAATATATAAATTTCTAATAAAGGATAAAGGCCAAAATTTAATTAAATAAAAAGGATTAATGCTTATAAGAGACTTAAATAAATTTTTCTTGTATTAAATTCTATTAAAGATTAAAATATATATATAATTTTATATTTTTAAATAAAAATTAGAATAAAAAGGGTTTAGAGTTCTAATAAAAGGCTAAAGCTAATATTACTTAATTAATATAATTAACTAAACAATTTCTAATAAATTATATTAATAGGATTTTAATAATTCATGGGTTTTAAAATATTTTAGTATTTTAAAAATTTGCTCGTATTCTGTTACAATAAAACATTGTTGTTGTATTGTAATAATAATATATTGATAGATGAAGAGGGAAGAGAGATGTGGCACGAGTGGCCAAAGGTTAAATACAGGAGTATAGTCACGTGAGCCTGCACGTGACTACTAGTATACAGTTACCATGTAACATATTCGACCTCGTATTTATAAACCGGAGTTCGCTTAAGCAAGCGATTAAGGAATCGGGGCCCGCGATTGGGCAATGGGGACCCCGATTGACTAATCGCTCGTATTGACGAACGGGGGGGAACAGCTCTACGACGATGTCGATACCGAAGCTCTTCAATCAGATGCCTCAAACACACTCATACACGCCGGAATGGCTTTCCACCCGGAGATCATCACGCACGCCTCCGAAGTTTTCATATATACCTCGACAGGCCGGCGAATCCTCGATTGGACTTCGGGGCAAATGTCCTGTCTGATTGGCCATGGGCATCCCGAAATCGTCCAAACCATAGCAGACCACGCAGCCAACCTCGACCACCTATTCAGCGGCATGATCAGCCCTCCCGTCATCAATTGGCAAAGACCTTGACCGGTCTCCTTCCAGACGGACTAGATAAAGCCATGTTTCTGAGCACCGGAGGCGAGAGCAACGAGGCAGCGCTCAAGATGGCAAAGTGTTTCACAGGGAAATGGGAGATAGTCGGCTTAGCAGCGAGCTGGCACGGAATGACCGGCGCAGCACTGAGTGCACAGTATCATTCTGGACGTCGAGGTCACGGTCCCATGGTATCCCCATCCCCTTCCCCCTCCATTCGACTAAAATTAACGGTGGTCCAGATTCCCGGTAACCACATCCTCCCAGCTCCCAACGCCTATCGCTCCGTCTTCCGCAATCCAGACGGCTCCTATGACTGGGACATGGTCGACCGAGCGTCATGTGGCTCGCTCGCAGCCGTTATCATGGAGCCCATCCTCTCCGTCGGTGGCATGCTCACACTTCCGCCCGGCTACCTCGCAGCTATGAAAGCGCACTGCTCTCGGCGGGGCATGCTTCTAATCATTGACGAAGCGCAGACTGCAATCGGAAGAGCAGGAGATATGTTTGCGTTCGAACATGAGGGCGTAGTACCTGATATACTGACGTTGAGTAAGACGCTTGGGAATGGATTGCCGTTGAGTGCCGTCGTGACGAGCAAGCATATCGCCGAGGTTGTAGGGCACAATGGATTTTTGTTCTTGACGACGCACCTCAATGATCCGCTGCCCGCTTCAGTAGGCCTCAAGGTCTTGGAGATCGTTGTTAGAGATAACCTCGTTGCTCGCTCCCGGGCTATGGGTCTCAAGCTCCACGCTGGACTGGAAAGACTCAAAGAGCGATATGGCTGCATCGGTGATGCTCGAGGTCGAGGTCTACTGGCGGCCATTGAGATTGTGAAGGATAGGGAGAGCAAGGCTCCGGCGCCGGAACTGGGCGATAGGTTGGCGGCGAAGATGATGGAGCTAGGAGTATTGGCGAACTTATCAACGATTTCAAGTTTTAGCGGAATATTTAGGATTGCGCCGCCCATTACGATTTCTGAGAAAGACTTAGAGCTAGGGTTAGGGATTATGGAGCAGGCTTTCAGTTGTACTGAGGGTAGTTTGCCACACTGTAAATGAGTGGATTGGTTTGTTGACCTTTTAGGGATGACGGAAGAGAGGATGATTAACCAGGAAAGAAGTCTTGTGAGCTATGATATCAGGTATGGGATTCGTTCTAGATATGATTTATGGATCTTAAGCAGTGTTTCTCGTGCATATTACACTTTGCAGTCGAGGAGTGGCTGCCATTCAATAGGGGCCTGTAGGGGTTCGCTAACTAGGTAACATCCTTCGGAAACTGACCTCTGAAGGAGTGGTTTTACAAATTCCCATGCCGATCCACTACTCTAACTCACCAGTAGATCTAAATTCGTTGTACTTCACCTACCCCTTTCTCATCTTTATTGCTTACTTATACACCTGCCTTCTTTATATCACGTAACCCGCCTCTCCCAAGCTAGAACTCAACGTCCAGGTAAGCTATCTATCTCTCTCTCCTTTATCAACTAACCATACCAAACCATCCCAACATCGCAACCCAACACCACTGTCCCACCATCCCTCTTACTGATCTTACCAATCCTCATCCTCGGCGCCGGAATCTCAAGGCTCCTCCTAGCTCACTCTCTGCCCCAGCACAACATCCCCTTCCTTGTCTTCGAGCGGCACTCGAAACCATTTCCCTCTCAAGGCCACCGGTTCCGGATCTCCTCTTCCGCACACTCAGCTCTACACACTCTCCTCTCTCCTCCCCTCTTCACCTCTGCCACCAAACACTCCTAACACGCACCGCAGCACAAAAAGCCACGTTTAAACCGCGTGTGGATGCCTCCTTGCTCGACTTTGCGGCACGTGTGGAAGAGGATGAGTTGGGGAAAGGTGTGCAAGGAGGGGATATGGTGGGTTGGTTTATGGCGATCGATGATGACAAGAATGTTAGTGCGTACTGGAACCAATGGTTTGGAGTACTGCGAACGCCAGCATAGGGACGAATCTAGAGAGATGTTACCGGATTTCGAGGACTATCTCTATTTCGCAGTATCTACACCTCCGCTTAGGGCGACGATGCCAAAATCGGCAGATGAAAAGAGTGATTTTTTGACAAGAGTGACCAAGGAATGGCATCCGACGCTCAAATTAGTAATCTTACTTCAGAACGCAAATCACGAGGCTTCAGCGTGTATTCCGTTCTTGTCCAGCAAGCCGGATGGTGGGAATGGGGTGGTTACTCAGGTTGGGGATTCTGCGCTTGGGTTAAGTCCAATGGGGGGCACAGGAGCGGTCTTGCGATTATCAATGTTATTGATTTGGCAGAGACGGTTATTAAGGAAGAGATCACAAAGGAAAGTATTCAAGGTTTCGAAAAGAGGATGAAGCAAAGGGCGAGGGAGAAGATCGGATACACCTTTGAGAACGGAAAGAAGTTCCGGAAGAGGAGAGAGTGGTATGAGTACCCTGAGGTTGATATATGAAGGTTGCTCCTTGAGCATGGAAGGAAGAGGAGGGCCTTGGGACTCTGCCCCCTCCCTGCCAGATACGGGATCCATTCTCAATGTTATATACAGATCCTCGGGTCTTCCACAGCGGAGCATTGAGGTCGCTCTATACCAAGACATTGCAATACTCCTCCTGGATTGGGTTGAAAATATCCTCTACAGCGCGCTTGAACTTTTCGAGCTCGTCGAATGTCGTATCAAAGCAGTCGTCAATCAACCGTAAAATGGGCCTTACATCTTCTTCCGCCGGTCCGTCGTAAAGCCGTTTTCGGAGTTTGTAAAGTGTACAAAATTTCTGCGATAGAGATCTAAACGCGAGATTGGCCATATCTCTACGTACGAATCGATAATACCAATCTAGCATGATTATGTCTCGGACGAACCTGCAATGCACCTCGTGAGCCCAAGGAACCTAGTGGTAGGCTTATGGGAGATACGGACCAGCTCCTTCTATATCTTAGCAAGCTGCGTGTAGCCTTCACTATTCTAGCGCGGATGAATGAATAACAGGAATCTATTTCCAAAAGTTTCTCAAAACCAGAGATGTCGATAACATTTCCGTGGTGACGGAGCCTCCCTAACCTCTCCTCACGCAACACTTTCGCCGTTTTGGAATATTTCTGATTCGCTTGGTCTAAACTGATGCCCTTTCCTTGGAGAACGACCGTGGGTGGAAAAGGTGTGCGACAACCGGATCCGAGAATATTCCGTGCGAACTTGAATGTTTCAGCGGTCAAGTTCAAGCATCCCCCGCTTTGGAGAATAAGTTGAGCGGTGTCTTTTCCCCACATCAAAGCACCATAGAGTGGCGTTCTACCAGCGTTGTCCATACAGTTGACCTCAGCGCCGAATTCGAGTAACGATTGAATACATAATTTGCAATTATTCTGGCCCCGGTAATCATGGTTCATAGTCGCATGGTGGAGTGGCGTTTCGCCACACTTATTACGTTTGTTGATGTTGGCCCCCTTTCTGACTAGTGTACGGAGAATGTCGTCGTAACCTTCTGTCGCTGCTAGATGTAAGGCTGAATTGCCTTCAAGGTCCACAGAATTCGGTTCAAATCTAGAATCACAAAGAATCTCAACTACCTCCATATGCCGTGCGAACACTGCCTCGTGGAGAACGGTCCATCCGCGATATGATATTGCAATTGGATCAGGCTGACTGAAGAAATCGGCTTCACTTTCGATGGCCAGTCGTGCGAATTCTGGCAGTCCTTGTATGGCAGCGATACGCATAAGAGTCCACGCTCTATGGAGCTCCTTCCCATATACCCTGTCGTTATCCAGCAAAATTCTCACACACTCTCTTTGGTTCCTCGAGACAGCAACGTGGATAGGAGTCCGGCCCAGATTGTCGTAAACTTCACTGTTGATCCCATGTTTGATTTGGCATTCGAGGATGTGAGATAATCCACGGTACGCCGCAATATGAACACCCGGTCGAGGTGGAAGGACTCTGTTTCCATCACCAGGGTGATACAGGTATTTTCGGTCTATGGCTGTGGCTCTCGGGTTATTCTTCAATAATTCAAGGATTCTCGTTTCAGCAACTCGCTGGACGTCTTCATCGGCATGTGCTCCCCAATTCAAAGCAGCATATTCGTAGAACGGTCTAGATCGTACACGTTCGGTAAACTTTGCGTTGCGCAAAGGTTCGCTGACCGGACCTTGTTGCAGATACTGGATGCATGCCTCCGTAATTTCAAGCCGCGCGGTAGGGAATCGTGCATCACGGATACGCTCCAGATACTCTTGCGTCGTGTAATGGATGAACCGGATCAAATTGCTCTCGTCTTCTACCGTAACGATCCCGGCGCAAACAGAGAGCATAATTTCTTCGTCGATCAAGTTGTCCGAGTCCAGGTGGTCTTGGCCGGGCTCAATTGCCAGGGCATGCTGCAACTCGACGACTGTCAACGGCCTGACCGAGTATGTGAGCCACGACAGCAACCTTCGTGCTAAGTTTGCATCATCCTCATTCTGGTCACTAATTCTTTGCATCACTAGATCGTATGTCTCCTCCAGTTTCCTCGGGATAACTTTCAGGGCCTCTTGGATGGCCCTGACGGATGGCTTTGTAGCAAGATTATCCATGTGAAGTCGGGCGAGCAAAAACCTTGACCAGAAATGTCAGCTTTCCAATCCTAAACTCGAATGCCCCGAGGTATTCTTACATGCCCTGACATCTTTCCACCATAGTCTCCACCACATCACTCTTCAGTTTAGAATCTTCATTCATGCGTCGCCGGAGTCGGGAAGAGTTCTCGATCCGCTGTTCAACGTACTTGGTAACATCTTGATCTGTGGCGCGGATTTCCAACCGGAGACTGCCCTCGAAAGCCCGTTCGATACTACTCAGCCAACGTGATGTTACCAGAACATGAGAATTGGGGAGAGGGACCAGTTCCAAGAGCTCGCCGGTGAGAACATCACGTACACCGTCTCCTTCGTCGTATTCATCCAAAGCATCTATAATAAAGTAGACGTAGGAGAATTGTTCGATGGCCTGTTTTAGACACTTGGTTAGTTCCCATACCTTCGGTCGGGAGCTTTTGTTGTTATGTGTGTCGTAGAGATCCACGACACACTGGGGAACAACATGGCCGTGCAGAAGCTGCCTGAGGAGACTCCCAACGATGTTAATCGCAGTCTGATGCTCGCTTTTGTAGTTGCAATAGATATACGCAAGGCCGGTTTTCTCTGTCACAGAAAGACTACGCTCAAGTTCGTTAATGACAAATGAGCTGCACGGTTTTACCAGATGTTAGCATATACATGGCGGAGGAGGTGAGGACGGTCATACGCCAAAGTAGTCTTTCCAGCACCAGCTATCAATGTTAGAATGGAGTTTGAAGAGGACAGTGGCCACTTACGCATTCCCGGACACCAGAGAATTTCCCCAGTGGTAGCTTGCCACTCTTGAAATTCATCAGCCTCGAGCAGCCACTTACAAGTCCCATCTTGATATCGATGAAAGAGATCATTGTGCTTGCTTTCATAAGTCAATGGCGAGAGCCAAGATAAGATTTCCTCTTTCTTTTGCTCTGAAGCGTGTTAAAATTTGAATCCTGCTAGCTGAGTTATTTGACTCACTCGAAAGATGTATCTCCACGGTCTTCACGCCTTCGCTGACTTGGTCTATACGGCCAGATACATCGTCTATTCCAGACTTGATTGCAAGCGATAATGCACTGCCAGGATTGAGTATCACAACATATACGCTCAAGACCATAACTCACAGATTATCCCTATTGTACGCGAGGCTGATCAATGTCTTCGTCCTCTCAATCCGTTGTAATACCGACACAAGCTCTTGCTTCTCGATCGGCCAAATCAACTTGCTACCAAGCTTCTTCAGGCCGGATTGAGGTTGAAGCTTTCTTGCTACCGATTCTAGTGCCTCCTTGAGCTGGTCCAGTGGTCCGTCTTTAATTCCAATTGATCGAATGCCAACAAACCATGCATCTTCGGCTGTTGACTGTTCCAAGTTGTAGCGAAGGGACACCAGGAGGGCGAGGAGACTGCTGGCTTCCATTCCGAATCTTGCTTGGTCGGCCGAAGCACCTTTCACGTTGTTGGCATACTGTATGACTTGCAAAGTTGTATCGATCAACTGGACTACGCTGGCAGCCAGGCCGATGGCAGTGATTGGGTCCGCCATGGCCGTGGTTAATGGCTTGCTGGTCGGCAAGAATAACCTGGCACTGCCCTTTGGCTCATCTGAAGAAGTTTCTCGAACAGAAATACGACAATAACGGCATTGGTGTTGATGAATGGAATTCGGCAGCGCAGCCTTGCCAGCTGAAGGAAGTGGCGCCCGCTAGGAAGCCTGGAAGCAGGCACGAATAAAAAGAGAGCACAGGAGATTCCGCAGATCCATTGCTAGCACAGGACAGAATGACTTCAAGGATTCACAAGCACATCGCTCAAGGTAGGTAGATATCATTCTCATAGCTCGACAACATATTAATGGCGATCTAGGAGGGAGAAGCAAGGAAGGAAGACTAAGACTTGAGGGAGTGAAGGACCCTAGGGGCAGGGATGTTTGCGCTAGCGCGAAGCTCACCGCCCGGCAAAATCATAGAAAAAAGTTGCGATTGATTTACTCCACCACGACACTTCGTCAAATTGATATCTGCGCCCTGCAGATTGAGGAAATGTCTTCTTCTCTGACTAATAGCGGCGATGGCCCCGTTGTTAAAAGGCAGAAACTCAGCGCATCAGAGCATCCGAGTCGCACTCGGCAGGAATCGAGAATTTTCACACCCTTCCGAGTACGTTCCGCACCAAGTCTACAAAGACGATGCTAACAGTGCCAGACAATTGGCCTCGTATCCTCGACTCCAGTTCCATTCACAGCGATTCCTCTCGGCAAGACCTCCTTCCAGATCACCACCTCCGTTGGCAGATGTCTCCAAACCTACGACCTGAAGCGGGGCCTCAACCTCGTTTTCCTCACCCGGCCACAAACACCTGAAGATATAACCGCCACACTCGCATGGAAGGATCGTGTGTTCGCAGCGTGGGGATCTGGAGGGGGCCCACAGGGGATATGGGTCTTCAAGCGGGGGAAGAAGATTGCAGAGCTAGACCTCCCCACCGACCTCAACTCACCGATCACCCAGATCCTCATCTTCGGATCCTGGATCGTATGCTCCTGCAAAACTCGAATCGAAATATGGAAATCCTCAACCTACGAACACTACACGACCCTCTACCCGACCTCAGCGCCGAAAGACGGCAACGAGTTGACCGGGGGGATTTGCCATATGAATACATATCTCAACAAGATCTTGGCTGGGAGGAAGGATGGGAGTGTTGAGATCTGGAATGTTAGTAGCGGGAGGTTGGTATATACTATCCTGCCACCGGGCAAGAACTGTGGTGCTGTGACGGCGATGTGTCCGACGCCAGCGTTGTCGTTGCTAGGCATTGCTTATGCGGAGGGAGCGCTGGTTATCCATGATATTCGCACGGATAAGACGGTTATACATCTCAATGCTTCAGAGCCCATTTCGTCGATTTCGTTTAGAACGGATGAGCTTGGTGCTGGCGACGATGGAAGGAAAGCTGGTGTCATGGCTACTGCAGGGCTGGATAATGGCGATGTGACATTTTGGGATCTGAATGGTGGTGGAAGGGTCATGGGGATACTAAGAGGAGCGCATAATCCACCTTCTGACGCCGGGGCAGTTGTTGGTGGTGGTGTCTGTAAGGTTGAGTTTCTCCCTGGCCAGCCGGTGATTGTCACCAGTGGGCTAGATAATTCGCTGAAATCATGGATCTTCGACGAGACGCCATACTCTCCGATCCCACGAATTTTGCATTCGAGAAGTGGGCATGCTGCACCTGTTACACGACTACTGTTCCTCCCTTCAGATGCAGATGGAGCTGATGCTGGTGGGAAGTGGTTACTGAGTGCTGGGAAAGACAGAAGTTTATGGGGTTGGAGTTTACGACGAGATGGACAGAGCACAGAGCTCAGCCAGGGGAATATTCGCAAGAAGGCAAAAAAATTGGGAATTTTGGGGAGCACGCTTGCTAACGAGCCAAGCACTACTCTGGAAGATCTGAAAGCACCCGAGATTACATGTTTGGCGATGTCCTTGAACAGAGATGGCGGAATGGGCGCGAATGCAGGAAGTGGCGCGATATGGCAAAAGGGGAACAGTGGACCAAAGAAGCCTACAGATGCTACAGCGAGCGGTGTCACAGGATGGGAGAGTGTGGTGACCGGTCATCGAGATGATAAATTTGTACGGACTTGGTTCTGGGGGAGGAAGAAAGCTGGCCGGTGGGCGTTTGAGACAGGAGATGGAGGGAATGTCTCGAGTGTTGCGATGAGTCCTTGTGGAACGTTCGCTGTAGTTGGATCGGAAACTGGGGGTATTGACATGTTCAATCTTCAGTCTGGGCTGCATCGACAAAGATACCCTTCCAAGTTGACGCCAGCGCAGGCGAGGAAGTTGAAGATCCAGCAAGCCGAGGGAGGAGTGGCTAAGACTTTTCAGCCTGGACTCGGGAAACATAAAAAGGCAGCCACTGGCCTGATCGTCGACTCATTGAACAAAAACGTCATTAGTTGCTCTTTAGATGGAAAAGTCAAGTTCTGGGAATTCCTCACGGGAAATCTTGTCGATGAGATCGACTGGCATCCAATGGTCGCCATCACTGGCATTCGATACCACGCAGCCAACGATTTGATCGCGCTTTCTTGCGATGATCTCTCAATCCGGGTCGTCGATATCGTCACCAAAAAGACAATCAGAGAATTCTGGGGATGCAAAGACGGCATCAACGATTTCTGCTTTTCCAACGATGGAAGATGGATCATCGCGGCTTCGAAAGACTGCATTGTTCGAGTCTGGGATCTACCAACAGGGCACCTGATCGATGCGATACGAATGGAGACGGCCTGCACAGCTCTAACATTTTCAGGGACAGGAGAATTCCTAGCCACGACTTGTGAGGGGCAGGTAGGAGTCAATATCTGGAACAACAAGACCCTCTTCACCCACGTTCCGACACGACACATCTCAGAAAACGAGATCGCGCAGATATCAGGACCTACTGTGTCCGGTGAAGGCGGCCATGGGGTCATTGACGGAGCATTCGAAGATGAAGCTGATGAGGATCAAGATTCCACTCCCGCGTTATCACTGGATCAGTTGAGCGAAGACATGATGACGCTGAGTTTGGTTCCAAAAAGCAGATGGCAGAACCTCCTCCACCTCGACGCAATCAAGCAGCGCAATAAACCAAAAGAACCACCCAAGCAACCCGAGAAAGCGCCGTTCTTCCTTCCTTCTCTGGAGAAGCCAAAGCCGATCATGGGTGTAGAGGAGAAGAAAGCGGACGAGAGTATAGCAGAGAGATCAAGAATCATGAAGATGGACCGTCTTTCATCGGAAGGAGCATTCACCGTCTCTCTTCGAGCGGGAGGTGAAAGCGGTGATTGTACGACCCCCCCGCCCACGTCTTCCATGCCCTCGCTAACATAAGCAGATACCCCTTTCATCACGCACCTCAAGACGCTCTCGCCGTCCGCCGCGGACCTCGAGATCCGCTCCCTAACGCCCAACCCCGGCGAAGAGACCGACGAGCTGGTCAACTTCGTGTCTGCACTCACCAGCCGTTTGAAGCAAAAGAGAGATTATGAGCTAGTGCAAGCGTGGATGGCTGTCTTTTTACGGCTGCACATGGACGAAGTTACGCGCGATGCGAGGCTAGCAGAGGCGTTGAGGGAGTGGAGGGAATGCCAGGAGGGGGAGGGACGCCGAATCAGCGATTTGATCGGGTATTGTGGGGGTGTGGTTGGGTTTTTGAGAAACCCTCGATAGTGAATGCGAATTAATGGAGAAATGAAAAGCAAATGCAATGCGTTTCACTGTCAGGTGACACAGACTCTCAAATGCCCAGAGCCAAGCCTCGAGCTATGATGGTCTAATAATAAGTACAGTACCAGACTGGGAAAAGGCCGTCATGCACGAAGTATGAAAAGACCGACTCCACGTGTTCTCGATGTTGTAAAGGGGAAGGTGAGCCGCCAAGGAAATTGAAGCGAAACCCCCTATCTGCAGATTTTTCAGGCGATTGGCTCGAATTCGGTAATCGGCGGGCTGATCCCAGGCCGTAAGATTAATTTGTATGCACTGTATGCGTCTAACGACGGGAAGGTGCAGCAGCGTCACCAGGGAGCTGGACCCTGACAGCGGTCAGCGAACAGTGCTCGTCCGTCCGGAACGGCTTCGTACTCCTTTGTTCCCCCCCCCCACGAGTCCCTTGACTCCGACTTTGAGGTTCATGAAGATCTGCTCTGCTCAGCTCAGCTCAGCTCTTTCTCACCAAGCAATTTGACAGGATGCGCCGTTGCTTGCCAATGCTGCCACCGGGTATCCCTTTCTATTTCCAGAAAGACAAGACCTTAGCTCCGGCGGAGTCTCCACTTGGGTCGGTGGCTGCTTCATCTGGTTGCTGCTCCCTGGTGATGGTGGTGGTGATGGTGGCGGTTGTCCTGCCTCTGGTGGCTGCTGGTGGCTGCTGCGATAAGAGTCAAGCCGGCCTGCCAGGCTCTTGATGGCGAATCTCTGTCCAGTCTCTGGAGATTTTTTGTGGGATATCTTCTCCACCGATTTCCTTCTGCAGGCCGTGTCCGCATCCAGTGCATCCAGTGCATCTCCTCCTTTCCACCACCCACCTTCGTTCCTGCCCTCTTGTCTTTCTCGATTTCGACTTCGACTTCGACTTCAACCTCAACCTCGATGCTGAATTCGACCTCGACGTCGCGTGCGAAATGTCGTTCCTGAAGCCGTCCCCCTCCTTCGCCCAGCGCGCCATCAGCATGCTGCGTCGCCCAGGCGTCAGCAAGTGGCGCTGGTCCCTGGTCGCCGTCTTCATCCTGGCGCTCGTTTGGCTGCACCCGCTCTCAGGGACAGCCTCGTTACCGCAGTTCGGCACCAAGCTCTCCAGCACGACCGGAACCACGAAGCAAAAGACAAAGCCAAAAACCGAATTGTCATTCATTAAGCAGCTGTTGAAGGACAACAAGATCGGGCCCGAGATCCAGTTCGCGTCACGCACCATTCGTTATGTACCAGACGCGTTGGAACGCCTACCGATTACGGATGTCGACCAGGAGCTGTTTTCCAACTCGTTCGTGGATCTGAGTATCAATAAAGTCAAGAAGCTGCCGCCGGGGAATATACTGGATGTCCACGTGTATCCGTCTGCGAGGCCGGACCAAATCGATGCCTCAGCCTTGTTGTTTGCGGTGTCAACGACTTTCGAGCGCTTCTCGAGCGAAAAGACAACCCCGATTGGCGAATGGACACGCTGGCTTACAGATGGAAAGGGGAACTCCAATGGCGCGGGGCTGATCCTCACACTCTTTAATACGTCTTCAGAAAATATACATATGGCATCCAAGCAGCTCCACGAAGCTGGAATAAACGCGACTGTCCTGGCCTCCAATCGGAACCTCGACATGGCGGGACGGTATGTCGACCTCGTGCATCTGCTGCACAACCACCCTTCGCGCAAACAAAGAAAATACTTCTCCCTGGTTGACGATGATACTTTCTTCCCATATATAGGGGAGCTACTGCACACTTTGAAAAGATACAACCCCACTCGATCTCATTATATCGGTACCTTCACCGAACGTACAGACTGGATGCTCCACAACAAAGCCCCCATGGCCTACGGCGGAGCCGGCGTCTTCATGACGGCCCCCGTAATCCAAAAAGTGACTGAGCTCCCGTGCCTCGAGAAAGACGACGAAGGGGACTACGTCCTGGGCGCCGACCAAGGGGATCGACTTCTCTACAACTGTCTCCACAACTACACTGAGCTCGCCCTCTCCTATCTCCCTCGCCTACGCCAAGAAGATCAAATGGGCGACGCGTCCGGATTCTACGAAGCCGGTCTTCAACATCTCAGTTTCCACCATTACCACACATGGCACGAACTCTGGCCGGGAAAAATGCACATCGTGGCCGACGCCTGTGGCGAAGACTGCGTACTGCAACGCTTCCGCTTCAAGGACGACTTCATCATCAGCAATGGCTACTCGGTCGCCCACTACCCCAAGGGCATCGACTTCGACCCGCTGCAAATGGAGGCCACGTTCGACTACGGGACCATGGAAGACCAGGAGTTCCGCGACGTGGTGTTCAGCTACGCGTTCGGGATGCTGCGGAAGGGACTGAGTTATACGGGCAGGAAGAAGAGTTGGGAGTTACTGGGCGCCGTGAGGGAGAAAGAGGGGACGGTGAAGCAGGTTTATTTGAAACGGAGGGGGGATGGACGGTGGCTTGATAGGGAAGGGGGAGAGGAACATCCGGAGAATGATAGTGTGGTTGTTTTGACGTGGATTCCTTGAACGAAGTGAAGCTCACTTACCACTCGGAACACAAAGCCTGGACCACGAACCGGGATGAGCATGAAATCAGGAGGGTGGGGTACCAATTGCTGGAGTAATGGCTTGACGACAGACAGACAGACAGACAGAAAGGACAGGATAGATTGCATTGCATTGTACATTTACATCATGAGCCCGGAGTTCAGGAGCATTGCGGATACTCGGGGAGTACGCCTCACATAGATTTCTTTCGCTTCGATTCAGATTGTACATACCTTGCATAGCAGAGCGGCATTGAGGGCGCGGGTGTTTACACGGCTTAGAGGAGTAATGAAACGCGCATAGACGAGATATATCCTCCTCTCTCCTCGTGACCTAAGAAGAAAATCAACTGAAGCGGTGTTGGTGAGCGTGTTGTGAGCGTGTTGCGGAAACAGAGAGAGAAAAGGAAGGTCGAGAAAGAGGTATGGTATTCAATCATCTATCAACTCTTAAATTCAGTATCTATTATTCTTCCTCGAGATTTCGTCCCTGAATCGGCTTTGTTTTTCGAAATCGATAAAGGGAGGAAAAGGGGGTCTCGCTTATTCTCTACCCCTCAAGCGCCAAGTCGGCAAGTAAGTCGTTGTTCTTTTAACAGATGTACAATAAGGGTAAGCGTAAATAGCGAAATCTCATATAGACGAGATCCCTCCTTGTATCCTTGGGCTCCTGGATTATGCAGTACAGCGCGGAACCCCGCGTTCCCAGGGGAGGTAAGAGGCTTGTTTCTTTAGCGCGTATCGATGAGTTAGTACGTTACCCTTAGAGCCTATTACACTGCTTGCACCTGTCGAGTAGCTCTCTATAAAATTTGCATACATACTCACCTCAGCTTTTCTGTTGTTAAATATAAAGATAATCGGTCCTTACTTCTATTCCCCCAAAAAATGAGAAGCACCTGAAAATAACGGATGGGTAGTTGAAGGTCACGTGGGACACTACTGAGCACCTCAACTTCCTTGGTATCAGCTGAAGACTGAAGTTCACTCTTCTCTTCTCTCTCAACAAATCGCACAATGCCGCCCGATCGCGGTCGCGCCTCAAAAGCCTGCGCCGCGTGTCGGAAGATTAAGACGCGGTGTTATGAGTCTGGCGGCCACGGTAAAGCGTGTTTGAGATGCGAGAGGTTGGGGGTGGCGTGCTCATTAGATGAGGGCAGCGGACACCGCCGGAATGACGATCTGCAGCAACATGAGAGGGACGGTTCAAGTGACGATAGGTGCGTGGTCTATTTCCCGCAGTGGAGGGAGATAGGGCTGGAAGCTAACAGGAGGTTGATGTGTTGAAGATTGACACGCCTTGAACGGACTGTCTCTGCGCTCGTGGAGCGGCTTGATACCGCCACTGGCACTGTTGGAAGATGGGCTCCCAATGCAGACACGGCGAGCACATCTCCTATCCAACCGCCACCAGCCGCGGTCCATGAAGCTCAACCCGGGACGCCATCCGCAGCTCCGGTCTTCCTGATTCGCGATGTTGCTTCTGAAGTGGGAGTGCGGCAGCCTCAAGTGGCTGGACAATCCCAGAATCCAGATATCATTGCCAGAGGACTGGTTCCTGTTCAGGATGCTGGCGCTTTGATTGAATTGTCTATATTCCTCCATCCTCATCCTGCTCTTCTACTAATTCGAGGCAGATTCCAAGAGCACTACGGCCGCTGGGTCTCCTTCAACCCCGGCAGCTCATCCGAGACCATCCTCGTAGAAGTGAGGAAATCACCTCTCCTCCTCTGCGCCTGCTGTCTGATAGCCGTCCGCCATACAACACAAGACTCGGCATCAACACTCGCCCCACGACTTTTCCAGGAGGCCAAAACCTTGCTTTCTACGCACTTACTGGATGTACCGCAATCAATTGAGTTCTTCCAGGCCGCTGTCATTCTCAGCATGTGGTCGACGACTATTGGACAAACGCCCTTGAGTGTCGACAGTTGGTTACTTTCTGGATTTGCACTGCAGCATTCTTTGGCTAGCGAGGTTTTCGCGCCGGTTATGCGTGGGAGTGGAGACCAGGCGGCGAGTCTAAGCAAGAGTGAGTTGGATCGGTGCTGTGTTTGGAATCACCTTTGTCTTGTTCACCTCCAGTAAGTGCATTATCTCAGATCTCGCGTGGTGGCAGTTTGATTTTGATGCCTTTGGGATAGTTATTGTGTAGGCACCAGAAGGCGAGCAATTCTGGGTCGGAAACAGATTGAGAAATGTCGCCAGATTCTGGACTCGGATCATGCGACGAACTTTGAGACTAGGATGGTTGCTGAGGTTATGTTGTATTGGATTATTTACGAGAGCTGTTCCACCGCGCAAGTAGATCTGCCGAAGACTCAAGCTGCGCTGCATGAGTGGAGGCAGGAATGGAAGTTCCTCTTTGGTAGGTCATTCCCCTTCCACTTCATTCTGCTGCTCATGCTTTGCCAGATCAACCAAGGTCTCAATTCATTCAAATGGGCTTCCACTTTGCTCAACTACTTGTCTACGATCAGGCATTGAAATCCAGATCCGCCGCAGTCAGAGAATCCCGCATCACAGAGATGACTCGTCTCTCTGCAGCAATCATCCAACTCGCCCTGGATACAGCAGACGTCCGGACTCGCCATTTGAGTGATCATATCTATCACATGATCACCTTCGCCGCCGTCACCCTTTGTCGATTGCTTCACATGTACGAGAACCAATTGGCTTCTACTCACAACATCATGGAGCTCGATTCTCTGGTTCTCACATTGGTCACATGGCTTCACTCGATCGGTCTCCCTTGTCATGTTGCACATACGCTTGGAGATGTTGTCGCGGCTTTTCATGAAAAGCTACGACCGAATGCTCACCCAAGTCCGTATGATCAAGCTCAAGACGATATCGGACTTTACTTCCCCGAACTACTTGGCATCGAGACGTTTGATGGTGGGAACTTCGATTTCATTCCTGATTGGGATCCATATATTCCAGGACCAGCAACTTGAATAACGCCTACAAAGAATATCTTCGCCCGACAATGTTTTACTTCCCAGTATATTTCTTCTCCAACCACCTGAACAACGGAAATGTCAGCGCAGAGAAAGCAAACGTCAGCTCATGCCCCAAATTCGCACCCTTCTTCCCGATAAGCTCCGCAATCGGCCCCGTATACCAGGTGATTTTCATCCCGAGCGCAGCGCCAAGAAACCCAAAGCAAAAAGCCCCAATGGCGCCCCACCCGAATGGTAAAAGATCCTGCTTGCTCCAAGCATCAAGATCGTACAGACTCCATCTCCCGCGTCTGAAAATGAAATGTTCTTCCGTAACCACAACGATGTGGACCACGGTCCAGTACCCGATGATACTCAAGAATGTTTGGAGCGTGGCTTCCGGGAAGAATCGAGCTGCGCAGCAGCCGACGATGACTGCTGCAACGAAGCCGAATGTTACGAGGATGACGCGGGGGATGCGGAGAGCCCAGGGACCGAAGTTCTGGGCGTGCATGGCGAAAGAGTAGTTGTTTGGGATGTTATTCTGTAGCGCGTCAGCGAAGATCGGGCGGGGAGCATGAAGGGACATACGGGGATAGAGCTCAAAGCTGCCAACACCATAAGGAATTTGCCAAATCCGCCTGCAGGCTCCAAAGCCATCTTCAAGGGACCACCGACCCCATACGCAAGATATGCGTGTTTCCAGGCGGCGTTGGCCTGGACTCCGGAGTATAGTGCTGCGCCGAGTGTTTGTACGAGAACTGTTGGTACAACTATAGATGTCAGCCAGATCACCCTCTTAGTTTTGAGATGCACTCACAAATCCCAGCATATGTGGCCCAGAAGATCTTATACCTGGGCGTATTGGCAGGCATCTTCACGTTGTAATCCGCGGCGCAATTGATCCAAGAAACCGCAAACGAGAACACCACAGCCATGAAGGACAGAGCAGCTGCAGCACCATTGGGCCCTGTTGGGGACTTGACTGCATCGCCGTGGAAATTCTGAGCTCCAGTGCCGGCAGCTACACACCAGACGACGAATGGCGAGATCCAGAGGAAGGCATCGAGGCGATGGATCCATGAGATGCCGAGGACGCAGATAATCCATACCGTCGTGCAGATTATCAGGACACCGGCCCATTGGGGGCATTTTCCATCAGAGAGTGCGCTGAGGACTGACGCCCCAGAAATGCTGTTTATCGCGTTCCAGCCTGTTGTTGAGACCATGGAGAAGATAACAACGAGGAGGTTGCCCCAGTAGCCGAAGGAGTACCGTCTGCAAATGTCAGTATGTGATTGGGCATTTGGAGGGCGAAGTGTCTTACGAGAATGTAGTCATTCGTAAGCCCGTCAATCCGAACGATGCTGTCCAGGCTGGTAGGAGGCAAGAAGCAATGTTCACCACGAGGATGATCGCGAAGCAATCCCAGAAGGACAATCCCATGCTACCACCAACCATCCCCGTGGACAAAGTAGCCACAGCCATGTTGGCACTCAACCTAGGGAAGAGATCAGCTTACTGGACATTTCTTCAGACGATTCAGTCGTCATACCAGAAAGTACAAGCATTCCAAACATGCGTCGTGTTGCTGAGCCTCTCCTCATCAGTAACTCTCTCAATCCCTCCCGCCTCAACAGATAGTTTCTTTGCCCAAGCCTCCAAGCCCCTACGGACAGTTCCCTTTTCAATGGAAGCAGAATCCGTCTTATCCGAGGACTTATCTACAGAAAGTTGTTGTTTAATATCCATCTTCGACTCCATTGTTCTGCCGAGTTAAGGTCTGATACGCTTTTTGAAGTCTCGAGTTTGAGTTGATGTTTCTGAAGTTTCAACCATCGTGGATTTCGTGATACTTTTATGCTCGACCGAGTTTGTTGTTTTTCTTGAAACCGAGAGAACGTTATCACCGCGGTCTGATTGCGGATCTTGGCTTTTTGCGTATCACCGCGGCATGCCGTAGGTTAGATTAGGAAGAAAGGGGATTTGATTGGGGGTGGCATTTCACCACCGCGGCATACCTACGGCATGCCGCGGATCGCTTATCTTCGTCTCCTTTTCATCCCGACTGGACCGCGGGGATGAGTACAAAATCTGCAGTCAAAGCTCTATAAAGATATCGCATCATCTTTAGTGAGAATTGCGATCTCACAGCTAGAAACACAAGCAAGCCAGTGGATTTCTTTGACAAGTCGACTCTAGCAAACAAGCCTACAGCCCTCTCACCAACTCTCGAAGTAAAGACCTTACCTTCGAAGAACAGCACCACGCAAACCTCCGCAATGGAGCAAAGTACCCTCATCCGCCGAGGCGTCGGTCTCCGCGGCATAGACACTACGCTCGTCTCCCCAGGCTACACCCTAATTGCCCACCTCACTTCTCCTGGCGTTATTCGGCTCATCTCCACAGATGGAACTGAAGCGCACCGCTGGACTCTCCCCTTTCGCCCGGGTCGACATGCCCGCATCCTGCCAAACGGAAACCTAGCCTACAATGGCGTGCACCCCGACTCTCCCCGCCTGTTTCCCCTCTGGCAGAAATACAGGGGTGGGGTAATGATGCAGGTTGATCCCGCTGGAAATGTGGTTTCCGAACATCGAGATCCCATGGCCCACCATGATCAGCACCACCTCGGCAACGGCGAAATACTCTATACAACGTTAGAAGCGCTTACGCCTGAACAAGCAGCCACCATCCCTGGAGGCATTCCGGACAGTGAGGCACCGGATGGGAAAGCGTATGCGGATTGCATCAAGCACGTTTCCTCCACCGGCTCGCTCCTCTGGTCATGGAAGGCTATCGAGCACCTGGATCCCAAACTCTTCCCTCTGCACCCTCATTACGCTCGCGAACACTGGCCTCTCATCAACTCCGTCTTCCCACTCAAGGATGGCAACATCCTCGCCTCTCTCCGCTCTGTATCCGCCGTCATCATCATTGAGAGAGAAACAGGGAAGGTGATCTGGCACCTCGATGATTCAGTCCTCGCACAGCAACACTGTGCGTCCGAGCTCCCCAACGGCAACATCCTCATCTTCGACAACGGCACCTTCAGAAAAGGAGAATCCGCGACCTACTCCCGCGTCATCGAAGTCTCGCGCGCCTCTCGATCCATCGTCTGGCAATACAGGGATCCGCACCCGATGACGTTCTTCACGCCGTTCATGGGCGGCGCCCAGCGGTTGGGAAATGGGAATACGCTGATCACCGAAGCGGCGTTTGGTAGGGTGTTCGAGGTTACGAGGGAGGGCAGCTTGTGTTGGGAGTGGGTTAATGAGGAGTTTGCGGATTACAAGGGGCTGGGTGCTGAGGAGATTGAGGGGTTGTTTGATTATCCTGCTAATGCGCTGTTCAGAGCGTATAAGTATACGCCAGAGGAGATTCCGTGGTTGGCGGAGAAATAGTTGGGCTGGGATTGGCGTTTGGGAACTATAGAGATGTGAGGATAGTTGGAAACGTTTCTCTTTGGGATTAATAGACTTAGAATTAAGGTTTTGCTTTGAAACAATTGGATTACAATAAGTAAAGACGCCGAACTCCTGGTTCCGTTTCTCCGAGTGCCATCATTATTCGTCTCGGTTCAGTCCCTTGTCGTGATTAATATGATCCAACTCAATTATGCTCCGAATACACCCACCTCTGGCGTCTTCCTTGATCTCTTCAAGATTTCGGCGCTTTAATATCTGCTCTTCCCACAGCCGGTTCAGATCCAGCTCTTCCTCCATGTACTCACTTATTCTAGTATCATCCCAAGGAAACACGTTACTCTTCTTCGCCGCTGCCCGTGCTACATCTAATCCTAGATCAGGCAATTCTCTAAAAAGATCACTCCACCGACTATACTCAGGATCCTCCACCCCATACTTCTCAAACGGATTCCTACAAGCCACAGACTCGGCAATAAATCTCTTGAGATTCGTCTCCTCGTCACCGAGCCCGTAGATAAACCTCACACTGTCAACCGACGGCCACGCATTCGCCGCATTCCCATCCTGGCACCGAACGCGCCAGTCCTCCCAGACGATGAAATTCTGGAACCCAGGCGCCTCCAGGAACCGGCCGAGCACCCACGCGTTTTCGCCAAAGTGCCGCGTGTCCGAGTGGATGACTTCGGCATCGAACGGCATGAGCCTGCCGTGTGTCATCCAGCACACGAACTCCGCGAACATGGCCGCGTCGACCTTGGGCAGGGAGAGCTGCTTGCTGTCCACGTCCTGCTCATCGTACAGCTCCTCGAGGTCGGCGAACTTGTTCCGGAAGAGCCCGGAATGGAGACCCAGCAGGAATTTATCCACATAGAAGGTCTTCTGGTTGGCTCCTACCGAGATGGGAATCTTTTCGCTCCATGGAGACGCTCTGTGTGGTGTTTTTTAATAAAAAAAGAATCGTGGATTTAATGGCATGGGTTTTATATGCGAGGCTGGCTGGCTTACCTGGCGACAATGTTTTTATGGACGATTAGCTTCTGCTCGCGCGCGCATTCAAACGCGCTTGCATGCCCGTACTCTTCTTCGCATGTACAGACAAATCTCACGTGTATTCTGTCCCCGTTGTCCTCTAGCCCGTTACTGGCGGCTTTCCTCTTCTTCGGTGGCATGGTCCTGTATCTAATCGTTGCGAGAGATCCCCTTAGCCCGTTGAGTGACGGGGGTAATGTGTTGATGGAGCCGAAGAAGCTCCTTGATTGATTGATGGAAAATGGGAAGGAGAGGTCATGATCAGTCATTCGGGATTCATCGAGGCATCGCCAACCGCTAGGGCGATGCACAAGGCGCTTACTGTAAGATGTTCATAGGGGGGCTTAGCGAGCAGTAGCGAATGTTTGCAGGGGGTATGCTCCTCGAAACCCTCCCCACCCTTTGGAAATTTTACAGGGCAAATGTTGGAAGGAGAATTCGTTTTGGTATTTGTGAACCCTCTCGCTCTTGATTTTGGTAATTTCCAATTCCTATGTGCTCAAGGCCAGGAAACCCCGAAAGTGCTTGTAAGATTATGTTTCGCTCATTGCACTTCCCTACCCGGGTGCCAAGTCTCAAGTGATGACATTATTTGCCTTCTCTTTCCTGCCTTAATTGCGCATCAGATGATTTCAACTCAATACTTCTTGGGCACTCGCTTCTAGCAGCCTTCTTGATCTGGTCGAGGTTTTTCGTGGCCAATGTCTACTCCTCCCAGAGCCGCCTCCAGTGGGATTTTCGGCCTCCATGTACATACCCCGATTCCCGTCGTCCCACGGATATGTCCCCTTCCAATCCTCACTAAGTATGTCTACCGAATCGATGTCATCACTCAAGTCAGCGGCAACCTCATCCGTGAGAAATTCCTCCCATCCATCGTATTCTTCATCAGGCTCATCATCAAGATCATCTAGGTTCCTACGAGTTACTTCGGTTAGGGAGAAGCCAGCAATCGCTCCATACACATTGTTTCCAAACAAATGGGAGATTATCTCAAACGAATACCATGAGATAAATAGACAAAGAACAAGGTTTCTCTCCCGGCACTTACAGAGTGAGCCGCAAATTCTCGTAATTTTGCACCTTTGCTGATATGTCGATAGATCGCAGCTACTTCTTCGCGAACGGGCCATGCGTTAGCCTTGTCCTTGCAGTAGCTCAAAATATCATCTATTGCAAAATTCGAAATCCTGAGGCTCGCAAGAACGCTCCAAGTTGCCAAAGTCTCCCGTCCAGGATATTCATATCGGCATGAAGAACCACGTTATTGACAGGCTGAAGCTGTAACCGAGAAACCAGCAAGCAAATTCTGCAAACTCGGATACATCGACGCTGGGAAGCGAGGTCTCCTGGTCCTTATTCTGCTTATTTTCAGCTAGCCTGTCTTTGAAATAGCCTGAGTGAAGAGCAAGGAAGTTTTTTTTGGATGTGAAATATGGGTCGATTTGCGCTAAGAATTTGAATCGTCTTGCGAAAGGGAGAAATCTTGTGAATAGTGAGTATGGCACAGGTAGTGACAAGAATAGTTGGAGAGAGAGAGTAATTTACTTATGGGCATTGTTGCAATGAATTATACTCTTCATGTCTCGCTCGCACTCGATCGCGCTTTCGTGAGAGACATTACATTGGCAAGTTAACCGGATCGCTTCAAAAATGCCTTAAATATTTTAATAAACAATATAAGCAGTATAGATATTAGCTTGGCTACTATATTACTTAGTATAAATTATATAAAGTATAAAGAGGTAACTTATACTTATTAAGTTAAGATTATATTAATAACCTTAGAGAGAAATAAGATATTAGAGGTATTAGAAGTATAAGAACCCTTAATTTTAATATTAAAAGAAGTAATATTAGCAATATTAAAAGTATTTTATTATTAAGAACTACTAGTAATAATAAATAGCTATAATTTATTACTTCTTATATAAAGGAAGTAATATATTATTATAGCTATTAAGGCAAGTTTAGATTATTAAATCTTATTAAACTTGCTATTACTAAGCCGTTATTTTATTTATCTTTAGAGCTTAAATAATATATAAAAGGCATAAAAGATATAAAGAGAGAATATATAATAGAGAGAGTATTTATAAGTTAAAGAAGAGGGCTAGGTAATTAAGAGCTTATTTTAAAGGTATTTGAGACTATTAGTAACTATAATGGGAGTATAAATGACTCAAATTAAGCTATAGTAAGTCATATAAAGCTATAATTCACATGGTTATTTAGTGAAGTTAATGAAGTATTTAGTAAATACCTTAGAAATAAGGCAAAATACGCCACTGACCCCTTTGGTCGTTGTGGTTAATTAGACTAATAGTGAAAAACACGAGGCGAAGCGGTACCCTACTACATAAGCAAATATATGATTTCCCGAATTCTCGATAGTATTATAAAAAGCTTATCTCACACATCCTAACCCCTAGCCCATTATTAATTAATAAGAGCACTTTTCTTTTAGTATATCCGATAACTTGAAAGTCATATCCTAGATCTAGCATAAAGTGTAATAATAAAGGGCTGTAAGAGGGAAAGGAGACAAATCATGCCCTAATTACGTAAAATAGTATCTAAGTATTAATATGTGACAACCATAACTATCACCGCCTATCCACTTTCACGCCCGCCGAAGTAGTTATCGCATCCGCCTCATCGCACTAATATTCATTACTGCAGGCTGAAATTGTAGGGAACTTAGGAAAGTGGCCATGCGTTACCTTTCTCGTCCACGATTCTCATTTGATATGAATCCGCTCGAGCTTCATGTCTTTGGGTAAGGTCTTCATGTCCATAATTCCTTCCACATAAACATGACTGATTAGACAGTAGTGATCTTCGCGTTTCTCAAGGACGTAAGGAACAAAAGCACCTCCAAGGATTGTGACTACATGACCACGCTTCACGACTCCCTCTGGCACCCTTCCTAGATACCCCCTTTTGGTCAAAATCAGATCTTCTTTGGTGTATGATCGATATTCTTCTTTTACAATGGCAGTCTCGATATGCTCAGCGCATAACTCGCGAAGTTGTCTCGTCAATGCATTGTTTTGGGAGTGTCGAATAGTTAGTACGGCGTGCACCCACATCTCGAAGCCTTTTGGAAGCGTATGAGGCATCGATGTCAGGCAACCTTGGAACATCATGAGATCGACCCAGCAGACGGCGAGGTAAAGTTTCTCTCCCGGCGGACTTGACGGACGTGGCCGGATACGTGAATGAGGCTTGAAAACTGACCATAGGGCCTCTAGACACAGGATAGAGCTATCTAGAGGATGAGGGGGCAAGACGACACAATCTAGGGCATATATCAACTGTTCTAGATCCGTCAGAACCGATGCCAGGAGCGTTACAAAGCGGATTATTTTCTTGCTGATATTGATGATTGCCAAAGATATGGGTGCTGCATCCTCAAGACTCCCATTGCTACGGCCCAAGTAGGAACCGAAAGGTCCGTATATAGTTTTGCCCAAGAGGCCATCAGCCAATCTTGAGAAAATTTCGATGAGTTTATCTCCTCCTTCCATGGGAAGAATATGGTCTGCTTCATCAAGAATGTGACCTTGCACGCAGAGAGACTGGCCATATATCGTTGGATGCCCTGAAAATAAACCCGCAAACGCGCCGCTGTAGTACTCAGTTGCTGCTTCGGTAGGGGCAGCAGTCCAGTCAGGAACCCAAGAAGGTAACGACTTCATAGTGCGCCTGCTAGATAGAGTTTGGGTACCCAAAAGGTACAAATCCTGACGTTCATTGATAATTGAAGTTGCGGTTTCAAGGAAAACCTCCTCTGCCTTCTTTCTGCAGTCAGGTATAATTGCAGGAACACTCGAAGATCTTACTTTGACTAGCCCCAAAGCGGCGTAAATATGATCTTGAGGATAAGTTTGCTTGCAGTAGTTGAAAGTAGCCAGAACGGAAGCAAGATCCCAGGCAACCTCTGGATCTTTGTAACGTCGTCGAGCATCCTTGATTCCAGAAAAAGCAAGTCCGGAGTCAAGCTGAGAATGTTCATTTCTAGAGTGAAAGAGTAGCACAGATCGTCCTTCATAAGCGCGGGCAAACACCTCCCAGGGGATTGCCCATTCCGTGCAGACGATGAACACTTCCCGTCCCACAGCGACCTCTTGTATGACCCATGATCTACTAAAATAGCTACTAGCAAACATGCCGTCAATCTTCTTCCACAATTTTCTATCTTTAAATCTGAAGATAACGTCATCACTCAGTTTTGGACGTCGAGGAAGAGTGTAAGGCTTTACTGCCTGAGGACTGTCAGGCCGTATCGAGGTCAAAAACGCATCCTTATCAGATGTGAACAGAGAACTTTTTGGTCGTTCTCTCAGTATCTGCGCAATTCCTGGAACCATAGTTTCGTGTAGATGACCTTCGAGTCGCTGTAGACACATCAAAGCCAATGATTGAATGACCTCAAGAGCCGCCTTAGTCATAACGCTGCCTTCTCCCAACTAGACAAGGACGATAGTCGCACCGGAGTATATATCGCGCATCATAGGAATCTGTTTGCTCTTTTCGTCTATATCCTCTTGATTGATGCAAAGTGCATCAACCCAGAGCCATCTCGGCTTATCCGGGTGCCGAAGAGCTTTCAAGGCTCTAATCAAATTTTTTGTTGCTGCGATTGAGAAAGATCCACATTGTACGGTTTCGCTACCCTCCTCCGATTTCCATTCATAAGACAAAGCTTCATATCTAACACTTGCATCGAGTATGACATGCTTTAGGCTGATAATGATCCGCTGAGTCTTCTTGCCAGGTTGTAATCCCAATAGCCTTATCTCATCATCTCGGGTCAGCGGACTGTACGCTGAGGGCTCAAGCATGTTGATATGGAGTTGTTAACAAATATTGGGTATATTAAGCTTGTCGGCGTATGATGTGATTTATTGTGGGAAAGAGGTAGTGGAAATAAAATTTGGTTTCGAGTCTCAAAATCTTCGCAAGGCTGGATCTTTAGGCTGCTGTTGCGTAGCTTCTCAAGCATTGGTCGAAACTCGGCACGTGAAATGCTGCTGATTTGATGCTGGAACCTTCTGAATACTTCTCTTTGGTAAACCTAACTTAGCACATATACGGATGGGTATAGAAGTAACAAGTTTTATAGTTCTTCCTAAAAGCAGGTCAATGACTTAATCAGATGATGCATATTAGGGAATAAAATTTGAGGCTGTCGCCAAGGCTGAGCTGAACGAGGGTCGATGGTTGCAAGAATGTGGTGGAATGGTGCTGTGCTTTTCCGTTGACTATATCCTGCTTTGTGGCCCTCGAATATCCTTTATCCGGGAGAAAGGACGTTTTTTGTTGGTTATTTGTAGCTCATAAACGGTCAATTTCCATTTTTAGGGAGCCCTGAACATAATCACGTGTATGCCATGACATAGAATTTGGGAGAAAGTGTGACAGTGAAGGTCTGCAAAAGGAGAAATAGACAAAACTATCTTCTTCGATATATATATTACTTAAAATAAAAAGAATAAGATAATATACTTAACGCTCTCACGAATCAGCACGATCTCGCCTACAGAATCCTTCCGCGAACAACGACAACCGCCCCCGAAACGGCAAATATTTCGGATATAGGTATAGCAAAGCCCATAGGATGTGAAGGTAAAGCCTGTTAATCGCTAGCCTGGGTTTTTCTTTTGTGGTGTTTTCCCAATGTATAATCCCATTATCCTTACTGGCTCTGAATTGCCGCTAGCGTGTCTATCTTCACAGCCAATTATCTCGCGCCACAGATGCATGGCATCTACGTTTTGTCAAGAGAGCTGGAATACCGTTGCTTTGCCGAAGCCAGCACTTTTGTCTGAACAGGATCTGACACCAAAGCTTCCAGAGAAGATACTGAAATTATGTTTGAATTCAACCTATAATTACATCGCATATAAAAGCTTTTCCAATTGGCTAAACCCTATTGGAGGAACCTAAGCTCCGGGATTACTACGGAGATCTCGGCGTCTTGCCAGAGTCGAGTACCCGACAGATCAAAAAAGCTTTTCATAAACTGGCAATACGTTACCATCCCGATAAAAGTGCTTCTGGGGGTTCGAATAATGTTGAGGAATCCTGCAAGGCGAGTATATATGAATTGATTTTTCGTTGGTGCTATATATTAGAGGACCAGAAAGCTGACGCGACACTTCTCTGAGCCAGTAGCTGATCCATAGTATCGCTTAAGCTGATCAATATTAGCAATTAGCGAGAATACCCTTATATTTTCCATAATATGGATCAACTTTCCTTACCAAAAACCACACTATATCTACTAACTTAAATAATACATAGACACTTATCCTTGTTCACACCCTCCTTCCATCCCCGATCTCCTCCCAACGGCCCGCCAGGCGCCCGCTAGGCATACTCCTAGCATATACTTAACCATTATTACTAAGAAGCATATAAATAAGTTAGAATGCTTTACTATTGCTATTGCTCTAGCATATGCTTGATATATGAAACTTATATACTTGGAATATAAGGTAAATTAGAATATATCTTGCTTTACTATTATTATTATTTGTAATATATACTCGGCATATGAAATCCATATACTTAGCATATATTTAATCTTTCTTACTAACAAGTATATAAGCAAGTTAAAATGCTTTACTATTACTATTACTCTAGCATATGCTTGGCATATAAAACCCATATACTTAGTATATGCTAACCCTAACCCATAGTACGCTTTAATATATCCCAATGCGAAGGGCTCTCACTGCCCCCCAATCCGCCGGAACTAACCCAGACCCTAACCCCTGACCCTAAGGCTCCTCGCAAGCTCGGGGCTAACCCGAACCTTCCTAGCCCGTATAGCCTATATATATGCAGAGCATAAGGAGGGTATATGCGGAGTACATGCCTAAAATATAACTGCCACAAAACCTATTCATTTGCTCGTCTACTGTCTCGTTTCTTTAAGCGATAATAGTGATTAGCTAAATAAACGAGCATATGCAGAGATTGATAATATCGATTAGCTTAAGCAATACTATGGATCAACTAAAACCTCCACTTTCTGCAGGCCGAGAAGCCCAAGAAATCCTTTGTACTAAAGAGAAGCGACTATAGTAGAATAGGCAGTAACCTAGAATACGAGAAGAACGGGCCCGTATTTTATAGCTCATGTCGAGAAAGACAAGAACCCGGTCTTGCCCATCCCTTGTCAGCATCGGCAGTTGGGATTGAACCCGGCATTCTCGTAACTCGGGTTGATCGTAAATTCTCACCAATCACGTCGTCCGATGAACGAGAACGGGACTAACCCACGATGATCGACCACAAATGCTAGGGTCCCACGCTGCAGAACTTATGTGAGCATCAGCAAACTTCATATACCAGTTTACGTCTTTCCAGTGTCTCCCTCTGTCCCGTTCTTGTATACTTCCAAACAGCTCCTTTCTGCCTCGGGGGTTCCTGTATTCATCAAATCTTCGCACAAAAGACTGTCTTACAAGTCCTAGGGCAGTGGCATCATTTTCCAATGAACTCTTAGCCATTCTTGATGGCGTGATATCCATTTCTACACAAGCTCTCACTTCCACGTATCGACAGGGCATTCTCTATAGTGCGGAGGCGTTCGACAATATTGTCCAGAGTTGCGATGGAGCATCGCCAAAGGAGAAAGTCTCTGCCGCGTCTAAGGTCTGCACTATTCTGTTTAGTCTTTTGTCACGTGCTACGCACAGGCCACACATAGGCCTATATATAGCTATTTCCCCGCCTTCAGGGCACCATCATTCCTTACTATTATACCAATATACACCCATATTATCCGCACAAGCCTCTTCAGGCCTTGACATCTTTAGAGAACGAGCTGTCGTGCCTGAGATGCCATTCTATGAACATGAGAAGCAAAGGAACTGGTCAGTGTAATTCTTAACGTCGCGCTCTGTCCATAATTTGTAAATCAAGGTCGACCCTTTGTTGGCTCCCATCAGCCTGCTTCTTGAAAACTCAAAATACTCGAGGAGTGGCACTCGCTTTGAAAATCGTTACTCGACTTCAAGCACCTTTTGCGGTTCGCTCAGGAGGTCATTCCCCCAATCCAAGTTTCGGGAGCATTGACCCGGGTATTTTGATAGACCTGAGCTCGCTCAATGATATTGTCTTGTCCCCGGATCACAGGGTCATGTCCGTAGGGCCTGGTGCAAAATGGGAAATGATTTATGAGGAGCTCGAGAAGCATGAATTGACCGTCGCGGGAGGCAGAGCGACCGGTGTGGGTGTTGGAGGACTCATTACCGGAGGTAAGGGTCTTCATATGGCATATTTTCATCATCTTTAGCCTCAAATGCTAACGCTCTCATAATCAGGATGAATGAGCCACTTCAGTAACTTCTGGGGGTTAGCTTGCGACCAAGTGAAGGAATTCGAGTCAAGGAGTTCCCCAAAAAGCCTTTTAACCTTCTGACTGGTAATCAGGTGGTTTTGGCCAACTCAACTGTTGTCTACGCAAATGAAACAGAGAATGCCGATCTCTTTCGGACTCTGAAGGGCGGAGGAGCAAGCTTTGGTATGGACAAAGGGACACAATCTGTCTGTCATCCTTGCTGATGCTCTCTCCACCCACAGGAATCGTGACCCGATTTGACCTCTATACCAATCCCTAGTACCGTGTTTGGTTTTCTCCCAAAGCATACAGTGCTATTGACGTCGTTCAAGTTATGAGTGCAATCATCTCGGTTCAGAAAGCAATGGAAGAAAACGATAAAATTGGCTTGGTTGTTTCTGTTCTCAAAGATATGTTTGTCGCATGTTTCCTTTACAGGGGCTGGGATGTTCCAAATGCATTTGAGGCTTTCAACAGTACACCAACAATGGCGATCCTTATGCCCGAGACTAGAGGCACGCAGCAATCTATGTCACGGGCCCTCAGTATTGCTTCGAATGCGAAGTATGTAAATCATGCCGCGATCTTCCTGAGATCAACTGACCAGGCATTTCCTCTTACAGACGAGCATGTGGCGCTGCTTCTGTGATGATGGATGCAGATCTTTATGTGGAGCTCGACAAAGTTCTCAATCGCTTTGTTACCATTGATTCCTACTCGCTGGCATTCCATATCCAGCCGTTTGGCGCATCCGCGGTTAAAAAAGGAGAAGATCGTAGAGGGAACTCGTTGGGCATTTCTCCTGTAAACCAAGCATGTATGTCAATAAGCTGACCCTCTCATATCGAGTCTGGCCTGGAATGCGCGGTTTGCTCACGTCTTCTCTAGGGCTGGGCGTTGTTGGAGAATGGAAAGACGATATGGATGATGAACTAGTCATTACCCAAACCCATCAGCTCATCTCTTCTATCGAAGAAACTGCTCGAGCTCGTGGACTCCTTTTAGAGTTCAAGTTCATGAATGATGCATCTTACACACAATCTCCGTTCGTGGCAAGCACTCTGAGTTCTCTCAAGGTGGCGAGTGAGAAATGGGACCCCGAAGGTGTTTTTCAACGGTTGCAGAACTCTGGCTTCCTTGTATCAAAGGCATAGGTGTTTTAGTTTCTTGGTGTCCTTCGTTCAGTCTTAGAGGGAGCAAGGATCGTCTTTTAGTTTTAAGGGGAAGAAGCGTTTAGGTCAAGGATGCTTGAGAATATTTCGGGACGGGCGGGGGTTGTTTTTAGCAGTGACTAAATTAGCTTTCATTTCTGCTTATAAATTACCTATCGATGTATCGCTGCTTTGCAAATATTGCTTTCCTACAGCCTGGAACCGTACGTAGTCTTGTGCAAGCCTTGAAAGGGTTCAGTCGTAGCGAATAAAGCCTGGGATAGGGCGGGAGCTTAGGCAGTTTAGCGCTCTTTCAGGCATTGATACCCTCGAAGGTGGGAGTGCGGGGTAACTGCGGGGTAAAAATGGTCACATGATACCTTTTTCACCGCCTCCGGGGCTTACTCTACTACTAGAAGACTACCCTGCTGTATATGGTACTCACATCATATTAAGCAATGGTATGGGGCTGATGATGAGAGCACTAGATGCTGGTGGATGCTACTGCTGTCGTCGTGAGTCTTGCCGAAGAAAGATTGCTTAAATCCAGGGGCCAGCCCTACCCTCCCCGATATCACCAAATGATCAGTCACCCCTCTCCGTCTGATGAGTCGCGTGCTCCAGGTTGAGTCAACTTCTGTTGTTCTGGGGGCCCGGTCTGAAAAGATTCCGCTTTGGCGTTTGAGGGTGTATCCCGATTAGGTTTTCCAACACTCGGGCACTCACGCCCGAGTTATGTGTGGTTGCCTGAGTTGTCAGATCTACGAGGCAAGCTGCTGCCTAGTCAGCTAGCAACTGAAGAAGATCGTTAATATCTGAATTACTGATGGAGTCTAGGGCTTGCACTGCCTCACTGGTTTTTGCAATTTCGTCGTAACTCGCAACTGAGCTATTTCTTCGAAACGATCACCATCCTGAGGAAATTAAAAAAACATCTTTCATGCATTTTCTTTTGACTCTATTTATGCCTAAGCGCGGCACAGTGGCTGTTGAGAGCCCATCTGGTCACCTGGTCTGCCTTGCCGGCCGCCTGGTTTTCAAAAACTGGCCACATGCCAAAAAGCCATCTACCTCACGAGGTACTCAGAGCTAATAGATAGAATTTAAATTTAAATTTTGAAGGAATTTTCTAGGAAATTCCTTGTATGCCCTCGTCCGAGATTCATATTCCGTCGCTGGGGTAAGTCTCCCTATCTCACAAAGTGTTCGGGAGTTTTTGCATTTCCCCTCACAGCGAGATCAGCCCAGGAGGACACGCGACCTTGCGTTGGCTTCCCAGCCTTATGCTCTCTCCAGTCCGAATGTGCCGCCCTGAACTTGATTTGAGTATCGAGCTAATACGGGAAAAGACCCCTGTATATTCACACAACCCTGCCTGAAACCACCCCACCTGAGTCAGGCTCTCCCCAGAACCCGGGAGGGAGGTGACAGATGCTAGGCTGAGTCTACGCACCGCGAATACTTTATGAAGCGATACCCCCCCTGAAATCGTTGTCAAACAATCCGAGTGAATATCCACATGATAATGGGGAGAAAGTACTTGCGAGATTTTCTGGAGACACACCTCGAACAAAATGCAGATACCGATTCATGTCCAACGACTCTTAGACCGTGCCGATTTCCAGCATGTCAGCTCTGAGTGCCACGAGAACTGGACTTACACGGTTTGTGCATTCACTCTTCAGCAAAGAACGTTGCTAATTATGGGAAACTAGCGCAGGGAGCGGAATCAAGAGATCAGATGGTCTGAATCTCCTGCTCCCGAATTCCTCAAACACCACGAGGATCTTAAAGAATGGCTTGAGCGCAAGGTTCGTAGACACACAACTGACTGAAAATTAAAGCCACAAGACAAGTATCTAAAAATGCTCCAGGGCCCCAATGGCATTCATTTCAAGCCGCCAAAGTCTCAAAGATTCGAGGATGCTAAGCTTGTCGGAGGGTTTCGAATATTGTATGTATACAATCGCGACATAGCAGTAAGCCAAGCTGACACATATCACAGGATTCAACGCACTAGAATAAAGCGTGAATTGGATGGCCGCTGTAAAAATGCGACGTCTGCAGTTAAGCCTCAATCCCATCTTACGATGCAGTGGAAGGACCCAACGACGTTTCACCGAGTTGCCGCGGCCTTGAATTTCCTGCCGACATATGTCTCTGCATTATATCATGCTTCTGGGCATGCAGAATTATCGACATTCATTAAATCCGGGCAGGAAAATGAATGCATAGGTAAATCATTTCTTCCCATTGTCGATGGTCTTCTCATAAAGCTGGCACCCAGGTTTCCTCGCACAGAATACCGACTATAATTGGGACCCTTGGTCCCTTGCACTTTGTTACGACCCTCAGACTAGAATTACCACTGGGAACTTTTGTGCAGAGCAAGAGAAAGGCATTAATGTTAATGCAATCATCGACGAACTCAAGCATGAGACCTCCCCCTCTACGCACCCAGCACTGCTGCCAGTCATCATGTTCGAAAGACTCCTTCAAAGCAGTTTTTCTCACTACGCTCGTCTCCACAAATCAATGTGTGATCTGGAGGACGAGTTGAAGCTTGCTGAGTGCAAAGGTTGCACCTCTGACGAAGATCTCAAGTACCGCGACTGGTCTAGGCGTCTCAATACCCTCAAGAAGGAACAAGCTTCGCGTGACGGGCGACACCAGTTCTGGAGGCACTTCCATCGCGAGATACTCAACCTCCTCAGAAATGTTTCCCGGGAGAGCAAGAAGAAGAGCCTGAAGTTCGAGCATCTCGAGTTGGAAAACAGGATTCGAACGATCGGTGGGAAATTTGAGAGCTTGGAGGGCAGAGACGCCAATAGCAAGCGCAGGATTGATGCTCAATTGGAATTTGTAAGGCCCCTTTGCAAACGGCATGAAAGTTTAGTATTAACCCAGAGATTACAGCTCTACAACATTATCCAACAGAACGAAAGTAGATCGCAGTTTCACATCGCAGCAGCCATGAGCAAAGACAGTTCAGAGGTTGCCTTTCTAACGTGGTTGGGTGCTCTTTTCTTGCCTGCCAGCGTAGTCGGAGTAAGTTTTTGTTTTTGTTTTTGCCTCTCATTCCGCTGCTTGCCCCTAAATGTTCTTATATATCTGATATTAAATCCATGAGCAGTCTTTCCTGGGTATACAGTCAATTTCCCTCAAATCCAATCCCGAGATTGCACTATGGTTCTTTTCCGGCACAATTATCTTGATCGCCGCTGTCTTCAGCGTCACTCCTCTCAAGATGATGCGACGAAGATGGATAGAACGCAGCCATACTAATGCAGTAGCACACCCAGGGAACACTCAGGACTGTCAACCCAGATTCGTACCCAAGTAAGTTGCGCTTCAATACTCCCATACTCCTGGGATGCAATTAGATGCATACTGATCCCTATTTGGAAACTCTAGCATGTTAACCTCTAAGACGTTCAGTTCAAGATCATTCAAGGGGGAATTCGAGTTGGACGGAATTACCACAGTTTGAGTTGTATTTTTGTACCCATTAGTTGGAAGGAGTACTGAGAGGGAGGGAGGTCTAAGCACATTATTTTGGTAGGAATAACAACTAGCAACAGGGGCGTCTGCGTACTGCCTTTAGCTGAAGCGATCTTCCCGCAGGGTCGTCGTCGTCCGTGGACGTACAGTACCTCGCTGCACCTGCCTGTGTTTGCAATCGAGTTCAAATTTTTTATTGTGGTTGCCTATGACCAAGATATTAATTTGAAGACTATATTGTTAAAGATTATTCAAGGTATGATGGAGACTGAAAGCCAAGCAGATAGCGAGGCCGCCGGTCCTCTCAATTATAATGCAATTTCGTTCGGCTTCCTCCTCTAGGATCAGTTCCAACACTTCCGACTTGAAATACGTTCCAATAGAGAAGCCATTCTCTACTGAAAGCAGTGAGAAGTGAATTAGCACTTACTGGCTTTATGGCACTTCCGGTACCTGTTGATCTGGTTTTTGTGCAGAATAATTGAAGTGTTCTCAGGTTAAGTCGAACCTAAACGAATCTTCATATCGGTGGCGGTTTAATTTACAAGTAGAAGCAGTCCCATGTTCAATGTAGGTCACCTACCGCGATCTGTCACTCTAGGTGATCAGTAGGTAATGTCTCATGTTGTACTTGGGCCATCAACAAACGTCAGGTTGAATCAAGACCTCGCCGTCCAAGCAAGCATCGCGGCTGGAGGCTTCGATAAAAACAAAGGGGGCATTAAATTCGCCTTCGGTGGCAACGTCCGAGAGGATAGATTATGTACTTTTACTTGCATGGTCAGTTATCAGTTCAGATCAAGGGTCCGCAGACTCTCTGCACCTCCTGGTGCCGTGATTCCTTTATCCCCTTGGGTTTTGGAGCACGTGCTAAAGTACAACGAATCCGAACTTGTCAGTTTGACGTTAGCACTTTAGCATCTTTCTTATGAAATGGCGGTGGTTGGCGGGAGAAGTCATTTTCGGGTTGAAGACAGCAAATCGGAAGAGTTCCAGAAATTGTAGGAACCATGTTCCCGGTTGGGTAATGTAGAAGAACCCACGAGGGTGGCCTGCTTCGGATAGAAAGGAGGCAACGATTCAATCTTCGTTTGGCAAATAAAAGTCATCCCTTGCGTTTATCATTGGGTGGTTGTCTCGAAATGAAAACTGGTGTTGTCACTCGCTAGGACCAGGCCTTTAAGACTTTATGGTAGCAGGGGAGGGGTCAATATAAACTGTCCCCGCAAATCTTAAATCGGCCGCCGGCTCAAAATGGAGCCTGGCACCAAACTCAGTCAAAGCTCCAGCGATTGGCGGTCTTGGAAAACTATGGGTGGGAACGTCTAAAAGGTGGTGACGGTCAGGTGGCCACGCGATCCTCGACATTTGAAGGCCAAGGACGCCTGACCGAACGCCAAACCCAGGATTTTCGTCGCGGTGGGACTTTCAGGTAGCCGTTTGGTGTATGTAGTACTTCACGGTCAGAACGTACACCGACTTACACTATCGAAACGCTGCTTACTTTTCATTCCCGCAAACTCATTAATTTTAGCGTCGAGTTACGGGAAGGGCAATTACGATGCCAGGTACTGACCTATTCGATAATCTATCCGGTTTGAGCCATTGAACCTGGCTTATTTAATGTGGTGACTAATCTATTCAAATTACCTCCATCTACTAGTTACTTGGGTTATAGACAAGGTGCGGAAAGCTAGGTGAGCTTAGGATTTTACAAGCTACAAGACAGTGGATAGGGATTGGAAAGGGGTGACAATTGAGACTGACCGTGAAAACGCACAGGGATAGGGGACACGTACGATGTACAATTACACTCATTGAACTAGAGAAAGTAACAAGAGAGCCCTTATTTCATGAAATTACTTGGCTACTTAACATGTGGAAATAATACCTGATTCCATCCCATCCTTCGAGATAGAAGCCCCAGTTACTCCAGTTATAGTAATATTGACCTTATAACGTACCCGCCCGGAAAGAAGAACTTTCTTTAGTGCAACATTCACAAACATCCTCGTTGGTTCTTTTGTAAGAAGAACAGTAATCCGATCCCTCACATTATCGCTTGCACAAAAGCGACGTTTGTATCTCTCATTCACGTGCCGTAGCTCATTGTCACAGTAAGACCGTACAACTTCTTGCAAATCCTCATTTCCGCCTATTTGGAGTTCGATATCTGACCAAACATGATAGTCTCTGGTCAAGCCGAAAGCCACGATAAACCGCAAATTGGGATTGCCTTCATGTTGGAATTTAAAAGCAGAAGCTCCGGGCGCCCAACGATCCATTTCGCTATACCGATTCTGTTCCTCGTTCTCGCGCTGAAGAAAAGGTGGATATTCTGCTATATCCACTCTCATAAATCCGTAGTCCCTGCATTGCTTATAGGAAGGTGAGAAAGTGACGCCTCGTACTCGAGTATTGTCTGTCAAACTTGAAATGCCAATAAATGCCTTCGGCTCCGCGATATAGATGGTGGTCATCTTGCCAGCATCTGAGCCACCACCTAACGGCAACGAGGGTCTTTCTATTGACCGTGAAATTATGCGAATGTATTGGTCGTTGCTTACTCTACGGAGCACAATACCAAGCCGATGGCCATCGGCCAGAGCAGAGCAGTTTAGATACCCCGTGAAGAATTCATCACGGTGTGGTACTGAGGGAGTAACGACCATTTGAATGCGTAGGCCTCTATTGGTCAAGAAGAACTCGCATTCCTGGCCAGTGGTCCGCACGATAGTCCCGCATCCGACAAAATCAACAGGAGATTCTGCAAACGCGCCTGAGAAACGGAGGCTCAGGCACCGACCATCTGTATAACTCTCGGTCCATGCAAACAGAGATTGGTCGGTCGACCCTTTGATAATTTCGTGTTGGAGACGAAGAAAAGCCTTTTCTCCTTCGCCATATATCATTGGCATATTGACACCAAAAATTCCAAGCAAGCAGTAGCCGAGGTCTTCCACTCGTGTTGTTTGTCTTTTCGCAGCCCATGACATTACTTGTGCAACGCTATATTGTGGGCCTGTCTGGTGCAGCAAGACCGGAACTGGGATATTCGTGATGGAGGAAATGTTTTCAACCAGGCTCGACTTGGTTCCAAAGTCGCTCCATTCCTTATTGAAGAATATAGCGGATTCTGGCGCAATCAGTTCTTGCAAAGTCCATCCCCGCGTAAACCATCTACTCTTATCCATGTCGTGCACGCCCGTAACGTCCGCCAAATAGATATAGCATTCTGTCGCGTCTCTGTACCAATTGAACATCGAGTTGATAGCCTCCGATAACTCCGCGCTATTCGTCTTGTCGATACAACAAGTGTCGATCCATACGTGCCCGAAGCCGTCAGTTGCGGCCTGGGCGCAGCATTTCTGAATCTTGGTGAATCCGGCATAGGAGTGGATCTGCTCTCGTGAGCCATTGATCTGCTGAAAAGACACTTCGTTCTCACCCCACGCGTGGGAAAGAATAGCGTATGGGGGAATTTTTTTGCCGTAGTAGAGCTTGAGCTTAAGGGTCTTGCAGTCCAAGAGCCACATTTCCGATACTCGAGATCATGAAATGGCGGGGTGATCTGATGAAGCCAATCGTTTGACGCTGCGAGGAGGGCAGGTGCGAGAAATCTTTGAGGTTTGAGTGTGGCAGTGAAATGCGCGCTGTGGTGGCTGTGCTGCGGTGGTTGAGCCAGCGAAGTTAAGCGAGCCTCCATCCAATCAGAACACTTCAGCACGCCAGCTTTCTCACAATACTGATTGGCCTGAAGGTGAATACGGTTTACAATACAGCGGGTGTTATCTCTAACAAAACCTCTTTTCAAAAACTTAGTGAATCTCCTATCTCGAACTTTTGAAGTGGTCTCGGCCATCACGAGCGGGCCTTGGAAACCCAGATGTCGTCCCACTGCAACACAAGCCGCTCTTTTCCTCTCTACCAAAACTCTACTCTCTTCTTATCCGCTACGCTGCCACCAAAGTGCGGGTTTTCGATTCTCGCTTAGTTCTAAGGCAAAACTTGGCTCCCCGGCGCTGGCGCATCCGTCTCGATAGCGTTTGAACGCCTCCGAGTTCTACAGGAAGCCCTGATGATCTGACCAAAGGGGTCAAAACATCGTTAGTTCCACTATTTTTAGCGTGGATGTTGTGATCCTTTTGGTCAGATCATTCGTAAGTCCTATTCAGGCATTCCAACGCCGGAATCACGTGCATAGCGCTTGTCCTGGAAGAAATTTCCTGGGAGAAATTTCTTAGGTAATCTCATCGAATCTAAACCTTCCTTCCTTCCAACGCGGTTAACCACTATCGCCGCTCTGCTCAGGTTGATCAGTCACGTGCCTAATCTCGCTTCCATTAGCTAATCATACCTAATTTACTTCCACCAGTTCCCATTCGGCTCTGCCTCGCGAAAGTTGTCAACTCTACACGATTATATTTTAGGGGAACCAAGCGGGCTCCCAAGAAGCCCAAACAAGACCTCTCCTCCACCTTAAAACTACATTCTTCAATCTCTCAAGGCAGATTCTTCTCGTAAGATGGCATTGTCTCGCGTCACCTCCCAAATCTTTGCGCTGGAACAATGGCCCAGGACAGATTCAAGTGGAGGGCTACTTACCCAGTACGCTTAACCTCCCCAGCCAAGGAATAGTATCCCACCTATAATAGGATACTTGCTCTATGTACGTAATAGGAGGTTCGCTGGCTGTTAATAAATACGCGCTGTAGAATTACGTTATATTGTCGTATTAGAAGCCAAGGTAGTTTGGGTTCCAGTATTAAAATTCGTGTACTCCAAAAAATTTATATGAAACATTTATACTTTAAACAAAATCAATCTAGGATGTAGTCTTACAAGCTGATAGTAGTTATAGTTATAGCAACTATTACGAACTTGTAAAGGGAGTTCTAGAGAGTACTTGTAAGAGAAATCATTATATTGCGAATACTAAGCTAAGAAGGAAAAGAAGATCTTGCAAGCTATAATAAGCAGTGACTTGAGAATATTAGGAGGGGTTATAATATAATAGAGAAGGTTACACGTTAGGAGATACAAATAGTTCAAGGATTATATAAACGCTTAAGTATTAAAACTACTAAGATTAAGAAGCATAAACAATTAATACAGTTTGAAACCCCGGCCAAGAAGAATCGAAAATAACTCCTTTGTTAAAGGTTCTTGTCGCTATTAGGAAATGCCCTTAATGCCATTTATACAAGCGCCTCTACTGCATATAAAGTAATTAGGAAATAAATAGTTAAGTAATTGGATTTCTAACTTATAATTTGTTTTATATTTCGTATTAATATACTCCTTTAATAAAGCCCCTTGGTATAACTTGATTCACTGTATTGATTTGAGAATTCCGGAAATAAACTAATGTCTATCCCTGTATTACGAGACGCACCCTATAACAAGACAAATCGTAGGTACTTCGAATTCAAGCAATCCTAAATCTGCAAATATATCAAAATTCCCATACATTTTCTGTTTTAGTTACGTTATATGCCTCTCCCGAATACTTCTGACTTATGAATTCTGAAAACTTTAATCGCATTATCGCTACCCACCTGAATTATAAAGAGCCTCCTTTCCTAATATAATACGACCCCTCGACATATGACATCACCATCAAGCTTTTTTCACCTTTTAAATACATTAAACGATTAGATATAGATATCCAGGTTTTATTATAAAGCTAAAAAGCTATCGCCACGATTATGGCGGCCAGGGCGTGCCATATTATAGAATGTCGCCATATGGGCTGATACCTCCTCCAATCAAGCGAGCAAGGATTCTAGTCACTGGCGGTATGGTTATAGTACGAAGATTGCGGCATAAAGTGACGGGATTACAGGGCATTCGTACTGCAAGTCCATTTTCAAGCCACTTTCTTCCACACTCACCCACTGAAGCCCCCTATATTTCCAGGCTACTCTCCTGTAAGCACGCTATAAACTATAAACAAGGGGTACCACACCTTTAGAAGGCATGTCCCCTGTGCTTACAGGGGCAAAGTCGCTAAAGGGTCCTATAATAGCTCTCTCACAGCGTCCGAGCGCTATAGTTGCTCCGCCAGCAATACCATAACCCCCGAAGATCTTCAAACACCTTGCAAATGTCTCACAGCCCTTGTTTAGGGGTTCAGGCCTAGAGTTACAATGCTTATCCCTTCGTCCGGTGAGACACGGTCCGTACTAGCGGCCGCATCATGCGGATAGCCTGATTGGAGGAGACGGTTGTATTCTTACCTAACAAGGGATAATCGAGTGCGGCCGCTAGTACGGACCATGTCTCACCGGACGAAGGGATAGCGGGTGTAGTACCTTAAACCATACCCTGGAGTCCGCTAAGACCCCTACGCGAGCGTAAATGCGTAATTCCGTCACTTTATGCCGCAATCTTCGTAACCTCGGTGGGATTCTAATAAAATTTGTGGCTGCTAAACGTGTGGCTACGCCATTTGTGGCTGCGCGTACGGAGTAACCGATTTCCAAGGTCAATGCACACCCCAAGCGAATGCACACCCCAAATTTTCAGCCAACCTCGAACTTAATTAATTAATTATTAAATAATCACACTATTAATCGGTCTAAAATTAAAGATATAAAGTAATTGAACTAGACGCATTAAGTTGGCTAACCAGGATTTTCATTTTCTAAGACATTGGGATAAAATAATCTCCCTTCCTGATCGGGAAGTCTATACTACCCCTATAGCTTCAGAATCGTCCTTCTCTACGATTACCGCTTCCTGAGCCCCTAAAATCGATAAAATCGAAGACCCTATCCTTAATATTACTATACGAGATGGTTTGGCTTTCTTAGTAGCATTTCTAGCTACTATAACTGCCTTTCTTATTACTACTCTCTCCAAAACCTCTATTTTATACCTCTCTCTCTTTACTTTATTATTAATCTCTTTTTGCTTTGCCTTTTTTAGCTTCTCTATCTTTTTCTCCTGCTTTTCCAAGGCATCTTTTATTACTTTAGTAATCTTTATATTCTCCTTTGCCTTCTGCTTATCTAATTTATCTTGTTCTGCCTTTATAGCCTTCGTTTCCTCAAATGCTATTATAGCTAGTACTTTAGCTATTCCAAAGAACTAAGCCTTTCCTATAGGCTCTCCTATTAAATTAAGCTTTTTCCCTCGATGTCTCTTCTTCTTTTCAAGCTATAAAGCTTCTTTTAAACCCTCTATACGGTACTCTATAATAGAAGCCTTTACTATATTTAATTCGTTAGCTTTAGTGAGTTTGCGAAAGGCTACTTTAGACGGGTTCTTTGCATATATTTTTGAGAATTACCATATATGTTTTATAGTATAAGAAGTCGCAATTATATTAGAAGAAGCTTTAGGAGAAGTTTATAGTCTTAGTAGAGTAATAACTAATAAGATAATTAATAATTAGTAAGGCCATATATTTGTCTTCTTTCAAGTAAATAAAATATTTGATTTAGATATACTTTTATTCTAAGCAGGCTTGAAAACAGACCAAAATATCCTTTTTATTAAAGAAAAAATACACTTACTAGTATCTAAAAAACTATTAATCTTAGTAGAATAATAAGTGGAAAACGGTAAAAAGGAGCCTATATTAAGAGGCTAAAGATAGTATATTAAATACGGAAGTAAAATAAGAAGCAGAATTTTAAGGCAATTATATATCCGTATAAACTCTATATTAATATGGCTAGAATATTTATCTATAATTAAAAGCCTTCTTTTATATCCTTCTTTTATACGAGTAGTAGGTTTAAAAACCTGAATAAGATAAGCTAGGCTAAGGGTATTAGATAACTATTCATTTATACTAGATATAAACCAAGTATATTTCCTCTCTTTTAAATTATCTAATCAAGTATTCTAAAGATCTCTAGATACTTCTTTATAAATAAAAGCTAGTAGAATCTTTATACTATTCGCGTAAATAAAAGTAAGTAAGCTAATAAACTCTTGTAAATTATCTTGCTTTATTACTATAATTTTTCTATTATTATATACTTGTTTTATTATAATATATTTTATTATATATATAATTCTAATTAAAAAATCTTTCTTGTTCTAATTATATACGTTTTCTGCCGTAATATTATAATCCTTAATTATTTTAATTAACTAAATAGAGAGGAAAGAATATTAGCTATTTTATTTATAAAGTAAGTAGGAAATAAATAGAATACTAAAATTAAATACTACTAAATTAAAAAAGAACTAAATATAGGGCTCATATTCCGATTTTATTCGCAAATTATTAATATTATATAAATAAAGGCTCTTGAGATATAAGAAGTAGTATTAGATAAAATTAGTAATTTAGTTCTTATTTATATTACACCTAATAATCTCTTCTGCGAGGTTTTTAATAATTTGCGAGATAGAAGGAAGCCTATAGACTATAAGCTTATTAATTTGATTAATAAAAACCTCTTCTGATATATTAATAAGAAGTTTATAATATATAGAGGTTATTTTTTATCTAGAGGCATATATTTCTTTATATCTTCGTATAAGGGTTATATGCTTAATACCAAAATCCCTAGCTACCTGGCTATAATTAGGGATTAATTACATATTTAGCGTATTAATCGCCTTCTTAATATCTTGTTTGCTGACTATTTTATCGAATTTTGAAGATGGTGGGGTAATTTTTGGTAAGGTGTGTATTCAGTATGGGTGTGCATTGACCTTGGAATTCGGTTACCTTGCCGGAAAATTCTTGTTTCCCGACATCTTCTGATTAAGTTAGAGCAAAAAGTAGCCCTGTGCGGAGCCAACAAAATCGGCTGTCCCCTTCCTGGGGAAATGCTTCAACCTTCCGACTCTTCACTTCCGGCTTTCACTTCTTCTTCGCTTTGCGCTCTACCTAGAACGAACCTCTTCGATTTTCAGCCAAAGTCTCTAAAGGGAATCCGCTCCCGTTGCAACATTACTGACGAATTTGAAGATAACCTTATGGATGACAGAGTTTATAAAGGTCGAAACGAGAGAAGCCCGGTATCAGCATACAAGATAACGATGACTTAGCAAAGACGTTAAGACCAGTTCAAATGGTGACAATATAGTACGACGGTAACGGGCACAGCAATAAGAGGCAATACTTCCCAAAACGCAGAATAAAAGCACGACGGTAGCGAGCACAATAATGGCGAGCACAATAGCGAAGAGCGGTATAATTAACCGTATAAAAAACCAACGAAGATTAATATTAACTCTACTATATAGCACCAGGTCTCGAATCGAAGCCAGCCTAAACTTGCGTCAAACGGCAATTAGTCTATTAACTCTATTGAAACATTATATAGCAGTCGCCCTCTTCCGCTAATATATCCGCGCCACTGGAGCTCTCTACGGTTCTGGCTCGGTCTTATCTTTAGCAATCTGTGTTCTGCTAGCCTGCATTACTAAAGCACTCGCTAGCTTGGGGGTATTGCTTATCCGCGCCATCTTATTAGTTAGCTCTGGCGCCTCAAGCTCTATACTCTTGCGCTTTCGTCCATATATCGCCGTCTCTACAATATCTTCCTCTGGCCCGGGCGGACTACTTTTCCTCTTCCGACCGCATTTCCCCTTGCCTTTGGCTACTCGGGTAGCTTCTTTTACAATACGCTTCGCTCATACTTTTACGAGATCCTTATGGCTTATAACCTTTGCCTTTCCTAGTACCTATAACTAGATCAATTATCGAACCTTGGCTTTATTATTAATTATGGTCAGGAATTAGATTCGATTCTCTTGGAAGATACTCTAAGTAAAGGATTTCTGGAAAGTTTTAATATATTTTTATAAGTGCCTTATTAGATTTTATTTGCTTATTTTATTAAGTATATAAGTATCTTATTAGATAATTAGGTTTTATAGTAATATAAAAGCCACTGCTAATATTAGTATTATAGGTATTTGCGATTCTATATCTTGCTAATAAGACCCTATCTTTATCTTATTAGCTCTTGAAATAGCTGGTTTGGCTAGGTACTTCTGAGTACCTTATCTAAATTAAGCGGAATTAAACTATATATAGCAAAGCCGGCCTTAATATTCTTTAGTATAAATGCTTCTTCTCTTATAAGGCTATATAAAGAAATAAAGTACTTCTTATTAATTGTATTTATATCTCCTTACTCGAGTTAATTAATCTAGTTATAATAAGCTGCTATAAGTAAAGCAAATACTATTATATTATAATACTAAAGCCTATAAGAGATATAAAAAGGAAAATAATATAAAAGAATATTATTATTAAAATAGAACTTTAAAATTTCGAGAGTCTTATATATTTCAAAGCTATTATAAATTAAGATATATAGTCTTTTATTAGCTTATTTATTTGTTTCGGAATTAAATATATATTTAAGTTACTTAAAGCTAATTATAAAGTTAGTATAACTAGAGTCAAAGTATATATATTATTATTTAGAAATAGAAAACGTGATCTAGTTATTTTAATAAGTATATATAATAATATATAAATAGGTATTAAATATTATAAATCTAGTTTTCTATATTAGGCAAAGCTTATAATTAAAATTACAAGAATTATATAGAATTGCATTTCCTAATTAAGTAAAGGGCTTTATATACTTGGCTAAATACTAGAAAATATATAAGGAGATACTTCTAGCTTTAAAAAAGGGCATTAATTAGTTTTTTATTAGAATTAACTCTTGGAAATTAGTTATATATATAAGTATTACTCTATAGCTTATTTACCTTAATTACTTATATATTACCTTACTATTACGTGCCTTATAGCTAGCTAGATTATTATCGGATTCAAATATCTATTATTACTAATATATTTATAATTATATACCTTTATAATTACGTCTATTATACTTACTTATAAGAACTTTAATAAAGCCTAATATAGAAAGCATTATACTAGTCTCGTTTATATTATATATATTTTTGAGCAAGATAACCGAATCTTATAATACTTCTTTTATTACCTTAAATTAGTATATAATTTTCTTATAAATGTTTTTCTCGTAATAGTTCTAGTCTAATGCCTTAACTCTTTATACTATAAGTTCTAAATAGCGTCTTTCTAGAGCCTTATTTAGTTCTAACTAGGAGCCTTGAAAGGCCTTTTAGTAGTAGGTCAATAGCGAGTAATATTAAAGGCTAGTAAAGGAATAAACTTTATTCGTATCAGATATCCAAGGTCGGATATTTAATATAGATACTTAATAATAACCTCTTCTTTGTACGGTTTGAGGTATTATTGGCCTTGGGCCTTATCTTTTATCGAAGGTCGTCTGCGAGCGCGATAATGGAGTATAGAATGGGAGATATTGCCATGATGATCCGCAAGAGCACGGTATGATTTAAGTACGCCAGGCGGCACGCCTTGCGATAGGACTTGACTGGCTCTGTCCATATTATCGTCGCGATGGTGATGTGGGAGGAGACAAGAGTGCAGGGGTTCGGCATCAACGGGACTGTTGGGCACGTGGCTATGGAATGTTCGAAAAACCTGCTATAAATAGAATGGGCACCTCTCCATTTTACCACGATGCACCAAGACTGCTCAGGGTCTTTGCATAGCCTTATGTGACACGAAATGTGTTCCCAATGGCTGTTTTTGCTTGCACCGATTCGCCAAGAATCGAGCCTATGTACCCAACCAGCGATCATTTTTCAGAAGAATTCGCGTGCCGTGATGGTGGCTTGGACACATCAAAGCTAGGGTAAGTGAACAGCCACCACCAACTTCATCTTCACATTTGCTCCATCCTTTGCCTAATCCCCTTGTTATTCAAAACTAATCGGCTTTAATTCTTTAATCTTTCCCTGCGATAGATCCCCTCTACTCCAGCATACGAACGATACAGGAAACCATGCCTTTACAATCCCTCAGTTGGCACCCTGGCAACAGAGAAATATCGGGAGCAACAAGAGCTTTATTCTACTCTTTGCTCGAACAAACACCTTCAGACTTTGCGCTCGTCCCTCCTAAATGTAATGGCGCTCTCTGTAGCTCCTGCTCTCAAATTCCATTTGACGATGTATTTTGTGTTGCAGAGAATGATGACAATATCACCTTTGATATTGGGACGTTCTCGGGTATCGAAAATCGGAGGGATTGTGCCTTCTGCTCGTTCGTGAGGAATGTCTGCTTGATTGCCTTCCCCTGGCATTGGATACGGCGGTTTCAAACTTACAACCAACCATTCAAAATCACTGGAGGACCTAGAGCCTGGAGAGCTTTTCATGACATTCCTCCTCCTGATTTCGTAGCACCGTCTGCTATACTGCAGTCGCCTAAATTCTTCGATCAGTATGAGGAATATGATGAAGGTTTCCTTTCCTCGTGGCTTCTCTGCTATGTACCTCGCCAGACTCCCCGAATCGCTGTTCGTCTAAGAACGAAAGGGGAAGTGGTAAATGGCGGAATCGACGTTGATCTGATCAATTCCTGGATATCGAACTGCTCGGCAAAGCACATATCTTGCAAAGAGAAGCTGTCCATCTCTGAGTTGCATACACATGTCCGACCGAATTTTATCGACGTGTTTACCAATAATCTTGTACGAGGTGACGTTGTGACCGACTATGTGGCTTTGAGTTACGTCTGGGGTCCTAGCCAGCCAGAACCACGATGCAAACACCAAGAGACTGCTGGGGGAGAACTAGTGATTTCGAGATTTCCCCATGGGGAGTCTTCAACGTACGCACTTAGAAACTCGGAACACATGGTCTTCAGTCATCCTTGTCAAGTTGTCAAAGACGCCATGGAGCTGGTGAAGAAAATTGGATTTCGTTATCTGTGGGTCGATGAGTACTGTATTGGGAATGGAGCTCGAGAAAGGGAGATACACATCAGCCAAATGGATAGCATATATGAAGGAGCTGTTCTAACGATATGTGCACTGTCTGGAGCGCACAAGCACCTTGGCCTGCCTGGGATGAGTTCACCACTTCAGGTTGCCCCTCAGCCATATTTAGATCTCGACTCAAACCGAATTATAGCAACTAGATTACCTAGCCCACTACACGATGCTAGAACGTCCCCATGGAATGAGCGAGCATGGACATTATAGGAAGCCTCTTTATCCAGACGCTTACTTTGTTTCACAGATCAATCAGTGTTCTGGGTCTGCCAAGAGGAGATGTTTCACGATGCAATCGATTGCCTCGATCTTGGTCTAGAAGGTCGGGCTTCGATCCCTCCCCCAAAAGATTTCCTGCAATTTCCATTTCGTCTAGACGAATTTAATGGGCCATTTGATCTGTATGCGTTCCGATCAATTTTAATTGCATACACCCGCAGACATCTGACACAAAATTCTGATGCTCTGGCTGCACTCTCCGGATTGTTATCGAGGATCACCAAACTGGCCCGAGCAGAGTTCTGTTTCGGGCATCCAAAGCAAGACCTCATTCGAAGCTTGTTATGGAAAAATGAATCTATTCATCGCCGGAAAGAATTCCCTTCATGGACATGGCTTGGGTGGAAAGGCAACATAACGATACCAATGTGGCAAATGGGCCACCCCGACGATTCCCGGCCGGATATCTTCTTCCTTGAGATTGATGGATATGAAGACAACACGCATTCGGTGGTGGAAAGAGACATCGCCCGGGTTATTGAATATCCGGATGAGAAATCCGAGAAACCCACTTTGAAAATCTTCTCCAAAGTCGCAAGGCTTCAAGCTGTCAAAGTCGCACGCAAAGGTGAAAGTTTTCAGAATAGTAATGGGGATGAAGGTGATGGAATGAGTACGGCGAATAATGACTTGTGGTGCCTCACTATTGCTCATTCGCACGATATACCTTGTGTGCATGCAGGAGTTTGTTGGGTGTTTACACACGACGCATGTTTCACCGTCGATCCTGAAACATCATCACAATTGGAGCAAAGAGGCTGTAAAATGGAATTTGTGCTTCTGGTCCACTGGCAAGAACACATCAGAGGAGAGCAGTCTACCTGGAAAGCTCTTGAAATTAACCATCTCCTTACGAGTGGTGAATCTGAGATTGGGAACCTGGCCCTCACACTTCTTCTTCTCAGAAATCGAGCAGGAAGAGCAGAAAGGATTGCTTTGGTGCCAATCCCATATGAGAGTTGGGCTGCTGCATCACCAGAGGAAATGTTGGTAGAACTAGTATAGACGCTCGAGACGCAGTCAATTTTCTGCAGAGGTTCTCATTGATCAACATGACAATTGCATTTTACTGCACGCGATCACAATTTCCCCCCAAATAGCTCGGGGGCAGGGGGTTGGAGTATAGAAAAGCTAACTTATTCTAGTAAGAAAGCGAAAGAAATGAACTAACGCCACAAGAATTATATAGACATAGACTTCCCTACGCCTCTCTTCTAGTTCGGTTAGAAAAAATAGATAAATTAAGATCAAATGATTAATTGTAATCAAGTCTTCAATCCGATATATTCATTATTACTTAGCTATCATGTTCAGGAATGGATAAGTCTAAGGAGAATCTAATGACAATCACCACCACAGACCGAGAGCCGAGAGCCACCATCGATCCCGACAGCGAAACAGTAATTCCTAACGTCTGCGAACCAGGGAGCAGTCACTTTGTCCTTCCCAGGATTCACCTCTTTCAATCTGATGAACCGCTCTTCATACACTTTAACAGATACCATAGCTGCGAACTTCAAACACCGCACACAATAACCACCAGCAACACTATCACGAGTCCCTGTTACAATCAGAGATGTAGGGAAGAGTGAAGAGGACTCAACTTCACTCGACAATCGGGGCTCCGCACACCATATAGCGTTTGGGTAGCACTCAAGAAAGAGAAAATTGATTCATGATACCCAACCATTCTTTCTACTCTCTCCATCACAAAATGTGCCTCTTCCAGTATCAAAAAGGGCACTTGCATATCCTCCCTGCAATACTCCTTGTCTGATATCTTCGTTGAATTCCATCAGTAAAGTCTGATTACCAAGTTTCGAGATTCAAGAGTCACACGGGAGCGAAGGAAGCTTGAGTTGGTGAATGATACTTCTGTATATTCCATGTCTCTAATATAGTGATGCAAGTCTAAGATATTGGTACAGTCCAATGCCTCTATCCCCGATGCTCCTGAAAATGCTGCAAAACACCACGCTATGCTATACAAATAAAAAATGCTCGCTCCATGCAATGCTCCCAAAATATTCCCAACTCCACGCTAAGATATGTCCATGCTCCAATCAAAGGCAGGTCACTTCAAAGCCATGAAGGCTTTCAACAGTTTCCCATAATCCGGCGTCCCCAACCCCGTAACGGGATCCCAACCCTCCACACACTCAAAGCCCTCCGTCCCGACACCAGGATTACTACCCGTAACAATATCATTCATCGCCCCTGGGTCCGCATACAACACCGGGTTGACAAAGCCCACTGGTCCCTTGCCCGCCGCGAACCTCTCCCCATTAATCAAAGAGAACAGACTCGCGACAATTGGCGCCGACGCACTTGTCCCGTCTTTGCGAGTAAGGGAGCCTTGCTCGTAGATAACAATGTTGTTGCCGTTCGCTGCGATATCCGGGTATCCACGGACTTTTTGAGTATTGTTGTACTGCTTGGATGTGTATTCTGGCGCGTAATTCTTGTAATAGTACTCCATAGCCTTCTCCTGGTATTTCGGGAGCGCCCATTGGTTGCTGAACCCGCCGCCTGAAGCGAAAGCGTTGGTTGCGTGTTCGGCGTCTTTGACTGAGCCACCGGATGGGATCTCGGTGGAGCCCACGGCGGTAACGTAGGGACAAGCTGCAGGGGCGGAGATCTGGAAAGTGCCGTTCTTCCCGCCGACGCCGCTGTCGCCGGAGGAGTGCCGCCACACTTGAAACCGTTGGACTTGGAACAGTCGGCGTTGTCGACGGCGTCGAACCATAGGTTGAAATCCCCGATTTGGTAGTAGATGATGGGTTGGGGGTAGACGAGGCCGTATGTCAGCATCACGTCGAGGTTGCCTTCGCCGGTCTTGGATTCGCTGGTCTCGAGGGTCTTGTTGAAGATTGTGTCGCTCATTACGTAGATGGAGGTATCGGGGACTTTCTTGCCGGTAACGAAGGTGTTCATGTAATCCGAGAGATCAGTGGGGTTAAAGACCTGGTCGTTCAATTCGACGACTGCGAGTGAAGATTTGCTGTGAGTACCATTGGGCATGTTGTAAAGTGCTTGGATGCAAGCTCGGGTGATGTTATGGCCACAATTAGAGAGGTCCCAAGCAACCGATGAGTCTAGCTTTTGCACTTCAGCAACCTCTGACTTCCGAGCAGGCTTCGCTGGCTGGAAGTGTCTGGTGGCGGTGAGATGTTGAACGGTTGGTGTGATGAAGTTAATATGTTTTGAAATGCTTGCAGGGACGCTGTACTCATCAACTGCTAGAGAGCGTTTGGCGGATTCGGTATGCTCGTACATCTTGTATTCGGTCTTGAGAAGAGATTCGGCTTCCGCAATGGTAAGATCCATGCGGATCCATGACTTTGAGTTGGAAACAGTGATGCGATCTTCTGAGATGCCAGAACTTGTGAGCCATGTCGTGACTGAGGTGACTGTCGTCTCCTCGGCAGCAAAGGTTTCGGTTATCTTCTCGGTAGTCCAATGTTGTCCATAATTCTCGGAGGAGGGATCCGAGACGTCCATAAGCCAACCGTGGCCATTACCTAAATTGCATTGCGTGAGAGCAATTTTGACTGGAACTATTGCACGACTATCAAGCGGTTCATCGCGTTTGACCCACTTGGAAGCGGACTGTGCACTTCGTCTCTCGTGGACAGTGTAGGTAGAGGCAGGGGCAGCGATGACAGATGCAGCGAGTGCAGAAGCTAAGAGTAATATGTTGGACTTCATAACGATGAATGAAATGCGAAAGACAAATGAGGAACTGATAGGAAAGTGTGATTGACGAGGATAAATGTGAATGGAGAATAACCATTTCAACCGGAACCTAAGACAGCTATATACTCACGGTAGATGATACTCAGAATAGATCTTGTAGCTTTATGTCAATTATTGACAACGGGTAGTCCTGCTACTCCTCAATCCTGACTGTGATTTCAACAGAGCCTCCCGCAGCCCCATCCGCCAAGGCGTGGGAGGGGGGAGGAGTGGAGGCGCAAGCCTAGCTGCAGGTACAGCGTAGCTTCTGAGAGCTCTCATGATCGAGCTCTGAAGCCGTGAGAAAAGACGATAGACGGGAAAGCTGATGGAGGTTGTCGGATCCACCTAAAGAATACTTTTTTTAAAAAAATTAAAAAAATTATTTATCCTAAATGCAATGTCAATCTGCTGAAGACAGTGTGAGAAATGAATAGATTAGATTAGATTAATAGCTATTAATCTAATCTATTCATGAAATTTTCTCATTAATCATATTCTATTCACGAATTAATTAAGCTAATCATGAATATTCATGAATTCCTTGATTAATGTACACGTGACTTCAGCACGTGATAGGCTAACCTAATTAGGTAAGGATCTGGCTCTTGTGCTACCTTGCTCCTAGAGAGAAACACTCGCTAAGGCAGTGCTAGAGCAAGAACCTTACTTAATTAGGCTAGCCTATCACGTGATGCGATCACGTGTATATTAATCAAGGTATTCATGAATAATCATGATTAATTATTCTAATCTAATCAAATTACATAAGTATCACGTTAATCAAATTCTATTCACGCTATTCATGAATATTCATGAATTAATTAATTAATCTGATTAATTTTTTCGCACACTGGCTGAAGATGGAGAGAAGACAGTTCAGAGGGCTGAAATAATTGCGTCAGGAGGCCAAACGGGGGCCCGGGAGCTCAACCTAATTTCTCAGATCCATGCTAATTAGCTTTGTTGTGGGAAGAAAGTGGACCTGGTCTCTTCGCCGCATTGGTGCAAAGTCCTACTGTAATAAAGGAACTATTGGTAGCAAAAAGCCTTGAATTGGGCACAGCATTTATGCTTACTTTCAGGACCCGGGTCTCCGGCGTCACAGCTGTAAGGCTGCAAGAACCAGCGCCGTACGTACCCACCTCGTTCCGGGCATCTTGATTACCTCTCCACTAAAAATTAGAGAGTTTAAAAATGGATTTCTTCTGTCTCCTCACTGAGGAATTATTAAAAAAAAACAAAGCATCTCATAGATTGGGCATCTGAGACGGATTTTGTTTTGCACAGCAGTGAGGCCGCAAAAATTATGCATCGCAAGGTATTCCACGCAAATTCTATGCAAACCAAGCACGAAAAAGTACCAAAGGGTCAGACCTACAGCATCTGATAGGCCAGAATACTGTGCCGTACAGCACATTGGTGCTGACCAGGCTGTGGCGTTTCAGCATAAAGTCATAAGCGACCGCAGCAAAATGCAAGGGACCAGCGAAATCGCATCCGGAAATAGAGCGGAAGGCTGACTCCTGATGATTCCAGTGTCCAAGAGCGTGAATCGCTTCTTCCAGCATTTTGATGGTTCTCCGACTGTGATCGAAGGTCGACCTCAAAAAGGAGCATTCAACATCGGCCACAGGTGACCGACAACTCGACCGAACTTTGAATTTGGGTCGGCCGACATCAAAAAGGAGCATTCAACATCGGCCACAGGTGACCGACAACTCGACCGAACTTTGAATTTGGGTCGGCCGACATGAACGCGACCGCACGAGATTTTGGGATGGTTATGAGGAGGCGTGTTGATCGGCATGAAAAGGGATGCTAATTCGGACTGATATCAGTGCTTCAGCAGGACTTCAACGCGCACAGCAAACAGCGGCTGCTCCTTTCCAACCTTTCCTCACATATCCTCTCCATCTCCTGTCCTCCATCTCGCCGCTTCTGTGTTTGTTCATCTTTGTTGTGGGTCGTGGGATTGTGAAGATTTTGCCACAGTCTTGCAACGTACAGGAGTTGCCCCGCGGGCATCGTGTGGCCCCCTCAATCCACTCCCGTGGAATCGGGGACTGTGTTTCAGAAACTCCTTCGGCAACCTCACGGACCCTTGTTGCTGGTCGTGAGATCTTCGGGTCTTTGTAGCGGGGCGGCTGGTGGAACGATGGAATCGAAGCAGCTGCGTCTTCTTGCACGACACAGAAGGAAGCTCACCAGCCCTAGTTATCCGTCTCTACCGATGGAATGACCTCGATTCTTGTTTTCCGTGCCGCTTCCATGCTCGCATCTGCCTGCTGTCGTCGCTCCTTGGGCACCCTTGTTGAAGCTATGCCCAGCTTGACACAATCAACATCCTGTGCGACGACCGGCAGGCTCCCGGCCGTCAATACAGTAGGGTGCCATAAGTATTTGACCTGGTACGTGCACACGGAACCAATCAAAGCTGCCACAACTGAACAACAAAAGATCTTATTGGTCCAGAAAGTGGGACTCGCACGTACCAGGTCGAATACTTATGGCACCCTACTGTAGGTTCCGCGGCCTCGAGGCAGCCATTTTCGAGGCAGAAGAGGGCCGGATGTTCTCGGTGCGCAGTCGTTCCGTGTGGTTGTGCTGGATGGGTTAGAGATGTTTTCGTTCCCCACACATTTTTAGAGCACGGCTGAATCTCAACCAATTTCACTCTTCCTTCCTCCCCTCCATCTTTCTATCCTCTACATTCGACGAGTACACGACTCCTTTTTGTTGTTCAAAAGTCTATTTATTCTGCTTTGGGCCTGGGATAAATAATTGTAGCATGCACCCATGGAGCTTTGGTGGCGCTCAGAAGTACTAATTTGCTATCAGGCGGGAACCACCACCGAGTGAAAGCAGCACATTTTACTACCCACATCCCAGTGATACTTAATTTCTTCATTAGTTAGTAGACTCGTTCTCTCCTATATAAGCTGACTTTGCTTTGTTAGCACAACAGAAAAAGGAAACCCATTCGAGGATCCACACCCGACCAGCGTGGAGACTGGACTTGACCCTGGATGGCATTTCTTGTCCGGAGCCACAAAATAAACTTCTACCTCAAAGAAAGGCTTTTCACAAGATGTGAACTGTGAGGGAGATCAGCCAAAACTGACAACGAGCCGAATATGACGGCGGGCTGAAAGTTGACAACAGCTGGTACTGTACATGAGTGTGAACTTCAGATGGCCTTTCTTTGTTTCATTGGAGGCTTTGGGAAACTTAGGGTTTGGGGGAGTCAGAAGGTCAGAGGCGTTTATCCCTGCATTTTCATATTCCAAGCAGAGACATGCCGAAAATTGACAACGAGTCGAAACCTGATAACATCAGACGGTACGTTATCAAGAAACCTCAGACGAGGACGCCATATCCTGACCCCTTTGTTCAAGAAACTTCGGGACCTTAAACTCGAGATCGCCAAGCACCAAGGAGGGAATATAGCCAAGTTCCCTTTCAAAGGCAGCCCTGCCACCTGATACACTTGTCTCAGATCAAGTACTAGGTAAGCCCTATACTCTATCTTTATATACCTATTGCCGGGTATTTTCTTTTCTTCATTATTCAAGAATAACGACCGACTATCTCAAGCGCTTTGCCCCATGCTGCTCTTAGGTTCCGCCTCTTCTCCTCTTTCCCCGAAAGCTGCTCATGTTAATTAGAAGCTCGAAGTAGGAAAGGAACCTTTCGAAGGAAGCATGTGGCAAGTGCCACGGGTACCTTCCACTATCATAAAATCCTGTCTCCGGTCCTTCCCTCGAGGAGTGTCCGTTTAGACAGTGAAGGAGGACAGTATACCCTTTGACTCCATAAGTAACAATTAGAAACCTGCAGGATGCGCTGCCGTTCTGACAATTGCATGAACAAAGCGGGGTTTAGCATATAACTAGGCTTCAAAATATGGGGGCAAAGTTGATATGGATTGAGAAGTCTCTAGTACAAGCAGTACAGTTCAGGAGAGGGTTATGCCTCCGAAGCTGAGCTAACCTAATGTGGAAGGGTCACGTGAGTGGCAACTGACACTTTCGGCGCCCATGACACGATACAACTTGAGAGCTTGAAGACAGCAGTTCCCATATCGAAGTTGTGCTAAGCCCCGAGGCAAGTTTAGACTCTAAAGTAGATTTGAGGTTTCGTAACGAGCCCTCTTCCGTTTGTGTCACCGCATATCGATCAAGTCACGATGTGATAGCTCGGTCAGTAGCCACTATAGCTCGCGCAATTGGAATTTCTTAGACTTGTATTGTTTTGTTGTTACGCCTATACAGTTCACTTCACTCACTTCCATTGAGGTAATTCTTCAACATCGAAGCTCGGTGGCAGAATCTCATTGATATCGTGTCTTTCAAAGAAGTATAATCCAATTTTAGTGAACAACCCAGGTCATTCAAACCAGACAGTCTACCACAGCTTTGCATATGAGAAGTGATTCACCGTAGTTCTCTCCCTCTGATGTCCCGCACTTGTACAATGCTGGTGCACAGAACAACTTCGCCGTAATTCCTTTCCTCATCAGATTCTGTTCTTCCCCTTCAGAGTTGTTATCTCCTGTCATCCATTCTGACGTGAATTGGAACAATTTGCCCCCTACCTCTGGAGATATCTTATCGAACTCGAAATCGGCCTTTTGCTGGAAGAGAAGGAGGTCGAAGGTAACAGCCGCCCTCACAATCGCTGCGAGATTATTCGTCCCCTTATTGTTCTCATGATCTCCAAATATGTGCTTCTCTTCTGTATAGTTCTTCAAATCTGACTTCATTTTCCTCGTGATCGCATCAATGTTTCGATTGATGCAGTCTTGATGACGCTTAGGACTGTTACCTATCACTCTAGCTGTCTGCGCTCGCCAATGATGGTAGTTCTTGATCAGCGACTGGCTTTTGTTGGCCTCTGAAGTCCTTGGTCAGTGCCATACATGCATCATTCGCTGGGAGGACCTACCATAGGCAGCACTATCGAGGGCCTTCGCGGACTCATAAAGACGACAATATTTTGCTCCTCCATCTGGACATGGCCCACCCATCCAGGTCCACTGGCAAAATACATCCGCCAATAAATTCTTCCACACATAACTTTGTACTAGCATTGAGGGACCCTTTTCATTATCCTCAGCCAGGTACTCAAGATAATATGGACTGGTCGATTCAAACGGACATGTTTCCGCCACGATGTTCGCCTCTTTCAAGACCTTAGAAAATACCGATTTTTTGTGTGGTTGATGGAACTTTCTACTCCATTGCCGAATATCGTGACGCAGCTCATCTCTTAATCTCGCGATTCTGTCATCTCCTAGCCTGAATTGATCGGTTGAATGGAGAGAGGCAAGCGCCGCTGTGGCATCATCCAATTTCATTTGCAATTCTATGACTTGAGTGTCCGCACACTCGAGCGTTTCATCAATGTCGCGTGTTGGGAAGCTTGGTCTGGTTGCTTCCCCGTTGTTTTCCCGTTCCTGCTGGCGAGAATGCGGACCGTTCTGGCTCGGCAGCTTGCTCTCAGCTTGGGCCATTCCATCGAGAGTCGATGCTGTCTTCGAAGTTTGATCGAGGCAGTCATTGAAACCCGGCGGCTGCGGAAGCGGTTTTCGAGAGTTACGTTGTTCCAACGTCATCTTGATCAGTCGAACAACAATGAGAAGAAGTGTTCGGCGGGGTCTGAAATTGGACCCCGTGCAAGCTTGACTAAAGGCACAACGTGCATGAAACTATCTTGGAAGATTGGCGCAAGCCCCAATGCAGCCTCATCACATTCCATAATGTTTGAGTGGCTTCATCCAACCAATGGTAACCTACGATGTAGACACACAAAACAAGTTGTCGTGTGACGAATCGTCACAGTAAATGACCCGCCAGGAATAAACCAGGACAAGTTTATGATACGCTAATCCTGATTTGGTAAGAGCTAACCCTAATCGGTAAGAAGGCCTGGCTTACAGCGGGACTTGTAAATAGCAGAGGTATATTTTAGCCCACGCCCTGTATAACCTGACCGTAAGGAGGCAATTAGGAAGGGGGTTTGAGGTAATTTATTGATTGGTACCGACCGGTCACGAATTATGGGCTATCGTCAGTGACGATGAAAGTGATGCTCGCCTGAGTTATCCTCCTACCCCGACTTATTTTCACGAGGCTGCGGAGAGAAATGTCGAATCAGGAAATAATTTAGCAGTCTACAATATCTCTAGCAACCAAGAGCTCCTCCAAGCACGAAGCCTGCAATTCCAAAGCTGATCGAACATATAGCTGCAAGCGCCTGTAGAGCATTTACCACTGTTTTGGACCCACCACTTTTCCACTTTGCCAATCTGCTCTCAACCTCCTCGCCAGGCTTTGATTCCAGCGTCTCCTTGTCTTCTAATCGTTGTTTAAGACCTGCCGAGTTCCTTTTCTGTGACCGCTTTGCCTCCAAGCGCTTGTTGCTATTCTTCTCGAATTGTAGCTCTAACTCCAATTGCCTCAAACGTTTCTTGAATTGTTCTGTGTCATTTGCAACCTCTGGTTCGAGGAACTCGCCTGCTGCCGTTTGATTTAGCGACATCTTTTGGTCGACCAGTTGTTCCTGCACCTTAAGCACCACTGACTTCTTTCCGAGCAGCTGTGACACGATACCCTGAGCGGAAGCTGTCGATCCATCGAATCTGGTTGTCGTTGATCCCTTCCTTCGCATGCCGCCCCAGTATTCTTCACGTAGCTCACTGTCTCGACTGTTCGCTTTTTCCATGTCTGTTACGAGACCCCACATGGTCGTTGCAAGCACAACATTCGGCAGGGCATCCTCTCCCACCAATTTCGTGAAGAGTTCGAGGTTCCGAAAAGAGGAGCCTCGCATGCGATTATCGGTGATGGGGTGGAGATAGATGATGCCTTTGAGATTGTATCCGAGCAGGCGGACTGCAGAAAGCTGTTCGGCAATCTCTTTGAGGATCTCGGTTTCGCTCCGTGTTGTATCGTCAAATCCTGGACAGTCCATAACCACGAAGTCAGTATTTCCGACACTGGTCTCCACGATTTGACATCGCTCGGTGCCTGTGCATCTCTATTAGTTCGATACATTTGTCTTCAGGTGAAGGACTTACATGATGCCAAGGTGTGCCCTTCTTCCAGGTTTTTTCCGGAAAGTTTGTTGACGAAGTAGCTTTTACCTGCTCCTGTCAAGCCCATGACAAGCACCAGGTTCTGAACGACATTGTCTAGTTGAGCCATGATGAAGTTCAGTTGTTCAACGCATTGAGCGACCAAAGGACACGATGATGGAGGAACGGTTCAAGGCTGAGTGACCGCAGCTGACAAGAGCCTCACACCATCAATTTAGAGACGGGAGCCTGGATTTCGAGCGACGGCATGAGCTGAACATCGCCGCAGCCGTCATTGGTTTTCCCGACATGCAGCTCCAATTTCTGTGATAATCTGCATTGCAGACAATCTTGTGCGGTCAATGATTGGGGTGCAATAGCAGGGGCGGCAGATATGTCAAACTCGGGGCTGAGTATTGATGCGTTGTGGAACAACCAGCGGCCCAATCTAGCGAACTGCGTGAGGAGGCGTTTGGGGGCTACGGAGATGTGGTGGGTGACCTCCCATTGCTTTTCTCAGTCTCCCGATCGTGCTATTCTCGTCCGATCTCCACATTTTTTCATTGCCTTGCGACATCCTTCTGATGTCGCAGGGCCCGCCGCATTCGATTCTCATCTCATTGCACAGTTCAATCACCTTCGACATTTGCTCGGCGCATCCACAAACATTGTTGCACTGTTCCAGATATTGACCTCGTGCGTTCGGCACAATGTCACGATCTCCACGCCCCCTCCCGCCAGCGATCCCAGCCTCACATTATGTTGTGATTGGGATAGACTTTGGCACCACGTTAGCCTCATATTTGCTCCTGAAAACTTCAGCTGACCTTGTGATAGCTACTCAGGCGTGTCGTGGACTTGGTCCAAGGCATCCAGTCCAGATCAGATAGAGCAGGTTCACAAATGGGATGTGGACATGGGTACTGCCCGCGCTCAAGAAGCGGATAAAGTGCCGTCGAAAATTTGCTACGATCATGGAGGCAACGTTCTCAAATGGGGTTACATGGTAACACCCAAAGATAGGCTGCAGGCGCAGTGGTTCAAACTGTTACTCTCAGAAGCTGCGATGGAGCAAGGCGGGGCCCGAGTCGAGGAAACAAAAAGTCTTCTTCGAAGACTAAACAAAAGTCCCGTTGACGTAGTTGCTGATTACCTCCGCTGTCTCTGGTTGCATGCGATTGATGTCATCGAACTTGCGTTGACCAAAATTGCCGTTGATAATATGACCTTCAGGGTAGTTTTGACATTGCCTGCAAATTGGGATCATAGTGCACAGGAATTGACGAAAAAGGCGGCGATTCAGGCTGGTATTACGGCGTCAAGATCGAGGGGTCCCACGAGTTTTAGAACAGTTTCGGAGCCAGAAGCGGCTGCGCTGGCCGCGTGGAAGGAAGCTGGAATGCGGTGGAGGCCAGATTTGAAGGTTTGTTTCGAGATATACCGGAGAGTAATGCTGATGCTGCTTAGTTGGAAGACGCATTTGTTGTGTGTGATGCAGGTGGAGGCACCGTGGTAAGTTAGTAAAGCTTTCATGGGAATCGAGAGTTGACCCGGTACCAGGATCTAATCAGCTATACCGTCAAGTCATTGGATCCTCTCAAACTTGAGATGTGTGTTGAGCCTACAGGCAAGTGCAGCTCTCCTTTGGCGAGGGCTTAACTGACTTTACCTTCCAGGTGACCTTTGTGGAGCTGTATACTTGGATGAAAGATTTGACTCGACAATTAGAACTATCGTGGGTAGTTCTGTCTATGACAAACTCGACACGGAAATCAAAGCAAAGGTTTTCGAAAATGACTGGGAATTCAGTGGGAAAAGGAAATACAATGGCATTTCGAAGCCCCCAAATGAATTCCAAGTCGATATCCCTGGGTACAAGCCCAAAAAGCCGGGGCTATTCGGCAAGAGGCCTAGTAGCACCATCACTCTGAAATCGTGAGTTGAAGGATTAGCACCTCTTAATTTATCTGACAGTGTCTCAGAGGCCATATGAATGCAATATTTCAGCCAGTTGTTGGGCAGATTGTGGACTTGGTTCGCACGCAGGTCACAGAGGTTCAAGATGTAATGGGAAAAGCGCCAAAGGTGAGATATCTACGTCACAGAAGGAATGCTTGGTGCTGACAATCGATTACAGGCTGTGCTTCTAGTGGGTGGATTCGGCGAAAACAACTTCGTCCTCGACCAATTAGCGTCGACATTCTCCCAGGTCCCCATCCAGCGACCAATGAAAGCGTGAGTTTTCGATCTGCTTTAAAACATTCAGCTAACGAGTAATAGCTGGGGTGCCATCAGTCGAGGAGCCGTGATCAAAGGTCTCAGCACATCAGCAGAAACAGAGACAGTTACAAATTTCATCTCAAGCTTGAGTTACGGCGTTTTGCATGACTCTCACTTCAATCCCTATATACACTCCAGTTTGGATAAGTATCGATGTCCTCTCAAGGGTGCTGATATGGCAAGAAATCAGTTTACTTGGTATCTAAGACGGGTAGGTGCTCTCATATCATCCGCAGGATGCATGCTAACAACTGATGCCGTAGGGAGAGAGCGTGAGCAAATTACAACCAGTCCAGTATCCATGGTTGATGAATGTCCGATCACCTTCGGAGCTGTGCGATATCCATGGAACGATCTGGGTTTCTGGTTTGAAAATTCCACCTGCGAGGCTTGCTTCAAGTGAGTCACAAGTACTTTGGCCATACAGTAGCTGATGTGGAACAGATGCGAGAAAGCTTTGTAAGATCCACTGCAATTTCGACGAGAGTATCTTCTTTGATCTTGAAGAGAAGAGAGCTGCTGATAGGGGGGCTATGTACAGAGTGTTGGATTATACACTCAATATGAAGGTTGCCGCAGGCGAGTTGGAGTGGAACATTTATTGGCGGAATCAGCAGATAGGCAAGGCGAAGGTTAGTGTAGAGTATGAATGACGAGAGGAGTTTGTTTTATTTCTGCTACACACTGGATGCTAAAGCTATATTCACATTCTACTTCTGAATCCGATATTTCTGGGCTTCAGTCGTAGTCATAGTATCTCGTAGGACAGTGAATAGTACGCTATAAACAGCTACATTTTCTCGAGCACGTCTCTCTTTGCCGCCGCGGCCTCGCCGAGCTTGCCCCAGTCTCCAAGCGTTAAAGCAAGGTTAGACATGGACGAGACCGTATCAGGATGCTCGTCGCCAAGTAAGTGGCCGTTGGACAGCGAGGGAATGACAGAGAACCTGGAACTAACAACATGGAATTCCTTGGCATGGTCGAACCTCAGGGTTGTTTGGATAACACTCATGGCAAGGTTGACCATGGCGAGGATTAAGAGTGCGCGAAACGAGCACAACGAAGCGGAGACCATCATACACACGGGTCTTCCTATTGGAGTGCGAAATCTTGGTGACAATCACTTAGGTGTCCTACTCGCACGCACTTGGCTAGCACGGATCCTCTTCCGACAAAACAGATACGAAGAGGCAGAGGAGATCCTCATCAGTGTAATTCCACGGCATAAATATGAAGCCTCCCGGCGAGAGAATGGAGATCATGTAGAACATCTAGATCGGATGCAGGCATTGTGGTTTTTATTGGAATGCTACCAGTCACAGGGAAAAATCGAGGAAGCTATTCAAATTGGCGATGAGCTTTGGGAAGCAGTGCACACCATTGGTGGAGAAGGATTAGGTGCGCAACATGTTTTCTCGAAACATCTGAATAAGAAGCGAGAGCAGTTGCTGTTTGAGAGGGGGGGTTCTAGTACGGAATCGATATCAGCACCGAAGCTAGAGCAGTTTGTGTTTGATAGGGGGGGTTCTAGTACGAAATCCATATCAGCACCTGACGACACTGTTTGCCCCGGCAAAATAACCAAGAGTCTCACGGCCTGATCAACAACGCTCGTTGATTTTGTGAGCTTTCATGAGTGAATGAGTGCAGCAAGGGCAACACTTGGCAATTACCGATTTGAGTCAATGAGATAAAAAGGAATCGCTTCAACAGGCTTTCGAATCCTACACCCCTTGTCGGCTTGCCGTAATGAAGTTATGTAGGGGTCAAAGGTTCTGACAGAGAAGACTCGCATCCAGGTCAAAGACATGTTTTATATCTTGCTCTGATGGATATCGTGAGTCCTGTTTGGGAAAAGCCTATGTCAATATTGCCGACTGAACCTGCAGCCACTGCGGTTAACAATTGGACTTGACATAAAGGTACTCAATGCAGGCCGGAGGGCAATCCTAAATGGATAGGTTCAATGATCACCATGTTCAACATATTGGCATTTGCGACGAAATATCCAAGAAGGAACTGACTGGGAGATGAGATTACAATTCTATGGCAGAAGATGGGTTTTCCCTAAGCCGCTTTCTATAAACACCATTTCTGTATTTCAAAAACCGAAATCAGCAATTTCCCAATCTTCTGGTCTGAGTAAGACTTTCGAGGTGGCTAACAAGGTTCTCGTGAATTAATTAGTATATAAACTCAGTAATATTATAATATATTAAAATAAGGAAGAGAAGTGAGGTGTGGCGTGGACGGCCGGAGCTGAAGATAATAAATGCAGTCACGTGAAATCAGATCACGCGACTAGCATGCAATTACTGACAATACTCCTTTAAATTGAAATAGTATTTTAAGGAATCGTTTTATTATAAGTTAAGAAGAACGCGATTATATTATAAGCCTTATAGCATACTAGCTTATACTATTAAAAAATCTAAGTTAAGGTCGCTAAAGGGTTTAACTAGCCAAATTCAAGTTGTTGATACTGTACCCTCAAATTTGTCGACACCCCCACCACCGCAATTTGGCTCCCCCGGGGATATCGTTTTACTATTTCCCCATAATATGGGTCCCATTTTTGCTCCCGTGTGCCCCGGTTACAGTTCCCTCATTGAATTGTGCCAAGGAATCCTGCTCATTGGAGAAGACCGAAAATCCGCTGACTCAGCAGGAATTGGCTCCTTTGTCCCAAGGTCACGCCTGTAACCACCCAGGGCCCCGTCTTTGATCCTATAAGAAACAACCAAATCTTAATGGAATTCTCGGATAACGTTTCTTTTATTCTACATCCAATGACCGGTTCTACGCAATTCCATGTATGCAACTTGGCGCGAAACGGCATCCGGGGTATGCAGGTGATCGGCAAAACGCTAAATTAGTTGCTTCGTCACTTTCCCCAACGTGCCAAGATTCCACTGTAAGGACCTTCACTCTGTGTTCCCATGCCTCCATACAAAGAAATGCTGTAACACGTTATCAGACGATATTCTCCTGAGTATCGAGAGGCCAAGAGTGTATCTCTCGTGACATATGCCTCGCAATGTCAAGTGGTAGTAGAGGCCCCGCGTCCCGATCCAAACGCGCCTGTCGTTCTTGCCGGAAAAGACATCTCAAGTGTATGTATCTAATGGGACACTATCAATCGGCAGAAACATTCTAAATCGAAACAGGCGATGAACAGGAGTCGTGTTCTAATTGTCAAAAATCCGATGGCCGCTGCGAGTATGATGAACATGAAGGTTTTATGGCGAAGCAATGGAGCCCGGGCGAAGCTGGTCTCAGTCGGGTGGAGCTCCAGGAGGCATTGAGTCTCGTCCAAGGCGCTGCACAATCTTCAGTAACGGCTGCCAATACTTTTATCAACGAGACGCAGGCTACAGCTAGCCAGTATATCATCACGAACTCTCCGGCCTTCGCGTCTCCTGGGTATCACTACAACACACCTTCGCCATCCGCTGCACCGCCTCGGCAGCATAGCATTTATAGTCCATCCTTAATTGGGACATCTCCATCAGCGACTTTTGTCCCCTCTCCAAGGGTCGAGAGGTCAAGACGGATTGGCCTTAATTCAGACCTCTTCTACCTCGACAAGTACTGCCACGTGATTGGTCCCTGGTTTGACTTGTTTGACCAGGAAAAGAACTTCTCTCTTGTTGTACCTCATCTCAGTCTCGAGCACCCCCTTTTACAGCTGTCATCACTAGCATGTGCATCCAGGCAACATCACCTGACATCATCCAGCAGCGTCGACACGACTCTCACATACTATGACGACGCCCTTCAAATGCTTACGGCCTCATTGAGAGACGAGAGCACTTCCTCTTCCGCTGCAGTGTTTGCCTCATGCTTATTTTTGGCCCATTGCGAAATGATTGGAGCCAGCACTCAGGACTGGCATCTGCATATTTCAGGCACATATTCGTTGATCAGGACTCATGGCTGGCATGGCCGAAGTGGTGAACTCGGGCAAGCATGTTTCTGGATATATTGTCGTATGGACCTTCTTTCCTCCCTCGCGACTGGCGAGCAAACTCGACTTGACACCTCACTCTGGATACCCAATTCGCCATCCCTCCCTGAAGTTTGGACAATCGATACCTGGGCTAATCATGCCGTCTTCATCCTGGCCCAGGTCCATAACTTCCTCTGCAAAATACGACAAACTCCAACTTTCGGTCCCAGCCTCTTCGACGAATGGCAATCCCTCAACAACTTCATCGATTCCCACGAACAGAACCAACCCAGCATCTTCCGACCACTTGTCTCCCTTCCACCTTCCGGAGACAACCCGTTCCCTTCCAATTTCTACATATCCGAGGCCGTGAGCGCTGCCCTCCAGATGTTTGACGTCGCCCGCCTTCTTCACATTCTCTCTCGTCCGGAACGCTCGCGCTCCGAACGAATAGCCCGCTTCCAAGCCCAAGGCGACATCGCGACTGTCTATATCGATCGAATCATAGCGAATAGCATCATTAATCGGCACGATGTCAACTGGGCGACCGCTGTCCAGTTGCTCAGTTCTGCAGGTCATGCCTTGGTGGGATGGCGCAAGAGGAAGGCACTGTTGGAGTGCTTAATCGATATTCAGTCGAGGACAGGGTGGAATACTAGAGATAACGTCAACGGGTTATTGGAATGGTGGGGTTGGGCCGGTCTTCTAATTGAGAGAGGCTGGGAATGGAGGGATGTGACGGAGGAGATAGGGGAGGAATATATGCCTGGCCAGGCACTGATGAGGATGTTTGAGTGGAATCTACCTGGGAGGAATTCTTGATTCACGAGGCCGAAGCTCAATCACTACCGAAGCCGAACAGAAACGATACAAAAGGCAAACCATCTACTGGATATGCTACAGTATTTACTCCCAAGACAACGCCATTCTTTCGATGCACCGCTAGTATTTACCATTTGCAACCCCAGCATCCTGCTTCACGATCTCCATCTTCAACACAGGATCCATTCGCTTTTCCAATGGCCAATCTCCCCAGAAGTCCTGTACATGCTTCATCAATCGGTGGTACTGTAACCCTGCACCTGGTTGAATGTGTCCAATGATTCCAGCCTTGTCGCTCTCCACGTGGGTTGGTACAATCAAACTTCTGCCAACGATGCATTCCAAACCCTTGAATGAAAAGCTCATGGCTTCTCGGCTTCCGCAAGGAACCCCAATAACATTGAGGAATTGAATCTTAGTCTTTGGAAACTGTTCTTGGAGGTAGTTGATGATGTTGGGGTTGTAGGAGCCACCTCCACCGAGGTAGATCTCGTCGATGCCGCCTGGAGGACCCCAGCGCTTGTAGCCATCGGCCAGTGACTTTGCTGTGATGCGGGTGATGGTTGCAATGCAATCTTCTGGAGTTGCTCCCTTCGCTTGCATCCGTTGGCATAGTTCTTCTGACAGGTTGTCGCCAAATGTTTCGCGTCCAGTTGTTTTGGGGATTTCGTGCACGAAGTATGGTTGTTGGAGAACCTCGTCGACGATTTCTTGGTCGACTTTGCCTGCGGCACCCATTACACCATTCTTGTCGTACTGACGCTCGCCGTTTGTGAAGTATCGGACAGCACCATCGATAAATACATTTCCTGGTCCAGTATCGAAATCATATCCCAATCTCGGGTCACCCTTTGGCAACATTGTGATGTTGGCGATTCCTCCAATGTTCTGAACAGCAACATTCTTCACTGGGTGTGTCGCGCAAAGTCCGTCCCAAGCCACGAACAAGGGACAACCTTGTCTACCAAGGGCCATGTCGCTGACGCGGAAGTTTGATAGAGCCGTGATTCCAGTCTTCGCTGCGATGATCGAAATTTCAGCCATATCGAGATGTGCGCGGATCTGGTCGCCTTCGAAGAGGTGGGGTAATGGCAGATGCCATATTGTTTGTCCTTGGCCTGCAATAATATCCACTTCTTCTTGCAGATCGAAGTTGTGCTCTTTCGCAAATTGTTGGATGGCGTTGGCGGCGAATTCTCCGAGCTACATGGCAATAAGTTATTTGATTGTGACAACTTCGAGTGTTCGAATTCCACTCACCTGGATATTGACCATGGAGATCTCTTCTGGGGATGTCTTGTTCGTTCGGATGAGGTGCATGACGCGATCTAGTGCCTTGTCAGCAACTCTTTCTTGGAACATCTATGGCAGCGATTACCCTTCAACGCTCCGTCAAATGCCACTTCGCCTGCTCGCAGCAGTCGCATCTTCAAAGGCGCATCTGGGCTTTCTTGTGTATAATGGATATGGGCAATGTCCAAACCATCCATAGATGTTCCGGCATTGGTACCAATGACCTTCAAGCTCAAGGGCTTGCCGTTCCACAGTTTGACTGCCATTGCGCTGATATTGAGAATGTGATGAAGGGGGATAACGGGGACGAAGTTGCACAGGACTTGAAGAGAGCACGAGTTGGCTTTATGGACCTCACAAGAGAAGAAAATATTCTACCTCGAGAGTCTATCAATAATGCGCCCCCCAACCCCACATCCACGCGTTCGGTAGCTGCTGCAATTGCCCCATCACCCCTCCATTTCCCGAGCAGGGGCACACGACTTCGTAGCGTTTTACCTTCCAGGGCGCCGGGTCGGTCATGCCGCCCCGCCATTACTTTTGAGCAATCCCAAAATCCGGGGATATCAAGTCGGATGGAGCGCCACCTTGATGAGATCTGCCGAGGCAGCCCGGAAATACTCTGTAGTATCAGAAGACACAGTCGGAGATACCCCACTTATCCACTACACCTATGGAAGTATGTAGCAATCAAGCGAATCACAAAGCTCGATTCGCACGAATCTCCTGCTAGCGTGGACCGTAGTAACGAAAGAACGGAGAGTTAGTGGGTCACTTGGGAGCCGCTTCGGACCCTGGCCGTTCAAGCACTCACGCCTTTCCTTCCTGTTCGTGCCTCGGAAGGAAATGCACTCCGAACGCGAAGGAAGAAACAATCCGTCGCTCGAATCTCCTGCTAGCGTGAATCGTAGTAACGAAAGAACGGAGAGTCAGTGGGTCACTTGCTAGCCGCTTACCAAGGCGCTTAGGCGTTTCCGCATTCACGCCTTTCCTTCCCGTCCGTTCCTCGGAAGGAAATGCACTCCGAATGTGAAAGAAGAGCCGTTCGTCGCTCGAATTTCGGGCTTTGCGGGGGCCTACCCCTAAGTAGAGGCCTCATTGGAGAAATGACCTCCTTCTCTGGGGCGATGCACTAACAATATTGAGTTTTGTCCCCCCGCATTTGATGGTAACAAAATGCATTTCTTTGCTTTAGCCTACCAGTACTCCGGAATCATCCCTCCAGAGTTCCACCCGAGCTCCAACTTGGCCGTCTAGTGCTGCCGACGTGGAGAGTCCGGGGCGTCCACTAGTGTCATGTTTTTAGTTCCTGATCTCCACGTCTGGTTTGCTTGCTGACTAGATAGTTAACACCACCATTTATTACTGAAGGCAAAGAGCATAAGTAGAGCTCTGTTCCCCTTAACATCAAGGACTTCATCAAGACATCTCACATCTTCCCCAATTTTTTCATCTATCATTCCTCACTCATTGTTCCCCTGTGCAACAGCCAAGATGGGTTTTTCAATGGAGATCACTCCGTTTACTACTACCATGGGCGGTATGAGTGGTCTGCCACTCCAGTTTGCCGTAGCATCAATCGCAACATGCGCCTTCTGGCTCTTTGGTTATGATATGAGTGTGTAAGTATGGCGACAGTTCTATCAAGCTTCACAGCTAACTCAAATGCAGCATGGGTGGCCTTATTACCGAAGAGCCTTTCCTCAGCGTCTTCCCGGAAACCAAGAACCCCAACGTCCAAGGTATTATCATCGCTGTCCTTGAACTCGGTGCCCTCATTGGCTCTATTCTCTGTCTCATGTACGGTGATAAGATGGGGAGACGGGGAACTGTCTGGGTTGGCATGGGTTTCATGGTTGTTGGTGGTGTTCTCCAAGCATCTGCCTACCATGTTGCGCAAATGGGAATCGGACGTGTCCTGTCAGGTATCGGTCTCGGGCTCCAAGTTGCAACAGTTCCAACATGGCAATCAGAATGCGCCAAACCGAAAACCCAAGGTCGCTGGGTCATGATTGAAGGTGGTCTTCAAACCACAGGTGTGGCGTGCGGACAATGGATTGGATATGCATTCTTCTTCACCCACGGCCAAATGCAATGGAGGGTTCCAGTCGCTATTCAACTCATCCCAGCACTCATCGTTTTCTGCTTGATTATGTTCCTCCCGGAATCTCCTCGATGGCTCATCAAGCACGGCAAGATCGAGCAAGGTATCCACAATCTCTGCAAGCTCCGTAACCTCCCGGAAGACGACCCGGTTCTCAAGGCTGAACTCGGCTCCATTATGGCCACTTTCGAGTCCCAGAAATCGCAAGCACCCTTCCAATACAAAGAGCTTTTCCAAAACGGCAAATCACAGACATTCCGACGAATGTGTCTCGGCTTCTTCATCCAGGCCGCACAACAACTCTCTGGTATCAACTTGGTCTCTACCTACGCCAACCAAATCCTTGGGCAGTCATTCAATCTCAGTCCTGGCATGTCGCACTTAATTGCTGCTTGTGGAGGAGCTGAATACGCCATCTGCTCGGTTCTCTCGGTTTTCCTGATCGAAGGACTTGGTCGTCGGAAAGCCTTCCTCCTCACCTCCACCGGCATGACAATTTCCTTCATCCTCATTCCCATCTTGCTCTCACGCAACGAACGGAATATGCAACTCGCCGCCGCCGGGTTGCTCTTCGTCTTCAACACCTTCTTTGGTCTCGCATGGGTTGGAGGCCCATTCCTCTACAGTGCCGAAATCGCCCCTCTTCGCACCAGGGCCCAGATTAACGGTGTTTCTGCTGCTGCGAATTGGATTTTTTGCTTCATCGTTGTTATGACCATTCCTCCATCGTTCGCCAACATCGGTTGGAAGACATATATTGTTTACGCCGTGCTGAACGCCTCATTCATCCCTATCATCTACTTCTTCTTGGTTGAGACGAAGGGACGCAGTCTGGAAGAATTGGATGTTATTTTTGCTGCGCCGGGAGATCCAGTTAAGAATGAAAAGAAGATGCCGCATAACATTTCGATTGCGGAGGGGAGAAGGATATTGGGCTTGGATGATGATGAAGTGGAGGAGAAGTCCAAGGGTTCAGTGGAAGAGGTAAAGGTTGGTGGGAGTAAAGAGGTTGATTATGCGTGAGTCCTCGTCATTTGAATTTTGAGATTGGGGGGGGTGGAGGGAGGTCCGAGGGCTCAGTGGAAAAGGCAAAGGTGGATGGGAGTAAAGAGGCTGATTGTGCATGAGTCCGTCATTTGTATTTTGAGATTAGGGGATACAGGAACGCCAACAGATACTGTATGTGCAACGATAAATATTTTGTTTGATGATTTTGAAAGATTCTCTTCGGCTCTTCTTCCGTGGAATCAAACCGGGATCTAATTGTTTCTCAAAAGTCAGATTTGAGGGCTAAATGATTTTATAGCCAAGTGGCACATATCAAGGAGCTGTCTAAGAAACATTATGTGAAATATGTATTACGTCTTGCCTGAGTCTTCCGTCTACCTCCGTCCATCAACCCAGCGACGCAAGATGATATCCCAAGCCACAGCCTCCCATTTGCAATCCCCAAATTTTCTTGTCGCTACCCACAAGCTAGCACCGACTTTGCCGCTGGCATATTCAACCCAAAACTCTAGCGTTCCTTTTGTGGATTTGTTGAAATTAGATTGGATTATACCTAGCGACGAACAGAAGGAGGTGTAGGATATTAAGGAGGTTTTTGAGGGCGTGGATCTCGGTGATGATAGAAGGATTTTGGAGTAGGCGGTTGGGGTGCGGGTTACACTGAGGATTAATGGGAATGGAAATGTTGTCTAGGATGATGTTTCATACATGGGATATTTCATGAGATCGCTCTATTATAATTGTGCTTAGGACCCAAGGTGGCAGGTTGCATTGATTGACATTCTAGGCCTGTACTGCCGAGTCAGAGACTCGCTCTCTCGCGTCTGAAGAAAGGGGTTAAGCGATCAGGTCACCTGACGAAGTGGGACGGCTATATCTGAATGTACCACAACCCGAGGAATATCGAGAAAGCAGACTATAAATCTACCAGGATTCAAGGAAGGAACACTCAGAACAGAGTGGACCTTAAGCTATAATACTCTACGTCTAGATGTTCCTCAGGTTGTGGTACATTCAAATATGATGGTCTGCCACGAATAGCTGCACTTTAGTGCACCATTGCGACGAAACCGATCTACACTCCCTTCTGAGACTGAATGTTCAAAGATTTTCAGTGTATTTAGAGCTGGTTAGCCATGTACATCAGGCACTTGAGGATAAGACTCGGATGGAATCTAGCAAGCTCAGATGGAACGTGTCAAGTCTAAAGCTAGGTTCGCCTCGCTTAGCGTTCTTAGTGAGCGGATCTATCAACATTGCAATTTTTAAATTATTGGAGTTTGAAACTTAAACTGTAAACCTAATTGAGTCCTTCATACATATACCAAGTCGCTTTTGATTTGTGATTGAATTTTGCTGATGTAATATATTTTGTTTTGCGGATCGCTTCGTTTTTGTGAGCGGAAAGAAACGTCGTGTGAGCGGGATAATGGAATCTCAACTTACCAAAAGCGTATTAATTAGGGAAACATTTGGATTGTAAAGGGATCTTTTCAAGCAATCGGCATGTTGACATATAATATGGTTGATTTCTGATGTCGAGTTAGAGAGACGAAGCCCCTTCGCTTCGCTTTTTTGGTGAGCGGGAAAAATTCTTATGTGAGCGGATCACTGGGGCTTAGCTTTTTTGACAAACCATATACTGGTTGTTAATTCTTAATTAATTGGCTATGTTTTGGACGTATGTATAACAGAACTAATACGTTGTTGATTTTTGATAGCTAGGGAGGAGAACTCAAAGCTCCCTGGATAATTGCCCAAGTGAATTCCGTATAGTGAGACCAGTGTCCGGAAATCGAAATTTTCACAAATTCACGTACAACAGGGTTGATTGCTCATATAGACCGAGCACATTGAGTCCGTGTCTATTAGCTGAATGTTCGACGGTCCCACGGGCACTGGAGCTGATTGTCGACCCGAGGCGACAACCGACATCCATATGCTCCTAAATTCCCCCTCATCCCAAACGACCACCGAGCATTAACTTAATTCTCCTTCCACACCATCAGACTAAGATAAACACTGAGTTCGTCATCTGCTTCAATGTACAAGATTTGCAACGTACTTCCACTGCATTATACAAAATTGGCTGGTACATTGGGATTCATTGTACAATATCAAATTGCATAGCCAACTCCCATCTTATAGCGCCGCCCACTCTCTCAGGTTCCCGAAGTTTGTGACAAGAGAAGAGCAACCCAGATTCCATTTTCCAAGAACTCTCCAATGCCACATCCCTAATGCGACCGATTCAAACCTTCTCCGACAACCTCACCTCAGCACTCTCTTCCGTACCTCTCCAGGCTTGTGCAACCCTCACCAGATTCAAGGCCGAGACGAAAGCAAGAGGAAACAATCCAAAGACCACCACCTCAGCATCCAAATCAAGCACTTTCCCCCCACCAAAAACCAAACCCAATGCAGCGAGAATCAAAGTAGCATAAAGCTTATCAGCTTTCACACTTTTCATGATTCCTGCTGTAGAAATGGCGAGCACGATACACACTGGCACCATTGCCCAAACCGGGATTGGCCATATCTCAAAGCTGGTGGTTGGTGGAGTTGCAGATTGAGAATGGCTTTGCGTAGAAGGAGTGAAGATCGATGAAATTGAGGATATGAGATGAGCTGCGGCCTGAAAGGAAACGTTAGAAGCGTAATATAAATAGCGCGGAGGGGGAAATCACCGTAGGATGCGTGGCTAGCGCATACTGGGCAGATACGAGGGCTGTTATGTATGCTGGGATGAAATGGAGATCGTGGTATCTGGACGAGAGAGAGATCCCAAGGGACTGCATGGTGTTGCACGTTGAATTGCAAAGATGGTAAACACGAGCACCGCAAAGCGCGACATATTTGTTGTGAGGTACTGTCTCCACATCAACACGAGATCACGTGAAATCACAAAAATCTTGATTGCTTATCGATAACGCGGTTTCCCTGACAACGCGGAGACTGCTTATAACGATTGGCTCCGCCCTGCGTTGCTGGCCAACCTCTTTACCTTATTTTCCAGCTCTTCTTAAGACGAACCTCCACGATGCCGACACCACTATACTTACCTCACCAGGATGAACAAACTTTCAATCATTCCTCTCAACTCTACTCTCGTAGTCTTGAGCGAACTCTTTGGGACAGTCATTGACCGCAACTCGAGACTCCTTTTCCAAGCAAGTCAACAAACTTGACAGCCTTGTTTTTGCAATTCCCACGGGCCGATATATGACCCAATTCGACAAACTAGCACCGCACACATTTGCTACTTCGGTTCACAACCGTTACATGTCTTGCGTTTACGGGCCGTGGTAATTAAGAGTTGAAGTATGTCGCTGTGTTGCTGCTGCCACAGTTGCAACTTCCCCCTTAGGCATCATCTCCAGAGGAAAGAAGCTAACTAATTCTAACACTACAGAGTTACTACTCCTACGAACGAAATATCTCTGTGCCCCTTACTTCTCTTTGAGGAGACTTCGACAATTGATTGGTCAGACGCTGCGAGTTCCCATACGCGGGTCACATCAACGTATAACCCAAACATGAATATTTGGAGATGTATAGATACAGATCAACAGGCTGGAGTTGTGCCATTTGCAATCAGTCTGTTCAGTTCGCTGTTGAGTTTTTTGGGTGGCACAATTTTCTTCCATGGAGCTGTTGGTGTAGGTGCAAACATCGCTGTTGTTGCTTGGATCGGGTGAGTTCTCTCCTTCTTCCTTTCCGCTTAGGCTCGTTGCTGACTCTGTTATAGTTTCCTCATCATATACCTACCCGCAATCTATCTATACTTCACTCGTTGGACAGCTAGAAGAATGGGCGCGCGAGGGAAGGCATTGTACGTTGCAAGATGCAATCCAAATATCCTGGTTTCTGAAGAAGACACTGACAGCCTAAAGGTTTATACTCGTCGTGGTCATTGCAGCCTGGGTTTGGGCGCATATGATATCCTGGAAGAACGCAGCTGCAGGAATTGCAGGCATATTCTTTGGACCTACCGTTGTAGTGCATCTTCTCCAGGTTCTGATCTTTGGCCTAGGTGGCCACCCGCAACCCGTCGAGGGACACGACGCAGCGACAGTGGATGGAGGGGCCTTCGCAATGCAGCCTTTCCCTCCAGTTTAATACGGTTCCATTCGATTTCAGTCCATCCGCCCGAGCCCATTATTCTCTCTCTCTCTCCACGAGTTTATTACGCCAATCGACGGAGCATCTTGGGAGAACAGACATTCACGCCATTCCGGTCTATAAGGCCCCGCGGTCTTAACGATACGACACGATGCCATGCTTCACTTACGCTGCGACGACGATCAACTCATGTTCCCAGCACTTCCCTGAACATGCGCAGCGGCAGTCACATTTTCTTTGGATTTAGCGTTGATATAAGCATTTGAGTTCCTGCAACATGTTTGGTAATGGTTAACATCAAAAGCGAGAAGGCTATTGGATATTGCATGGTCGGTGTTACGGTCTTCCTGCACTTCAGCAGCATGGAGTTTGGCATTCGATCAGGAGTCAGGAAAAGAGAGATAGGGGAGGGGAGCCATGATTTGATGTCAATGATGATGATTGAGGAGAGTTTGAAAAGCGCTGGCGCCGGAGAGTGTGGGAAATGCATATAATATGGAGTACCGGTATTGCACTTGCAGAGATATCCTTGGACATAGCGAAGGAAATAACGACTCATTTTACACCTATTATCTGCTTCCCACCTACCTCAACCATTAAGACTTGGACCTACAACCCGCGTGATTCAGTCCTCCCAAGTTGACAACAATTAAGTCCAGATTTAAGTCGGAGAAATTAAGATGAGATACATTCTCCATTCTCGCCTCTGTTTTTCCCCACTCCATGTGTGTTTTTTAAATAAAAAAAAGTAAATCTTGTTCTGACCCTGAACCTAGTTTTGTGACGACTGTTTGCCAGTGAAGTCCTTGGTCACACTCTCACTCCGACAGAACCAGAGAGGTGCATGGGCCGTAAAATAAACACCAGTTTGTTGCAAACGGAGGACAGGGAGTTAGCGAACAGAGATCGGTTGAAGTCGCCTCCGAAAGATCCTCAGGAGGTGTATGGAGGTACGCCTCGGGGCATGAGTAGAGGCCATCTGCATATCCGTGCCCGCTTTGGCCAACTCTTGAGCATCGCTCAAAGTGACAAAAAACCTGGACGGTGATAGATTCGGGCTGCTCGGCGGGGCGGTTGGCTGTCCTGAAGCCAGGGAGGTTTGGACTATCTCGGTTAGGACTTCAGCTGCTGAAGATTCGACGTCCTACCTGAACGGATGGTTGGCAAGTTTGATTTACATTTCGATAGAGGCATACTAACTTGGAATCTCGGACTACCTCAGACTGAGCATCTACAAGTTTGGCATCTTCGGATATCGGCTGCTTCGACTTTACTCCAATGGACAAGGGGAGGTCAGACCAAGTATGGTGTGTTTGTTTAGAAAAAGTGAATGCGGAGTTACGTGAAAGTGTTTACTCAATCCAGATTTGCCTTACCAATTTTACTATATATTAGTAAATTATAATAAAATTCTTTCTCTAAATAAAAAAAGGTTTCTAATTATTATACGCAATAGCTTATAATGTAATATATACTTTAAATTAATATTTTTCGAATTACTTAAGAGCTACTTAAGTTACTTATAAGTTTCTTAAAGACTAATTAGATTACTTAAGAGCGATTTAAGGGCTGCTTAGAGATTACTTAGGAACTGCTTAAGTTGCTTAAATAGCTTAAGTAAGCTGGATAAGCCGAGGGCAAGCCAAGTGTAATTAGTGTCTTAGCAGAAGTGGCTATGTCTACTAACCAAGTATAAATGGAAGAATAAAGGGAATAACATTGAAATCTGCAGTGATTGTATATAAGATGACCTCTTGAATATTCAATAATGGATAGGAGAATCTCGAGAATAGCTGCAATAATATTCAGACTCAATACGTCAAGTTAATCATAACAGTCTTCTGATCCGTATACGCTCTCAACGCCGCACTCCCATTCTCCCTCCCCAACCCACTCTCCTTCGTCCCCCCAAAAGGCGTTTGCTTAAAACTCAAACTCACACAATTAACCCCGACCATGCCGGCGTCAAACTCGCTCGCCACTCTAAGCGCCCGATTAATATCCTGCGTAAACACGCCCGCCATAAGCCCATAATTCGTATCATTACACTTCTCAATGATCTCCTCTTCGGTCTTGAAGGAATTCAGCACGGAGACTGGACCGAAGATTTCTTGGCGGATGATTTCGGCGTCAGGGTCGACGTTGGTGAAGACTGTGGGCTGGATAAAGTAGCCTTGGGAGCCGACACGAGAACCACCTGTGAGGAGTGTTCCTTGGCCGTTCTTACCTCGCTCGATGAAGCCTGAGACGCGGTCGAATTGAGCTTTGTCCACGAGGGGTCCCATGGTGGTACTTTCGGCCTCTGGGTCGCCGATATTCTCGGCCGCTTTGAGAAGAGCTTTCTTGTATCCCTCGACGAACTTCTCGTAGACCCCTTCTTGGACATAGACTCTTGTTGCGGCAAAGCAGATTTGTCCCGTGTTCAGGGTCAACGCTCTTGCGCACCAAGTAATGGCATTTTCAAGGTTCGCGTCGTCGAAGACAACCGCTGGGGATTTCCCGCCAAGCTCGAGAGTCACGCGCTTGAGGTTCGACTTCGCGGCTGCTTCCTGGATTCGCTTCCCCGTCGGGATTGAGCCTGTGAAGGAGATCTTCCGGATTCGCATATGGCTCGAGAGCAAAGCACCTGTGCTGCCGTCCCCGGATAGGATTTGGAAGACTCCAGGTGGGAAGCCAGCTTCGATGATCAAGGGACCGAGTGCCAAAGCAGAGAAGGGTGTTTTCTCGGAAGGTTTGAGAATGAAGCAGTTCCCCGTAGCGAGGGCGGGAGCAGCCTTGCTAGAGGCGGTCGCCAGTGGGCCATTCCATGGAACAACACCAGCTACAACACCGAGAGGCTCGTTCCTGACAATCTTGAGGAAGCCATCGTCTTGGGGGAATGATTCCCCGGCAAACTTGTCAATCCAGGCAGCGAAGTACTTGAATTTTTCCTCAGCGATCATTGTCTCACGGTGGCTGATGGCACTGGGGGCACCAAGGGTGATCCTCGAGAGCTCCGCTAGTTCCACACTGTGTTTCTGGATGAGGGCGGCGAATTTGTTCATCATCTCTTGTCGGGCTTGGGCTGGGATTTTCTTCCACGCCGGGAAGGCTTTCTCGGCGGCGGAAACGGCTGCATCAACGTCCTCGGCCCCTGCGAGGTCGACATCGTTTGCTACCAGCGAGCCATCTTTCGGGTTGAAAAGTTCTAGTTTCTTGGAATTCTTGGAGGCAACGTACTTGAAAACAGTCAGCGGGTCTTTTGGACATGCAGTGGTGAAGAACACTTGCCTCGTTGTTGATGAACAACTGCTTGGGCAGATTCGATTTGCTGTAGTTGAAAACCATCTCGAATGATTTATGAGGAATTTTGGGAGAAAAGAAGAAAGCTTACAGATGAAAACGAAGCTTATATATGCTCGCCTGCCATTTTTGTACGCAGAACATTCTACAATAGCTCCGGCTGTTCCCTCCGATCAAATAGGGCAGTTGTATGGAACTACCGACGCCAGTAGAATCTGCATGGCTTATTGGAATATGACGTGAGAACGTATGAAGTGTTACACAAGAGTTAAATGCGACCAATAATCTTAGGAAGCGAATACGGTAGTGCTGCGTTCAAGTTGGCCGCTGCGGGGGGGGGGGGGGAAGCGGGGTTAAGCGGACCTTCGGCGGACATTCTGTGCATTCAAAAGAGGCCTTTCAAAACTCCTCAGGACTGTAACTCTTGATACTCTTCTCGAGAACAAGGTTTATTTTCCTAATCTGAACCGAGTGCCCGTTGCTGAAGCCACCACCAGCGCTTGCCTCTGTAAACGTGACCATGTTGGAGCGTGTCTGAATCGGAAGAATGCTGAGAGTTCGCGCCAAAGTGAAATTTCTTCATCTGAAATTTACTAAATCACACTCATGTTATATGTAGATGAGGTTGACAGGGATGGGATGTGATGCGTGCTACAGTGCGGTAGCTGCATTCAAGTTGTCAGGGGGGTTCTCGCCGAAGGATAGGGGCTCGCTTGGTAGTGGAGACCCTGCAGCTTTAGCGAGAAGCAGCCTGGAAATCTTGTTCTCCAACCCCGAAAACCTTCTATAAAACCAACTAGACGGCAATTTTCCTTTTATGAACTTCCTTCAGCACAGAGGCCTAGAAAAGGTCACAGCACTGGATTCTGAAGTTGCAGAATACAAGCAAAGTATATACATAGTTCCCATGTTCGCGGAGGTGAGCACGCTAAGACGACTTCGTCATTAAAGTGGGGGTGAGGACATCTGATTTTTTTAACAATCTGCACTTGCCAAACCAATACACACTCTCCTCCTTCAAGCCTCACTAACGCTTTCACCCATTGCGCACCGAATCTCCATTTGCCATGGAGAAAGAAGAGGGCTTGGAAGAGAGATCCCTGAGACAATTCGACGCTCTAGTAGAGCGGGGTAATCTGCTCTGGCGAATGACGACCCCGCAATTGATCAAAGCGGACCCTTTCAACGTCTGTACTTCCGCCCTGACCTCCCAATAGAACTGCCTCCACACCAATCAACCTTAGAGTGGCATCGTATCCTTTTCTCTAACCAGACCTGACTGTGTGGCAGTTCCAATTCCGCTCCGCCAACAGCCTCACCGCCAAGCCCATCCTCTCCTCCACCGACCCGGGCCGCAGCAAGTCCACAAACGCGTTCTCAGACACGGACCCTGACTTCTTTCTCTCCCACATCGGGTCCTCACACACTCTAATCCTAAACAAATACTGCGTTGTCCGCCCGCAGTTCCTTCTACACACCAACACCTTCATCCCGCAATCTGATCACCTGACTGAATCCGATCTTGCTGCTGCTTGGACTGTGCTTTCTAGTCTGACAAGAGGGAAGTATATCGTGATTTACAATTGTGGGTTTGAGGGCGGGAGTAGTGTTGGGCATAAACATCTGCAGATCTTGCCGCGGCCGAAAAAGGAGGAGGGGTTTGAATTTTTTCCTGATTTGTTGAGTATAGATTCAGGTCTGCTCACTTCCCAAACGCATCTTCCAGACTCAAAAGCTAACGGATTTACCTGGGAAGATACTTCCACGGTCCCAAAGATCCCCTTCCGGCATTCAGTGAAGAAACTCCTTCTTTCACCAAGTGCAGCTCAGCTGGTTGGGATTTATAAGAGTTTGGTTGAGCAAGTAAAGGTGCAAGAAGCAGCAGGGCATAATGTACTGCTCACGGAGGATTGGATACTAGTTATCCCGAGAACGAAGGGGAGAAAGGGGATTTTGTCTGCGAATGCGGCGGCGATGGCAGGGATGGTGTGGGTTACGGGAGAGGAAGAGGTGAGGCAATGGGTGGAAGCCGGACCTATGAAATTGCTGTGTGAATTTGGGGTTGTTGATCAGGAGGTGGGTTGAGACCCGGATGTTTGGAACCAATAGTCTGCTCGTAGTACAGTACGTGTAGAGAAGAGTAATCTGGATATGTTTGTGCTTAAGATCAATTCCTTGTGAGCAACCCGCTCAGGTTCACGTTAATCCTCGCTCTTGCTTCCTCTTCCCAAAGACAACCAATCACCCCTCAAGCTCACTGCGGTATGCACTTCTGTGATTCATCGAGAATTCATTTCATAAGCCTTCTCAGCCTTCCTCCCGTAGCGATGACGAGAGCACGCGAATGCGGGCCTATCGCATACTTCTCTTGCAGCCGCCACACATCTCACCCACGCTCGGCTCAGGGGTCGTGCTGCAGTTTGTCGGGGATAACAGCAGCAACCAATGAGATGAATAGCACATGAATTCTGATGGACGGAAGAAGTGTTTAAAGAAGATTGAGGCATGATGTGGCTGGTTTGTTGGAGGGGAATTCCATTTATACTTGAGGGTTGGGATTCTGGAATCTCGTCCGTGTCGTCTCTCACCCTGGTGCAACTTTTCTCAAGTGGACTTTGAATTTTCAAGCATCTTTCGGAAGTTCTCTCCTCTCTTTGCAGTCTCTCCAGTCGGCGGGAAATTGTAGAATCCAAATGTCGAAATCAGCGCTTGTGTTCGGTGCCAGTGGGGTCAGTGGGTGGGCATTCGTCAACGAGCTTCTCCATGACTACCCACGCCCAGGTATCTGGAAAAGAATAAACGCCCTGACCAATCGTCCCCTCTCGCAAACCTCAACACTATGGCCTGCCGACTCACGCCTAAAGCTCGTTGCTGGAATTGACTTGCTGAACGGTAGTCAAGAAGTCCTCGCATCTTCGATGAGCGAAATTGAAGGAATTGATGAAGTGACTCATGTCTATTATCTAGGTGAATTCGTTATTTCGACGAATGGATGAGGAGAAGAGAGTTGGCGACTGACATACTCGCCTTCCACAGCATACAAAGCCTCCCTAGACCTTGAGAAAGAGTACAAGGACGCAGAAGCTATGTTCCGCAGGTCAATCATAGCTATCGACCGCGTCTCGTCCGCACTTGAGTTCATAGTCTTGCAAACGGGGTCCAAGACCTACGGTTGCCATCTCCTCTCGCAGCGCTCCTCAATCAACATGCCGCTCCCCCTCAGCGAGTCTCACGAAAGACTTCCATCTCCACACGCAGAGCAGCTATTCTACCACGCACAACTAGACTTCCTCTCTTCCTACGCCAAAGGCAAGACTTGGAATTGGTGTGAAACTCGACCAGATATCATCGTCGGCTTCGTCCCGAACAGGAGTTTTTACTCCCTTGCCACCTCCCTTGGGATTTTTCTAGCGCTGTGGAAGGAAGTTGATGGCGAAGGAGCCAGGTGTCCGTTCCCTGGGTCCGAAGGAGGATGGGAGGCGCTTTGGAATCAGGGGAGTAGTGATATGCTTGCGCGGCAAGCGATTCATCTTTCGCTTACGCTTCCCCGGGAAAGAAAAGGGGAGGCGTTCAACGTTGCCGATGAGAAAGCGCCAGGGAGTTGGAAGATGAAGTGGCCAGATATTTGTTCCCACTTTGAACTGCAAGGTGCTCCTCCACCGAAAGAAGGCACTGCGATTGAGGTGAGGAGGTATATTGAAGATCATATGGATGCCTGGAAGGGGATGGAGCGGAAATATGGGTTGAAGAGTGGGATTGTGGATTCGATATTCTGGTCGAGGAGGTTTGAATTTGCTTGTCTTTCACTGTTTGATTTTGATAGGCAGTTTGATATGAGGAGGATTTATGGGAGCGGTTTTGAAGAGGAAAGAACGACGAAAGAGACGTGGGGTAGTGTGTTTGATCGGATGAAGAGGGCGAATATTATTCCTTCCTAGAGGATATTTTTCGCAGTCTTAGAGAATGTATTCGATTTGCGAGGTACAGCTTCGCAGTCAGTTTGCAGGCCCTGGGTGATTGAGACAGTGTGCGGCCAGGTCGCGCTGACAACTCTGTCGCGAAATGTCTCCGGACAGATGAATTTATGACACAAGGATCACCATTCATTTTGCATATTGCAGCCCACTCGCTAGTGGGAAATGGTAAACTATTTGTGCTATTGGATATGTCTTAGCCAAGCCATAGTTGTCGCCAGATTCTCACAGCGTTACAGGAGCAATTCTGTGCCACAGCCTGCCCAAGAGCGAACCGACTACCTTCATTAGCTATGTATCAATAGATGTCAGGCAGCAGCGAAACGCTGTAGTCGCTCGCGAAACTAGCTTCCCCTGGAAGCTGCCAAAGAGGGCGATGTCCTCAGCCAGTGGCTCAGGACGCTGCCAAGATAGGCCAGTGTCTCCTCGAGGGCGATGTTGGGTATCTGAGGCAGAGTTGGATCCACGGTCGAGGCGGTCAAGAAAGTAAGGCTGACTAGCGAGGGCGATTTTTCGGGTTCGCGAGATGGTAGACGTTTCGGGTGCTGAGGACGAGGCTCTATGAGGTGCGATTTGGGTACAAAAAGGGTGGAAAATTCTGGAGGGAAGACCTTGGGTTAAGTCCTCTGCTGGTTCCTCCGTTAGTGGGAGCTGCCAAATGGGCGACCGAGTAGCGCCTGGCCACAGGGACTTCGTAGCGAGGCCCGTTCTTCACGTTAACGGGGCGAATTGCGCCTAGGCAACTGCAACGCCTTGCGCTGCGCCTCACCGTCACCGTGGTGCTATCCGTCAACTTCCAAATCCCATATATCGGTGAAGTCAGGATGAGGCTGCTCCAATATATGTCGTAACAGAATTTATCTGATCGCAATGCGACATCATTCGTTGCCAATCTCCATTTAGTTCCTTGCACTGTAACGTAGTGCTTGTGGTATAGTATTATCGTACTGCGCCTCTAGAATATGGACCCCCTCTCTATTGCGGCAAGTATCGTTGCCCTCGTTGGGGCCGCGAAGGGCTCAGTGGAAGGCTTGAAGAAACTACGACGATTCTACAAGTCTCCAGCAGAAATCGATGCTCTCATCAACGAGATCGAGGATCTCCGCCTCTTGATTGTAGATATTGACATAACTCAACACGAGCACACGTTGTGCACGGATATTCCTGCACTCTCGAAAATCCTAAACGATGCCAAAGAACAGCTGTTTAGGCTTGATGAAATAATGGAGCATCGATTAAGGCCGCACGGAAGCTCCTCTAGAATTGCTTGGATGAGAGAGAGCTCCAAGATTACTGGTATCCGCTCTTGCGTCAGAGAGATCAAGTCGAACTTGGTTCTACTCCTAGTCAGATTGAGTACGACACAGGGATACAGGAACTTGTGAGTAGATATTTAATTGGATTGTATCAAACGACATCGCACGTATTCTCTAACCGTTCCATTTACAGCTCATGTCTTGGCCGTGTTGAGATATCACTTCAACAGATATCACTTTCGACACAAAGCGTACTCGTCAAGCAAGACTCTCTTGAAGAACGATTTCGGGATCTTTTTGAAGCATCCCAGAGTATCCCTCCCAGAAGCAGCTCAACCAGCAGCTTATCCAGCGTTGCCCAAGATGCCCGCGCACAAATTTCACCGAGGTCTGGCCAGAGCTTTGTTGAAATACAAGCAGCACGATATGTCGATCACAATTGTGACAGATGGTGCAAGTGTGCATGCCACTTGAAGAAGAAATGGGCATCTCCTCAGGTTTTAGACCTCGTCGTTGGCCAGTTACTGCTTGGTTACACAGGTTTCATACGTCCTCGTCAGAAATGCACAAAGCACTCCTGCCGGCAACAGTCGGATTTGAAAACTCAAGTCACGTATCGCTTCCCTTCATGGTTCGTGTCACTGAGCATCTCGGTAATGATAGCGAAGAGGGCAATGCAGACGCCTGAAATGCTTGTCCGAGTCCTCAGAGTTAGGCCCTATGGATCTACCGATCTTTTCCGCTTTGCTACGCATGGCAATATCGAGAAACTGCAGGATCTGTTTAACAAGGGCGAAGCGCCTCCTTGGGACGTTCAGCCCGATGGCCGCAATGCACTGCACGTAAGCTGATCCGCATCGAAGTCATATATCGTTCTCTACGCTGACTGAAGATAAGTTCTCATTTGGAGAGTACAACTTAGACACGTGCAGATTCCTGATCAGTAAAGGTGTAGACGTGAACTTCGAAGATCAGAACCAAATGTTGAAATCCCCACTGTCGCATCTATTGCAATACTAACATCGGTTTAGGAGCGCTCTTTCACACGCATGGGACGGAGTTCTCAGCCGCGTTGCAAAGCGCGGAGAGCCCGTCGCAACTATGGAGCAGTTGCGGGAGCTCTTCGGGGACAGCGACTACATTGAGTCACAGCGCTTCAACAAGCTGCACAGACTTGTAATCGGTCTCGATCACGGCGATTTGGAGGCTACGCTGCGCGAAGGGGATTTCGACGCCGACGACACTGACACCCATGGGCGGACGCCCCTCTACTGGGCCGCGTCTCGGGGTGATTTCGCAAAAGTTCGCCTGCTGCTCGATTACGGCGCATCTCCTAATGCAGGCTTGAGCGTCATCACAGGTGTAGTGCACCATTTTGAGTTCGAGAGAAACTCCCTCGGTTTCACACACTTCAGCAGACTTGCGGTTGCCAAGATGCTCGTTGAGGCTGGGGTTGATGTGACGGTCAAAGAGAACGATGGGTATACGCCGCTTCATGCCGCTGCGAGACACTCTGAGGGACATGAGTTCATCAAAATGCTGCTTGAGAAAGGGCTTGATCCCTCAGTGCACAATCTGTATGGACAGACGCCGCTACATGACGCGTGTGGCCGGAATCATGTCAAGTGTGTTGCAGTGCTGATTGAGAATGACGCAGATATCGACAAGACTCATGGCCCATCGAGACCCCCTATTTTCGACTCGATTGACAGGTATAGTTATGAGTGTACAGAGCTATTGCTGAATGCAGGTGCGAGCCTGAAGTTTGTGGATGTGCAAAGAAACAGTCTTACAATTCTACACTGGTTGGCTAAACACGGTGACAGAAGAACATGGCAGATATTCGGATCTGTGGACTTGGCAGGCTTGGACTCAGAACAGAAAAGTGCGAATGGAGAGACGGCGATCCAGCTTTTTGATCGCGAGCGTCCGGGCGCAGAATCAGGTATGCGGGAAGCTTTTATGGTGCTTTTAGACCGTGTCAGAAATTGCAACGGTTCGAAGGAGGCTTCGCCGGATATTCAGATAGTTGGTATTGATCATGTAAATATTCCAGGAGCTTGGATTGACGAGCCCGAGACTTGATGCCGGGCGAAGGGGGTAAGGAGCAGGGGGTGGCAATACACTTATCAGGTGAAAGCCTAGAACGAATGTTGCGGACTTTGTTCAGAGTCGTAAGGGAGAGGGAGTCTCTTGGTTAGCTCCCCCTGGTGGATCTGGCTGCTCCGTTCAGCGCAACTGGCTTGGAAAAAGAGCTATTACGAGAAGCCGATGTTGAGGTGAAGCCGGTCATGAAGTTCCGCCATGCCATGAGTTATGGTGGTCAGCGGCCAATTTTAGCTACAACCCAGCCTAGCCAAAGCCGGCTTCTAGTAGGCTGGATGAGAACCAACGATGAATCCCGGTATACAGGCCAAAGAGGATCCTGGTTTTTGAGAATGGGTAAAAAGTTTCATTGGATTGAAAGGATTTGCACTGCCTCGAATACGGAGTAATCTCAGATACGACGCGTGTGCAAATGCAAGGTGTGCTGCATTGTGAGGCCACCATGTATCGAAATCGAAGAATTTTGCACCAGTTACTCTCTTGCAGACCAGCAGCCGCAGATTTCCTCTCGCGGTAATGAACGTACGGTACGGGTATTGTTAAGAAGTTCCGTCTGGTGCCTGACCGGGAGTGCAGATACATGGAAAGAGGTACAACTACTTGGAGCGAGGAAAAAGTAACTTGCTGAGAGCAGTGGTGAGGTCCTTCTTGCTCATGCTTCCTTATATGTCTTAGCGGAAAAGTGGGGAGCCAACAGTCTAAATTTGTTGGTTCTATCCAAGCTCCACCAAACTCTAAGCACGCTCCGCCTCGACGCGTCAAAGGTTCAAGAAGTCATCGATCTTGCGCGGTACGCATACTTGGATGGTTCGACACCAGATTTAGAAACTGAGATCGATAAGTTGAGAAAGTTAATCTGCCTCAACATAGCTGCCAACGTCGAAGTACTCTCAGAGCATACTTTGTTTGTGGATTTTATTGAGGGTGGGGGCGCTTTTGTGTGGGATCTTTGGAAGCGCGTAGTGCCTAAGAAGCCTAGAGTAGCGATCGAAATCGGCTTCAGTCCAACACTCCATGTTTTTCATGTTTTGCGCCACAGTTCTGAGACAGCCCTGCACTGGTTCACTACTTCCACCTCTGGATCTCACAGCCGCGAACGTCAGCTTAGTTAGGATTATTGGAACTTTTTAGAAACCAGCTTTTTGGCATCCTCCCTCCTATTCTGGTTTCTTTCACGCAGCAGTTGCTATAAATAATATGTGAGAATAATACCTAGAATTCTCTAGTGCATAAGAAAATAATTTAAGATAACCCCAATTAAAGGAACCAATCTTAAGCTGAAGCAGTCGAGGGGAGGGTCCCTCGACTTACCATGAAGGTATACGGTAATAGAAGGGGGCATAGGCGGGTAAGTTCAGGCAACAGAATGATAGTAAACAGTCCGCCAGTCACTCATTTTCGGTAAAGAGGGGTTTTCTAATTCCGTCCGTTCTGAAACCTAAAGGCGTATTTCAAACCATTGATCATTCAAGTGAGAATAATCCCAGTCAGATCCTGATCCATAAGCATCTCCGCGGCCTCTCCTAGCATAATTCCATGAACATATGCCTCACCGACTAAATTGAGCCGCCGTGGCTCGGACATCTTGGTGTTATTGTTCGGACAATTTCGTAGAAGCAGAGGTAGATTGAGCCCCGGGGCAATCCATACAGTATCTCCTACTTCCACGGACGCCGGTCCAAGCCCAAGACATCCAAGTTTAGTGGCGAACAAGCGGCGTCCACCGTAAGCATTCGAATAAGCTAGAACGTATGGCCGAATCTCAAACGGAATCTCAATTCGGCCATTTGGTCGGGTTAAGGGGTTCTTGGAGTTTTTAAAGTACTCGTCAATCTCCTCGGCCGTCGGAATGCACTTCTCCTCTCTAGAATCTTTGCTTAGTATTTCCTTGAGCTTCGTAAGGATGTGCCTCATTCAGTCAAAATGTTTGCCGTTGATACTCCTAGTCAACGGCGGCATGGAATTTCGGAGCTCTGCCATTGCGCTTTCATCGGGACCGCGGCTCTGAGGGCCGGTATAGCTCTCGGCCCGCATGTACAAAGACGAGCGAAGCAGACCGTAAAGTGTAATAGAGTTCTCTCTAGTGGCCTCTTCATCCCGGAACGCCATTTCTGGTGCTTTACAAATCATTGCAGAGATGAAGTGCTTGAACATACTATGAAACTCGGATGGGGCAGGTGAGTTGTTCTCAAGGTCCATGTTCGCACAGAGCGTCCTCCATAACACTTCCGCAGGAGACTGGTTCAGGTTGTTGTAGCAGTCGCTTGTCCTGATAGCTTGAAGAAGATCAAACCAGTTTTCATCCAACTCGATTTTTTTGTTTGGACCATTCAACGGCCGTGGCGCTGCTGTCTGTACTATAGCATCAACACAAATACTCTCTAGACCCAGTTCGTTCCATTCTAAAAAAGTGTTGAAGATCGATTTTCCTTTATGGAGGTCCCCTAATGCGGAAAAGCACTTGCTGAACAGGTGGTTGGTGCCAGGAAGGCTGAAGTCCGGGACCCAAGATGGTAGGACAGGAATATGTCTCATTGATTTGTCCTGGACATAAGACAACGCCTTGACACTGTCCATCTGACTCATGAGAAGCTTAGTAAAGCCTGCATAGCATTGTTCCACAGGAATGCTGTAATCTGGTCTTATCATGTGTTTCAGATTTGGGTCAAGAGAAGACAGGGATCGGAGAGCGTAAATACTGGCCCTTGGATCGGTAGCTCGAAAGGGGAATGTCATGTTGATGAGACGATCAAGCTCAAAGTGTTTGCTAAGATTGGCTTTCCCGGAGTCTTGTAGGTCGCGTACTGCCTCCTTTAAATCGCTTATGGCCAAGAAGTGAAACTCAATACCAGAGGCGATTTCTTCGATGGGAACGTATACGTTGGATGAGTCCTGGACTAGTACTTTATCTCGCGAGCAGATTACTGCTTCAACTGCCTGTAGATTGTTCCATCCCATGTCTTTATTACCACAGTACATAATTATGCCCGCCGCAAACACCGCTTCTTGTATCACCCAACTCGACGGAACCATTGCCGAAGGAAGATAGAGGTTAATGCATTCCACTCTTCCTGAGATATGAATGGCACAGAAAATTTCGCGTAATCTTCCGGGCTGTATGTGCGGTATGGGATGAGATTACTGTCCGAAAATTCTTTTGCGGAACCAGCTAGCTTAGAAATGGTGGAGAGTGCCATATCAGTGTATTGGTCCTCTTCTCCAAGCCAAATGATTGTGTAAATTGCCAGAGAATAAATTTGATTCATGATCCGAACTTGAGTCTCTCGCTCTTTATGGTTCGTCTGGTCGATACAGATAGCATCGATCCAAATGTAAGTGCCTGAATATTCGATAACAAACTCTGGGATATCCTTCACCAGCTCTTGGATATCCTCCGTCCTACACGTCCTCAACAATTCAGCTATATCTTCGTGATTATTTACAGCAGCTAAATCTTCTGCAGTATAGCTATCGTTGTCTTTCAGATCCAATATTGCCCCAGCCTTAATCAGGATATACACGGTCTCCAGCATTCCATTGTTGGCAGCATAATGAAGAGGGCTCCGAGCCATATTATCTTGCACATTGACATCGACGCCCTGCCCGGCATACATATGTACTATAGTATGATTTCCTGATGCTGCTTCATCGTGAAGGAGATGCTTTCCAGTGTCTGCACGAATTCTACCACGAATACTGCGAACCCAATTGGTGGGTGCTTCGCACAAAAAGTGGTAGAGTTTTTTTTGGATCTTGAGGATTTTCCCGTCGCATTTGATGTCGACCAAGTCTTCATATTCGGCACTATGAGCCTTGAAGCTGTCTTCGAATCCGTTGCCTTTGGCGTGTGGATTCCCCCACGTGTAGGAAAGACAATGGAACGGAGGTCGTTCGGGCACAGTTCGATCTCGGCGGTTGTAAGGAGATGTCCACGGTTCTGGAGCCAAATCGACGACCTTGATAGAGATATTGATCATGCCATTTTCGTCGTTGCCATGTCAAAGTTGGAGAAGGCAGCGGGGAGTGACTAAATGTCCAATCCGTTTGCACGCTCATCTCTAATTTTATGAAGACAGAATTCTAGAGGGATTGCCCGAACAGTGATGGAGGAGTCTAAAAGATCAGAATATAAAGCAGAGCGGGTTGTGAGACATCTGCAAGCCTCAGGCAGCCACCAGCTGATAGCATCCTGGAAAGCATGCCTCTCGCCTCGTGTCTTCACCGGAACTCACCTATGCTACGAAAAAACAATCCTGTCGAATTTTGCTATTTTGTTAGCAAACTGCTCCCCTCAAGAACTGTGCGACGGAGGCTTAGCTGGCTATAAAGGTACTGTACTAGTCTTTCTCGGAATTGTTGCGCAAACATTTAAAAACATAGAGTGTTGGACTGAAGCCGATTTTCGATCGCTACTGCCGAGGAAGCTGGTTTGGATCGACATATTCTTCTCAAGCATCATATCTCTAATTTTACAAAACAAGGTGACTTTGCTGTCTTGGTTGCTTACCTTACCTGTTAGCCAGTGTTCCCAATCTCCAACATCTTTTCATAGTCTTTACCGAGCCAGGTTATTGGAGGACGGAACAGAAAGCAATTCGGAGAATGCTAGAGGATTCTTTCGAGAACGAGGATAATGCTATTCTGCAGAGCCTCGAGACACTGCAATTTGCAGTGCTCTGCGTCAGTCCATTTGCCGTTCCTCTCCTCCCATTGAACTAACACATCCTTTCAGATACCAGTGCTGTTAGTGATCGCGAGTATGATCTCCAGCTGGAATGCATTCTCCCATTCATGCGACTTAATAACATTCGATCAGTGCACACACTCGCAGCACATACCTTTAATGACATCAATGCTCTGCCACCAGACATGCAGCCTTACATGAAGAGTTCCGGCATTACGCATCTACCTCTCGACGAAGCAGATCTCGGCGAAGCAGCCCTCGACATTCAACATCGTTACTACAAAGATCAAAGGCATGCTGCTAACCCGTATGCCTCCCTAGATTTTCGATTACCTTCCTACATCTGGAACTCTGAACATTCAATTCGACCACTCGAGACGCGATTTTGATAGGTTCATTGAGGGAGTTCGCGGCCGTGAGTAATCGACGCCGCGGCGCTATGTGGCCACTAGAAATGAGTTCCAGCGCCAATTCAAACGGTGAACACTCTCCCACCAAACTTAGAAACGTTGAATCTCAGGGTAATACTCCGGCGAGGTGATGCAGGGCTGCCCACTGAATCGGGACCGCCATCCAAAATTGATAATATCCTGTGGGTGTCGCACTTCATAGGTCTCGTCCGAAATGTAGGGAAGAAGCTACCGTCCCTCAAAAACATCGGCATCCTGATCCAGGGCCGCGACTGGCCGGAAGCCGAACACAGCTTCTTGTTCCAGGACATTGTTGAAGAATGCTCGAATGCATGCTTGAAACTGAAAGGTTGAAGATGAACCTTTCGGCACGAAACTGCCATATTTCAAAGCGCAAACGAAATATTGATGGCTTGGCCGAGACCACTGGTATCAATGGATGCCTACGAATTACTTACAATAGAGGAAATGTTCAAATATTTGACGTTCGAATACAGAGAAGCTGCTCTCACCTCCGCATGGAATGATTCATCATGATGTGGTTTACGACTGTACCAGATCATCGTAACCTTTCTTCCGCTCCTCCTCCACTTCTCAACCACCACACCCACATCCACGAATCTCTCCTTTCATTCCTTATAACTTCAGACATTCCCCATCACGAAGCACGAGCAAAACCCAATCTATCTCATCTCAATCCTCCCATTCAGCCGCGCAATCCTCCAATTGGATCGCACCCGACCAGTTCACGAATCGAATCCGCACCGGTCCCCACCTCCGCGCCACATGCAGGGGTTTGCAAAGGGGGGGGGGGGGAGTACCGCGTTTCAACGGCCCCTTTCTGTTGCACATCGAGTCGCCACGGCTTTGTCGTTTTTTGTTGCATGTCGGCAGGACTCCTGAGAGCGGCTAGGAAATCCCGAAATGCCGGTGTTTGAATCTTTGCTGTGAGTTGGGAGCGGAGTGCATCATGTGATTTAGAATATATGGCGCGAACCGTCACCTTCTATGGCCACAGGAGCAGAGTCTTCACACCCAAACCAGGCGGAATAAAAGCTTACACAACATTCAACTCCTGCAGAGCGTCGTTCCCGAACCTTTGTTTTCTGTATGTGAGTCGAGAGCCGCCACCTTGAAAATATACACAATCTGCTTCGAATGAATGCTCCGACGTCCCATGTACTTCGACCTCGATTCCGATATAGTGCAGTTCCAAAGGAGAGAGACGATGATTGCTTCAATCTGTATGCGGCCCGTATCACCAAAGAGGAGCAGGCAAGAAAGCTCGCATGATACGATTTGCCTCTCGCCCACGAATTCGGAATAGTGAAATGGATAACCCGGCGGGAATCAGAATGGGGACGTACGAGCTGCGCAAACTATTTGATTGCATTCCCAGCATCCAAGAGTTTGTGCTTTGTTGGTACGATGACGGTACACTAAAAAGGAGGACGGCTGCTTTCGCCACAGCCTAGGAGACGGAATGCGAACCCCCTTGACAGTTGGCAGGAACGCCTAGCCCTGAGCAATAGGCGTTGCTTTCAAACAGGAGACCGAAGGTCACCCAGTTGAAGGTTGACCCAAAGTTTTATTTGTATTATGTGGAAGAAGGCTTGCTGAGTGCGTTCGCATCTGGAAAGATTGGGAAGCAGATGTGAAGAGGAGAACGTTGTCCCGGCAAAATCACGTCACAGGACTTCTAGCATGAGGAGGACGAGGACAAGATCGCGTCTCGAAAGTTAATTAAAGCAGTCGGCAATGCATTCGGAATTAACTCAGACAAGGAAAATGCATCTCTCTAGGAAGTTTTCAAGAATTCTCGGGCTCAACTACGTAATAACCTTACCCCGCCCCCTATTTCTCGCTTGACTTCCCCTGTCCACTCCACGTAACAAAACAACCGTAATCACGTTTCTTCGAATACTTACCTATGCTCCAAAATGTTATGCAAGCGCAATATGTGGAGGTATTGTCACAAATATATGTTATTCGCCATGCCATCCGGAGACTAACAAGTGCTTGATATCTGAACACGAACTTGGACATTGGCTTGAAGTGGTAATTGGCTGGAGTATTCTGCATGATGTGGCTGCTCATACATCAACCTTATTGGTCTGCTCTGAACCAGGCTCGTTTGGTCAAGGTGCCTTGCTGCCATGGCGAATCTGCACAAGGCATCCTTCTGGGCGAAATCAGCCCAATAGACCCCAAGTCTCGGGAAATTAGGCACCAAGCGTCGTTACACAATGGTCAGTTCGGCCAGCAAATTTGCTTCTCGTTTCTTCCGCACGCCGCTCATCAATCATCGCACTCATCAAACGAGCTCAACATTCAATGCCACTTCCCCTATATCGGTTTAAGGATTATGTCGGAGTTTCCACTTCTCCGGCCGAATGCTTACGCGGGAACTCCAGGGAGTGGGCGACAAGGCGCCGCTGTGGCTGAGGCGTTACCCCCCACACCAGCGTCTAGACCAGAGGCCCTTTCTTGTGTTGCAACCAGGGAAGATTATTGGGGCGAAGCTCTTCGCCGCCTCGATGCGACAAAACAGAATTGTATTCAACAGGCTTTGGAGAAACAACAAGATGGAAGTGGCGGCAGCGTTGACGTTGATGATGCCAAAGAGAGCAGACTTCGACTTCAAGACAGGCCGGTAATCACCGAAGGCTCACTTTCATGGCCCGACATCTTATCAGAAGTCTGTCGCCGCAGCCAACGACTGGAAGACGACAGAACGAAAAAGCGGAATTTCCGATTCGCCGGTCGCGACGTCAACCTGCGAAAAACATTGGAAACCTGGGTCAAGTTCTTCAATAGGATCAAGCAAATTGGGGACATTGCAGTAAATGTTGACCCCATCCATGCTGGTCTTCCTTGGGCTGCAATTCGGCTCATTATCACTGTATGTGAGCCCAAGCAAGACTTACGCCGATTCAATTCTCTAATGTTAATGATCAAATAGGCGGCGACGGCCTCAAGTGACCAAAACGGTGCTATCTATGTGGGAATCGAGAAGGTCCTTTTCCTTATGAATCGAGGGGCAGCGTACGAGGCCCTGCTCGCACATCTTCGTCGCCAGTTGTCAGCCGAGATCCTAATCAATTTCGAAGAAGCTCTGGTTAAGCTCTATACATGTCTCCTCGAGTTTTTAGCGTCGGCCCTTGTCGTTCGAGACAAAAATGTGTTCAAGCGAGCTTTCTATGCTTTTTGGACACCACAGGATGTTAGTTCATTCAGTGAAAACTGTCTGGAGCTCGAGAAGACACTTGAGATTGAGTCCAGGCTTGTAGAAAGCCAATGCAACAGAGAAACAACAGACAATATCGAGACGATACTGAAAGCATCCGATTGTCTCGAGGAAGTGATTGCGGATACCAAAACCTTGGTTCAGGCCCTCCGAGGAGAGATCAAAGAGCAACGTCACCGGGAGCAAGAAGAGGAGGAAAATCTGGAGGCCTTAGGTTGGGTCTCAAACATTCCAATCTTGGATTACCATGACAATGCAAAAGACGGCCGCACTCCCTACACAGGCCAATGGGTATTCAGCAAGCCCGAGTTTCGCGATTGGGAGAGCTGCTCCGGTTCTTCGCTCCTATGGATCCACGGAATACGTAAGTTGCCTGACGATCCATCTTCCTATGACTTCTGCTAATCTCTCTCTAGCCGGTGCGGGGAAAACAAAACTCGTAACCACTATTGTCGACTATTTTCTCCAATCGCGGCAACCTTCTCAGAATTTGACACGGACCACCCCGAGTGCAGATTCATGTGCTCATCGACCAACGCCTTCCAGAGCCTCAGAGCCTAGTCCACTGGCTTTCTTCTACTGCCGCCGTGCTGATACTGAGCGTCGCAAACCAGAAAATGTTCTTCGGAGCTTTTTGAAGCAACTCGCATTGTCACATGACGGGAGTCTCGCCTCCTTACGGACTGTTTACATGGATAAGAAACGGCAAGGGTTTCTATCAAATTCTCTTAATACTATAGAATGCCAGGATCTCTTAGTCAAGATGATAACACAGTGTCGGGAGGCAATTTTGATTTTGGACGCCCTTGATGAATGTGATGAAGAATCCCGTCACGATTTGATTGCTGCAGTAAACGGGCTTGTTGAACGCAGCATTCCGGCCAAGATCCTCATATCTAGCAGACGAGATGATGATATCACAGCGGAGTTTGAGGACAGAGTCAACTTCAGTCTCTCAGCCACGGAGAATCATGACGATATCATGCGATTCGTGAAGGATAAAATCAAAGAGTATAGAAATTCGAAAACTGCTAGGAGGAAGATCAATTCCGCTATATCAACCAAACTTGAGCAGCAAATCATCAAGGTGTTCCTGGACAAGAGTAATGGGATGTAGGTAAAGGCCTCAAGATGTGTGAGAAAATTGCTGATAGTATATAGGTTTCAATGGGCAGCATTGCACCTCGCACATCTTCTTTCCCTCGATCGACCGTTAGATATCGCGAGAACCTTGCAAGGTCTTCCCAGAGGTCTGGAGAAGACGTACGGCGAGATTTTTGAACGAATCACAAGTCCAGATAATAGTCTCAGAGATATTGCCATCAGAACATTGCTTTGGATGCTAAGCCAAAACGGAATCGCCAATGTGGATCAAACTCTAGTTATCGCTTGCCAGGATCTCTCTAACGATGATATAAATCAAGTTGATATCGATATCGAGACTGTTATCAAAGCATGTCAGAACCTGATAGTGGTAGAAAATGGATCTGACTTTTCTGCCCCGCACAACTTTTCAACTTCAATCCCAGGAGAAAATGAACCTCTTTCTCCTGTTCCTGGTCCTCCTCTTCCTATTCCTCCAGTTCCAAAGGCTCCACCTTCCCCGCCACCAGAATTACATGGTTCTTGTACGACCGCATATCGCCCTCGATTCGTAAGTAGAAGAAAATTTCGATTCGCTCACCTCTCGGTTCAAGAGTACTGCGAGACGATTCAATGGACCCAGCAAGTCGCTCAGAGTTTCGCTGCCAAGACATGCTTACTGTTTCTCCTTCAGCCGGAAGATCAGTTTACTGCCATACCATATACTTATAGGACTCCACCCTCAACACCTCATGGTCCACCACCTCCCACACATCCACCTTTAATTGTGCGAGAATTTGCGGACTATTTCTGGATTTACCACATCCAAAAATGTTGGGTTCCCGGGGCTATACCTCAAGATGAACGACTTGTTGCTCTTGCAACAAGATTTTTAGGCTTCCCTAGCAAAACTTCGGAAGCGTTTGACCGATGGCTTTCTAGATTCTCGTGGCATAGCCTCTCCTTCGGTTACACTCCAACATTTTGGTCAATCAAGAGGAAGCATCCTTTGTTTAGCACAGATTACTCCTTTAGGTCTTGGGCATATTCTCATGGCTTTGGATGGCCAGGACGCGATGGACCTAGTAAATTCGATTTTCAAGGCCAATCCTCTCTGGTGGCATGCTTTTTCGGTCTCGATCACATTTTCTTTCCGTCAGCGGAAGACATCATCACAATTCCAGCTCTTTTTTGGGATCCGCACTGGTCAAGGCCTGGGACCACCATTTCAATTTTTTCGCACTTTTCTTCTCCTCGAATGCTTTGGATGATGCTTGGACCGTTGGTCAAGACAAATGCCGAACAAGCAAACAATTTGCTTTGGAACCTTGTACTGTCTATCGGAAATCACCCTCTCAAATACATATATACGTGGAGCTTTCCCCACTATTTTTCGCTTTGTACAGGCGCAGCTGAACTTGTACATTGCCTGCATGTACGCGACTGTTTCAACATGTGTGGTCGGATCGTAACCCATTTGCTTCGTCCGGACTTCCCTATGTATTCTTCTTATCCTGTCGCCGAAGCTTTACAGTCTGCTTCCAAGATCGTGTCCCTTGGTGCAAATCTTACCGTTCCACTCCGGCAGGCACTAGAACAATCTCGGTGGCAAAATGTCGTGTGGTTGGTTGAACATGGGGCCAAGCCAGACGCCGACGTTTTATCTACGATCCTTGAATGCGAGACTTACCATGGGTACGACCGATTTCCACCAGCTGATACATATAAAGCCCTCATTGACCGAGGGGCGGATGTCAACGCGTACATCTACAGAGGAGAATATTGGGTAGGCACGCCAATTATTGCTGCTAGCATCCATGGCAATTCAGAATTAGCTCAACTACTTGTGAGCGCTGGTGCGGAGGTGGATGTCATACCTTGGGCTGAGGTTGGCACGCCATCAATAGAGTCCGAAACAACAGAAGAGCATGAATTCAACTTGTACTCCCTATCAAAATTTAAATGCAAGAAATTGAACGGCGTCGGTGCCGCCCCGTTTGGGACTGCTCTCGTAGAGGCTTCTGCTAGAGGTCATGTCGAGATATGTCGTCTTCTTGTTAAGCATATGCCAGATATGCATGCAGATGCACCGCTCCAACCAGGAATCGGCAAATTTGGAACGCCACTTATCGCTGCATGCGCATTCAATCGCCTTGATATCTGCAGGGTTCTTCTCGAATGCCATGTTGACGTAGCAGCCCTGAGTTGGAGGGTTCCTAAATTCTCAGGACCTCCACTCACCACCAATGCATTACTCACAGCTGCAAGTTGTGGTGGTTTGGAGATTTGCCGTTTGCTCCTTCGTCAAGGAGCAGATTACAATGTTATTACACCACCCGAAAACACAGCCATGTTACGGTCTCAGGGATCGCCCCTCATTGCTGCAGCTTTATATGGTCACAAAGAAATCTGTCGGCTGCTGATAGACCACGGTGCCAAGGTGGATGGGATTGCGTTAGATGCAAAGTACCCCACAGCGCTCATTGCCGCGGCCTCGAGAAACAAGTGGAAGGTATGCCAGTTGCTCATCGATTATGGGGCCAATGTCGATCTTCTAGTACCGAATACTCCTTACTGCAATGCTCTCATCGCTGCATGTCGACTGCGTAAGTTGCGGTCGATTGAGGTCCTTATCGCAAGAGGTGCCGAACGGAAGATAGACCCTTCCACTGGTGAGTACGCAAGGCAACTTCTCGCAGCTTGCATGGGGTTTGATGTAAGAAGGGCCAAGGTCATGGAGCTCATATCCTCTGGCGCAGCTTTGCCTCGTTTGGAGACAATCGAATTGAACGAAGAGGCACTGGATATCATGAGAGGAAGACTGACTGCAGCCAGTTCCATGATCGGCCAAATAGATCTGAAGAAGAAGCAAGATTTCTCTCAAGTGCAGGATGAAGTGCAGCGGAAAGTAAGGTTATTGACGGAAGATAATCTCCTCGCGTTTTCTAAGGTCAATGATCTTCGGACGTTGTTGGAAGTGATCTATGATCCCCTCCTTCTCACGAAGAAATTACGACGCATTGCCCTGCAAGCTTTGAGAAGGATTGCCACAAGGATGTTTGATCTAAATCCCCAGAGGTTGAAGGACTTATTTGAGAAATTTCCGACTTTGGCAGCCGATTTGGCCCTGGCTTATACTGAAGAGATGGCAAATGCGGAAAGGGATTGAGAGCATATGAAAGAGGAGCATTACCTTTTGCGAGTATCATTGCAACTCTCCGTCCTTGCTATGGATTTTCACAATCAGCTTGGACTCTCGATGAGCTCCTCTACCATCTCAATACAGCAATCAATAATAGAGATTCATCGTTCAAAGAGTCGTTCCAATTGCGTCTATACCTACTTGTAAAAATTACATTTTAGCTCCGGAATTTCAAATTGTCTCGCTTGTTTACCCTCCCCCCCCTATTTCTCGCTTCGCTTCCCCTATGTACCCCTCTAAATAAAACAAGCATAATCGCAATTCTTTACAATCTTATCCTCATTATTCTATCACGTAAGACTGCATACCCTCATCTTCTGCATCTGTCCTTCTTCCCCCTTATCCAAATCCTGGAAGCCAGATTTACCCCGACTTTTTGACGAACTCCACTCCCATTGCCAAGCGTGAATTCTTTGTTTCCGCTGATCGCAATGATTTTCAGGGAGAGTGATTCAAGAGAGCCGAAGATGGAAATCAGGAAGATGGTGAATGCGGCTTGAGTCATGTTGAGAGCGTTGACGCCTTTAGTCTCGTGAGATTTGATGTTAATTGGGGTTGGGAGAAGGCTAGGGAGAAGGAAAGGAGGATGATAGATGCCGTAATCCGAGTAATCAAGTCCAGTATCAACAATTATCGTGAGCGCAGTCTCAACATTCTTGTTGTTGTATGGTTCTGCTAGCTTCGCAGTGCGCGCAACAACATACTCCTGGGTGGGCTCGGAAGTTCGAGACATCTTTGAGTTATCGCAGAGACCTTGATTGGAAATGGGAACAATGCAGATCTCTACATGTTTCCCATCAGAATCTTGAGTGCGCTGCTTACTTTGAAAAATTTCCATTTGCACGAGGTAATACCGTGCCGACCTCTTTCAGCTTGCCCCCTTGCTCAGAGATCAACAACAATCGCAAGCACAACAAGGCCGTTCGCAATCGAGCCTCTCATTTTAAACCTCTCTCTGTATCAAAGCACATTTAGTTTCCCAAAAAGTATATTCTGCGAATCCGTGGCATTTAGTCTCTTCCACAACCCCTCTCGGGCCGAAAAACGGGGTTCGCTTATTGCCGAACTTTGCTCGAAACACTTCAAAAGTTGTCTACCACCACAACCCCTACAGTCAAGCGAAAAAGCGGAATAGAAATAAAGAGTAATGTTTTTTAACTAAGACCATGGTAGAGCAAGTTTCATTATAAGGAAGGGCTGAAATCTTGAAGTGTTTTTGAGCGCGATTTGGCAATAAGCGAAATATCTACTCGTGGTAAATTCTGCCGAATGGCCATAACCAACAGCCCTCGTTAGCGGGGCGGATTAATTCTCATAAATCTGAACAACCGGGCTTTAAGATTTGATCATCTGAATTAGTCTCTTGGAATCGTGACCCTCCCTTTAGCTGGTTGACCCATCCATGCCGTCGGGAACCCTCGCCTACCGGCCACCACAACACTTCAAAATACTGACTTCCTCCACCAGTTGTAATCTCGACAACCTAAGAAATATTAGGCTTTAATACCAGTTAAGTACATTTGTTTCATTATTTCAAAGTTCAAATAATGTCGTTGTTTCGATAATTAACGTTGCGAGTAAGCTAGGCAAGGTGTATGCCAAGAATATGTGGGCCGCATCTCCTTATTAGGAGGATAAATCGAGGGAAACTGTTAACAACTGTATCCAAATATGAACTTTTCAATATTGTTACGGTCACTCGTTCAAGCAGAAGAGTAAGTTTTGATACTCTTTAATCATGGTGTACGGGGAGAATAAGTCACTTGTTAGGAGAGGTTGTCAAGGATAGGTCAGCATCTTTTTGCCACTATCCTAAATGTCCCAGTAAGACTAGAGCATTATCAAAGCCCCCAAGATCGAAATAAACCCCCACTGCGTGCCCTACACCTATGCAGTTCAGCTGTCCTCCTCCAGACCCAAAGAAGCTAGTTCCCTTGCAGCCAAACCCTATGGTACAACCTCATTTGCCCACGTAGCATCGCCGCCTCCAACCTTCTGATTCCTGAAGTTTGTGAAGAACTGCACAAACCTAGCCCTCGACACATTCGCAGCCATAAGATTGTCTCTCGCGGCATACAAAGGCGGTCCGCTCAATCCTCCGAGTTGAACCAACTTCTGTCTATCCAACGTCTCAAATACATGCTTGAAGAACGCAGCGACCGCCTCAACCTGGTGCGCCGTGATCGCCAACTTATCTTCACGAACAACCAGAACTCGAGAGTAGATTTGGCCACGGCTATAACCAGGGTCGCGGCAGCCCCATTCCGTACTGGTGATATCGGTATTGAGGTTGAGGTACTCGGCTACAGAGTTGCTGTACCAGTTTTGAGGCCGGAAGAAGAAAATGAAGTTGCTATTGTTCCACTGCTTGTCAGGGAAGATGCGTCGAACGAGCAAGGGACGTCGTATCATCTTTGAGACCTCGGTGGCCCCAAATCCAGCAATGTAGCCATTGTCATTATTGACGTCGTCGAAGATTGGATGGACGATCGGAACATCTACGGAGAGAAATTGTTCGGTTGCCAGGAAGTGTCTGTCGCCTTCGCAAGTAATCTCCACACCTCTAAAGGTCTGATTGGCGGAGTTATGGAGCAAGAGACATTTAAAGAGACCTGGATTTGTCAACTCGAGCTCAAGGTAGTTGTTCGCTTTCAAAGAGTCACTGAGACCTCCATCTGAAGCTTCGTATTTCTTGCAAAAGTCAAGAAAGGTGCGGAAGTCCGACAGAGTGATGTCCTGGCAAGTAGAGGAGTGGAAGGCATCCTTTGAGTACACAACCAGAGGACCCTTCCATCCCATGCGTAGTTGCTTGTTTGTGACCTCAACGAGTGTAATGTTCGGACGAGAACCGTCGAAATTGAATGCGTCTCGCATGTGAAGGACAACCGGATACATCAGATTGAACTTCTTGAAGTAGTTCCTGTTAATATCGGATCCTCTCGCGTTCACCGGAGTTGACATGTTTCGTGGCTGGGTACACTCGGCTTCGATTGGGTCGTGCTTGAGAGGGTCGATGTACTCGAGTGTGTCATCAGGCTTACGCTCAACGATGTGCATCTCGTGCTCAGGGTCGATCCAAACAATCTTAGGAGCAGCGAGACCCTTCTGGCCATAAGGCAGGATAGGGAAGTACAGAGCAAGCATCGCGGTTGGGCAAGGGCGAGGTGACGCCGTAACAAACGAAGCGAAATCCTTGCAGAGCAACTTATGCGAACGCCAGTCGTTCCTTTGGCAATCTGCCCCGCAATAATAGGCCGATTTGCAAGCGGAGCAAGCGGTTGCTCGAGGAGTGTTGCATACACAGCACCGGGTATTCTCCATCGTTGCGAGAAAGCGAGGACTGGGCGGTGATGTGAGAAGTTGTGAAAGGGTTTGGGGGAGAAGGGGTCAATGAGCGTATTGGCTTACATGTATCTTCGTGTGAGGGAACGCGCTAATGGAACAGGGAATGTCGGACTGTGGCTTTATTCTGTTGTGGTGTACGAGCTAGGGCTGGAGCATTAGGGGTGATGGTGGCGATGGAGGAATAGAGTTGATGACGAAATCAAGGTTGAGGATCAGGAGATGAAGAGATTCACTTTTAAGAGGTGTTGGGTCCTTGATTGAGTTTGTCAGTCGTCGCCCGCATGATCTAAGATGAGGGAACAAAGTGAGGATTTGCTTACAGAATCTTTGCTCGAATGTTCTAGTCGAAGTTGTGCTTCGTCTCTATTCGATGCTGTGGTTGGAAGGAAGGGGTGGAGGTTGGAGGGTAGTGGTGGAGGGTTGAGTTGAGACGAAGTCGGGGTCAAGGTCAGGCTGAGGTCGTTGCTCGGAATGCGGAAGGGGCTCACTTTTGGGAAGGCCAAAATCCCTATTTTCTAGTGTTAGCGTTGGCCTATGTAAATGGAGGGACTACGAGACGGAGTCTTACAAGTAGCTTTGTAGGAGGGAGGAGGTCGAATTTCCTTGTAGATCCAGGAAGCTGTCTGTTCGTTGGTGGTGGTGGAGGAAAGAAGTCAAGTTGAGAGGAGGTGGAGTTGTTGAGATGAGGTCGGCGTTGAGGCTCGTGAAGTCATTCGCTTTTGGTAATGGTCAGAGCAGGGGGAGAAGTGAATTTACTTTAGAAGGTGAGAGCAAAGGTTCGTCTGGGCATGAAAAGATGAAAGAGATGAACCGAGAGTGAAGCTGACAGTGATAGCAGATGAGCGGTGCTTGACGTAGTGAAGAACTTTTGAAGTCCGACTTTGATCAGCGTCGAGTTTTCTTCAGCAAGAATATGCGTGATACAGAAAACGAAGGATATGTATGAGTGACATGTTTACACTGTCGACTAACAACAGAATGGCGAATGGTTTTGCAGAGAACATTTCCCGGCCAACGAGATTATTGTCTTGCTAGGTCAAGCAGATGCAGTAAAGCCTCATATGAAGCACCCATTTTCAATGCCCCCTGCTTGCGTAAGGCCCAACGGTCTGATATCCATACGCAAAGTCATAATCGCAACTAGAGCCTGGGCTGCTTGGAGGCAGCACCCACTTCTTATCCTATTTCAACTCATCCGGATGCCTCGCTGATTCTGTGGCAGTACTTGCCTTCTCATTTCCGCCACTCTTCACCTCATCCCCCACGTCATATGGTGAGATCTCCTCCCCCCACCCCGCAACTCCTGTGTTGGTCATCCCCTGCTTGTAAAGACGGAAGACTTGCTCGAAAGGAGTCCCAGTGTGTCAAATGAGTAGAGTAGAGTAGTTAGAGTAGTGGGTCTTACTCATACTCTACTCAGCCAAAATACGTCCTACTTATACTCTACTCAATACTCATCGAGTATGTACCTTAAGTAACTAAGTAGCGAGTCACGTGTAAGCACGTATTATAGTAAGGAAGTCCCCTGACTTTATTATCAGTTTTAAACTCACTTTAAAAGGCTATATTATATCTAAGAGCAAGTAAAAGTCAAAATAAGCCCTATATATTCCTTTTCCCTTTGACTTATTATTTAGAAGTCACATGTATGAAATAACACGTGATTATTACATTAATTTTCACTAGTATAATAAGTAGTATTAGAGGTTTTTTTAAGTAATAAAAAAGATAGTAAAGGTTGAGAAAGACAATAAAGAGAAGAATTAAATAGTATTTGTAATATGAAGAGAGATATTTAATAGAATAAACCACGTGATGAGTAGTCTACTCTACTTTACTTAAGCTTAGTCATGGAGGGGCTACTTATACTCTACTCAATACTCAATTAGTATATACTTAAGTAACTCAAGTAGTTTGAGTATTCCTTTGATACACTGGAAAGGACTGCGACACATCCAATCCCGGATGATCTCCTTCGCTGCGACGATCTCCATCCTCAGCCTACCCACCAGTTTCGCTTCATCCTCAATAGCAATTTGCAAGTCGCAAAGCATTAGATTACAATACTGGATTCCGTCCCACATGTCCCATTGACGGACACGCGGAACGCATCGAATCAGGAGTGAAAAACCCATGTGCTTTGAAACCGCTGTTGCGCTTCGTGGATTAACCTTATGGGATGTGCGTCAAAGGCATCAACAGACGTGAATTGCTCGATATTCAACCACTGTTGCTCGATAGGGCAAGCAATTTAGACGTCCTTCACAGTTTCTTTTGATCGTTGTTGCAGCAAAGAAGCGAAGAACGAAGGGTGGCGAATCTCCAGTTCTCGCAGTTTTCCCGATCACAATACCTTCCCTAATTTATCGTGGCCAGAACCCTGAAGGCAAGGAACCAAAGCACTAAAGTCTTCCATAGTGACATTCGGTCTGAGACCCGGAGAGTCGCCGTAAAGAGCACATACAATGATTGGACCAGCCTATACATCACGTTGCTAACCTAGTGTTGTGACAGCCAGAGATAAATTGAGCGGCTTTCTCTTGGTCTTACAATCCATCCTCATCTGGATCTCTAACGTGCGGTCCACGCGGATCTTGTGGCCGTAGCGATCCGTGCCACTGGCCAGGCTGATCTCAACGGTGCTCAATTCTGGCATGGCGGAGGTAGTGAGGTGAGTACTTTTTGAGTGCGAGTAATCTCAATCACAACATCCAATCAATAGCCTGTATTCAGAGCCACGCAACTCTCACCAGTACATAATAACCGCCGCTCCGATATCCCAATTACAGTGATCAATGCACATTCACATGCAAGCCAGGGCCTCATCCGCTGCTTTCTGACGCGGTTGTCAGAATCCAAGTCCTGCCTCGCGTCATCAGCTTTCTCTTCCAGAACGCGAAAAGCACCGCATTGAACAGGTTAGGACGTCTAGACTGCCTCGAATCTCGATGTTGCGTCTTGAGGCGAGAATGTCTTGCTCGAGAAGAGAGTGTGTTTGTTGGGTTGTAGGAAGGGACTGTGTCGAGATTGATGGCTCTTGAGGTTGTTAAGACGAGGCTGAGGAGATCAAGATGATAGCGCGATTTTCACTTCCACTGTCGAGAATCGAGAGTCGAGATGAAGAGTAGATTCAAAGTAAGTGCAACTGAGTAATCCCTAGAAACGGCTTTTGGGGTGAAATTTATCTGTCCAAGATGATACGAAAAAGGTTAAAATTAAGAACTAAGGCGAGCCGCTCTTCCTTTAGTGAATATGTGAACGAGCGGAGGAAGGAATAAGAAAAAGAAAGAGGACGACGCCTCACCAAGCAGCATAGCACCCCTTCACTCGAACTATCCTTCCAGATAATTAGAAGAAGGAAGTGAAAACAAGGGAAGATTGAAGCTGAGACGAAACGACGCCTTTAAACAAACGGTTACGAAATACACAGTCCTTGACTCCAAACACTCACATCGACAATCGAGCGGGCTTTTGCGCAAAAAACGGGGGGAAAAAACTCATTCCTCGGAAGCAGAGCTTCATTCATCTAAAGGAGGGGGTATCTTTCAACAAAAGGTTCATCCGCCCAAGCCTTGAGCCACTCACTCGTCCCAATTACCCACCCGGGCTTCCAAGAACTATCAATACCCACACATCCATCCATCCATCTCATTCATTTCTATGTCCCCGTCGCTATAAAACACGCTCGAATCGACTTTGTTGGCCCTCGTCCCTCACATGCGCATCTCATTTCGAAAAGAACGGAACATCTCCAGGATATTTTTATGATAACTTCGGTAATACAAACAATTACTTCCTTTCCATCCATGAGAAAGATAAGGATAGGGAGGAAGGGGTTTTAAGAGCTGGATGTGCTGTCGGCGAGGACTTGGACGATGTTCATGTCTAAGGATAGGACGTTGCTCTTGAGTGGTGCTTCCTATTTAACGATCAGATCAGCTCTGAAAAAGATTAGAGAAATTTGGGGAAGGTAGCGTACGTAGTAAGTTAAGTGCTGGCCGTTATAGATGGCGCTCTGGCCTTTGATCGACAGCGTGACCCAACCAGTGGAATTGAGAGATGAGGCTATGAGGACTTGGTCGACAATGCCGGTCATGGGGAGGGTGTTGTTTCCTGGCACGAGGGTCATGTCGTTGATGGTTGTGTTGCCGACGACGCCGGCTTTGACGGTGGAGAGCGTGAGGGTTACATTGCCCTGGGATATGATTAGTCTTTTCCTCAGAGAGATTAGAAGGGGATGCTTACCAGAGCAACGGTGATGACGGATGGGTTGGGGATGTATGCGAAGCCCTTGAGATTTGGCTCGCCGGCTTTGGCGGAGGAGTTGAGGCGGACACCTGTGACGTTGAATCCCTTCAAGCCGTTGAGACCTATGCTCGTTAGTTTCCAGATATTGGATGTTGAATTGAGAGACACGGACCTTTGTATGTGCTGGAAGAGTTGTAGTTAATGTCAACAACTGGAAGCTTTCCCTCGTGCAATTTGGTCTTTCCCGTCAACGCCGTTGTCACACTTTCCTGCGAGATAATTGCCGTAGAATACTCGGTGACTTGCTCGAGGCTTGCAATACTGAGGTTCACATTCTGAACACCAGCATTGGATACTGGGTGTAACGCGTGGATCTTTGGCATGGGAATCATCAACATAGGTGTGGGGCCAAAAGTGCCATTGGTGACAAGCCATGAGGCCGCCGTGAATGGATCAAGTGTGGGTGTGAAGATGCTTGGGCTGTGGAGGATGACTTCCTGGGTCAGGACCACGGAATTAGACGTAGGCTCGAGAAACTTCAAATCCGTGACCTCCATCCATGATTCGTCGACACCATTTTGAGCGATCTTTGGCATACCGACATAAACGCTGTTTGCTACGCATCAGTGGCCTTCTCAGGTGACCGTCCGCATCGAATGTTTTCTACTCACAGGCACAGCGCAACGATCAGGAAAATGACGCAGAAAATAATCAAATGCAACCACCAGAACCGACTGCAGTGCCTCTTTGCCTTCTGGCCAAACCCTGGCTTCGCATATTGCTGTCTCGTCTCGATCTGCTCCGCCTGGAACTGCTTCTCGGAGTCCTGGGAGACCATGATGGGGACGGTTGCGAACGACGGTACGGGATAGAAGGGCGATTGAGGTCGGTATATACGTCGCAGACGATATCCTCAGGAGTGCAGCGAGGAAAGGAAGTGGAAGGTTCGGAAACGACAGTGTGGAGCAGCAACCGGTATTAATGAAGAAACCTGGGGTCGTTCGGAGAGATGTCTGAAGAAGCACCACCACCAGCGAAGGACGAGAGTGGATGGATGCATCACAAGAGGAATGGGAAAGGAAGCCGGGCAGTGGATCGGATCTTCGAGGGCAAACCGACTGGGGTAACATCTCCGTGCGTGGGCAGTTGGCACTGAGTGGGCACTGGGCACTGGGCACTTCAGCGGGCACATGTGATCCCGAAAGGCAAAATGAGGGAATGAGAAATCCCTGAGAATCCGGTGAATTTCTTGGCTCTTTTTCGGTGCTACTCTCGCACGCAGCTCTCAGAGAGGTTGTGCTGCTTGGATCGGATGGCATGCAGGTACTGGAAGAGCAGCGGACGCCAGTTTAGAGTTCTTGGGTTGGTTCTTTCAGCTGCGACGAATGTTAAGCTCAGCACAGAGGGCCCGATTGTGCGCCGGCCGACGGGGACTCGAGGAATTTTTGCGCACAAACAACGGTCTTGCGCCACCGCGTAAGATCGGTGCAACGTCTGGCGGGTGTGAATCAGATGCTCGAATCTGGCGGAAAGTGTGGCTTGGCACCACCGAGGCAATCCCGGCGCACCTGTCGAATCGGGCCAAGCCTCCTGCCCAATCCGCGAGGATTTGTAACTTTTGATGCGAGGGTCCAAGGCGAGGAGAGCGCAGACCCTTGGAGGGGCCGGGGGGGACCCCACCTTCGCTCCGCCGTTTGAGCGGAGTTTCCGAATCCCATTCGATAATTTGCTCGTAAAGAGACTGACAGGGGCCATCCTGCGATCGTGACCCACGCCCTGGATCATGCTGGCCCATGTCCGACCCATGCACCTCCAATTTGCTACACTGCCAATCGAGACCAGCGGTCCACACCGGAGATGGCGCCATGCAACATGCTTGCAGGGAGCGCGATAGCGTCACGTGCGAGCTACTTTCCCCCTTTTGAGTCTTGACCCCTTTCAAGGTCTTTAAGACCACTGGTTCTGTTCTGTTTGGAGTTGGAAGCGTGGGAGGCATCTCCGGATGATCATTGACGGTGTGGTGCTCTTGTGGCTATGGCGTTGAATGGCGCGCCCCTTTACCAAATTGCTGGGCCTGAAGCGGCAACCATTGGTCGCTCAACGGCTCGGCATTCCCTTCTGTGTTACTCGTTGATAACTTGATGGCCAAGTGCTTCCAGCTCTTTTGCGAGTACTGTTCAGCTGCATCAGGGTGGCGAAAGATCAACTCGGTCAGACCTTTATCGTGCCTACCCGCAACGATCATCTTCTCACCTTGACAACTTGGCACCTAAGCACCTTACTATCGTTAGCACCTTAGCACCTTAGCACCTTAGCACCTTGCTGACCCCCTTCCCCAGTTTCCGCCGAGGTTCGCTTGGCACGTGATGACACCCCTCAGGCATCCCTGAGTCTCTGAGAACCCCCATTCCCAGTCAAGTGCGGGGAAGCGACCCCAGAGCGGAGAGAAAAGCACATGCTTCTCCGAGATGTCTTCCATTATTATCAATCTTGGAGTGAGGAGGGGGGTCCTCAGCTCAGGTCTCAAAATATCTCCTAGCGCCGGTGCGTCGAATTTCGAAGGCTGAACACCGTCAGCGGCCTTCGTAATTCTCATTGGTGCCCTTTGTGTTGGAATACGAAGATTATTTTCGCCGTGGGCTGATCCTCCGTTGTGGCTTGAGGGAATGACGCCTCTCCGGAGTTTGGCTTGGAGGGGCAAATCATGTGATGGTGCGTCGATTCACGATTGCTCCCGGTGAGGGAGCCACTCGAGAGTCGACTCGACTGACTACCATCGACCCGAACGCCTATCATACTGCTCAATACGATTTGGTGAGAGACTACCCGGAGTTGGGGACTTCATCTCAATTTGTTCCAACTCAAGTGAGGAGCAGAGTGGCTGAACGCCATCTCCAGGACACGGCTACAGCCTTGCCACTTAGAAGAACGGTGAAATATCATCTCAACTGAGACGCGGTCAGTATTCTTCGTTTTTATGCACTGATGCGAATCGGAAAGCCACAACCGAGTCGCCCAGATCTGTCAACGGCTTGGGCGTAAGCGCACTGTACTTCCCAAAGGTGGATTTGGTATCACGGCTCTAGATAGCTACGTCCACTTTATCGACCTTGTTATCTTCGTTATCTGTTCTGAGTACGTCGTTAACAACCAGCATTACCTGTGAAGTCATGCATGGTCTTTCTAGATCATTGAGAGAAAGCTGACAGAGCATAAACCCCACAGCCTGTGTAGGTAGCTTCCGCTGATCCACCGATGTGGGCAACTCGCACTACCCGCTCGCGCCTTCCACTTACTTCAAACACAGTTCATGGGAGGTACGAACGGGCAAGCGATGATGGATTCTATCCTCTCCCTGGTCGCCACTTGACGACCGATTCTGATTCCAAATGAGGAATGGAAATCTCTTCCACCGCAGCTTAATCTGTTGGTCCGACGTGGAAGGAAAAGTCCGCATCTTCCAGAGCGAACACAATGACCCCAAGGTATCACAGCTTCGTCAGCACAACCGTCACCCAAGCCGCAACGTTGAACTTCGACGTGTTCATAACCCCCTTCCTAGCGGTCCCTCCCCAGTACCCACATCCTCAATCACCACCGTCACGTTCCCCAAACCTCCTACACTTACCTCAAACGTCTGAATTAACCTATTAACAGCAATACCTTCTTCTCTCGACCCGAGCTCAAGAATATCTCAGAACGAACCTGCGCTTCAAATTGAATGATTCGTCGCCACAAGCTCAGCACCGGGGCCGAGATTGTGTTGGAGGAATTACAACACTCTCTCACGAGCGTCCAGGATCCCGTTGGTCCAATGAACCAGAAACACCCGGAGCAATGGCTCTCAAAGATTTAGGACAGGAGGTCCCGATTCCATCCAACATGGCTCTGGTGTCGATCCGGCGAAGGACTCCTGCGGTTAGGTCAAAGCTCGCAGCTTCCGACAAGAAGTTTACACTGCACTGTTTCATCAGTGGTATTTGCTGTGTAGGCGAGCCCTAGAAATGGTAGCTGATGAGAGCGAGTGGGATGTCGGGTTTTTGGTTCGCTGTGTTGAGGAAAGACGAATTATAGTCGGCATTAGGTGTACCAAGCGCGAGACCCACGAACTTGATATCCGACCACACTTCCTGAATCCCGGCGACCATAGCGCGCCAACACTCTTGTTTTAGTGCAAGGCCAGTATTTGAAGTGGCCCCGCTTCCCCTTTAGTATATCTTGGTCCATGCATCCATCCCTCCACAAAGCATTCTCCAACGATTGTGAGATGCTGAATAACTTCGGCCCCTCTCAACTGGTCCAGATTCTCCCTAGCTTCCCAGGAGAGGTCTTCGCGAAGGACGTCGTCTATTCGCTGCCTGATTTCTACGTCGAGGTCTCCGTCTATCTGTGCCAAGTTATGGCGGAGCACAAGAGGGACTGGATAAAAATCCTGGATCGGGAGGCTCACAATATCCCCAATCCTCGTCGACCCGGGGACAAGAGCTAGCAAGTTGTTCCCAAGCCTTGCAATCCGGCGAGAATAGAATAGATTCGGCCCATCTGTTATGAAAGACGAAAAGACGAGCTGCGCCATGAGGGACCGTATTCGCCAGCTGCTATGCCCACGTCGTGGATGAATCTCCCCACTCCAAGACCAAGGCTCTTCGGATAGGTATCGAATATCTGCATCCGAAAGACGTACCTTATTAATATCGGCCAAAGCAAACAAAATGCTTTCAATGTCTAGAGCAATTAAAATCTCCTGATCGTCCATTTCTGAATCAATCAACCAGTCTGAAGTAACTCCTCTCTTCAGCCAGTCTTTTTCGTTAGTACACTGCTCCTGAATCCATTTCAGGATTCTTTTTGGATCAGGTATCCATGGGACGAGCCACTGTCGCCACTTTTGATACGGCTGTTCAAATGCTGATTTCATAAACTGACACAAGTCCCGATCCAGTACCCGATCTCTTTTCAGCAACTCGGAAAAGTCTCTCGCAATTTGAGGACATAAGGACTGGTCGATGATCGGTCCCAACGCCTGGACCTCCCCAAGAAATCTTCCGCCAAAGACTAAAACCCGAGATTGGGACGCCCAGGTCAACGTTTTCCAATCGTAACTATACTGGTTGTATTTCAGTTCGTCTGAAAGTCTTGAATATTGGGATGGCGGCCCAGAAACCCAGTCAGGAGCCCACGAAGGGGCCTCACTCTCGCAGCGTTTCTCGTTCGGATCGAGGAGAGCAAAAATGCGGAAATCATCAAAGCTCTCGAGGAAGTAGCGTGCCAAGTCACTATACACCTTAGCCTCATTCTTCTGATAGTCCACCATGATGAGGTGCAAAAATTCGTTCTCGTACTCGGTCGCATGGCCGACCAATCCTAAATTGGCAAAAAGCATGTCGCGTGGATCCGTTACACCAAACCCTTTCCGCGATTTGAGGAGATCGTAGAGCCTTTCTGCAAACCATGGGGTCTCATTTTCGGCTGTCTCATTTTTGTCCCATTCAAGGGATCGATGTTGGAGGTGCAGTCTCCCCATGCTGTGAACTATTCTCTCTTCTGGCTTCAGTAATCGCTTGAGTGATATATCGAAAACGTGACTGTATAAGCAAGTCCATCCAGTGGCAGAAGTACCGCATTGAATCCAAGGATCCTGGGAGAGTACTAGCTCCTGGAGTATCCATACTCGTTTGAACCATGGCCGACCCACGATCCATTCACGTGCAGCCACTTCCACCTCAGAACCCAACTCATCTCGAACACGCTCGATGCTCCCACGCCTCAAATGAGGGGGCTTCCAATCCACGGGGCTCTTGGATTGAAGTGTCTCCAAGAACAGACGCGTTTCAGGCGTTCCTTCACCGAGGTAAATGACCGTATGATTTGCCTGCCGATACACCCATCCCATTTGGTTGACCTGTTGATTACGTTCCTCCGGGTCGTCTTGGTCAATACAGATGGCGTCCGCCCAGACTAAGCGAGGTCGATGTCTATCTCTGAGATGACGCAGGGCGGAGTCGAGGGACGCGGTAATGTACATTGCCTCGTTATTGACTTTGATTAATCGCGAACGAGCAGCATCTCCCCAGACATACGACAGAGCCGTGTACTTGTCGATGAGGTTGTTGTGACAATGTGTCAGTGATGTGTAGAGTAGGGTGCAGACCAGAGGACTGTCTAGATCTGTGGACGGCTGCAGAAGTATCAAGCGGATTGCATCAGACTCTGTGAGCTTTTGATATTGATAGGTCGTCATAATTGCGAAGGTTGGGAAAAAGTGGTCTGGGTGATGAGAATATGGCGGTACAAGCCTCCTAAGATGTGCTCACGTTGGTGTGGGGAACCCTGATTCCAAGTGCGGATGTCTTCCACATGAGACTCTGCTGAAAAATAGTAGGAAATCGAGGCTCCTCGGTGCAAATATGACGAAAAGAATTGAATTTGTTCCCTCGAGTCGGTTTCCTATGTGTATACGTCAACACCGGAATCGGGAAACTTGGAGTGGTGGTGCGTGAAAGCCAATGTTGAAGACTCGAAGTCCTCCATTTTGAATATCACGTGACTTTATCTCACCGCCCTGGCAAAATTCGCAGAACCCGAATTTTTATTTCAACTCAGCCTTGCACCATTCACACCGACAAGCCTTGTGGATGAAATCTCTTCTACGGACATTCGAATTGCTCTCTAGAAGACATGCTCTCCACGCACTCCGTTCGGTGACATCGACTCCATTCCGCAGACGTACGACGACCCCCAGAATGTCTTCGTCCCACCAGAGTATCGCCGCTCCACCCGCGGCAGACCAACACATCATCCACGAGGAGAAGGAATACACGACCGTCAAGGAAGGACTGGCATATATTCTCATACCCACTTCAGCCGCGAAGATTCCTCAAACGACGCCAAAGGGCGACAACCAACCGCAATCAGTCTTCTACAACCCCATTCAGCAATTTAATCGAGACCTGAGCGTTCTGGCAATCAAGGCCTATGGAGAAGAGATTCTTGAGAGGAAATTGAAGGCATTTGAAAACGCAAAGAAACGTAATGCTGCGAAGAAGGATAAAAAGCGAAAGCGTGAGAACGATGGGCTTGGTAGTGAACCGAGAAAGGCTGGGAAGGTAGGAGAAGGTTGTCAGGCTGAAGGCGCATCAGCAGCAAATGGAGAGACTGCAAATACTGCAACAAGCATGCAGAACATGAACTCGGACGAGCCAGGTGGTGGTTCTGTTACTGAGCACAATGGCGATACAAAGGCTCTCGCGAACGAGGAGTCAACCTGGGGAAGACAGCCAGCTCCAGCAGAAGATGTTTCGATGGCCGACCCAGCAGACCAGGAAGATGAGATCAAGCTCACAACAGAGGAAGAATCAAAACCAGATACTACTTCCGAAGCTAAGAAAGAGATCAAACCACATTTCCGAATCCTTGACGCTTTGTCCGCAACTGGTCTTCGAGCACTGAGATACGCCCACGAAATACCATTCACGACTTTGGTCACGGCAAATGACCTCTTACAAACGGCTACGGAGGCAATTGAGCTGAACGTCATTCATAACAAGCTGGAAGACAAGGTCTCGGCCAACACTGGTAATGCGCTCACATACATGTATAAGTTTGTTGGAGACGATTGTAAAGACGCGAAAGGACAGCCAAGATCCAGCGAAAAGTATGATGTTATTGACCTTGATCCTTACGGAACAGCGGCTCCATTTCTAGATGCGGCAGTGCAAGCAGTACGGGATGATGGTGGGCTTCTATGCGTCACCTGCACGGATGCAGGAGTTTGGGCTTCGAACAGCTACCCAGAAAAGTCATATTCTCTGTATGGTGGAACACCGATGAAAGGAGTTATGTCACATGAGGCAGGCCTACGACTAATTCTCCACGCCATTGCATCTTCCGCGGCTCGATATGGCTTAGCAATGGAGCCACTCCTATCCCTCTCGATCGATTTCTATGCCAGAGTCTTTGTCCGCATAACAAAGTCAGCCAGTGATGTTAAATTCTTGGCCGGGAAAACAATGGTGATCAATAATTGTGATACTGGTTGCGGAGCTTGGACAACACAAACCCTCGGCAAGAACAAGTTGATGAAAGATAAGAATGGGAAGAATTTCTTTTGGAAGCATTCATTTGGCCCAGCATCTCTAGGAGGCGATAATTGCCCTCTTTGCGACATGAAGACACATCTAGCTGGCCCAATGTACGCCGGTCCAATTCATTCCCCAGAGTTCATCAAGAGGATCCTCAACGGATTACCAAACGTATCGAAGGACACATACCAAACTACAACCAGGATCGAAGGCATGCTTAATCTCGCCCTCGAGGAGATTTTCCCGCTTGAAGAGGATCCCGACTCGCCGACCGCATTTTCGAAGACGAGAAAATACGATCATTCACTTATTGACCCAGCTCCATTCTTTTTCATTCCATCCGCATTATCTAAAGTCATCCATTGCATTACACCTCATGAGGACGCTGTGCGTGGTGCGTTGAGACATTTAGGATACTGGTGCACGAGAAGTCACGCCAAGCCAGGAAGCATCAAGACCAACGCTCCTTGGGATGTGATTTGGGAAATCATGAGAGAATGGACGAGGCAGAAGCAGCCGATCAAAAAGGATGCCATCAGAGACAACACAGCTGGATACCACATCATGGGCATGGGAAAGAAGCCGACCGGAGCAAATGGTGCAAACACGACCGAGGGTGGGGTTGGCATGACAAACAAAGAGAAAACTGCGGGTGATGATGCCCCGAGTGATACCCCGACCGAGAAGGAGACGTTTGAGGTCGTATTTGACGAGAAATTGGGGAAAGAAAAGGACACGAGGAAACTTGTCCGATATCAGCTCAACCCACGGGAGAATTGGGGACCGATGAATCGTGCCAAAGGAAAGGCATAGAAAGACAACAATCCAAAATCGCGTCGCTCTGAAACTTACCTTGCCATATTACCTGACACTTTCCGATATTTCGGAGCATAGAGGAACTTGTTATCACTCCACGGCACCATTTTATCGAACTCCGGAGCAAAGTCGCTCAGCGAAGGATACAGAAGCCATCTATCAAATTGTGCTTTCCTCTCTTAGGTTCCGCGTTCCGGTCGCAGACACCATGCTCATTTGCAAAGAGAATTTTCTTTCCATCCTATTGTCAATTCTGGCCCGTCCCACTACCATGCTGGGTGATCATTGATCCCCTATTTTCGAGCGTCAATTCCTCTCAAACATACCCTCTCATTCATTCTCTTCCTTAAAAATCCACCTCGTACCTTCTCAAGAAACAGCAGGCAGAATCTCCGTCGAGTTCGCTAGAAAGCTATCTACTATCACTATCATCAACATATTTACTGTAGTCATTCTACTTACAATTCGCGTTATATACCACCATTTGCGTCGCACTGTTTTCATCAGCACTACGATGGACTCTATTTTCTGAGGGAAACTTACTAATATGGACTTGTCGTCGCTGCGATATCTTCTACGAACACGATGTCGAAACCCTGTCTTTGTCAGCAACCAATCTCTCATTCTCCCCATTTTCCTCAAGAAAAGGGTACCTTATAGTAAGCATCCAAGAATGTTCCCCACTGTCACTCATTTGTTAGCGAAATAATATTCCTCTTCGTGGTAGAGAAAAAAGGGGGTGGGTGGGCGGCGCTCGATGAAGTATTAGTCCGTCGAAATCTCAATAGAATTCTCGTCGAAATCTTTTCCGGACCAGTGGGGAAAGTTTCCGGCCTGTCATGGAATAGTTTTCGACGGCCGAAAAGTAGCGACGTGCAACAAATTTGTTGTATCATGTGATAAGGTACCACTGGTCAAGTGCTGAGTGCATGTATGAGACTGCGAAGGGAACTCACAACACACTGATCCGCATTCACGCCCCCGAAGAACAGAGTCGTGATCTCGTTTTCTTGAAGATAGAGACCGAGCGGTGTTTGAGCGCCCCAGAGCCCGGAGAGTCGATCTACATTTTGTCAACTCTTCCCTTTTTCACCTGGCCTGTTCCTTGTCTTTTCCAATTTCTCGCTCGTCCTCGTTTCGGGATTCAAAAGAGGAGCGTATCGGGGTACGTACTTTTGTTGAAGTAAAGATCCGTCCCACTCTTCACACCCTCAACTTGCAAATCATAAAGCGGCCCATACGGCCTCGCATTCCAAGACCCACGCATCAGTTTCGCACCCGCTGAAATATTGGTCCCTGGGACAATACCCATATCTGAACCGAATGTTGCTGTTTCTTGTTACCAACCCTCCCTCTTTCACCTTTCGTTCATTGAAGGTTGACTGACTTGTTGATGAATGGTTGTTAGAGAAGCCATCTAAGAATGCAGGAGGCATCGTGATGAGATCGTAGTTATCTAATCCCCACTATACACACACTCTTTAGTGACGAGAAAGATCCGAGAGGGAGGGGAGGGACGTGTACATTCGTCCACAAAACCTTCACCCCTGCCTTTCGGAACCCGGTAATCATATTCACAGTCGCGCTCACAACTCCTCTTCCCGCATCAGCTTTCGGGCTGAGCCCTGGATGGAGGAAGAAATCTTTCTCGCTATCAGCATCCTCTCAGATCAAAACTTCATGACCTCAAATTGGCAGGGAAGGGTAGGTTTACTTTGCATGTCAATAATCACCAACGCGCTCCTACTCGCTTCGATAGTAATATTTTTACGACTCCCATGGCATGGGATGGTGTATACCCCCGTGCTTGTTGTTGGCTCCAGAGCTGAGCGTGTGAGGTCCCAGATTCCGGACGTAGATTTGATCCAACTAAAACAGACTATGAGCATCATTACTTTTAGTAGGGAGTGGGGATTAATCTCACTAGTTATAATAATTCCCCAGCAAACTCGAATTTGTGTCCAGTCCACCGACAAGAGAGGTATAAGTGCCAATTGAGAACTGAGCGTTCACCAGACTTGCGGCAGGCAGGAGGACTTGAGCAATGTTTTTGAGCAACATTTTGAAATCGAAGGCAAGGAAACAGTCAGAAGTCAGATTTTGCAAGAAGGGGAGCATGGAGCCTGATTTATAAGATGTTTTGAAGTATGGGCGAGATGAGGAGTGGGATGAACTTGGCCGACCTCTGCCCGATATATTGAGGATTCCTTCTAGGTAAACGGTAATGGAGTTAATCAATTCGGCAGAGATAGGGTATTGTATTGCACGGGTAACCACTGGAAGGGCGGGGTAGTTTCTTGAGTGGAGAATGGTGATGTATGTACCTTCTTACTGGTCGTTTTGATAACGACGTTGTGATCGGCATCGTCTAATGAGGAAGGTGGGGGATGGGAAAGGAGGAGAAATTTGATCACGTGTTCACAATGTTGATGCCTTCCAAAAGATGGGACAAAGAGCTTCCGATGTATTTGGATTATTGATATCTCATTTAGTAGTTCGTTATGCGTTAAATTTTCCATTATCCATTAATTATTATGCTCCCTCTCCTCAAAATAGTGCCGCCAATGCTGACATTGCAACAGCTACCCACACATTTCTCAATCCACCCAAATCAACTCTCTTCACAGCACCACCAGTATACTGAGGCGGCGCACTAACAAAAGACTCAATGACACTGCCTAATTGCGTAGTCGACGTCCCCCCAACAACTACCTGCGTCACCTCAGGCCCAAGCGAGAATGTAGTTCCAGACTCCGTGATATCTGAGCCACCAGCACTTAAAGTCTCAGTGCCAACCACGACATTGCCTTGCGAATCTGTCGTCAAGGTCTGAGTTCCGACCACAAAGTCACCTTGCGAGTTGGCGGTGATTGTTTGGCCATTTACGACTAGAGGTGGTGGGACGGCGGTGGTGATGGCGTTTGTTGGAGATGGAAGTGGGGCAGGTGCGGGAGGAGGGTTCGAGCTAGCTAAAGGATTATTGACCGGCGAAGAGATATTTGACGGACTTGGACCTGGATTTGGATTCGAACTCGCAGGCGGAGGTGGCACGATGGTGGTTCCCGGGGGAGTCGTAGCTGGCGGGATCGGTGTAGTTGGGGTAGGCAGGGTCTCTGCCGCTGGAGTTGTTGGAGTTGTTATGGGTGGAGGTGGTGGATTTCCACCACCGCCAACGGATGTCGTCTGTACGGGAGTACTTTTGGGCGTGGTGAGACCATCTTGGAGAGTCAACGCGAGAGGTGGATCCCAAACACCAAATGTATTAAAACCGCAAGTTGACCAGAGGGGGTCTATTTTATTGATTCCAGGTGGCAATGACAATTGCGGCGTACAGATATTGGTGAGGATTGAGTGCTGAATTGGGTCCGACTGGCAGTTTGTTGTGCAGAGGCATTTTCTAGGAAGAGTTAGTGATCAATTTGGGGAGGACGAATGAAGGATTTACGGGCTGTCAAAATCAGCGTAATTGATTTGTGTCCAGAGCCCCAGTGATGGCGCAACCCCAGAGAACGAGGTTGCAAGAGTTGATGTGCTCAGTTGGGTGGGGGCGTAACTCGTGAAGACGTTCGGATAAAGGAGTCCAACAGGGCCACATAAATTTGCGGCGTTGACGCTTGTCAAGAATACATAGACCGAAGGCGAAACACTTCCTTGAGTCAGCTCGAGTACTTTAAGGAATCATGAGGACACTTACTAGCTCACATTGTATGAATTGACAAGAAGAGATACTGGCGGCGTTGGCGCGGGGGTGGGCCAATAGGCGATTTGAACGCCTGTGGCTTGTATTGCACACTGACCGCAGCAGGGAGGAGAGGGTTTGTACAGGTCATCAAAGAAAGTACCAGGAGGCAGGAGAGTTGCGATCGCCGAACTTTCTGACAGGTATGACGTGAAACATGTTGAGAAAAGGCAAGGATCGTAAGACGCTATATCCTGGAAAGTGAGAAGCCCACGGCCAGATGCTCCAAACAGGGAAGAGATATCCGCTGTAAGTACACTGAGTTCTGAGGCGAGGTATGATACATAGGCAACGGTGTCGGTGATTGGCGCATTAGCATATCTTTCAATGTTTGCGTAGTCGCTATTTATCTTGCTGTAACCCGATTCAAGGTACTCTTCCAAGGCCGTAGTTGGCAGGGTTTGCAGACTTGACAAGAGGTACGTGATGAAGTTGACTGAGCCACAAGAGGTAATCGTCGTCGATCCTTTCGAAGTGTTTGTGGCGCCTCCAGGGCTAGTGATGCTCGCAGTTGTATAGCTTGGAGCTTCTCCCAAATTCTTCATGCTCGTAGTCGTGTGATTCAAAACAGAACTGAACGTGTTTGCTGGTGATGAGTGGCCAGTCAGTGGGGTTCAAGGCATTTACAAGAAGAGGACAAAAGAGACACCCCACTGACATGTAGTAAGGCCGCCTTGGGCGAATGAGAACCCCAGAAAGAGACAAACTCGAATCCGCCTCCAGGACGTCATATCTGAAAGCATGGTTGTGAGGCACAGCAATCTGGTGCTGGGCTACGAAGGGCACAATGCTCAAGTGGGTGGGTTCTCAGCAGCTAAAGACTTGAAGCTTCTGAGAGTCTGGCGGGTTCTAGGTCATGACTGCATGACTGCATCAGCATCAGTTATCGATTGCTTCCCGTGCAAAAGAGATCTCCAATCGAGTCATCAGGCTAGCGGTGAGGCTGATGATCCCCAAAGAAGCAAAAGATGTTGTCTCAGCGTGGTGTGGACGGCGGAGAGGTCTTCGGACGAAGACGAGACGTAAAAATGAAGGAAGTGCAAGTAGTGGCAATTCCGCTTGAGATGAGGCTGAGAAACAGAAATCATATGACTTGAATTGATACTTGCACAGTGCGTTGGGTTATTGTTCGAACTCAGTGGCCTCATTTTCAATAAGCCTCTTCCCCGGTGCAGAACCCCGCATATGGCGCATGACACAAAAATAAACTCTGCAACCTATGAAACCCAAGTTAAAGTGAGAGCACACCCACGGGTCAAGCCTATCTCTTGGGTGCTGAAATCTAGCCCATAAATGGCCACACCTCTTGACGAAAGCAGTGAGACAGCATCGCTAGCTTGAAAGCTTGAACTTTTTCAGCAAATATTTGAATTTTGCAGGCGTTCGCCAAGCCTAACTGAACCGCGTTGCAAATTCTGGGCCAATGAGAGCAAAATAACGGCAACTTCCGATCATCACCTCGCCGTCGGCCCTGAGTGTGAACAATCAGAATCTCGGATGAAAGTCTTCGTAGGAGAGTCAAGAATAGAGAACCCTTGAAGACCTCTCTCCCGTTCTCTTGCTTCGATCCACCCAGACGAACAAAATGGCTCCTGGCACTAGCCCCCACAGCTCTCGGTTCACTGCGGCTCTGCTCTTCCTGATTTCCCCGCTGTTTGTTGCGTGCACTGGCACTATCCCTGCGCCAATCGTAGTGTCCCCTAGTCAATACTGGTGGGTCTGCATTCCACTACCCTCGTCTGCCTTACTGACATTGATTGCAGGGAAGGCAATGATGGTCCTTGGTCATCTTTCACCATACAAGTCGGCACTCCGGCTCAAAATGTCCGAGTTTTGATATCAACTGCTGGTACTGAAACATGGGTGGTCCTCCCAGAAGGCTGCGCGAGCGATGCTCCACCGAATTGTGCCACCTTGAGAGGATTAGAATTCAACATCAGTGCATCTAAGACGTGGAAAGCAAACAACTTCTATACTCTCGAGCTGGAGTCAAACCTGGGACTAAGTGGAAATGGTGAATTCGGCTTTGATACAGTAGGGCTCAGCTGGCAGGGAAGTGGTGGCCCTTCATTAGACCATCAGCTCGTTGCTGGCATTGCCACTTCGGATTTTTGGCTTGGGACATTTGGGCTTACTCCTCGGCCGACAAACTTCAGCAGCTTCAACGATCCGCAGTCTAGTTTCATGGAGACTTTGAAGAATAAATCCATGATACCGAGTCTATCATGGGCTTATACCGCTGGGGCTCCCTACCGTAAGTATTCGTCCAATTCGAGAACCGACCGTTGACTGATATAGGCCAGGGTTCGAGAAAGTCCTCGGAAGTTTGGTACTGGGCGGCTATGATCTCTCCAAAACAGGACCTACAAACATGAGCTTTGCGTTTGCGCCGGATATCTCTCGGGACTTAACTGTTGGGCTTCAATCAATTTCTACGTCTTTTCTTGGAACGAGTCACGGTCTCCTTCCGAATGGCATTTTAACCATGATCGATTCCACAGTGCCTGCGATTTGGCTTCCCATAGAAGCGTGTCAGCAATTCGAGAAGGTCTTCGGCTTGACGTGGGATGCAACGAGCGAACTATACTTGGTCAACGACACATTGCATACTACTCTAGTGAAAAACAATGCGAGCTTCACGTTCAGTCTTGCAAATTCCACGAAAGGGGGCCAGGTGCTCGACATCACACTCCCGTATGCAAGCTTCGATTTGTCGGTCGGTTGGCCTAAAGTTGCGAACACCTCGAGGTATTTCCCACTTATGAGAGCCGCAAATGACACACAATATACCCTTGGTCGAACCTTTCTGCAAGAAGCGTAAGCATTCATTGATATCACTGGGAGTATACTTACTTGGACAGGTATCTCACGGTCGACTATGAGCGATCAAAGTTTTATGTCTCTCAAACTGCCTTCCAGGAAGGTGCTACCGAGCACATAATCACAATTTCGTCGCCTAATTCGACTGTGACTGTAGTACCGAGTCCACCATCGGGCCACTCTTTGCCGACCGCTGCAATTGTTGGCATTGCTGTTGGCTGCGTTATACTGGGAGTTGTCGGGGTGCTCGCTCTTCTGTTCTTCCTCAAGAAACGGCCTTTCGCGAAGCCAAAGGAGGATGCTAAACCGTCCGAAGAGCCGCCGATAGAAATGACAGAGCATACCTTTGGTGGGAAACCGGAGTTGGATGATACTGCAATGCCTCCTAAACCTCCAACGGAGATGGCCGCCGTGGCAGTTGAATATTATCCGCCGGACAAGGATGCTCGCGAACTTGAGAGTCCTAGGCCAAATATTATCTACGAGATGCTCGGAGATACGCCCAGGGCACAAGAGCTGCATGCTGTGGAGAGTTCTTCTCACTCTCCTCGTTCTCCAGAGCCTCAAATATCGCGGTTGCCCGGGACCATTAGTCCGGTCAGCGGCCGAGGCGAGAGAGTTGTGAGTGGGATGAGCGATTCCACTCTTTGAGAGTTGTAAGTGGATCTTCTTGGCTTGTCTACAAAATGTAATTCGCGTGTTGTGCTGGGTTCGGGGTGGAGCGCCCAGGATTATGTGGTGCCAACCTCGTGGTCCACGGAGTCGATGGTATCAGCTCTGAGATATTGCTGCTTAATGAGAGAATTTGTAATAAGAAACACCAGCTGCGAAGCATCAATATAAGACAGCACTTACAGTCGCTCAATCACATCGTACTAATGGGTTAAAGCTTGACACTCTTTTCGACGTGTCACGCTCTCGTGTTTATGGATAATTCTCTGGGTGCCTTCTCAGGGGAATGCACCCCAAAATGAAAAGAGAACAAATTGAAGAAGTCGTCTCCAAAAGCTGCGTGGTGAATTTGATGAAAGGAGGGATGTGGTCAGCGAAGGGATGAGGGAAAAAGAAGGAATATCGGAAGCTAAGCAGATTTTAGATCATGCTCACGTGACCTTGGCGATCCTTTCAGCTTCCACTTCATCTCGTCTCTCATCTTTCCATCTCACCACAACTGAGAGAATCCAATTACGGGCTTGCATGCTGAATTTGGAAGAATTCGATGTTCATCGTTGGAGTGGCGTCTTTCAGTGTACACTTGACACCCGAGTTGGCTTGATCCGATCCACCTGCAACAGCAAAACTTGACGGTATGTATGATTCTTGTACGGCCCGGGGCATCCCGTTTGTTGGTAACGCGGCATGCAATTCGGGGAAGAAGTGGTATGATTTGCGAAGGCGCCGGTGAAGGGGAATACGAATCTTGGGCGCGAGTTCTTTCCCGATGAGAATAATGAGGAGTTGGTGGCTTATGATAGTGCTTTGATTAATTCTCCAGCTGTCAATGGGTACAATGGCAAGTAGAAATGTAGCTTGTGGGTCTCTAGATGATGAGTTCGATTCTACGATGCAATGAGTTTTGATGAATGTTTGTGATGGGGTATGTTTGCTTCATGATGAGTGAGAATTAGATATAATTATTTTTGGAATGATGTCGACACGATCATTAGAGAACAAATGGTGCTCTGGAAATCTTCAGGATGGATGGATGGATGGACGTTCTTGGATCTGCCTCCGCGCAAGAAATTATACTCCTACAATTAGAAGCTAGAAGTACAGTTCATGTTCATCCGGAGGAGTCGACTCTCCGCAATCTTTTGTGTGCATGCTATCAATCGTACCCCAACATCCAGAACAGAATACAATATAATGCAATACAGGGGTTTACAGTCCAGATACAAGGACATGGAACCGAAATCATGATCTACTGACCATACTCATCGAGAAAATCTGCAGGGTTTTCGCCCTCCCTGACCGTCAACCACATACGGTTCGGGTCTCGGCGAGGCAGACCTTTTGGACGACTATTGTAAATGTTAGTCGAGGAACCAGAGTTGAAAAGAAGGGTAAGTACCGATAAAGTAACGCAAACAGAACAGATTACTGCCCGTACTCGTCAAGGAAGTCCCTTGGGTTTTCCCCAGGCCCAACCAAGATTCGGATATGGTTTGGATCGCGGAGAGGAAGGCCATTAGGCCGACTATTTCCCCACACAATTAGTAAAGGAAAAGAATGAACTAACGCAGAGCACCGTGCGGACTGGCAGACATTGATGGAGCAGTACTACTGTCCATATTCATCAACAAGGAAGTTCCGCGACGATCTACATGTGGTTTGGATTACGACGAGGGAGACCACTGGGCCGACTATGGCGCATCAGACTCATCGAGCAGCTACTCTAAACCAGAAATAGAAGTAACGCGTAAAACCAAGGATAAAAAGGACTATGCCACAAGAAAAATTCATCACATACTCAGCCTCAACCTTCTCCCGTCCCGGCGTCTTCTTCTTGCCCTCAAAGATCCTCTTCTTCTCGAAGAACGCATACGCCTTCGGGTATACACTACTCTCAGCACCACCCATCATTTGCTTCGCCTTCAAGAATCTCGCCAGCATGTCCGGTCTCGTATCCAATGCTCTGCAGAACGAGGCCTTTGTGTATGGTTTTGGGTTTCCTTGTTTGTCAAACTCGCCCGGCATCCCGTTCTCTGGCTTGTGGTTGTCTTTGCCGAGCAGGGCGTTTATTTTCTGGCGAATGGTGGAGCAGGTATCGTAGATGGGAATGGTATTGTCATCTTCGCCGTCGAGCTTGATGTCGAGGAAGGAACCCGAGGGCTTGTTGGTCGATTCGGTGGCAGCTTTTTTGGTGGCCTTCTTTGGTTTCGTGGCGGAATCCTTGCTGGCAACTGGTGCAGACGCGGAGTTCACCTCAGGGGAAGTCTTCTCCTTGAGCGCTTTCTTGGGTGCTGACTTCGGGGCGGTGGTCTTTGGGGTGGGAAGTTTGTCTCCAGGTTTGATGGCAGGGTAGGGCTCCGCGCGAGGAGCAGAGGTGCGGCGTGCTGCTTTTGGCATTTTGGGCGGTCGTCGATGATGGCTAGGGTCAATTGATGAGATTTAAGTGAGATTTTAGTTGTGAGTGGAAGTTGGCGAAGGTCGGGAAAGGGAGGATTTTATGTTGCATCGGCCGACGCGTCCGAGGGTTTATTTACGCGACTATCAACAACAACGTCATACGATTGGCATCTTCACTCCTTAAACTTCCTCCAACCATCAACCATTCTAGAAGAGGAAATCGATTATCAAATACGTCATTTTAATCAACCAAGTGACAGAGACCGAGGTATTTTGATCTTCAGAATCCGAGATCTTTGCAGTTCAACATTGTTCCCGATCCGGAGAAGCCAAAGCGCACGTCGACTTGAAATCAGAAAAGACGGTTGTTTGCTTCTTGCTTTACAGATCACATCGCCGAATAGTTGTTCAAGATTGCACCCATAGCGGTAGATAGTTGGCGAGACGTTTTCTGAAGGGGGGTATTATTATTAGGACTTCTGCAAGGTGGAAGGGGAATGGAAAATTGAGCGGTTGCTGCTTGATGTTGTTTGGACTCGGGGAGATAGTCTTGGATGGAATGATACAGACAATAAGGAGAATGCTGAGATAGGTTTTGTGTTGGATTGAGCACACAATACGGAGCTCTCTTCGATTGCATCATGAACCAGGAAAGGATCCATAGATAGGAAAGCCTTGTGTTTAGAGTAGCAGCGTTTCTTGATGGCATCACCTTTTCCAACAGAAATGAAAGACTGAATGTTTGGAAAGAGAGAAGTTTCACGACCTGACCTGGATTTTGATTCGCTAACTGCCCTCAATCATCCTTCCTCATTCACTGTGATGCTGTGGAATTGTCAAGTGACATGTGAAAGACTGTCAGCTTCTATGCCTTCCTTGATACCTCAAATTTGATGCTCATAACTCAAAGCAAATCTAGCTCGATCCGTCTTTCGAAACCAAAGCATCTATCCGCAACCTGGTTCCTCTACCATGCTCGCCCTCTTCCTCCCAAGGACATAAACGAAGGTCAGCCAAACGAGGTGTCGGCGAACCTCTCGCTCTGTAGTCGAGCCCCCAGGAGCCACCAGCACAGTGATTCTAGGGGAATTTGATTGCACAGAAGCTCCACCAGAACCGTTTCCGGACGCCTGGGATATCAACTCGATGTTCGTTGTTGCACAGCTGTTAAGAACGACTCTGAAAAGAGAAACATATCAGGGACGCCAACGGTGGTGTCTTGCAGAGGCGCATATGGCCAACTCCCTCCGAATATTCTGAAAGAAGTGGGCGAAATTCCCGAGAGTAATTTCGGATTGGGCCGGGATCCCGTTTCCAAGAGAAAGCACCCAGGAAACTTCTCTGTGGCCGAGAGCCCGTGCAAATCCGCTGCCGAACAAAACCAGTTCACTGATGCTTGCGTTACTCGCATCAAGAAATATCATGTCGATAGTCAGGCTGAAAAAGAATGCGTGATGGGTGATGGAGTTCCAGATGTGAAGTAGAGGGACGGTTTCGCGTACAATCGATAGTGATTCCCGGCAGGCACAAATCATCGGAAGTAGTTCAAGGTTGTTGGCAAGACGCAGACAGTTGTACCATCTGCCATTGTGTGGTATGCTACGCATGGGGTCGGCTTCGAGGAATAGGAGACGAGTATTGGGTAAAGAGAACCTCCAGACCCGCCGTCGAAGCTCAGGAGCCAGTCCGAGGAAGAGAGCCAATGTTCGGGTCTCGCCCCCCATATTTATTGTTCGACTCTGTGAGAACTCTGATGTGGGTTCTGATTGGGAAGGATTCGTTGGACTTCGAGGTTGTGTCCGAGGATGGCTGCACCGATCGATTTTCCCATTCTGAACCGCTGGAACGAAGAGGTAGGCATGGATAACCAGCTCGCAGCTTCCTTGAACAAAAAGGATATGAAAAGGAAAATAATAGGATCTGAAGTCTAGAAGATTGGATTTTTGATGGACTAGATACCGGGGAAGCTTTGAGAGTAAACGCAGGCTCTCAAGAGCTGGTCCTCTATTGGGAAAAGTAGGTTGCAAAGCCATTCCTGAATACTCAATGCTTCACTGGAAGATTGGACAAAATTCCTAAGGATGTCTTTTGCTCGGAATGCTCACGGGAACAGACCGAGCTCCAAGAAAGAAAACCATTTCATCCCACAAATGCGCCGGAGCTCAGTCACTAGAAACCCCTATCTCTCTTGTTCGGGAGCCAATATATCGTCATCTTTGCCATAGCGTGAGCTCTGGGGCATTCGAGCATCTGTTCGGCCAGCTGGTCATGTTAAAGCGGTGTGAGTTTCAGAAGCTCCAGCGTTTCTAACATTATCTGTGACCTCCTCGGTTGGGCGTAAATTTCTTGGGAACAGATGCGTAAACCTTTTCCTATCCATTTCCTCAAGTTCTGCCTGCTTCAATATGTGTCGCTCATCATTGTCCTCGAAGACGGGTCGTTGGCAGACATCGGGTTTGTTAATCACCTATCGATAGTGGAACACTCTACCTCTCTAGTCTCTCCGCCGCAGAACTGTAACCTCAAGCTCAGCTTCGATTGTAGGAGAGACGGGTCCTCTCCGAGAAGTGAGCCTTGCCAACTAGGGTGAATAAGAGGTTTCACGTGCCATCTCCATGGGCATGACAAGTGGCTATGGTGGATTCATTGGCAGATTTGAATCTTGTAGTAACAACTTTCTCAGGTCATATTTGTCACTCCAGAAGTGTGTCGCCAAAGCAAGTGGATACGCCAACACCTAGGAACGTTCCTTGAACTCATCTTTTCTGTAATGCAAAATCGCAAACTTCGTGAAGCTGTTCATATGTTACCGGGTTCTTGATATGAGGCCCAAGGATAGTACTCACAATTATCTGCAGGTATTACCAGCGCTTTCCGTCGCGTACGCCCAGGCCAGGCCGCCGTCTTCCAGGCCGCGACGCAAGTCTTTGATTCCCTGATGGCTGCCTTTGCCTTCAGCCACCATTATGATAACTGGAGTTGCCTTCTTACAACCCTGGAAAGTGCTACAGATCTTGTGTTGGTCGAGGACTCGAGCTTCGATCTGTACAAGAGTCGAAATAGAAGTAAGTTGATGTTCACCAAGCTCGATTAATTTAGTCTCGCCGATGGACGCTAAGCCTACATTAGCCCCTTTCCTTAAGCGAACTAGAAAGGGGGAAGCGAAACTCATGCTTACATCAGGGATAGACCACTGCAGAATGTACTGAAACAAGAAATATTTCTAAATGTTTCTGGCCAGATCACATCGCCGCATTTCTAAGCAAAAACGGCAGAGAACCAGAGGGAAATCGATCTTCTTCCCACCGTGCAGATCTCGCGACAGGCAGTTGTATCAAATGACCTCCCATGAATATGCATACTTCTAATCAGATAACCTCCCATTCTCCAGTCTAACCAGCAGACTGAATACAAATCTCCTCTTTAAGCCTTATAAGCCAACAGTGCCCTCTTCATCGCTGACATTGCGGTCTCCTCCTCGTTGCACTCATATGCTAATATCGTAATCTTCGGAACACGATATTCCCATCCGTTCAACAAAGCTTTCTCCATCAAAACCTCTTCATTTTCATCCTCCTCCTCGTTGACTGTCTCTTCTTTTGCCTTTCCCTTTCCCTTTCTAGTGCTCCGAGCCCACTTCCAAAACGCAAATCTCTTCATGTACTGCTCAACATGCGCCAGCATACCCTTGCTTTCTTCGTCAGGCGAAAGCAGAATAACCTCTTCCATATTCGGAGATCTCTTGAGCTCATCGACGAGAAGAGCCGCGAAGTCATGCGTGAAATTCAGCCAGGAATCGATCTCGTTTTCCGGTCCAGTAAGAGGTCCGAGGTGGGTAAATGGAGAATGGGAGGGATCGAGAGCCATAACTGTCATCGAACCACAGAGATCCTTCCAGCCAGTGGAAGGGACGTAGTGAGCGAAGACTCCATCCCACTGGTAGAGCGTTTCCAGCTCATCGATGAGGAGGATATCGCTCTCTGGACAGAAGTAGAAACGAATCCGAGGAAATTGAATGATGGTGGAGGATTGGAGTGCAAGGTTGCGCGACTCTGAGTTTACAACAAGGAGAGGTGTTGACTTGGCTGGTAGGAAATGCATCTGACCCCCATATGTAGATCCTATCTCGTGGACTTGTGGCTGGGAGAGGGCAGACTTGTAGATTTTCTGACGTAACTCGATAGGTAGCTTTGGAAAGCCGGTAGAGGACATGTTGATTAGAGGATCGTAAAAGAATTGGTTTAGAGGATAGAAAGACTAGTTGAATGATTGTGAATTGAGTTCAAGTGGTTTGAGTGATGAGAAGAATATGACTGAGGACCTTCGACTTCATCATCTGTTAAGTAACAATAGCAACAGAGACGTTTCTGATGCACTGTCACAGTTCTTGTTCTCGAGAAAATTGATGCTGCTAGTCTTGACTAGAGAGGAGAAAGAGGGTGGTCTGTTCTGTCTTAGGTACTGTCTCTCATACCGCACGTGCGTCCTGACTCGAAACCTATATCCACAAGGGCAATGAACGAGAATTTGAGTCCTGGACTTGCTCAAAATGCGAAGAACAAAGAATAGAAGTGTTTGAGAAATTATCAGAATCCTAAATTTGTGCAATGCTACCCAAGGAGATGTATGGTCAGAGCAATCCTACCCAACCTGTCTCGTAGGGCCCCAAGATTGAAATGGATCCCCGGGCCTCTTTCTCAAACCATGAATGACAGTCCATATCTATCCCAGATGTGCCAAAACCGTGTTCCTCATACCCATGCGCTTTGTGTGGCCAGTGGCTATCTCATACCTCCGATTCATGATATTCGGAATCTTCTTCATTGACGTTTCAGCCTTGTAGTATGACATCCGGTGCCAATACAGGTTCCCCCGTTCCTCGCTAGCAACGGCCTTTCCCAGAAACCATTCAAAATCTGCCGCAAGCGCTTGATATGTATCATCGGCCGTGGGAAGCATATGGCCTCGCGCAAGTTCTGACTGAGGCTGTACAAGAAATCCACATAATATTCTTCCGGTCCATTGTGGATTTGGCGTCTGTGGATGAGTTCGCGGTCACGAATGAATTTGGCTGCGAGGACCGAGTCAATTGCTATGACGCCCACGAGAGATCGGAGGTCCTTCTGCCAAGGGCCGTTGCATGAACAGATGAAGAGGTCAAGGGTGTGTTCCTGGGAGATCAGAAGGACGTCGGCGTTAAAGGATGAAAGCAGAAGACACTGCGGTACAGCAATCTGAGCGCTGACGAAATCGACGAATGTATTGTGCCCCAGATCCCCGTGTAGACTGCGAACAACGCAACCGGTACTTTCTTGATATACTCCAAGTAGTCTAGGATATTCCTTTGGCATCTTTGGGAATGGGGTCAAGTCATTAATTTCGGGATGGCAGAGGGCGTAGGTCCATATCATCTGGCGTATCTCGGGAGGGAGCTTAGGAAAGCACGGGAATGTCGTTGCGACGGCTCGACGCGAGGTAGGCTTAGGGTTATTGAGGAGTTCTTGTATTAAAGTCCGCTCCATCTTAGCCCAGGAGATCGGGGTCGCTGTGAATTCGTCTTGTTCTGTGTGGTGATCGACGGCAGCTTTTGCTTCCTGATTACCCATATTGTTGGTCGTGAAAGGCGCAAATGAGACCGCGGCACGTTGACGAGATATTGGAGAAGCGTTGGCTTGCTATTTTCTTATGGCAGATGAAGAAGGGTAAACAGAATGCTGAATGACTTTCAGCCCTCTTAATGAGACTTACTGCTTCATCCTCCCGATGCTTGTAGAAGCTCCCAACATGATACGAGAAGTACCAAATCTAGAAGTAAATAGCAATGCAAGGAAGGTCGTGTGTAGAATATCATGTGTTACCTAAATGAAAGCTTGGAGGGAGAACGCATTTAATTGTGCGTAAATGAAAAGGCATGTCAACCTTTAATGAACAGAAGGAAGGAAGAAGGAGAATAGTAAATAGGCACAGAAAACACCATGATGGGATTTGGAAAAATAATTTTTGAGGTAGACTGCGCCCCAGAGTAATGAAGACCAGAGAATTGACCCTTGTAATGCTTCTTCGATGTGTCCCATGGATACCCCACGACATGGTCCAACGGCCGCCTTTTCTCCTATGTGCGATACGACCGGAGCGCCCCCTTCATAGCTGGGCCTGCATCTTGCCGTTTGCTGCACTCGTAAGGCAAGCAAGAAATGTGAGGTAAGTGCAGCAATACCACCAGTACGCAGGACAGTGGACACTCCAATACCTCATCTATAGCGAATCTCCTCGCAACGTTATTCCATACTTCAATTTCTGCTCTTAACTGAGTCGCCAATTCCTGCACATGGGCCTCGGAGCCTGCTCGTTGGAAGAGTAGAATCTGCTGTAAGTTCCGAAACTTTGACGCCTCGTAGGCAAGTCTTTTGGCCTGGGTTGGGACCAACGCTCCTTCATGTGGCCAGATCATCTGAGGCACAGGACAAGTCAGGTACTCCACGAATGGGTCGACGGCCAAAACTGTCATAGACTCGCACAATCTTAACCATGTCTGCTTGGGCACATGATGCTGAAGCCCCAAAGTAAAAGGTATTTCGTTAAGAAGAATGATTTTCCTGCCCAGATCGTGCCAGAAGGAAGTTGATTCCGAAGAGTCAGGCGGCAACTCGCAGTGTTTGAGAATGGCTTGTCGAGATTCGCGGGTCGTGGACATGAGAGGGTGCGAAGGGTCGATAAGTCGCGGGCTGGGAAGGGCAATAGCCCATACCACCTGGCGTAGTTCCGGGGGTAGCTTGGGGAACAGGGTGAAGGACGTCGTTCCCGACATTGCTCCTGCTGGGTCTGTGAAGAGCTGTCGCCTGAAGTAGGTGTTTCCAGTTGATCTTGGATTAAAGGTCAGAGGGGGCGGTGCGGAGTTGGGAAGTGGTCGCGTGTTGAAAGTCCCCTCCGGGGTTTATGGGAGTCAGGTAGAGCAATAGCCGACGAACAATCTCGAAGCTCCTCGGCGCCTTGAGCACTCGATATCTCTTCCACGTTAAAAAGCCTCTGATGGGATTGTACTGAGATGGATGAGAAAGGTCAGTTGTCTAGTCAGGATATTTGTAGGATATTTGTAGGAAGGGGAGTCGCAAGTGGACGACGCTGAATGACGCTTTTAAATTCAGGGGACAAAGAGGAAATTTGTCTTGAGAACTTCTCAGAATCCGAAAGATTGTTCCAACTTTGGTCAATGCAAGGTTTTGAGACTGACTCCCATCTCCAACGACTTCTGTTCGGCCAAGCATCTGGAGAACATTCCATGGTACAGGGTGGTTTGCATCCAGCATCATCCATGCATTAATTGCTCATCACCAACTTGCAACATACTTAGCCATCTAGGCCAGCTGAAACCAAAAGAGATTGCATTCATCCTCGTCGTCACCCAAGCTACATGGTATTCAAATTCCTGATCTTTCCCATCCATTTTTCTCCGTTATCCAAATTTCCCGTCGTCCTCGACCACTGTATCCTGATATCCAAGTTTCCCCTCCTTCACGTAGCCCCCTAATACCTTGGCTCCCTCGCCTCAATAACCTTATACTCCTCAACCCTTTTAACCTCTCGCACGTCATCCGGCATCCGCCGCACACAAAGCATCTCACAAAAGTGTCCCCACTCGCCCTTGGTCCCTTCCGCCACCGCCTTCTGCATATCAACGCCATACCGCGTCCTGTACTCGCGCTTCACCGCTTCCATATGCTGTCTGTCCCAGTGGTAGCGGACCAGGCGCGAGATGAGGAGCTCGGTGCGGATCGAATCGGATTTGGAGAGGCTGAGAGCGTGGTGTACGAGCAAGGCGTCGCGGACGGGCTTGTTGATTACGCCGTTCAGAATGTGGGCTAGCATCTCGCCCTGAACACCTCGTCAGTTACCAATTACCTACTTCGAGGGGATTTGGTGGGGACATACAACAAGATTCCCACTCTTCTTCAACATCTCCCTCGCAAAGTTCGCACGGTATGTACTTTCATACAACCTCAGCACCTCCCTCAAATGGCCATCCGACCTCACAACAACAATCTGAATCATGGCCGTCTCGCCGCCCTTCTCACTCTTAACCGCCTTATGCAGAGCCCTAACATCATCTTCCACCAGCACGCGATCAACACCATACCCGGGCCTCTCCTCCATCTTCTTCTCTTCAAGGACCAACAGCACAGCTTTCTTGAACTTGTCTTCCTTCAGCTCGGTCTTCATGCACTTCGTCAGACTATCGCTGTACTTCTTATCGCTAAATCCATCTTTAATCTCCCTGATCTCCTTGTTGGTGCGTCCCATCAGGGACTCGATGAGCAGTTCTCGTCGGCTCTTCTCCCCCTGGTACCAGAAATTCGCCCAGTAGGCTTCACTTTCCCATTTGCCAAGCGCGCACGCATAGCACGCCTTCATCAAACTTGGATCCTCTTCCTTGAGACGCAATTTGATGTGTTTCGCGATGTTGACGCCTTTCTTATCATGTCCCGTCTTAACAATGTGTTTGTACTCCACGCGCAAATCGAGGATTTGCTCGTGTGTCAAGCCGGGGAGAATATCAATCAGTGGCTGCGTGTCAGGAGCGCGTTTCTCGCCTTTCAATGCCTTGGCAAGGACGGTAGCTTCGTCGACTGGGTCGTGGAAACGTGCTGTTCGTCTGCTCTTCCTGTTCCCTCTTCCTTCATCGCCAGAATCGATTGGAGAGATCGACTCGGTGATCTCTGTGTGTGATGAGCTCGCAATCAGGAGCGGAGACGGCATCGGGGAAATCGACTGATACGTCCCATGATACGCCTCCAGGAGAGGGGATCCCGGCGCGTTCGCCAGACTCAATGAAGCACCTCCATGATGCCCAGTCGAGACTGACAGTGAGTGCATCCGTGGCGCCAATCCTCCTCCTCCAGGCGGCGAAGAATCACGACGTCTGGCTCCCGGCTCAACGGTAACAACCTGCGACTTTGAGGTCCTGGGAGAATCATACGTGCTTGAGATTCTCGAACCCGAAGTCCTTGCAGCATACGCTGGCTGTGGCGGGCTCGCAGGACGGCCATAGGTCGTCTCCGTGCGCTTGGTGTACGAGATCTGCTCTCCGGGCTGAGCATACTCCCACTTCGCGGGCTCAGCGTACGGCCTTCCATCGGGCCCAACTCTCGGCGGCGAGTAATCTCCAGGGACATGGGGTTGGTCGTACTTCCTCGCATCACTGCCATGTCTCGGAGGTTCCGCATAGCTTGGGTGCCTCTCATGCCCGACGCCAACGCTCCCGGACACACTGCTATGCCCCGCAGTGACATTGAAGCTGGCGCCTCTCTCCCTCCCATGTCGCTCCTCCTCATATCGTCCCTTATCCCTCGGATCCCCAGCATATTTATACTTGTCAACCTCGACCTCATAGCCCCTCCTATCTCTATCCCTCTCCCGTTCCGGCTCCCTTTCAGCATGTCGCCCATACTCATCCCTCTTCCCATAGCTCGTCTCCTTATAATACTCCTTCTCTTTCACCGGCCCCCCTCTGCCACCGCCGCTCTCATACCTCACACTCGTCTCCTCCTCAACAGTCGCCTGGTATTTCCCCGGCAAATCATACCCCCTTCCACCACCGCCATGCCCTCCCCTTGCAGGTGGACTATCATCCCTATCATCCCTCTGCAAATACTGGCTCACTCCCCCTCCTCTTCCACCACTATACCCGCCTCTCCCACCCCTCTCCTCCTCCCTATCGCCACGTCTAACAGTAACAGTCTCGCGCTCTTCATACTCCGAATACCTCTTCGGCTCTTCGTATCGACTGGGCGGACTCGGGGGACTGGGCACCCGAACACGGCTCCTCTCCCTCGTTTGCGTATATTCGTCAATCTCCACGCGCGTTCGCGACCTCTCCCTGCCCTCTTCCTCGCGCGGGCCGGGAGATCTCGAGCGTCCCCTCCTCCGGTTATCGCGCGGATCGAGCGACATTATGCGGGCGCGCGAGCTGTGAGCTGTGGGCCCTGTTCCCCTTTCCCTGCAGACAATTTCACAATTCTTGAGATATATGTTCGTATACGTGCGGCAGGAGGAGGATTCCTACGAGAGGAATTCAGTTGAATTGAAGAAGAAGATCGACGTTCAGCTGAGAAAGAAGCTGAAGCAAAAAGGGCGGCTGGGAGATCATTGAGGGGCTCTCTGGTTGGTGTCAGTCAGCTTGCAGGGGTCTTGCACTTGCATAATCCCACCCCAGCAGCTGCAAAACAGCCCAGGACGCCACGGAATTTTAGGTTGGGGGCCAGTTTGAATTTGCGCATTGAATGGTCAGTTCTATTTCTGTATTTGCGTATGTTTTGGCCTCTTTTGCTCGCGTGACAAGACGGTGAAGCACTCCAATCTCGGGGGTTTGCTCACGTAAATCCAGTGTGATGTGCAGGGAGCAAGGTGGGGTTTACGAGAAGCAATTACAGGGGAGTTTCAGCCTTGTTGCTTGGCATCCGGGCCAATCGGCGCCACTGAGGAGACTTCCTCTAAATCTTCATTCTTCATTCTTCATTCCTCACCGATCTTCTCTTGACCAAAAAGTTGTTAATCATTACGGACAGCTCACCATGGCTCATGCGAATGGAAGAGGGTTGGTTCATTGGTCTATGCGATGTTCCCCCAGCCAATGCAATTCGTTTCATCGCTACGCGCCAACACTATGCAACAAATCACGAGCAGTTGTCCCTGCCACCGCCTAAACAACCTGAACAAACTGACCAATTCCAGGAGTCCCATCGCACAGTACATATACCACGTACGGTCCTGGAGGCGCGACGTTGTGGTTCGGTGGACTGGTCACGGTCAAGTGTTGACTCGTTCCACCCGGTGCCCAACCTGCCACATCCAACTGGATCATCCGGTGGCCCATATGGACGGAGTGAGTAACGAATCCACTGAATAATATCAGTACAATGCACCTCAATGTTCGCGAATAAGATGGAACAATGAAGCGAGGTAATTTAAAGCCAATAACGATGTTACTTACCCATGATACAACACTACCTCGACCTGCTGTGAGTTTGGAAGTACCTGGAATGAGAGGTCGAATTGGCCGCCAGGAGTAACTGTCTTCGAGGAAAGGACAATATTGGTCGGACGTTGGTTGGCTCTCTCGCCCTGGAGATACGGAGGAACATAGTTCTCAACCCGGAAGTCAGTGACAAACGGATTTGCCGCGTCAGGTTGAAGGATGGGCATCTCTACTGGGTTGGAGCCAGTTACCATAATTGTACCGTCAAGAAGGAGAAGAGCAACGGAATGATAGAGTCGAGCAATTCCGGAGCTGGCGAGCGTTGACCATCGTTGACCAAGCGGCTTGGCGGGGTCGTACAAAAGAGCTTCATATGTTGGAGCTGCCATGAGCCCGAATCCTTGAGCCCCGCGATTGCCTCCGTTGAGCCAAACGACTGTGCCGTCTGGAAGCAAAGTGCCTTCAACCATTCCACGGCCCTCAGGCATTGCGTCCATCTCCCATTGTGGGTTGGCACTCAGTGGTTGAATGCGTCCACAGCTGGGATCTGTCGGGCTGGTAATATCTTGATATGCACCGCCACCGCAGATGATGATGTCTGGGTTCCCTGATGAAAGTTAGTAATTGTTCGATATCGATTGTTCCAGAAGGATTGAGAGACTGATATTCATTGTTCCGGGAGGGTTGGGACCTTGTTTCTCAGGACAACACTTACAATTATTGGCACTAGAAAGTGGCAGCAGCACACTCCCACCAGTGTTCGGGTATGTACGGTAATCTCCTGGGAGATCCGGAAGCTCCTTGACGATAGTGTTCGTACCGACGTTGAAGATCTGGCAGGCCTTGGAGACGAACACAAACAATGTACCATCCCTGAGCAGGTGAACGAATGGATACATATAGTACGGTTGATTCTTTGCCAAAATGTCCATCGGGATGTTGTTGCCTTGAGTCACGCCACCCGGGCTGAGGATCTCGTATGTGGGATTGTTGTTCGAGAGCACAGTTGGGTTGAGACCATTCAAGCTGCCAGATGCAACGAAGACGGTACCGTCGGGCATGGTCTGGGCAGTCGCATACCAGCGAGCGCTGGCTAGCTTGTTCCCAGGCTCCTTCCAATCTTGGCCGTTGAGACTTGCATCTGATGAAGATCTTTGCAGATATCGAATTGCAGTAAAACCGTCCCCAATATTCGGATCCAGCCAGGTCAATGGAGCATTACCTCCAACAGAGATGACGCGGCCATCTGCTAAAAAAGTGCCTCCAGAGCAGAAAGCATTTGTCAAGTAGGCAAGTGGAACAGCTTTGTTCGATTGTGGGTCGTATTCCGAAGACATAGCAAAGTAGCCATCCGCGGTCCTCAATTTGGTGTAGTTTTCTAGCCTGGGGCAAGTCAGGAATGTGCCGCACCCAACTTGAACAATCAAAGCGTGAGGGTTTTGAATGTCCCACAATTCGCGGAACACTGGGACAGAAGAATCAAACTGAACAATAGAGGCGGGTGTCTACCGAAAGTTCCACAACTCGAGGACCATTCGGAGAGTGAGGGGTCTTTCAGAATATCCTGGGGGCAGACTGAACAACGGAGGGGTGTGTACTTACTTGTCGAGGAACATTACTTGACCATTGGGCATCAGGGCAGCGTGCATTGCTGGAACTCCGGAATCGCCAACAACATTGAAGGAGCCTCCATCTGGTGCAGCCGGCGCTGGCTTGGGACCGGGAGCAGCGACAACTGGAGCGTTCAGGCAGTTGCCAGATTGACAGCCGGCTCCGCAGTGGGCATCGGTGTTGCCGCTTTGAAGAGAAGAATGTGAGTGGATAGTACAATGGGGACTGAGAAGTGTCTTACCAGAATCCGTACATACTACAGCAATTGCCATTTGGCCAGTTCCCGCAAACGGTGTTACCGTTTGCGGCTCCGCAAGTACCTGAATTTCAGCGGATTAGCATTGCTTCAAATAAGGAGAGGATCGAAATTGTATCCTGTTCCCGCCAGCTGGGGAACAAGGCTTCAGGAGAATGAGGACTCACCATCAGTAGTCGCTGCACCAGTCGCAGCGACTGAAGCTGGCATTGTTGCCGACATCCCGCCAATCACCGGCTCACCAGTCGTGGTTGGTTGTGCGCCTCTACCTGTGTTCCCCCCGGAACCGTCTGTACATCCGCTCTGACAGCCGTTCGCGACGAGACAATGCCCTGGTGTATTTCCGCACCAGCCGTATCTATTATCTCGAGTCAGCACCGCCCAGTTCACGCTCAGAAGAATATACGAACTGTGAGCAACATCCACCGGTATACGCCTTGCTGTTCGGATCACAAACTGTACCGCCATGAGCTGGGCCGCACGTGCCGTCGACCGAATACGCTGGATTTTGTCTCTCTTGGAACTGTTGAAGCTCTGCTTCTAGCCATCGCTTTTCAGTTGGTACGCAGCTGCAGTCTGGTCAGCAAGGGAAGGTTTGACAAAAAATTTCAACACTCACTGGTTGTTCGAGTTGCAATCTTGACCACGAAGACAGCCATTGCCATTGTACAGTTCCGTAGTATTGTAGCAGGTCAGCTCGGTGTGAGTGAAGATTATATTGGCGGAAGAGGTAACTGCAAGGCCTAAGAGAAGAGCTATAGCCTTCATTTTCTTAGAGCTATTGGAAATTGTCAATTGATGATTTTGGGGTGATTTTGTTTGCGGGAAAAGAGATGAATGAGGGAACTAGGAAAGCAAAAAGTGAATGCTGTATTTGTACTGCATGCAACCGTATGGCATTGGCTCATTCTGTTGAGCAGCTGTCTGTGTCGTGGTTGACTGGGGAGCCGCAGTCATTCTATTCATAGAGTTGCAGGGGGGAGAGGTCGAATGAAACAGAACGACTCACGTTGATTCGAATGCTATTGTGCAAACGCGAGGTCGTGACTGGTCGTTTTCGTGTAAGAGATGCTATTTTCTAAGAATCGAGGGTAAAGAGTGCAGGAATAAGGAAATGTAAGCAAGATCCACGGGATAGGAGTGAATCTTGGGAAGGATCCGAGGAAAAATGATATGAGGTGTGATGTTGAAGAGGAGAAATTGGCGAGTCGCTTGGAGTTGTTGATATTCTGCCTTTTTTGGCGAGTGGGGAAGGCACGGTCACGACGACGATGGAGCAACCTTGGGTCCTACTAATATTTGTAAAGATGTTTCTCGATTTCATGTCAACTTTTTTAGTTGATTTCTTCAACGCAACTGTTACCACTCGATGCAGGTACACGCCCCATTCGGTTGGTTTTCTTCATGCATTTACGAGGTTACGAGCCTGCACCCGTAAGTCTGTGCTTTTCAGGCTCGTATTGTCGCTTAATTTTTGCTCCTTCTTCAAAAGTCGCAGTTAAAATTAAGTAGTACGCAAGAACAACTTAATAGAACCTTGTAAAATATAGTCTTCTGCAAAGAATTTGCTTGATGTCTTTGTGCTTTGAATTTAGAAACAAAATCCCTGGAATTGAGAAAGTTTAAAGTTCCCTCGGGGGGCTTCAGGCCTGAAAAGCACAGACTTACGGGCGCAGGCTCGTTAGCCCGTTGCTTCGGGAACTAAAAAGAAAAGGGGCCTGCATCCCATTCGTGAGACTATTCAATGTCAAGGCGTCGATGATCGCGTTGCCATAGGTGACTTGAACCCTCTGGATTTGTAGAAAATCTTTTCTTTTCAGTTGTTCTCGATGCACATTGGCTGGCAACAGATTGACGTGTTGTCACAGCATGCGGCCAGGAATAGCAGACCACTCGAAAGGGGTTCTGCGGAGAGTTGATCTTGCCCAGACGGAAGCTAATGTAGCCTTTCGTCTCTTGGCCTCTGCTGGAAGCCGATTTTAGTGCTGACCTCAAATGGCGGTGGACCGTGGAGCACACCTGGCCGAAACTGGCCCGGACTTTTGACGGGGCAATTTTTGCGCTTCGAGGACAGTTGCGTGGCCGAAAGCCATCGTACTCTGGTTTTGTCTTCTGGAAGTTTGCTACACGCAAGGCCCATCGTGGTTCGTTGAGCGGTTGAGAGTCTGATGCAGAACTGTGTATCTCCACATCACCAATTCAAATCCCTCTTTGCGACCCCCATAACCTTCGCCAGCCCTTCCGTATTCTCGCTGACCTCAGCCGCACGGTTGTTTCTTGTAGCATCTTGCCTGCTCTTGGGCCCCTCCTCCATATGCTCTTCCTCAGCATGCTCCCCCTCCATTATATCCAAATCCAATCCCCACCTCTCAACCTCCTCCTCAATCACACTCTCCCACTTAGAAACCAACGGATGCGCCCCTGCAACATCCGGAAACGTCACTTCCATCCCATCCCCCTCCCCCAGGACATCAAATCTCCAAACCCCATCCTCGCCCCACCACTCCCTCCCAAAAACACTCTTTGTGCCCAACTCCCCCTTTGCCGTCCCCAATAACCCCTCAACCCTCTCTGCCTCCCCCTTATACACCTCTCCAGCCCCTTTCAACGCCCCACAAATCCCCTCCAATAGTCCCAGAATCTTCCCAATCCTCAGTCCAAGGACAGCACCAAGACTGTACCCCTCATCAAAGCCCTTCTGGACGCTCTCCGCCTTGCCCTTCGTGACGCCGTCTCGGTATCCCTCTGTCTCATGCTTCTCTTTCAATCGTGGGATATCCGAAGGCTCGAGGTTTCCGCTCCGTATTCTGGTTTCTTGTGCTAGATCCGTGTTTTCGTGCGAGCAGGAAGGCGAAGGAGGGGCAGAGCCGAAGACATCGTCGAAGTCATCGTTGGCGAATCGCTGCTCATGACGTGTCATCTCATCGCTGTGAATAGCCTCCATGACTGTGACTGTGTGTGCAGGAAACTGATCCTCATCTCTGAACATGATTCCTTCCTTCCCCTGAGTCCTTCTTTGTCAACATTCTCTATCTGATGAGAGGGGGGGAAAAAAAAGTCGGCAGCTCTTATCTTAGCGCCTTTCGCCAGGCCTTATCGCCCCTGAAAAGTGGGGTTCTCTCCGCTCGTGACCGGGTCGCTGCATCATTTGACCCTTTTGTTCGTTTGAGGGAAGAGTCACCTTTATCTATTGAAATAAGACAAAGGTCAGAAAAAGCAAATATCAAACGCATCGTTGTAGTAGTGGTTAACTGGTCTGCTTCCCAAATATGTTTCTGCTCTAACCGATTTTGGCTGGAGTGGTTATGGGATACAAAAAGCAGGAGACGTGGGTTCAAATCCCACACGATGCAACTCATTCTTATATGACCTTTATTTTTAGTACTTTGGATTTCGTCAGCTGGTTTATTTACGATGAGATGGTTTTCGTTCGTTGTTTTAGTTCTTAGCTGACTCTAAATGCGATGTTTTGATTAAAAGGGGAGGAGCTGTTAGCCGAGGGGGCTCTCCAGACTGGATCTTGACCTTTCCTCTTCTCGAACCCTATTTTATTTATACAAAAGAGAGCATTATTCCTTGGTCGCTTTTTATCCTAACACCTCTATTTCGTCCTATATTTCTGAACCACAAAGCGTGCATTTTTGCTCCAGCTTTACTGCTTTCTCTAACTTATACAGAGCAAACTGAAAGTCAACAAACAACTAAATCAATTGCCCGCCAAAGAACAAAGCAAAAGCCACACAGTAGTGCCCGAAGGGATTGAATGATAGCACTTTCGTTAAAAGAGTTTCTAACTACTATTGCAAGCTATATTTAATATCTCAATCTAATAAGAGCCTTCATTAATTAATATTTCACGTAATGGATAATAAAACTTTATGAGAGTTCAGTCATAATACGGCTTCGCGAACCAATGTCACTTCCCCCTTTGTTATCGACCCCTTTATTATCGACCCTTTGTTCCTGACCCATTGGGGAGTCGCACTATTCTCCATTAATCGCCAGAGTTGCAAACATGAGTGGTAATCTGGTGCAACGAACTGCAAAATTGACAGATCTAACCGAAGCCAGCATATGAGGAGTCTGTAGCTCCTGACTATAACCTTTATCTTGAATATAAGTAATAGAAATTGACTTTGCAATCTGGATAAATAGAAGGTATCTCGAGCCTCATCTCATTTAGGTTCGAGGAAGATGACTGCAACATTTCGGGATTAGGAAGCTTGAACTTTTAGTGCTGCAAGCTGAAAGCTGACAGGGGCCTAGAACGCAGATCCCCAACTGCTGATCCCGAAATCAGAGCTCAACTTCTTTCCTGAAATACATTTGAGGCATCATCACTGTTGAAATCCTCATCCAAATCACGATAGACATCTTCCATCCCATCTCAAATACAGTCGGTACCTCAAACTCGAGCGTTGAACTATTTGACATCTGAGCCCGTGGCGTCCCAGTGAATCCTTCCCCCAAGCCAGGGGTCCAAATTTATCCATGTTCCAGCCAATCGTTCGGGATTCCAGCGTCACCCCTGCCACAGGTCTTCCCCCGCACGACCACAGCTGGGCCCTGCCGTGCCACCAAAAAATGCACTTTCCGCATACAAAAGGCCAACACGCCCTCAGCTCATTTTCGACCTTTTCTACACGTTCACCACCGTCGCTACCATCAACGTCAATATCGTCGATTTCTTACGTCGTCGACTCCGCACGAACTCCATTCAACACACGTCAATCGCTCCCCTACAGCTCGACAAAATGAAGTTCTCCATCCTCGCCCTTGCAGCTGTGGTCAGCTTGTCAGCAGCCCAGAACCTGAGCGGAGAGCCAGCTTGCGCTGTGCGTCCATCTCTTCCACCCACAACACCATTATCAAGTGAGCTCCAGCTAACCTCCCCCCTCACAGACATCCTGCCTCCTCTCCGCCATCTCCGCCGCGGGCTGCGCACCCACCGACATGCCCTGCCAATGCGGCCTATCCGCTGGCGCCGTGGGTCCCTGCCTCACCAACGCCTGCAACGCAACCGATCTCCAGCAAGCCCTGACCGTCGGCGTCGCGCTCTGTTCCTCGTACTCCGCCACCCACAGAGTCTCCTCGACCGCTATGCCCGGAAACATGACTTCGTCCAGCGTGCTGTCCACCTCTTCGAAGTATTCCAACACCACGACCGTGACCGCCAAGACGACGAGCTTCACGAGCACGAAGACAACGCGTACGGCTGGAAGCGGTTCCACGCCGAACCCAACGAGCACGGTTAGCAAGGCCGGCGCGCCGGCATTGGTTGCGGGTATTGGAGGCGTGGTGGGAATGTTGGGTTTGGTTGCTGCTTTGTAGGATCCACTCGGACCAATAAAAGTCATAAGGGGAGGGGACGAAGTGGAGGAGCTGCACGGAATGGAAGTGGATGGATGAACTACCTTTCAGTCTGATATGATGGCATTAGGATCCGAATTTGGTGTGAAGGAAAGCTGGATTATGTTCTGGCTGGGATAATGATTGGCAAGAATGCATGGAGAGTAGGCCGAAGTTCAAGCAATTGAGGTTTTTGGTGAAGCTGTTTTGGGATTTATTGAGTCGTTACCAAGGTAATTGTAAAGGTGTAGGGAGGTCCGTCCCGATTGTCACGTCTGCAGTGCCGATATCTCCTGTTCAATTGATCAGTATGAACTCTCGCGGGGGAGGAGGAAACAAACGAGGTCCTCGAGGAGCCCAATATTGCCCTGTTTTACTCATATCCAGCTTCTCCGTCCACTCAATCAAGCTCTTCGCCGCTTCATCTGGGGTAACAGCTATATCCCACCATTAGCCCTCTCCTCTCTTCCCCCTCCCAATCCAATTCAACCCCCAACCACAACCACGAAAATGGAGGGAAGACTCACCGCCCCCATCATCCCAAAACTTATCAAACCCCACACCTTTCGTCATCTCCGTCCTCATAAAGCCCGGATGCACAATGCCCACCACAACTCCCTGATCCTTCAAATCCAAACTCAACAATTTCCCCACCATATTCAGCGCGCTCTTGCTAGCATGGTGTGCGTAGTTGCCCCCTCCTTCTTTCGAATGGCGGAGAGTGATAGACCCGGATTCCGAGGAGACGAGGAGGACCTTAGAGCCGGGGCGGAGGTAGTTGTTGGAGTGGAGAGAGTGGATCAAGAAGGGGGGTGCGATTGAGGATGTTGTGCTGTGCGCTGTTAGGGAAGAATTGAGAGGGGAGGCGAGAGAGAAGCATACTACATCCTAACCTCCTCCTCCCACTTGGGTCCCGTCTTCCAATCCTCAGTCGCGAAGTACCCTGCTGTTATGATCTGCCACCTCATGAGCCCTGTGCTCGACTGGCCATCCACAGAACAAATCCCAGACACAACTCACCACAATGCCCAAACCACCTTCCACCCCAAGGCTGCCCAATTCCTCAACTAGCTTCTTCCCAACATCCGGCTGATTGAGATCTATACCCTTCGCCCAGTTTATCTTCTCATCATGTCCCTTTCCTTTTGGAGGTTCAGCGGAGCGGGTCGTGCCGTAGACTGTGGTGTTGGGGTGCGAGGCATATTGGTTTGCGAGGGAGGCGCCGAGACCGCGGGTTGCGCCTACGATCAGGATGTTCGACATTGTGAACTCGTGGGAGAATAGGGGAAGAGGTTGAGGGAGTTGGAAGGCAATCGAGGAAGGACGAAAGTGGTGATTAAGGGGAAAGGGAGGGAGAGAGGGGGCTGTATGGAGCTGATTAAGTGGATGACGTGACGGTTGGAGGCTCTTATCTTATCGAGTCCTTCAGTGGAAGAGCGGCGGTTTCAGGGATAGTGCTGCTGTGGTCAGGGGAGGTGCAGGGGAGGCGAGAGGCACTTGGCGTTGTATTTAAAGTCGTGCATGCCCAGACCATTTTCTGACCGTTCTTCCTCTTTTTAGTACTACATCTCAACTCCATCATTTAGTTACCTTGACAACACATTGCACTGTGCGTGCATTGCTTCCATTGTGCAGATTTGTCTATTAATGAAGCTTCTGATTATTCTCGTCTGAGTGTATTATTCTATTGTGGCATAAAGCTCAAGCTTAATTCGGCTGCCATACTCAAAGTCCTAGTCTCAATGCTTTCGACCTTCTTTCCCTTCGTGCAAGCAATGATATAATGGAATGGAGACTTCCCGCTTCTCTTTACATCAGATGTGTTTCTGCTGTGTCGACAAGTTGCGTACTTCCTCGCCCAGGTAGTTCCTCGTCAGCCGTGTTCTCTTCCTAGAAGTCGATCTCTCCGTGCTTTCGAGTGCCTTTTTCTTTGCTCGAGTCTTGATAATATGAAGACCTATCGATTGAACATCGACTTATACGATAACTTCTCTGACCATGTTATCAAGGCACGGTGCTCGCCCACGTGACCTTACCTGCCGAACTTCAGGCCATGGAGCCATTCACCTTATATACTAAAATAAGCATTTTTCGTTTACAAGCAATCGAGAAATCGCTGGTGAGTTAAACCACCCTTCGCAATTGACATTTCGCCTCAACTAACAAACGAGCAATCGCTTGTACAGTTAAGACACCCTCTCGTCCGTAATGACGTTAAACTTCCGGCCGGAAAAACCTGTGTGCAACCTACATCGTGCTTGGTCCGCCCACTGCACGAGCGCAAGGAGCCACCATGGTCCCCTCTACTTTCTCCCTGCTCTTCGGAGTGGGCCAGTTGGAAAGGGTTTCAAACAACTCAGTTCGTCTGGTTGTACGTAGCCTCTCTTCGGAGAGGCGTAGTTTTGCCGTTTTGCTCCTAAGTTTTCTTCTTCTTCCTCTTCTTCTTTTGCAACTACTGAGATAAAGTAATAGTTCTCGATGGAGAGAACGACCGCAAGGCTGCGACTAGTGGTAAAGTGCAAATTTTTGGTTGTTTTGTAAAAAAAAAATTGGGCTGCCCCTTTTAGCGAGAGCCTTCAATGGACACAACCCTTCCTCCCGAGCGCGTTCAAAGCCGCCTCATCTCGCTCTAACAATCTTTTTGGAATCCAACATCACCTCCGGTCCGGGTCTCTCAATCGACCTCGATCCAACGTCTTTCCCGCACCTCACGCAAGCGTGTCACCATATCACGCGCCATGGCCATGTCAACTGAAAGTCCATCAGGTCCTGCTCCTCGTTCTCCTCATCCCATGAGCATAGCCATCAGTGATGCAGTTGAGAACGCGAACCAAGATCACTCCTTCGTCTTGTCAATACCTCCTGCTCTTTCTCCTCCGATCGCAGCTCGCGACGACCGAATGGAGAACGCGAGTCAACATACCTCATCCGTCGTATCAGTTCCTCCTTCTTCTCTTCTCGCGAACGTAGCCATCGTCAATCCAATCGAGCACACGAGCCCAAATGACTCGGCCATCATGTTAGCTCCTTCCGCGAACAAAGCCATCGTCGATTCAATCAGCACTACTGGGAAGGCTTTCGAAGGTGACAATAGCACGACGCCCTCTGCTGCTACGCAAGAGACCTCGAAGATGATCCTTTCACAGCCAGGACGCGAAACCGAGGCATCCTTCACCTTATTCCCAAAGCTGGCCCCCGAGTTACGCAACATGATTTGGTCCTCAGCTCTTTCCATGCCATTAGTCATCGAATTGTGCGGATCCCAGATGATCCCACGAGCGGTGAAGCCAATCGTGCTCATGGCGGTGTGCCAAGAGTCACGACAGATGGCCCTAGGGTTTTACGATCTTGTTAAACTTGAGCATTCCGTCGTCATAGCCCCCTTCTACTTCTCATCAGAAAACTGAATCTGCCTCCTCAGAGACCATCGTCAATGGAACTTGGCTCTCCAAGCCCCTCGCTTCGACGACAAGTCTCATCCATGGAATGGCTTTCGTTTGCGGGTGACGACTTTGGCTGTCGATCCCCTATTATTCGATATCCACCAGGAGACGTATTGGCCTGATCTCTTGGATGGGTGGCAAGCTCGGAAGCTTGCGTGCGCTATTGCGGTACACCCCAGTGTGAAGGAGGTAATAGTACTGAGAAGAGTGAACTTCGAGGGACGAGTGGCGAAGATGGTGGGATACCTGAAGGAGGCTGCTGAAGCTGGCCGGGAGCTTCCTTGCTCTGGAATGTCATCATGGAGCTTGCCGCATCTCACATATTTGGACTACGACTACAATGAAGGAGAGGACGCTTGGTTGGCTATGAGAAAGGCAATTCTTGCACATGCAGCGTAGGTGAAACATGGGCTTGAAGGGGGGTTCATCCAGGAGCATCGTAGCAAGCTCGCAGCCACGTCGTTGAGTTCGGGGTAATTATGGAGCATTCTGCCTCTCGGATTCATTTCTCTAACCAGATCATGGCATTTTCCGTACTCGCGTGCAATTGGAAACGTCGTTGCCTTCTTTTCCCCAGTATTTCCGCTACGTGGTGCACAAGAATGGGGCTAAGCGGCACGCTCCCTGTCCCTCTTCCCTCCGAACAAAGTACCCGCTCAGGGATCGAGACCAGATCCTGTGGGTGGTGCCGATGGTGCCCAAAATCGCTTTTCTAAGCTATGAACGTGATAATGGAGAGCATCCCTCTACGCCTTGAAGACCGCGCTCCTAATATAAGTTGCATCTGCTGATGGAGCTTCTGGGAGCACTCATGGGTCATCAATCAAGCACGTCAGGAGAGATGTGGTCGGTCCCAAATCGGTTTATAGAGCAGTCTCAACCAGAACTCATTTCCGCACATGTGACTGTTGTTATTGAATCTATTGAGAATTGTTTTTGTGTAGTTCTCTATCTCCTAGTTGCCAGGGAGGACTCGCCCATCCGCGTTTAGAATCAAGTTCCCGCCTTCGACCTATTCGAAGCATCCAGCCACAAATGTTCATTATCAAACCCCTTTGATTTCTTCTTACAGTCTTTTTGTTTCAGGAGATTTCAGAAAACGCGTTCGTAGTATTCCAACCTTCCGGGTGCCAAATGGTCCGGGGTCACCCCTATTTAAGCGACGACTTTCTGGACCTCGAAGCGAGGGGGCTTTGTCCCTATTGCTTTAAATATCGGTCACTAGAGTTGTTGAACCATACTTTCCTACTACTTCCGAACACGGCCATAGACTCAAATCTTCTTCAACAACTTCTTTCTCGGACGAATTCGACTACTTGTCAAGTGCCAGCCACTTTATCGGTGCCTCCCTCAACGAAAGATCCACCAGTCCATCACGGGTACGATGGCTCGCAAACGTGGGCGCCGACAAGGACATCCAGCTGCTGCCAAGTGGCCTTCTACAATGAAAACGTCCCCAGATGACACGCCGTCGCTTCCTGAGATGATCGAGCCTTCAGCAATCGAGATCACCGAGCAACTCCCCGAGGCTGCCATAACCTTCGAGCTCTTTCTAAAGCCGCCGCCCGAGATACGGCTGATGGTCTGGTCGTTTGCGACTCTAATGCGAAAAGTAGTCTTGGTACGCCACCGAGACCTGCCTTTGCCGCGGGATGGTGTCTGGGATTCCCCAGCGGTCGTTCGACAAGATCTCATACCTCTGCTCTCCGTGCGCCAGGAATCTCGAGCCGCCGTTTTGAGCACACCAAGTCCTACTCTCCTCCCAGTTGCCGAAGTATCATCTTACCTCCTACCGTAGAATTCTATCCTCCTGTTCTCTGACATGTTAGCCTATTGGAAGTGATAAACCATCCGGCCTTCGGAACTATGGGCGGTTCCGAGAGACAACACTACTGTTCTGGCCGTCGATTCGAAGAACTTCTCATGCCATCAAGATCACCACTCAAGGTTTGATGGAGGTAAATGGATCATACATCCTGTTGACATGCTCCATTGGGTCTCTAAGGTAGCTAGGGAGTTTGCGGCTCTGCAGGAGCTGATTTTGTTCTGCCCGGAGGACGACACGAAGTTTATAGCGGATATCGAGCAGCAATTGAAGGGTAGGTGGAAGGATAGGTGGAAGGGCGATGGTGACCACGCAAAAGCCTGTGGCCTCTTGGCCCATTGGAAAGTGCCGAAAGTTACTTCTATGGTTTACAAGCCGGACTATCCACCCCCTCAGACATGACAGAAAGTGGTGAACGAGTTCTCGGTCATAAAGGATATGCTCACTGGGTTCAAGTCACTCTGACTTGAACAATATATGGAGGAGTGGTTCATTCAGATATTTGCGTGGGTTGTTCAAAGCACCAGAAATGACAAGGGAGAGAGTTGTTCCTTTCGGGATAAGAGAAATGTCATCTTGATGGGATCTTACTCCGTCTTATTTATGATTTCACGTTTTCGTTGAATAAATTGTCATTGTCCAAATGCTCGCTGTTCGTTTGACTGCTGTGATGTTCTTCTTTGCCTCGTGATCATGCTAGTTGAACTGCTTCAAAGTCATTTGTATCTTCGTTCCTCATGAACAAGGCGGGGATTCTCTCCAAACATCGACTTTTGCCATCCTTCAGAGATGTTCGAAGAAGTTAATCAGTGTTTACAACAATATGCCCAATACGATATCGCTGAGTAGCTAGTTCCGCAAAATTACTATCATACAATGGGTCTCGTGTTACATTATTGCAATACGAGTTTCCTTTTTCAATAAACCGTTCCTCAACTATCTTTCTTCCTTGATACCGCCCAAAGGAGCCAAGCAACATGGATACTCGGATTGCAAAAATGGAATGCGAGAAACCTCAAATGGAAGACGTACATTACGCATACATTAGGCTGAATGTCCAGGGCCAATACCCAAAGATACGGGCCCTTCTTCGCCCAATGTTTCAGTGTTTCGTCGCTTCATTTGGGCGTCATCTTTGCGGTCAACCATTGGCTGGCTTCGAACACGATCCACCGTTCAGTAAGACGGGCATTCGAAACTCTCCGAATAAAGTCTCCGAGCAGGTTTATCTTCCAGGGTTCGCGTTTTTTCCCACTGTGCAGAGGTGCATCAGATTGAATGTATGAAGTCCGCCGAGACGGCGGATGAGAACAGAGGAGAACAGTGAAGACCGATTGCGTGTGTGATAAAATGAAGTTCGCCAGCCTCCCTGCAATAATTTAAGTGTTGTGGTAAGGTTGCGGCAACACCACACCAGATTCAGCTGGGCGCGAAGCCCGAACGCCGAGTAAGGGGCTTGAACGCGTCCCGATCTATTGGGCCAAATATCGGTGTTGGCCCAGGCAACCATCATAGCGCGGAAGGGGACGGGGGACGTCCAAGCCTCATTGAACCCGTTGTTCGGCGAAGGTTTTTGCGAGATTATAAGAAGCAAAATCATCTACCTCCGTCTCTGTCAAGGGAGTGATTTCCTGTTCCTTTCTTTTCGCTTCGTTACTGCCTCCCCTTCTGTCACCATACTAACTTTAATTCAACTGCGCCGCAAGTGATCCGTGCTGCTAAATTTTTGTGTTGAGCTGCATCCTCCCATAAGCCCTTCCAAACAACATCACTCTTCCGAAAGCCTTGGAAGGCGACATGGAAAAGGAAGCCACTCGTCCACCTCCTGCGGAGGATACCTCATCCACCACCGACGTGGACGACAAGGAAACAGCGCCTCCATCCCGATCTGAGGATAAGAAAGATGTCGACACGGCCATGTCATCCCTGGATGAGCCACCAAAAACCCCTGAGAAAGTCTCCGGTGAGGAGAAAAGTGACGATGAGTATCCTCAAGGATTGGCATTGTTCTTCATCATGCTCGGGCTCAACCTTGCCGTGTTTCTAGTAGCCATTGGTAAATCGCCTTCCTTTTGTGTACAAAGAAAAGGACTCAAGCTGACGTTCACCAAAATCAGACCAAACAATTATTGTACGTCGTTCATGTTGGGGTATCCATAGCTTCGTCTTGTGTAAGCCCGAATTGGCCTTCTAACGATGAGAACATCTAGGCGACTGCCATCCCCAAAATCACAGATCGCTTCAATAGTTTGGATGATGTAGGCTGGTACGCAAGTGGTAAGCCTCCTTCCTTCCTTCATTATTATCTCCATGAATGGCTTCAAAGCTAATACAACTCAGCCTACATGCTCACAACAGGAGCGTTCCAGCTCTTGTACGGTAGACTTTACTCTACGTTCTCAATCAAATATGTCTTCATCTCATCCATTAGCATATTCGAGCTAGGATCTCTCGTCTGCGGCGTCACACCGTCCAGTATCGGCCTTATCGTTGGACGTGCCATTGCAGGTCTGGGCGCCGCGGGCTTGTTTTCCGGGGCGCTGATCATCCTCGCACATGTGGTGCCGCTGCACAAGAGACCGACCTTCATGGGCGCTATTGGAGGTATGTGGGGTATTGCATCTGTGGCTGGTCCTTTACTAGGGGGGGTCTTCACGGTCAGTTCTTTCTCTGTGCCTCAAAACTAAATTGGAGGTTCAAGGGGCTGTTGCTGATGGAGACGAAACACAGGACAGAGTAACCTGGCGACTATGCTTCTACATTAATCTCCCACTTGGAGCAATCACCATTGTGGCCATCATGTTCTTGTTCCACGACCCCAAACGCGAGGCCGTAGCGAGCATCGGATGGGTAGAGCGCTTAAAGACCTTCGATCTCTACGGGAACGTGTTCCTGATGCCAGCCATCATCTCCCTTTTCCTTGCGCTGCAATGGGGTGGTTCGAAATACCCATGGGGAAACGGCAGGATCATCGCCCTCTTCGTGGTCTTCGGCGTTCTCATCACAGGCTTCGTCGCAGTGCAGTTCTGGCGTCCTCATAATGCAATGATGCCGCCACATATGATAGCAAAACGCAGTGTCTGGGCTGCCTGCGTTTTCTCCTTCTTGATGGCAGGCGCCTTCTTCACTTTGACCTACTACATCCCCATCTGGTTCCAGGCCGTCAAAGGCGTCTCGGCGGTCGCATCAGGCATCAGGAATCTACCCCTGATCCTCGGTGTTGTTGCTACGGCCATTATCGTCGGAGGACTGGTCACTGCTGTCGGATACTACACCCCATTTATGATAGCCTCCACAATCTGTATGTCAATAGGCTCCGGGCTCCTGACGACCCTCATGCCAGACTCTGCCCACCCGGCCTGGATCGGTTACCAAGCCTTCGCTGGTCTCGGCGTAGGAATGGGCATGCAGCTCCCCCTCGTCGCCGTGCAGACCGTGCTCCCTCTCGACCAGGTACCTACAGGCACTGCCGTCGTGGTCTTCGCACAGACACTTGGAGGAGCAATCTGCATCGCTATCGCACAGAGCGTGTTCCAGAATAAATTGATTGAAAAGGTTGGCCAGTACGCGTCGGGTATCGACCCCGCGGTCGTTATCATGACCGGCGCAACGAGCATTCATTCGAAGATCCCGGCGCAGTACCTGCCGGGCGTCATATTGGCATATGACAAAGCACTCACTCAGGTGTTCTTGGTATCTGTGGCGACGGGTGCATTGACGATTATTGGGAGTGTGGCTATGGAGTGGAAGAGTGTTAAGAAGGGTAATAAGAAGGTGGGCGACGCTGAAGGCGAATCGGGCGAGAGTGAGGTCACGGTAGAGGAGCCAGTGGAGAAGTCCGGAAAGGTTTGATTTTGAGGCGCCGCCATGGATCGGTGTTTGGAACTGGGTGCTCAATGAGATAGATAGATGTTTTTTGGCAGGAGAGAGGCTTCACACTCTATTCCCTCATTTTTGTACAGTAGCTTCATTTTTATTCTGGAGGAATTAGAATCTTAATCTCGTGAATTGAATACCCCTTGACTCTCAATTCGGTTTTTCGCTCCCAACACTTCAAGATCTCTAAACAACGGATTGTTTTGCACCCTAGAAGATTGGATAGAGACAATCACAAGAGATTAAAGGTTTGTTTTAACTTGCATATAAATAGTTAAGGAATTTGGAAGGGCTTCATAAATTATGTGTTTTCCATGAATATTCAGCTATAGCGAAGGAGTGTGAGATAAAAACAAATTGTTGAGATGTTTAGTAGACCAAATCACTTCTTATCCCTCATATTATGCCTTCAGAGGGCAGAGATACAAGTAGAAAATTGCTCCAGCTTTATTTTTGTGGTACTCTTATTGTGTTTTAGCTACACTGCTAGAGCAGAGGCAACACGCATAGTCAAAACCTCCTAAATGATACGAATTGAGCAAAGAACTATATTAAACAATTGTAATTGCATGCCAGGTCTTTCCATCGCCATCGCTCCTTGAACGGAAATTATCCTGCCTTGGTTCATCGATGTCTACTTGTCTCCCACTTAACCCAGAGAGGAAGAATTCACTACTGTTATCGCCCGTCACTTTAAAGCATGCAATTCGCACATGGTTCACCACTCCGTTGGGCTTTAAAATCAAGCCCTAAATATCCCAGCGCCGTCTTAGGTCATTTTCATTTGTGAGCATTATGGGAAGGTAAAGAACGGAGACTCGCAGAGTGAGAGCCGCGATGATCAGCCGATATAACAGCTCTCCAAACGAGCTGATTTTCAAATTCATCTTTCCAAAGCTCTGCCAATTATGTTGCCCCGAAGCGATTTTACCCTTCACATCATATCCCTTAACGCAAGCAAATATCAGGGGAGCATGATTGTCGTTCGACCCATCCAACATTAACTGTGACTTCAGGTTCTCATCATATTGACAAGAATGATAACAGCCCTGCCAGAAGATGCGTGTCAGCAGAAATCTTGCATCGCCTTGGAACTTGGATTCCGCTTGTCTAACCATCTCTCGATTGGTATACTGGGAAACAAATCAGTAAGCAAGCCACGTCTGCTATGAGGAAGCAATGACATGTTTTAAAAGACATCTAGGTTTATTTTTAAAGCAATAGTCCACACAATTCAAGGTTGCTCTCGTCAATTTTTCCTTGTAGCACAATAATAGTATCAACTAAAGACAGTTGTCTTCCCCATCTATTTAAGAGACAACGAGGTATTATTTCGCAAGGCAGGCTGGTCTTTGTGTGCTTTCGAAACTGTCCCTTAAAGTCTGCGATTCCCTCTCTAAATTGTTCATTGTCTCCGTCCTCATCTAACTTAATATCCACAAAACTACTATCTCCAAAGCCATCCTCGACAAAGTCTTCATTTTGATCATTGTCGCGAGCGAGCGAAATATCTACACAGGCATGAGTTTCCCTCTCAATATTTAGCAGATCCCTTCTTGCAAATATGCGTGAGTGAGACAGGCGGAACCTGAGAGACGGGGACTGGCAGATCCCTGTTTATTTGCAATTGCGGGGACGTGGATATTTCTCTGTACTGATAAGTGAGATGCTGATACTTAGGGGGGCAGAGAGGACGGCGATGCCGGTGGGGAGAAGAGATTGGTTGAGCATCAATTTTATTGTTTTGCAGAAGTTATTAAGATCGATATTAAAATAGGTCCAGAGTTTGCGTAGAGATCTTGTCGAGTCCAGAAAGCATATTTTGAGAGTAATATGAAAATGAGAAACAAGGAATCAGAATGAGCGGGCGAGTGTCTGGCCATCATGGACAACACATGTTGCATCTCCATTCCAAGTAATTAAAATTATGAATCGAACATGGGAGGCGATTCCAATAAACATCCTTATATTGGGCTCTATCTCCCATATATAAGGTTACAATGAAGATCATGTCGCCGAGCTCCCGGATTCAGGATGCAGACACTTGTTCTTACCAATGCTGACAATGAATGATGAACCTTGTCGCTCTCAGATGTGAGAACGCATATTTATATCACGAGATCGAAATATAACGACCTCCTTTCTTACGACACCTGCCTAAAATCTTGGAGGCTTTGATTGTTGGCTGGCTGGATTCATCACGTGACAGGAATCACCTCCGGCATGGACATGGTGAGCTGCCCTCTTGGAGATTACGAGAACCTGACTGCCGCTCTGTATTTTAAAATGTAGTAATCGAATACACACGGTGTACCCACATGAGGGAATTCAGAACAGTATCCTAATCCAGGATAGAGATTTTACGTGGTGTCGCGAGGACATACTACTTTTCCACGAGATAGTTGCACCCTTAGAAAGAGGCAAATAAAGCTGGAATTTCGGAATTTCACACGACGTTCTCGTATAGCTTGAAAATACTCGTTGCCACGCAGAGGGCTGTTCGGGGGGCAGATCAAGACAAAACATCAAGACTAAAAAATGATCATGCCAAGCCTAAAAAGGTAAGATTACTTGCATTCTCTTAAAACACATAAAAAAGCATGCCAATCTTCGGTAGGATGGCTGACCTGAGAGACACTGTCCAGACTCCTGGGAACATGCTTGTATCCGCTTGGAGTAAGAGGTGCGAACTTGAGATCGATGTCCGGGTCTTCATGGGAGCCTGCATTTCAATCCTGACGTGAATTGGTCGAAAGTCGCCTATGATGAGAGGAAGGATCAACTGAGTAGATCTGGATATCCTGATAAACCTGCACAACCACGCAATGGGCTGTGGAGAGCCGATGGGGCTCCTCGAGAGATGTCGGCAATCGTAAGTGATGTGTGGTTGGAGAGAGAGGGATGATGTTGAGGATGTTGAATGCATGACATAATCTGCGCTTCCCTGCTTTGGGACGACGATCTTTCCTCCTCTTTCCCCTGCAGATCCCCGCTCCCTTCCTCATCATCCAAAACTAGTTATTCCTTGCATCAACCTTTCCACCTGGGACGAGACTTCTGCAAATACCCGCAAACCGTTGGCAAATCGCTCAGTCGCTGGCGTTGATCGCGCTGGCGACTGTCAGGGGTACAGGCATCAGATCCCCGCATCGAAGCCTCGGCATCTCTGAGAATTTGATATTGGACAACCACATCACCATTCCCCTAGAAAGAGCACACATCTTGATCTGAGTCAATTGAAGATCTCATTATTTTGATAAAAAGCCACACAATATGTCCATTCCCGTCGCCACGCTCAAAGATTCGCACTCTCCGCCAACCAAAGACTACCCAGCATTTGGCTGTCCCACACCATATGCAGAGCCTCTCTGGTACTCGAGGAATGTGTCACCGCATTACACCGATTCCCACCGGAAGCTCCGAGCGGCTATCCGCACGTACGTCGACGAGGAGATCCTGCCGTATGCCTTCGAGTGGGAATCTGCAGGCAAGGTTCCAGACAAGGCACGTGAGACGCCTTCTTCTCCAATCACGTCTGACAAAATCTAGGTTTTCAAGCGCCATGCAGAGCTGGGCTATGTGGGTTTGACTACTGGCTTGAAGGATGTACGGCTTCCTGGGGATATACCGTATGATGAGTGGAATTCCTGGCATACTTTGATTGTCTCGGATGAGTTGTCACGTGTGGTATGTTTTGACCCCTTTTTGCTTAGTCTGACTGACGAAAAAGGGGTACTCGGGAGTTTTATGGGGCCTTGGAGGGGGAAACAGCATTGGTGTTCCGCCTATTGTGAACTTCGGGACAGAAGCTCAGAAAGATAGGTTCCTCCCAGGAGTTGCAAATGGGAGCATCAAGTTCTGTCTTGGGATCACTGAGCCTGATGGTAGGTCCTCACAATTTGAGGGGAACCTTTTGCTGATGCTTGCTAGCCGGCTCTGATGTAGCCAATATCAAGACGACTGCGGTACGGAAAGGCGATCACTACGTCGTCAATGGCAGCAAGAAGTGGATCACGAACGGCATCTGGGCCGATTACGTTACAGCAGCTGTCCGGACAGGAGGACCCGGGGCGGCTGGTGTCTCACTCTTGATCATCCCTCTTAAAGTCCAAGGTGTCTCGACCCGACAAATGTTCAATTCTGGTGTCGGTGCTTCAGGGAGCACATTCATCACCTTTGATGATGTGCGCGTCCCAGTTGAGAATCTGATCAACCAAGAGAACCGTGGTTTCGAGGTCATAATGTCTAATTTCAACGCAGAGAGGAAGGGTATTGCTACTCAATCCATCAGATTGAGTAGAGTGTGTGCTGAGGATGCATGGAAGCATGCTTGTACGAGAGAGACATTCGGGAAGAAATTGATTGAGAGTCCGATTATCAGGGCGAAGTTCGTCAAGATGGGAAGGATGATCGAACCGGCGCAAGCATTTCTGGAGCAATTGACGTGGCTGATTGAGCTGAGTAAGAAGGATGGTGGGAAGGATGGAGATGGAGTAAGGATTGGCGGCATGACCGCTATGCTGAAGATTGTCAGCACGAGGTGTTTGGAGAAGTGTGTTCGGGAGGCACAGCAAGTGATGGGAGGATTGGGATATGCCAAAGGGGGGAAAGGCGGACGGTATGAGCCCCTCCACCAAAGACATTTTGGTTGCTGACAGCGGGATAGGATTGAAGCCATTTCAAGGGATGTGAGAGTCATGGCGGTCGGTAAGTCCTTCCACTCCTTCTCTCGTATACTGAGATAGGGCTTCCCCTGGAGATGTTGATGCTCATTTGAGTCTTGTTTAGGTGGGGGAAGCGAAGAAATCATGAGCGAGCTGGCAATCAGAGAGGAATCGAAAGACCTAAGAAAGTACGCAAGTACGTCCACTTCCTCGAGCAAATTGTGAGGCCTGGAGACCTCGGAAAATGTATTATCAATCCAGGGTGCTATTCGTCCAGTTCTGCTTCCCTGAAGATGCGTATCTCCCTGGTGATATTTGTTCCTGAACCAGATGGCATGTTATGACCTTCCGTTTGAAGCAACCTTTCAATAATTCTTGCAACTTCTGCAGATTCTGCACATTGGGGAGAGTGAAACGTCATGGTATCATTGGGATTGAGCTAGGATTTCCACCGCTTGTTGGCGATGTCTGCAGCAGTATGCACCTCTTGGACGACGCGATGACCGTGATTCAGGGGAAAATTCCTACTTCCTAGGGAGTGGTATGGACAGTTTCTGGGACTCGGTACCCGGGATGCTAAATTTGTAATCACTAACATTATATATTAATCAACTCTAGCGTAATTATATGATAATCAAGTCGTCAAATACGTACTCTAATTGCCTGTATAAACCACTTATAATTCATGAACAAATCGTCACCTGTAAGGGGAAAACTTGGTAAAGCTTGAAGGTTTGCATATAAGGGAGAAACACGCAAACGTGCTAGTTAAATAAAAGCTTCTGATTAGCTACAGGTCACATAATATCCCCTTATGCATAAAATATCACCATAATCAAAGTCCTAGTGGTTAGATTACAATATTACGTATTCAAGTCCAAGATTACATAATTTTCGCATCCATACTCGGGACTAGCATCTCCGGAACGAGTCGAACAGCAAGTCATTCAACACGCGGCAGAAGCGACCAAGAGATTGGCTAGCGTATGATAAGGTTTTGCGTCCAGAATCATACTGGTACGGTACGGTGCGCGTTCTTGTGGGAGTTGTGGAGAAACGCCGTCGTTGTGCAGCCAAGAGCCCTGTTCAATGATTCTGGTCCCTGCGTGGAATCCTTCTTCTGCATTCGTGCAACAGTAGAATGTTTTACTGTACTACAGTAGTATGTGGAGCACCAAACACTCCAGGGGTTCATGGGGGCGGGAGTGACGAGACTTATTCCGACACGGAGAAGTGGGGTGGCTAGCAGGAGGATTGCAGCCTCTTGGATGTGTTCCTTTCCGCCTTTCGGATGTCCGAAGCATCTTGACTTTGGGGGCGGGGAGACGCTGTCTAGTCCCAAAATGGACAGAATCTCCCAGGAGGCTTCTAGGCTTCGTAAGGGGAACTTGGCAGCTCGCTACAGCGTCTTTTGCCGAGACCTTCAAGCAGTCCTGTTGGGGCTTCCTTACAGTATCTTCCACAAACACGAGGGCCTGGAATACTGGCCCAGTCATCGAAGAGACTCGTTTTAGAACGAATCTTACACATCTCTCTATTGACAGCGAAGTCAGATCTTCCGTGATTGACACGCCAAGTCCAATAATTTCAAGATCTGGTACATGGTGACCACTGACCGCCTTTTGCACACTCACCCTGGACTTAGTCGTTTAAAGCATACACTTGTCGAGTCACGCTATTAAGGTTTTGATCCAACAACGATCTGTGCGCTGCCGTCGAGTATCTGCGATTGAGATACTTGATTGGGTCTGGCGTGGGGGCCGGGTGGCACTCTTGTTTGGATGTGCTGCGTCCCAAGTTTGACAGCCATGCAAATCAATTAACTTTGCACAGATGAACTTGATGCAATGAGGGCGATCAGAATCATTGTGGTGTTCTTGTCTTGCGTGCTCATATTTAGATCCCGAGAAGGTTGGGGTGTCTGGTCAAAATTCTAGTTCCGTACTGGTATCGTTGCGAGCTGCATGTTTGAAGATCTACACCAGAACCTCAGGGCTTTCAAGGGAGTCGAACCGAAAGTAAGCCCGCCAGTTTGCCTCTCTGGTCTAATGCGCCTGTCCAGTAAAAATACTTTCCAGCAGCGTGGTTCACAGAACAAATTTTCAGGGTCTGGTGGAGGTCTGCCAAGATGCTGGGATCGAAAGTCTGTTGATCTTCTCTTCCTTTGTTTCGCGGAAAGCGCCTGACAGTGTACCCTTGTGATGAAGAGAAGATCGAGCCCCCTGTGTGTCGATTAGGGGCCAAGGTATTAACGACTCGTAATTGACCACCTAAGCTCTTTAAAGATCTTAAGTTAGTTTTTTTTAAATATAGGTATAAGCTAGTATATTATAAAGCTTTTAATATAATCACGTGCTTCCTAACTTATAACAAAATATTTCTTAAAATATAACTTTAATTTAATAGAATTTATATACTAATTAATTAAATCCTAGCTTTTAAGCTTTATAAGGCCCTATAAATTAGAGTCTTATAGGGCTGTTATATCTACAATTAGGGACTTGTTCGCTAAATTCCCAGGCTTTCTTAAGCTTACCTTCAGGCTATAAAATAATAAGTTTTTTATTATTACTTTTATTTAAAGAACTATTACTAATTCATATTTCATAAAAAGTACATATCTAAATACCCCTTAGCTAGAGCTATAAGATAATCGAAAAGTATTAAATTCTACTGATTTCTTATAAAATTAATTAAATTTAAAGAGAAAGCCAAATTTGTGGCATGCCTGTCCGAGCGCCTCTATTTTGGGTTAGTGGCTAGTCTGGCCCCCAATCTACACCCCAATCGACACCTTGTGTGTCGTTTTACATTTTCCGAGGCGGTGATCATGTAAGAGAGTGATTTTTGGGAAAGCTTGGACTCTCGATCCTCCGCACATGTCTTGTTGTACACTTACCCTCAAGTCTCAAGAGCTCGAAACTTCCCTGGTACCTGTGGGCCTCCCAAGCTTGCCAGGCTGAGACACGGCATGCAGCAAACTCAGCGGATCGTCGGGAACATGCACCTTGACTATGTCTTTGAGACTACTCGAAAGTGAAGAAAGATACCTCGGGAAGCACAAATTTCAGCCACAGCGAGTCAGAAGGATACCGAATCGGCCCCTCCTTCGGCGAGGTGGGAGCGAGCTGCGGGGAAGTTTGAAACCCGAAACCGACCTCACCGTCGCTCCCACTACGTCTCTTTTGCGATGAATTTGGGGTAAATCAATGCAATAAATCCGAAATGTTATTCATGCGAAAGCGCCGGAAAGCTGCAGGTGTCCCGGAGATACCCACCGAAGATTCAAGAGTGGATTTCGATAGGGTTCAGGCGAGGCGGGGGATCAGGGGACTCGGGGAGGGCCCACACGGGACGAACGGCACTCAGTAGATCCCACCAATTGGATGATCTGATCGCCAGGTTAATTCAACGTCTGCCCAACTCCATCCTTCAATATTCCGAGGTTGGAAGCGGGCTGCAATAGTTCGGGGAGCCTCCAGGCCAAGAGCAAGCTTTCGGACCCGGGAAACTGTTATCTCATGTCTCTTTCCTTCGGATTTGTCTCACTTCTCCCACTGACGTCTCTTTCGTACAGAGCACCGTTCTGGTGGCCGCAGGTCTCCAGGCATTTTCAGGCGTTTTCGGCGCCTCCCACTGGCTTGCTCCCGGCAGATATCGTGCCAACAGTTTCAAACTCCTGGACGAACCAGTGCCGGGCTAAGTAAGCACTGCAGGACCATCAAGGCTTGCATTGCCGTGAGGATCTTTCAGTTGCGATCTGGGCAAAATTAGATCGTTTGGTATTAACGCCACCACACAAGGAGAATGCTGAAAACAGGCATGCTGACCGGGGCACCGCCGCAAGGGCCAAAGTCAGTTTATTTAGGGAAGGAGTGATCCCAGACGTCTGCCTATCAGGTAGGTAGGCATTGCTTGGGAATCTAATGACAGGCCTGTCAGACATGGGAGTTTGAAGACATCTTTTCGTGCAAAATTTGGCGTTATTCGCTTATGGAAAGAAACCATCCCTCTCGATCCCCGAGACCCCTTGTAGATCCTTTGGCCCAAGTTCCCAAGCCTTCGCCGGTAAAACAGCCTCGCTGCACATGTGGGGCGTTTCCGGGGCTCCCAGATTGAAGCAGTTGCTGTCACATTCCTCGAGCTAGGTGCTTCGAGAAATCGTCGAGGGGTTTGCGTTCGCAAAGGGGCTTTTGCATAGAGGATGCATGTTGGGAAAACCTCTTTCGGGTCTTCCATAACTCCAGGTCTTTTCGCCTGATATACGGTCGAGGCATGCCACCTGAGGTGGCTTCGAAACTTCCTTCAATTCTCACTCAATGAAGCTTTTCTTTCATTGAAACTTTGAAGTCGAGCATCCATCACTACATTCATCATGGCGGACGTTCACGGTTCCATCTACCGCGGACAGCAAATCAGCTTGGCTGTGGTTTCGTCTGTGATGTCATCACTTGGAGGTACGTTTTATGAATACGTTCTCAATCAATACATTATTGTTAAGTTTTCTTTGTAGTCATTGCACTCTGTCTGCGGATAGCAGGAAGATATCTCGTCGTCCGAAAACTCGGGGCTGATGACTGGCTTATGGCTGCTGGAGTGGTATGATTGACCACCTCAAACCTGCCCGGGAAAAAATGAAGAAACTCATAAGTGTTAGGTCATCACTCTTTCTTATCTGTTCGAAATTCTCTATGGCATTAAATTTGGAGCTGGTCTCCATGGCGCTGAACTCAGACCTTCTGATATGGTCGATATCTTGAAGGTATGTCTTCACTGGAAAAATTCTGGACTTGGATATTAAGCTAATGAACACAGACTATTTATGCCATTGAGCTCACGTACAATACCGCGATATCTCTTATTAAGTGTTCTATCGTGGCATTTTACCTCCGGCTGGGTAAAGTTTTCCCCTCCATTTTCACTAATCTTGGTGGCCACTAATTCTGGGCTTTAACAGCATCAATCGACATTAATCTTCGGAGAGCCTGCTACGGAACTTTCGTCTTCGTAGCTTTGCTATGGGTTATCGCCCAGGCGGTTGCAGCTTTGCAATGTCTCCCAATCAATGCCAACTGGGACATTTTCACCGTGACCCACAAGAAGTGCGTCAACACACTGGTGTTCTTTTACAGTACGTAGTCTTTAGCTGGGCAATACAATTAGATTACCTTCAAGTTACTGACTTTTCTGCCAGTAAATGCTGGCTTGAACATCTTGCTCGACATCTGGATTTTGGTGATGCCAATCAGGACCCTTATTCAGATCAAAAGACCAACCAGGGACAAGGTTATCCTCATAGCTATCTTTGGCGTGGGAGCCCTCTCCTGCCTTGCAGCGTTCGTCTGCGAACACTTCAAAACACCAGTCATCCTGCTGACATATTCATAGCATCATTCGACTGTACACTATCCGACTCTACACCCAATCAAAAGATCCATTTTACGATGGAGCACCCATTAATATATGGTCGATGGTTGAAATCAACATTGCCATTATCTGCGCCTCAGTTCCAGGTAAGATCTTGATCAAGTATTAACAAAGCGTACATTATTCTGACAACGATACCAGCCATGAAGCCCCTATTCCACAAGACGATCCGCGAACGTATGACGACAGGCCGTTCAAATGGTCGTTCACACAACGGTGGATCACACAACGGTGGATCACACAACGGTGGATCACAGTTCGGGCACGCTATGATCCCTCTCAGTGGCGACGATATCTCGAAGCCTGGAACTGTCCGTCAAAAGAAAGGTACATACAGTGTCGGGGCCACTGGGGGCGAATTCAGTTCTAGTGAGGAGAATATGGTCACGAAGGGCAGCATGAACGGCGGAATCGAATACCAGAGAGACTTCACCGTGGAGGAGTCATACATTCAAAGCTCGAAGGTTCTTCGAGAGGCATCGCACGCTGTCTAGGTGAAACCGTTGTTTCATGGACATGTACAACAGCAGTAGTGAGATTTACTGTATTCTGTATATTAGGGTCGAATGGCGTCGGTTGGGCGGATCCTTCTAGAGAGCACTTCTCGTTGCTTTTGCTGGAAAACGTGCTTCTATTGGCCAGAACATGGGCAAGTTGCATGTGAACTTTATTTTCAAGCGGTCGGCTTTCCTTTTGCTTTGCTTAAAATGTGTTTCTATGACCCAGTACTTGGTCAGGTTGCTTGCGAAGCCTTGTCGGAATTGGTGATCATAGGTCGAACAGTCCCCATACATGTACGAAGACGGCAGGGGCGGGGCGGCTCGGCTATTCGCGAGCGCAAAAGGAACACCAAAATCTCATAGTTTTGAAAATTGCGCATCACAACGCCACTATCTCCAAATACTTTATATTAAGTATGATGAGATGCAGAAGAAGCACAAGTATCTTTTACTATGTTGTGGTGATTATTAAATTCTAGGGAGATTTATAGCGACTTTTTGAATACGAGGGAAAGATTCTAAAAGTTCTCACTTAGCGAAATGCCGGTTTTCGAAGCTGTCCCACCTCGAACATGTAGTCAGAATCCAGACGCCCGAACGGGAAGAGTCAGGACTTGCATGAAGTACATTGCCGTGTGCAAGTGCCTCCTTCGGGAGTCCAAGCCATAGTTTCGGGGCGCTTCCAACAATCCAGTTCAGCTCTTTCAATGATTCAATCCTGTGATCAATCCGGGTAGAACTGCCGGCAAATGTAATGAGACGGAAGAGAAACCTTTCTACAGGGAAGCTGACAGCCAGTACCAAATTTCCGGGAGGTAATGATACAGTACCTTTGTACCATGTTTGTGGGGTTTTCCGCCTTGTGCATTTGTGGGGGCTGCTGAGAAGGTTCTCTCTAATCAAGTATGGCGGCCTAAACCAGGCCGTTGAATTGCTTTTTAATGAGCACCGTTTTGTGATTCTCAGTTCACACACGAGGCATGGGCCGTATGGCTGAGGCAGCCATTCTAGAAGCTTTCTGGGAAGTGAAAGGGTTGAGACTTGACACGTCCAGGGTGTCAGTGGAAAAAACCCGGGGTGACGTGCCCCATGCCCCTCTTTTTGCACGTCCGAAGAGGAGGCACGGTTGAGGCACAGCCGAAGCGAGCGTCGGGGAGGAACGAAATCGCTCTATTTGCCTCCCCTGTGACTTCGGCACGTTGTTGACAATTTCACACCTTGTCAACGACAGCGGGAAGAATCTTTCCGATCCTCTCAAGAGAGTCCAAGGAACCGCTTTTGGGTCCGAGTCTAACGGGTCAATATTGTTTGTGGCTAAAGATGCCTGCACCTTTCGTTACACTTGTCTTTACAGCTTACAATATTGTTGCCCCGTGCCAATTCTGCCGCGGGAAGCAGCAGGGAACATGGGGTTTAGCTTGCCTTCCCACGCGCTGCCGACATTCAAAAACATATAAACTCGCTGCATGCACTGCAGTTGCAGGCACAGCCATGTGGCTACTCTCGCCTTTATCTCTCACCCACCCGCGCCCCGATTTGAAGCCTCAATTCTTTCTCGTTTATAACCAACCTTGAGTCGACCTCGGGAAGCACAACGTCGAGTAGTCGAACTCACCCATCATGGGAGAAACTACGGAGGAAATCCAGCTTTCTGAGAAGAACCTCAATAATGTTGAGGTTTCTGTGCCTTCGACCCCGAACGAATCTGAATCAGAAGCTGTTCAGGCGACTCACCAGCACGATGTACACATCAATTTGAGCTGGAGGTCATGGGTTGTGGTGTTGATATCATGCTTTGCGTAAGTCTCAAGTTCTCGAACTCTTGAACTCATTGGAGAATATCGTTTCGATCCAAAGCGGACGTTGGCTAATGATTTGATTCAAAAGTGTCCTGGCCCAGGTTTTTGTCGTCGTCGGATCATCAAATGTTATTGCCTTTATCATCCGTGACCTTGGTGATCCGGCTATTGTGGGATGGATCATTCAGGTAACTTCAATCCTAACGCTCATAAATGATCTGCTGTTGATTTTGGCAGGGCCCTCTTCTCATTCAAGCAACGCTTTCACCCATCGTGGGCCGCTTGTCAGATGTCGTGGACCGAAGATACTTGGTCTCCATTCCACCATTGATTGCTTTCGTCGGAGCTGTCATTTCTGCCAAAGCCCAAGATATGGCAACTTTGATCGGTGGTGGTATCCTCATCGGTGTCACTTTAACCAGTATTTCCATCACCCAAGCTATTCCGGCTGAGGTTCTTCCCCTCAAGTACCGATCCCTGTCTCAGGGACTTTGCTTCATCGCGGGATCTCTCGGTGGACTGTATGTCTCGAACAATACTCTTCGTGTTGTATGTATACTAATTTAAATGCAGTCTCGGTGTCCTCGGAGGTGGTGGACTTACAAACACCAATGCCAATGGCTGGAGAGGAATCTACTGGCTGCAAGCCGGACTTCATTTGGCAACGTCCCTCGGTTTCCTTGCCTTTTATTGGCCTGCTCGTCCAGCTGATAGACCTCGGAAGTCCATTATGGAGGTTCTCTGGGCTATGGACCCCATTGGCTCATTCCTCTTCATGTCCGGCACAGCCCTCATGCTCCTCGCTCTTGACTGGGCTGGTGGAACTTACCAATGGCATCAAGTTCAAGTCGCTGCACCACTCGGAATCGGCATGGGATTGACTGTCTTGTTTGGCGTGTACGAGTGGCTTGGACGAAAGGATGGTCTTGTGGCACACGTGTTCTTCAAGGGGAACAACAATTTCGCTCTCTCGACCTTTGCCTTCGCAGTAGAGGGGTAAGGGCTTTCCATTTCCACTTCTGTTAACTCCACACTGACTTTCTTCAGATGGATCTTCTTCAGCGCTGTCAACAGTGTCACCACTCAAATCATCCTCAATCTGGGCTTCGAGAATTCAGCGTGGAGAATCTCTATCCGCCAACTCAGCTTCAACCTTTGCAATCTGTTTGCATCAGTTCCCATCATCTGGTGGGCTACAAAGAGGAAAGACGTGAAGACCCCGCTCTACGTGACTTTTGTCCTATTCCTTATCACGTATGGTACCACTAGTGACCGGAACTGATGTGAGCATTGCTGACATGGTATAGCTGCATCTGTTACTCTTTCATTAACCCAAGCATGAGTAAGGCTCAATATGGCTTCAACGTGATGGGTAAGTTATCAGACTCATGATTACCCTGAGGCGGAGCACTAACTTCCCAATCAGCTGGTATCGGACAAGCAGGACCTCTGACCCTCCTCATCGCTCTCGTCCAATATACTGCACCCCACGCCTACCTCGCCAACGCAACTGGTCTTGCATTCTCCGCCCGTGCCATCGGTGGTGCTTTCGGATCCGCAGTCGTCAACGTCATCATCAACAGCAAGTTAGGCAAGACTCTTGTTCCCCAAGTATCTTCGGCTGCCATCAAGGCCGGTCTGCCAGCATCCTCCATTCCAGCTCTCATGGAAGGCATGGCAACGGGTAACCCCGTTGCCCTCGCAGCCGTCCCAGGTATCAGCCCCAGCATCCTCGGCGCAGCCTTTGACGCCAGCCACCACGCCTATGCGGGGGCCTACAGACTCGCGTGGGCATCCATCATTCCCTTCGTCGTCCTCGCTCTCGTGGCTATCATCTTCGTAAAGGGAGTTCAGGATCTCATGACCGAGGAGGTCGAGGCCACAGTCGAACATGTCAGCTTGGTTGAGGAGAAGACGGTTTGAACCATCGGAGCCATGCTGGCAATGCTTCGGGATAAAGTCAAAGTCCGCCCTGTACTTTTCGGGATGTTTGGGGTCACGAACTGAACGTGCTGGATGTCTGCTGAACTGGATGCCTTTCTTGGAAATTTGGAACGCTAGACACCTAGCACGCGTTAAGAACCATGGCTCGTATTTTTTGAGAGATGTAGAAGTTTTGGCAGTCGGCTGTAGCTTCTTGACTTTCCGGTCCCATGTGTGATCCTGCTTCCGATATTGTCTCGATATCAGCGCTTCATGTCTTCGGAGGGGCTTCAAGTGAGGCCTTCAATTATTCAATCAAAGGCTTTCTGACCCAGCAGTAGCAGCATATGACTTTTTCTCTCTCCTTTCTCTCTTGAAGTTCGTTGAATTCAGTATGTCCAAAAATAATTAATAATTAATTCTTCTTGATTATCACGTGAAGACTTCTTATATCCTTATAAAATTCTTTTTAAGAGCATTACCTTACTCTCTTTACTTATAAATACTTTGATTATATTAGATTTCGCTCCTTCTCTTTACTTATTTTCTTTAAACCCTCTTCTTGAAATATATTAATTACTCACGTGGTATTTTTTCTCAAGCGCTTCTTTAAGTTTTTTCCTTTAATAACTTGAAATAAAACTATATAAAACTTTAATGGAAGCTTATTTTAGGCCCTACATTACTTCTTAGATACTAAACTTAGTATTTAGTCTCACTTGGCTAATAAATGAATTATAATTTGTTAGGCTTCAGACTTAATTATAATTATTTGAATTATTTGATGCACTGGCTGAATTTAGTGGGCATCTGGCTCCCGTGCAGTGCACAAACCTGGTAGCTTGCGCTAACCTACACTGAAAATCTGGCGAAATCATGTTTTCCAATTTCCTACTCCCTTTTGCAACCTCACTTCGAAATATTCTGCTTCCTACCTTGAAGATAATCCACAGACCCTCTGTAAAGCAACAAAGAGACGTCAGCATGGAATAAATTGAGGACGAGTCCTCTTCAGACGCACCGAGAAGATCTTGCGTCTAGCGGATCTGATGCGGGAGGATGCAGTTCCCTTTAGAGTTTAGATAAGATACCCCTTTAGTAAGAAAGGAGATTCCCCTGTCTCAGCAGGTCTGCATTCGGCTTCTTTTGCTGACTTCTAGTTCAGGCCCATGTCTTTACCGTAGTGATGTTCTATCTCAAGGCTCAGATTCGCCTCCAGACCTCGGTTCTGAGGCTGATTCAAGATCGAGCGATAACTCGGAGCATGATGTCCCAACAACCTTTCGGTTTACGGATTGCCCAGAAGACCGATGGTGTACCTTCTAAAGAGCATGCTAGTTGCCCCTGGGGGGTGCATAAATCCATGGCTAAAACCTATCATTGCCATGAATACCGGCGCTCACGTCCTTGTCCATGGCGGGAGTCGTTGCTCCCTAGAATTCTTGCCACTGGTCGAAAGATCCACGGGATAGGCCTTCCTATACTTTGTGGATACAACACCTTCCGTTTGGTCAACAACTTTGCACCAGTGGGTGGTTGGGCCAATTTTCGGATTTTTTTTGGAACCATCTAGCCACTTGGTAGTCTTCGATGGCGAAACGGCGTTGTGTCGATCGGACACCAACCTCTTCTTTAGCTGGCAGCATCAAGTTCTTGTTCCAGCCATGAGAGGCTATTGCTTGGTCCCCAGATGTCGACTAATCAAGCATTTAATAATTCAGAGCTCCGATATCGACCACGATGACCTTGCATCCGAAGGAATCGGAAGGATCTTGTGTCCCGCCGATATAACAGAATCCGAATACCGGAACAAATCCAGGAAGACTTCCGAGCAATGGGCAGGGCTTGGAATCCTTCGATTTTTTGAGACACAATGCCTTAAACCTTCGACGAGGTGGGCCTTTTTTTTCTCCAGACCAAATGGGAGGGGGGGGTTTTTTTTGAGAACTTTCAGGGATTGGAGCACAAGTTACTATTTTGCTGTAACAATGACCTCAATCTACGTTGGAGAGCTGCGGTCGGCTCCACCCATGGCACCCCTAGAACGACCTCTTTTCGAATGCCATTCTGTAACTTCTATATCCGTGGATGGCGCCTCTCAAGCGGGTGGACGAGATCAATTCCTTGCCCAGGAAGTCACCAGGAGAGGCTGGCTCTCGACAACGAAATTCAACCCGAAGAAAGTGACCTTCTCTGGGCCGTTCAAGGAGAGAACTTGATAGCCATCAACACACCTCTACCGAAAATCGCCGATACAGAGTACTTGGCACTAATATCGGGCGATTTAGAACTTGTATGGTCTACGTTCTTTCAGGCTCGGCAAAAATACCTAAATTTCAGGTATCGATATGTATCGATGCCAGAATCGTAAGGTATCGATAGTATCGATAGTAGTATCGATTCCCCGAGCCTAATTTTCCCCTTTAATTATAATTAACTTTAGAACTACTTGTTTTATAAGAAAACTTCTGGTAGCGCAAATATTCTACTTAATTCAGGCTTTCTATTTAGCTACTTATCTTATACTTTAGACTAAAACTCATCTCAATGCGGCTATTTCAAGTAAAAATGAGCTTTTGAGATTTTCGTGAGGCTCGCCTATATATTTAGCGTCTTGATAAGAAATGCGAATACAAGGCATAATTCTCCGAATACGAGGGTTATTTCAATTTTAAGATATTATTAACTTTTATTAATAATTATAAATAACTTTTTTAATAGAAAGACTAGAAATTAAAGGAATTATATATAAATATATTTTTATATAAATTAAATAATAAAATAATGAGATAATTTTTAGGGGTAAGAATCGATTTTGGTATCGATACCTATCGATTCTTACGATACCTGAAAAATACCTAATACTATCGATACTGGTATCGATGCCTCAGGTATTTTTGCCGAGCCTGCGTTCTTTACGGACCCTTTCCAAATCTTGGGGGATTTGTAAGATTCTCAAACATGTTAGTAGCCAATTGGCTCTATTGCTTATATGCTTTGGCTGAGCTGGTCTCGACAGGATAGGGAATAGGAACATGACCTGCATCAGGGATGATGTCGACTGCCGGAGTCGGCATACCTTTTAAGGGTACTGCGATAATTGAATTTGAAATTTCATTTGAATTGAGAACTATATTGGAGCATATTCTGTGTCTTGACACGGCAATAAAATGTGGTCTACAAGTGCATTACCCCTTGAAAGGCATTGAGTAGCAGAGGTGACCATCTGATTCCCGCCCATTTCTGTCTCAGGTGGACAGACGCCTGACTAGCAGGTGAGTACCTTGCCATTGGCAGTACATCCGGACTTCAAAATGTATGCCCACTATAGACCTTCTGTCAATTACGGCTCTTTTGAATTTGTTTTGAAGATTGGGGTTAGGACTCACATTTTGGAACCACCTTTCAAGGTGATGGTACAACCACTGCCAAATATCAAAACATCGTAACTATCACCCTGTTAGCCGGTATTTCAAAACACTCAGGAGCGCAACCAACCTGACATTTGACCCAACCTTTGCTTTATAGCTTGTGTGCTAGATCACTTCTAGTGTGCAAGTGAGAGAATATCCCACATTGCTCATCACGACGCTGCGACCTGGAAATTCAACCGAGACCGCAGATACTGTCTCTTGCGTGAAGCGTTGGCGGCGCTGCAAAATTCTCTCAGCATGAAGATTTAGTGACCTTTATATCTTAGTGCAAGGCTTACCACAGTGTCTCCATCGATGAGGCCTTGAATTAAATCGACGACTTTACTAATGACATCAGCCACAGCACCAACTGCGTCTGCTTTGCCCCCCACATCACCATCGGCAGCATCGGGCGATCTGGAATTTCGTCAGAACAAGATCAAGTTCAAATGTAAAGAATATCATACAGAACTTCAGTGGTTGAAATTGCGGGTGTAATGCTCGCTGATCCTGTATCAGTGAAGACAGTGACTGCTCTCTAGAGGCTTTTTAGTGACAGGAGTTAGAGATGATGGTATTGATTCACCTTCTCCAAAGGAGATGCTGAGATCAGAGCTGCAAAAGCAAAAGTGAAAACTATAAGGACGATTTTGGCAACCATGGTCAGCAATTAAATTAAGAATGAAGAAAAATACAATTGATAGATAGTGAGTAAAAGTGTGTTCTTGTTCAAGTGGCGGTGATGGTGATGGTGATCACTTGCAGCTCTTCTGGCTCTACTTATATATACTGAGTAGGTCAGGCTCAAGAATGTTTCTTGTTTGCCAAGAAATACATGAACACAACCCCCCCTTTTGACTGCCAAGATAATATGAATTATGAACGAAACCGCCTTCGGTCAATGCACTCTGATCTCTTGATTGGACTCTGAGAGTATATCTGCAGACCAGAAGGATTGCATTGACTCACGACCCAATATTCAACAGTTCGCGTTTCGTAGGGTCATTTAACAAAGCCCAATTGAGCCACCTTAAAACATGGTGGATGCCCGAAAAGTGGGCACGACTATTGCCACTCAGCTCTGAGTGCTTGACGATGTTTCATGTGCTTCTGGGCAAACTCTAAATCTTCCGTAAAGAGAATAAGGCTCAGATTTTCGATAAAGATTGAGGCTAAGGGGCAAGTATAAGAGAATGCTTATCCACTTTTCCTCGCCCAGCCCTAGCCCCTACCCCAACCCATAGCAGAATCGGGTTTCATTATCAAACTCTAATTCTACGATAACCTCAACTCGTTCCTAAATGGGCGACTTGGCATATGCCAAGTGTAACAATGGTTCAGGGCAAAACCGTTAGATAGATCAAGGTCACCAAGCACAAATACGAGTAGGACAAACAGAGAGGCTGAAGAATCACAGAACTCAAGCTCGCCTCTTCCCATTACTGGGTTGATGCGGGCACATTTGTACACTTTTCCGCTTGGAACAGTGTCCAACCAATTTACTATCACTCCTCTGCTATAGCTATACGAGATTTGAACAAGTTGCAAAGAAACGTCGGCTTTTCAGAGCCATTATTTGAGAGAACGGGGTTTCCATGTGGGGTCGAGGAGGGAAGAGAAGATGATGCTCTTGTGCCATACCCGTTGCGCAGACCATTTATTCTCTTCACGATTACTGCATACTCAATTGTCGATTCATGTCTAAGGAGTGTTCTTCGCATTGCATAACTGGTCGAATTTTGCCGAATCCTTATTGTCACGTGATACAACCCGATTCTCATTCTAAACCCTTCGCTGGAACTTCCTCACCTGCAATTGATAGCTTCCAGAATAAAATCTATTACATATGATCGCAATGCTTTCGCAATACCATGTGCATTTTCGGGATTTCCAGGAATTGAGAAAGCATATGGGCGGCAGGGAATGCCATGTGCATGCAATCCTCGATTTAAAATGCTCCCGATGGGGCCGTCATCCGAACTTTGATGTCCGAAGAAGACTTCATCTTGGATGATGACGTCGTGTTTGAAGGCAGTGTATGATTGAACACGTTCACATCGTGGCTGAGGAAGTGCTAAGGTGTAACGAGGGGGATTATTTATCCCCGTCTGACATATCGACCGTTCGGATGCAAAGCAACTGAAAAACAAGCATTTTCGTATTCAGAACTACTGAATCCGAAAGGCGGCTATGCCACATCGGAGTAATCACGTCCTCGGTAGGCGAAGAAACATGCCCAACCAGAAATTCTTGGGAGACTCCGATTGGCTAGGTATGGCGCTCGGAAAATATTTTGGACACAAGGGTTCCAGCGGCCTTGTCATGGTGATGATCATCGATCGTGCCCTGAAGGAGATCACTAAAATTGCCAGGAGAGATTTGTAGATATATAAACACTTAGTGTCCCCAGTATGTCAAGAACACCTCCTCAAAGATCAAATCACATCCTTCACGAGGAAACTTTTCAACAACAGATTGCTCGGCTTTCATGACCAACATGAAGATCACACTCCTCGCACTTTTTGTGATAAGCGGAACGTGGGCGGCGGATTTGCGGTCGAATTGGAAAATTGGACAGCCGGTCAGCACTTCTAGTGGGCATGTCATAGGTGGCAGAGCCAGCGTTGGTTCAGAAGTCTCTGGGTATTTTGGAATCCCGTATGCAAAGCCGCCGGTAGGCAATCTGCGATTTGCCCCGCCTGAGAGGTTTGAAGGAAAAGAGACGATCAATGCTACGAGCTTTGTAAGTGCTGCTCAAGTCAAATTTACTGTGGGGTGATCTAATGAGATCTTAGGGTGCATCTTGTCCCATCAGCAGTGACTTCGGACCACTAGCGGATGCGAACTACACCAATGCAAACTTCACGACAGTAGGAATGTTTCTTGTCACCGTTTTGAATCAAACGGGAGATGTTTTCAGTGAAGATTGCCTGACTCTGAACGTCTGGACCAAACCACAAGTAGGGGAAAAGAAAAAGGCAGTCATGGTCTGGATTGTTGGAGGAGGATGGACTACCGGTACGACAAACAATGTTTATGGGAACGATGGTGAACACATCGTTGATGAGGAAGATGTCATTGTCGTCTCGATGAAGTATGTTTCAAAATGCCCTTCTGTTAGGTGCTGGTGTTGACGATTAGAAGTTATCGTCTGAATATCTTTGGCTTTCCAGGAATTCCAGATCACCCAAACAACCTCGCCCTGCTTGACCAAAGGCTTGCAGTTGAGTGGATACGAGACAACATAGCCAGTTTTGGTGGCGATCCATCCCGTATCATTCTGTTCGGACAAAGCGCTGGTGCGGAAGGAGTAGATTTCTACTCGTATGCTTGGACATCGGATCCTATCGTCAAAGGACTTATTATACAATCTGGTTCCACGGGTCTAAGAGCATATCCAAAAGAGGACTCTGCAGCAGCTTGGTACAACGTCACTTCCACGCTTGGTTGCGGAGACTCGGCGTCAAATACTAGTGTGGTACTTGAGTGCATGAGGCGCCAAACAACCGAAGATATTCAGAAAGCCATTCCATTACAGGTTGTACCCGGTGGCTCTGCTGCATTTTGGCCCACTATTGATGAAACCGTAGTCTTCTCGGATTATCCAGCTTTGGCTGCTGAGGGGAAATTTATCAAAGTGCCACTCCTCATCGGGAACACAGATAACGAAGCTGGCTTCTTCAAAGCCATCGGCACAATCTTAGGTGTCCACGAGTCTGAAATCTTCTGGGACCAATTTAATCTTGCAACCTTTGTTTGTCCTTCAGCCACTCGTGCGAACGCCAGTATCTCGGCCCGTCTCCCAACTTGGCGCTACCGTTATTTCGGCAGCTTCCCAAATCTTCAGATCCAGTCCAATCCTGATAGTGGAGCATATCACTCATCTGAACTGAGTCTCTTGTTCAGTACAATCCCTCCTACTGGAATTCCAGGAATACCTCCTCCCACAGAAGACGAATTCCAGTGGGGGAAATATATCAGGGGTGCGTGGGCAACATTCGCCAAGGATCCAGAAAGAGGGCTGAATAGAATTGGCTGGCCAAGATGGGATCCAGAGAAACGAACTTTGATTAGATTGGCATACGGCAATTGCACAGGTCCAAACGAAGCCTCACCACGAATGTATGATCGTTGTGCTTGAAATTTTAGTCAGGACACAGATAGTTTGAAGAGTTCTGCCGTGATCAGGGTAGAAAACATGAAATTACGTCCTCTCGGCTAACTTGAGCTGAGTCGCTGCTGGAACTGTTCAATTATTCTATTAATCTGAAGAATTTTTTATGGCAATGAGTAGTTATATCATTCTGCCAACGCTTAAGCTTCGATTTTGTTGTGTGCAAATCAAGATGCGGATTCGACCAGGATCGTCGAAACCCCCGTTGAAGAGAGGAAGGTTACGCCGACATTATGGCGAGTTTTTTTCCTCCTTTAATTATTCAATATTCTTACATTAAACTTCACTCTATAAGAGGGTTTCTCCTGTGTTTCATTTATCTACCATCGCAGACTCATTTTTTGAGCTTGCAAATTATCACGTGACGTATGTAATATCTCCCGGTGAACACTTCAAAGGGACTCCGCGAATTGGAATCACAGATCGCAGAAATACTTATATAGAATTGTACGGCAACAGAGCTATTGGTGCCAGATTAATGTTTGAAAAAAGGGGGGGGGCTAGAACCTCACTTTGCCATTTCCGTACCGATGTGCAAAGAATTTCTTGTATCGCAGTTGAGAGTGAATTCTGCCAATGCGAGAGTGCTGAAGAACATGTTTAAAAATTCTTCGGTACAAACTACAGCTTACTACAAAAATTCTAGCTTCCGCCTTCAGGAAAATTAGAAAAATTCCAAGACCTATGAGGTAGGTAATCGGTCTGGGACTGTGCATCAAGACTTGTCATGGCTTCGGAGGTATAAGCTTGGAATAAGGGGTAGGATTATGTTTCTCATTCAGGTGGTGAAAGTTTCACCGACTAGTCTGTAGGTGAGTAATAGTTGATGTATCTGACAGATAAAGCAACATTTTATAAGCAAGACTTAAAGCGAGGAGTTAGGAGAACTAGCATTGACCCTGCAAAGTGAATTAAGATATGTAGTAATACATTAAGAGTCTATTCATTTGCCCTCATTCCCTTCCACAACCTCAAGTGTCCCTGGGTTGTGCGCAACATAGTGGCCGTGCTGGTCTTTGAATAGCACCTACGAATGGCTGTGAGAACTAGGTTTATTGAGAGCATGATTGATTCTCCGACCTTTGGAGGATTCTTCACTACCTCGTTTTTTGCTTCTTTCTCGGTCATGACTATTTTATCAACCTTTATAGTTTAGCTACCACGCGAATTGCTCTATGGTCAACGGGAATAGTCACCTCTCCTTCCCGCTTCCCACCGCGGATTTTGGTGAAGACTGTGTCACCAACTTCAATGGGATTCCCTTTCTTATCTTCAACTTTGCCTGACATGGTTGTCAACTCGGAACGATTGCAATTTTAAGATTTCAATAAAATTGTACTCTCAGCAGCCTTCAGATTAGAAAGAAAAGAGGATGTGGTTCAAAAGCGTCGTCATCTTCATTTTGGGTAAGACGTCATTGTAATCTTACCACTGACGACATTGGGAGGCCCTTTCAGAGTATTGGTTCGCTAAACTGTCGCTAACGTTTCTAGCCCCTTTTCCAGCGGCTCGTTTTGAAGCAGCCCTTTTCGCGAATTCTCCTGCCATCGTTCACACCACAGGATGAGTCCAAGTCCAAGTCATTGCGAAATTATAGAAGTCTTTGAATCTTATGCCTCATACAGGCTGCGTATTCCTCTGTTCCTTCGACACAGTCAATTCAGAACCCCCACGACCCCGTCTTTACCCCGCCTTTACCCCGCCATTGGAGAACAATGGGCCAAGTTCAATTCGGAAGATGTTCTAGAAAGTTGCCAAAGAAGGTGCTGGCGACTCCTCGAGGGAACTTTGAAAATTCAACGAATTACCATGTAAGCTTTGAAGCTTTATATGGTATTTGCTCTCCCCGGGACGACATTGTCAAAGTGATCAGGACGAGGTATAACTATACAGCTCGTTGGATTTCAAGATGCCCTTTACCAACTCTGGGAGGATATGGAAAGACCAGGGAGATTGCCCTGAAGCACTACAAGATCCTTCAAAGCTATAGGGTGGAGTTGGTCATCGACTCTGCCATCGGCACTCTGTTTTTCAATTCCGACTATCCTCGGGATTCAGGAGAATTCAATTTTGATATCGAAGAGGACTTCCTGAAGTCACTGAGACACCAGGCGATCTATGAGACGCCATTTAGTATTTGGAACAATGCCACGTACGAACAGATTTTCTGGTGCCTATCCTGTCTCATGATGGGATTAGAGAGACTGATGCTACGCATCGAAATTTTTCGTTATGGAGATCCGCTAAATCCGGCAGAGCCGCGAGTGCGGGAAAGATGGATGGGCTGGGAATTTGGCGGCGGGGTCCCAACTTGGGAGTAGAATTTGACGCTGCTAGGAACAACTCCGGAACTGAAGTTTGCTTCACAATCACTCCATGACTAATTAATATTCTTCGATGAGGGTCAGTACGATTATGGGGAAAATTGCCAAACACACATTTACATGTCACGGTGGCTGCCATCGAGTACCTTTAATGAGATCTTTAAGCACTATTGGCTACTCGGGGCTGACTGGCACAAGGTCTTGAGGGTTACGCGAAGAGGCCAGGAGATTGTCGACTATCAAGAGTGGTATTGGAGAGTTTACAAATCGTTTGCAAAAATCGATTTCAGAGTCAAGAGGATACTCGCGTTCTAGCGCCGGAACCATCTTAATATATCGGAGACTTGGGCGACATTGCGTATGGGATGTTTCGTGAAGCCAACGGAACTCTCTGGAGGTGGGAGTGGTGCCTTCAACCACTTTGCGATGACGAATGGCCAACTCAATCCGAAGGACCATAAAATTCAATTACCTTGGCATCAAACAAAACTTCGTTCCATGGCTCCCTTAATTCACAGTTTTGCACTTATTATATACACAAATTATTCCACCATCACAGCACTTCCCCGCGTCTCCCCCTATCCCCTCGTTCATCCATTTCATACCTCGAAATCGAATTCTCAAACAGGTGAAGTCCCTTATCGCTAGACAGATGAATAGAAAGAGAAAGTTAAATCTGCTATAATAGAATCAAAGTTTAGCAAGGAAGAAGGATGAGGCCAAGAATTTTCAAAGGAGGAGAGAACTCTTATTTAGCCCACATTGATTCTTGTTTGGCAGGGTGATGCAATAGCTAGCAACTTACGTGAACACAATCGATTACTCTTTCCAAACATGCTGCTGACTAGGCCCAGCCTCATAACATGGAACAGGTTCTTCCCCCTTTAACCGAACCTCTTCCATCCCACCAACAAGATTCTCCTCATAGCTCCTCCCCCACCCCGGATCATAAGGCGGAAGTTGCTCCTCTCCATCCTCATCCATCTCTACACCCAATTCAACTTCCTTCCCTCTCTCCTTAGACATATCAATCCCAAGCTTAGCCAAAACATCAGCCAACATGGGGTGTGTTCTCATTGCTACCTTCACAAACTTAAGGTTGATTTCCTTCCTGTGGACACGCAAGTCATGGTTGAAAGCCTCAAACAGAGGCTCGATATCTTGAATTTCGGGCTCGCCGCTCAGTGATTCGTGGGTTGCGAGGCACCAGAGACGGTAGTTGAACAGAATGACTGGAGTTAGATTCATGGCGTAGGAGTCGCCTTTCTTGCTTGCGTTGAATTTCTCACCGGGATCATTGGCAGAATGAAACAAATCTAGGACTGGGTCAACACGCTACGGCATACATTGAGGAGGCGACTTACTAGGGAACTCGATACTTATGTTTTCTCCGTGCTTCGAATCTGTGATTCCGAGGTGCAATGACATCGGGAAATGTTCCTCAGCTTCCATCACACGGAAACATGTTTGGAATAAATGACGCAAGTTCTCGCCATCCGTCTCAGAGCTCCAACTCTTTTTATCGTCCATCATTGCTGATTGATCATTGGGAAGAAGTTTGATCATTGTGCCGCCAGGAAACTGATGTTGAACCCCAGCTTCGATCAGAGTTCTCGATAGAGCGATAGCAGCTTCCATCATGCTATGCTCTGCAAGCGGGCGGTCGAGACCAGCACCGTCGTGAGTTAGTCGTCCTATGTAGGTGCCTTGCAAGTGAACTTTGATGGGACCTTCCTGAAATCTACGCTTTGAGTCGTGCCGAAAATCTGGCTTAAAGGCTTCCCCAGGTTGCGTCTGTAGCGTTCGTCCGCCGATCGCAACGGTTGGAGAGAAAAGGTTAACTGAACTGTTGGTGTACCTGGCCTCAAATGACTTCCCTCCGACTTCGACAGTCAACTCGACGGGAAAATCGTACGCTCTGCGCAAGATTTGCGTGTCGAAAGACTGTATGATTTCCTCTCCGGCAATCTTGAAAGAGTATATCTTGCCGATGTTAACTGGTTGCGAGCTGAGCGGGATACTGAGTCTCTTCCCTTCCCATACAGTCCGAGCCTTCAATTTCTCATCTCTTCTCTGTTCTCCGATCGTTATAATATCGAGGATATAGCAGGTCATCTTAAAAGAGGTTAATTTCACGGCTGGTGGATTCCCGTTCCAGATATTGGATGACGAGGAAACGCTGAGCAGCACCATGAACGGTTCTCCAATGACGACATTCGCAGGAATCTGAAGATCGATGCTAAATGGAAACGTGGTTCGCCGAACTGGTAGATTATCGTATCTTTGAGGTGGGGCGAGTTGCGGTATATGTTTGGCTTCAATATACAGCTCCCAGTGATGGGCAGGCGGCATCCATGGGTCAATTGTTGCCGGCCCTCGGATTTGAACGAACTTTAGCTCTTGCTCTGCAGCCCCTCCCAGCTTCTCCTTGATCTTGAGGAAAATCCCTGTGGGTTTGAGAGGTGGCTCTTTCAGGTGTCGAGGATCGTTTGGATTGAGCATCCATCTGATGTCGTCGTCTCTCTGGCCAATCTCCCCATGAACAGCGACAACTCTGTACTTTACACTGCTCCACCAATTTGTCGACGTGGTGAAGGAGTAGTGTCCGGATGACGGTAGGTTGCATGCATTTGTTGTTTCAGTTTGAAAGCTGAATTCGAATGGCCATTCATAGCGCGTTTTCTTGCGAAGCTTATCGTACCCCTCGTAGACCTTGAAATGGTTCTGGAATAAGATCTCCTTGTCTTTGGTTTTGTCGCCCCATTTTTGAGGATTGGGTGTACCTCCGGGTTGCGACATCATGATGATTTCCACGTTGACCCATCCGTGGAAAAATACGTAGACCCACCCGACTTTTTCTTCGTGGGAGCTTTCAAAGATGACCTTTCCGGAGACATTGTCTTCGAAGGTGTAGAAGCCATGAGGGCAAGGGTCTAGCAAGATCTTAAAGTCGTTGAACATTGCGGACTTGATGTTGTGAGGTGTGCAGACGGATGTAGAAAGCTCTGGGTGCCTTCTCGTGATTAGCGCGCATTGAAGCAGAGGAGTTGTGGATAAGGTTAGTGGGCAGGAACCGGATGGCAACAGGTCAGGGGGGCGTGGGACAAAAATCAAGAGAAGACTGTGAAGTTACGTGTCCCCTTGAGATGCTCTCCTTATATGTCTCGCTGGTTTGATCCTTGCAGCGGCTTTCCGTCAAATAAAACGTCGGGTCATGCAGCCATTCGGAGACAGGCGCTGCGGCTGAGCTAACGAATCCGGGGGCTTAAAATGCCGCAAAGAGGTCGAACTAATCAGTTGTTCTGTCTCCATTGGGTCATTTGTGTTGCGCGATATATTGCATGCATGCTCGCATTGATCAAGGCGCCCCCCGTATTCTGTTATATCGTAGCTTGGCTTCGTTTTCACGTGTGGATTGCGATGCTGCTGTTGCTCTTGACGCACCTAAAATTCCGGGCACGAGATGCAAAAACTAGCCACCTCGCGATTTCTCGAGTCTTTAGGTGACCTTTCGAGGCCGGAAAGCGACAATTTTTCATTGCAAATTAATCTAACAATCTATAAGCTGAGGATACGGGGTGAATTCAGGGGAACCCTTTGGTATTAAGCGAGGCGCCAGGCACTTAACCGAATCAATATCAACATCACCTCAGCTTCAAGAACACAAAAAATTGCAAAAGTTAACCGCAGGACGATTCCCAAATCTGCGAACTAGAAATACTGGTAGGAATAGGCGCTGTCTAAAGTAAAAATATTTAAAAAGAAGAGGGGAAGTCGAGAGAATGCCTAGCTCCGCGGCTAGTGGGATTTGAACCCACAATTATTGGAACCGATCCTCTGACTCAGGCAGGGTTAGCTGTGGAGATGGGAATTGAGCCCACCAACTAAGGTACTCTCATGGGAATTGAACCCATTACGTTGGTTGTCAGCGGTTATAATCCTGGTCTCAAACGGTACGGATCCACGTGTGCTACTTCTTTCGTAGTGACGATTTTTTCTTCTTAAACCCGAAGGGAAGATGTTCACGCCAGCCTATAAAAGGAGGAACTTCTAGTCAAGTCAGCTTCAATTCGAAGTTGCTTTGCATGAGAAATACCTCTGGTCCTCAAGCTCTGTGCTCCAGGGGGTATTTCGGCTGTAGATCCATCACTTTCGTCATCATCGCCGCCGTGTGTTCTCGTTTCCTTAAAGTTGTCCCGGGGTCGCTTCCACAGTTTTGAAAAGCCACCCGGGTTGGACGTATACCTCCGTGGTTGGGGCTGCTTTCGTTGCAATATGTATCTCGGAGTAAAGCGGCAGCATCTGACATGGCTCTGGCTGCTAAGGAGTTCATCAGAGTTTCGAGGAAATCTAAGTTTGTCCGAACGCAGAGGCCATTTTATTTGTCCTGAACTTCCATGGAGGCAAATCGGGGGGGGGTTCAATTTCGCGGGGTCGTACTTTGCATCCGCAATTTGGGCACCACGCTGCAGCATGCTGCTTAAAATAAGAGCCCATCTCCGGTAGTGTTCAGCCATGTTAAGACTACAGCGCCCTCTGTCCAACAGGCCTTGAGAGAGGTATGCCTACTGACAACTTTGTTCGGATCCTCACCATGCCGGGGAAGGAGTTCGACCAATGGGCGGAAATACTGATTGCTCGTGGACGAGGAAAATTTTCAGGAAAATCACCCGACAAGTCAAGGGCGTACATTAATATCGTGCCTCCTGGACGGACCCGAGGTATCCGATATGTCGAAAGATACTGCTCAACAAAAGAGCAAAGACCAAGCCGTATCGCAATACACAAAATGCCAACCTACCAGTCCTCGGATTGTGAATGCCAATCCAGATTCCGGAAAGGAGATTCTGGAAGCATTGAAGTATGTAGAAGCCAGTGGCGTCCGACTTCGTGGAACTCTCACAACAGAGCCAAAACACGCGCGGCTTTGAAGGAGAGAAGTATGATCTAAATAAATAAGTAATTTTACTTTATTAGAGTTTTATTTATAAAAGCTTTAAAGTTTAAGTACTCAGTTCTTAATTTTTAATATAAGGTATTATTTATTACTTAAACCACATCTTTTAAATTAAAATCTAGTATTCGGTACCTTTTATTTACTTACTTAACATAAGCACAAAATTCATATCCGCTGATAATGTTGTGTGGGTAGACTCAAGGCAAACGCAATTGACCGCATAATTCTGGCGGTGGTTGTGGCTGTACAGTAGCTCAAGGGTCAGCGTCTGTCAAGAGGGATATTGGGAACATTTCTGGTCAACCAGAACAATTAAACCTCGCACATGTTCGCCGACCTAAACAAAACCAACGAAAGAAAAGATCCACACAGAGTATCCAAACTCTGTCTTGGGAAACGCTTCGCTTAAAATTCCATGGTCATGTGAAACAGTTCAAAAGTTGACGGTATTTACCAAAATATAAATAGTTCTAACAAGTCCGAATTGATTCCAATTTTTGCCTGATTGGGGTTGGGGTTCTTTAAATTTAAAATGTGGCCGTGGTGTGGAACTTTTCAATTGTCTTTGCATGTGTACCCAGAGAGCTGCATGTGAGATGGGATCGTAGGTTAATACTTCCCAAACGCCGCTTTGCAAAAACATAACACAACTACAAAGTTGATTGAGAAGACATCACTGAGTAAGATGAAATGTATTAGTGCTTATTTCAGTTATAAACCTTTTGAAAGTTATCTTGACATTGAACTCATACTCTCTTCCTTCTTTCCTCAATTGAAATATTCTGTTGCTCTTCAGAGTTCGTACATGAGCTCCATTTAGCCCTCTTTTCATGCAATTTCGCAAACTTTCCGAGCATCTGGTCAATAGACACTACAACTTCTTCTCATCTGACATCACTTCATGACCAAGCTCCCAAATTTACATTGCTTCTAAAATATCTTGACGGTGTACGTACCATTATCCTCGCAATTGTATCGGCATGCTTGTGTAGTTTGATAATTCGTCTATACTTATCAAATAAAGAGTGTAGTGTAGGATGGAGCTCGGAAGTCGAGAGCAGTGAGGTGAGAGTGAGAATTGTGCCTGAAGCTGCATAACAACCTTGACTAACATCACTTAGCCACATTGTTATGGAGGTGACTCAATCCCTGATTACAATGATTTTGTCGATGCTTCGCCCTCCATAGGAAAGTGGGAGACGTAAGAATCGAAGATGGGCTGACACTCATTGAGGGCTTGGAACTTAGGAGTTACAATAACTTCCACTAGCAATCAGCCCCGCTCCGCATCCAGACCGATCGACGGAAAACGACCCAAGATTCTCGTCCCCATGACATCACAAGCTCAGGGGAGCTCGGTGAATCAATACAGTTGATACCGCGCCGTTTCCAGCGCTTTTTTCTTCCCCTTTTAGCTAACACTCTGCTTTCTAAAAGCGGTCTCGGTCGTCTCCTATTCGAGACCTGCGAGATTGCTCCTCTTAGCTCTCTCTCGTAAGTTATTAAAGTTAATCAACGAACGACGCCGGCGAGATGCTACTCGGCTCGTGGCATTGTTCGTGTAAAGCACGATGCAGTACTAGGTCTAGTTTCAGGAGCGGTTGTCCGAGTAAGACTAAGCTTATATCCACCTGACACGATGGATGTCCAGGGGAAATTTGAGAATTCCCCGCAAATCGAGCTTGCCAAGGCTGAGAGATCCAGTCGTTGGGCCTTCAGGAGGGACTCTAAGCCTCTTTTGTGGGGGATCGACGGCTAGCGACCGCCATTCAAGCCCCTTTTCGGCAAGCGTCGTCGGGCTCGCACCAACACGATCAACTTCATTTCCTTTAGCTTGCGCCGTTGGCAAGTAGAAATGGAAGCCCCGGAGTAGCGGGCAAACACCGCTAAGCGTTCCTACTCCGTATTCTCCTGAGATGCAATCAAAGGCAGGTATAAGACGCTGTCTCAGCTTCCATCTACTGTCTCCTCAAGCACCACTTCACCACACTCGTTTTTGTATCTCTGATACATTTCCACTCTTTGAAAAAGATCAAATTATTTCCTTTCTAAACCTCAATCTTCAAGATCAACCTCCCGCCTCTCAAAATGAAGGCCTCGGTCCTTTCTCTCCTCGGTGTCGCTGCCGCAGTCATTGCTGGCGCATATGGGGAGGATAAACCATCAACCACCTCAACCGTGTACACCACCTCTGTCTACACCATCACTGAATGCCCATCTACAGTGACCGACTGCCCAGAGAAGGGCTCCGTTACCACGGACATCGTCTCTTTGTACACCACTGTCTGCCCCGTCACCGAGACCGAGACCCCAACCAACAAGACGAAGATTCCTCCTCCGACTTCAACTGAGGTTCCATGGACCACTTCAACCATCTATACTACCACTGAGTACACCGTTACCGCCTGCCCACCAACTGTCACCAATTGCCCTATCGGCAGCAAGACAACCGAGACTCTCACCACCACGACGTACTGCCCAGTGACCAACTCGTATCCCGAGCCTCCTCCCAGCAAGCCCACCGGCCCAGCCAACCACCCCTCGCCACCATCTCCCCATTCGCCTCTGTCTCCTCCATCTAAGCCTTCTGGCCCAGTCGTTCCTCCTCTAGTTCTCACCACCGTCTATGTCTCGACTTGCGTCCCAACCGTTATCACCTCCATCTACACTGTCACTACAACCCCAGTTCCCTCTCCACCCGGAGGAAGCGGTTACCCAGGCTGCCCTGGTGGAACCGCCTGCCCTCCCAAGCCCTACAGCACTAGCACGCCAACCAGTGGCTACCACCCTGTATCGCCAAACAACAGCACCGTTCCCTTCACTGGTACTGCTGGCGCTAACAAAGTCGGTGGTCTCTTGATGGCTGTTGGATTTGTAGCAGCTCTCTTGTAGACAGCTACAATTGAAGATATCTGATGGGAGGAGCTTACTTGGGGTTCAAAAGGGGTTAGGGTTGGGGAATGGAAAAACGGGTTGGGGAATAATGTCATGTACTACGTACTATGTACGCACTTCTACTTCTGACGCGACCATGAGGATTGGATCATGTCGACACTTTTAACACACGGGAATAAATGTAATGATACTTCACCCTCTTTTCACATGACTTCAGTGATTGTCTCAACACCCATATATCTGCTGCCTACGAGATTCCCGCCATTTGAAATAAAACATTCCGCTCATCTTCACTCTCCGCGACTTCGCAGCAGCCGATTACCCCTTTCCTCAACGCCCGGCAACCCGCATCATTCCCCACCAAACATAGCAACAAAACGTGACCCGAACGAAATAAGCTACGTTTCATTAAAGTATGACAGAGAACAAGCGCATGCTTTGGTTTGCATGACTCGGAAGGAATATCACCGTGGGCGTTCAGCCCGTGTGACGGTGCTCGTATTCTATTTAGCCAAAGCGCCCAACAACCAGCCAGATTAGCAATGAATATCTTAATCGAACGTCGCGAATTTGAAATTCTTGGTATATGAAGAGAAGACGTTTCGTCGAAAAGTTGAAGCTTTTCTTGACGGAGAAACGAGATCAGAGATTCTCGATTAAGATTCAAAAACTTCGTTTGCAGCACAAAATACACAATGCAGCTCTCACAACTCTTCACCCTCACCTTGATCTCTATAGTAGTAGCACTCGATGCTTACTTCCTCTGCCCTTACAAAACATCGGGGAAATGCTGCGTGCGCTTCAACCCCGATATGGGAACCGGAAACCTCTGTAATCCACCCTTCTTCTTTCTCTCCCAATTACTTGCCCTAACACAAACTAGGCGGTCCAGCAACCCAAGAACGCATTTCCATCGATCCTGGCTCGCCTTCAGAATGGGTATGTCTGAATAACGTAGATCGCATGCCGGTTTGTTGCTATTCGCCTGTGAGTTCCGCTTACTCCGTCCTGAGTCGGTCCTTTTCTTTCGATCAGAGGGAGCTGATTTGTGAACAGCAGAGGACCACAGAAGCTGTTGGTACACAGACGAAGTGCGTTGCGGGGACGAGTGTTGCTGCTCCTGGTGCTGCTTAGTAAATCTCAGATGCTATGGGATGAAGAAAAGGGAAGCCAAAAAGTTCAAAAATTGAAGCGCGAGAAAGGGCAATGGGCATGATAGTGTTTGTACGACCGTGAAATAAGCCTCAATCTATTTCCCGTACCTTGGTGATGCACCTGTCGTGTAAATTTACCCGGCATTTCGGGTATCTGTTTAGCTCCACAAGCAGACTTTGAAATATATGCAAGCTTTGGAAGCTGAAATAAGTGTTTGAGAAATATTTCCCTTGTTTAAGGTCCCTGAAAATAGATTCAAAGGAGGGAAAGCGGAGATCTCGTTGCAAGGATTTTCGGAACCCTCCTCCCCATCGCTCTCCTCGCAGCCACAGCACTCGCAACACCCGTCATCCCAGTCAAGGCCTTCTACTGCCCCATCGGCCCCATCGGCGCCTGCTGTCAACAATGCAGAATCCATACTGATGAAGGAAAATCATACACATCTCCTTTCCTTCATTTCGCCACCCTTTCTGGCGAAAACCAGGCGCAAACGCAATGCAACTACATAGTCTCGAGACCCCAGAGACCACGCAATGGGTCTGTCAAAGCGACAACGTAGACGATGTTTTTGTGCAACTTTGTTGTGATGAGGTTGTAAGTCTCCTGTTCCTTTATGTCTTGGGACACCAGGAACTGATGTTGAAGCTCAGAACGAGAAGCGCGATAATTGTTCGTTTGGAAGGGAGCGACCGGTTACTTCGTCCGACTCCGTTGAGCGTATCGAATGGGAATGTGGGTACACGAAAAGGAAGCATTGTGTACATGGCTACACTGCATGTCGATAAAAGGAGAAAGCAGTTCACTTGACGTGTACGGGCAGAAAAAGCGGGGAGCTGAAAGCAATAAAATCCCCCCGCAAGCCACAACGCGACAAAACACCTTTATGAACTTGAAGCATAAATACCCCCTGTCTTGTATCGTGAAACTGATCTCTATTCAATCCATCTGTTATATACTTCGGCGTTCAAGCTTGGAGAAGAAAAGCTTCATCAATCGTGGGATCAAGTGAAATTTAAAGTACAGCGGGACCCCGAGTTGGGGATGAGCTCCCAAGAGCTTTCGAGGGGAAGGGAGTAGCGAACTAAGCCCAATTGGGAAGCAAAAGACCGCCATTCCCAGCCCTCGGTGTGGCTTGAGAACGTCTTGAAGCTCAGCCTCAGCTAAGCGCTCTTGAAAGTACCAGGTCTCAATGTCCCAGCAATATCTTCTCGCGTTTTTCACTCCATTTTGCACGTTCCTGCTCCCTCGCCTGGTTATGCTCGTTTTTTCATTTCTTTCCCCAGCTGCTCAGGTGGTATCATGAGATGGAGTATCTCCCTCTTGACAAGTCTATCAATGAAGTTAGGTTACTTACACTTGAATCGAAAGACAAGGCTTCGGGATCGATTGGATCTGAATCTATTTTCAGTTGCAAATTGGAACATTTCTGCTTAGGTGAAGGACGTTTGGACCCAGGTTGGCTCTTCCTTTCCTCTCAATCCTGAAATGCATCCTCTGCCAGGCTAATACAGATAGAAAAACAAACCACCTCTTACACCTTTCCTGGCGGGGAGCAGCGCGCCTCTCCCGTACCGTTATTATTGGGGAGATTATATTGCCTTATCCTATTGTTGGGGATCGGAGGAGAACTACCGCAACATTTATGTCAACGGTAAACTAAAGAGAGTGACGAAAAACCTGTGGCAAGCCTTGCACTGTCTTCGCAGCGCCTTCTACGACCACCATGGGACGACACACTTGAAGATCTGGGCTAATGCTTTGTGCATCAACCAAGCTGATAACGAGGAGCGAAACCATCAAGTCCGGCTGATGCGTTCGATCTATGCAAACTCACGACTTGTGATCGCTTGGCTAGGCCCAGAGGCTGGTGGAAGTGGATACGCGTTCGATTGCATGCGTGCTTTATCTAAACAATATTCTACCACTCGATCATTGGTAGAGTCTTCTGACACAGCATTTACCAACGAGTTCGTCAAAGCCATGTTTCGTCTCGCAGCAAGAGAATATTGGCGAAGACTGTGGATCATTCAGGAGGTAGCGCTGGGCGATCTTGTGCTTCTGTGTGGATCCTATTATTGTTCCTGGGAAACGCTTGCCTTGGTGGAGCGAGCAATCGGCAGAGCCTGTCAGACGTCGGAGGTATTTTCATCTCGTCTGAAAACGCAGCTCAAAGCGACCAAAAGCAGCATCTCCGATCTAAATGTGATCATGAGACTGGAACGATGCCGAGAGGCTATGAGAGAACGAGGAGAGATGGACATAGTATGGTTGATGAGGATGGGCCAAGTTGCGAAAGTGGGTGACGATCGAGACCGAGTTTACGGTTTGCTGGGTCTCATGGGGGAGAAAATGAGTCTGAATATTATTCCAGACTACAACCTGAGGGCCAAGGAAACTTACGCAGCATTCACAAAATCCTTCGTCCACACCAAACAAAGCCTTGAGATCCTGAGGCTGGCTGGCCTAACCGGAAATCCTGCGTCCTGGAACACATGGGTTCCTTCGTTCCATCGACAGGGTTCAACAAACCCGTTTGATCCGCCGAAGAGTAAGTCTAGTGCGAGCAGAGATATTCCATGCGTGGTAGATCTCAGCAGACTAGATGGGGCACTTGCATGTCGTGGAATATCTTTTGACATTGTGGATGGAGTCGGCGTAACGCACCGCCGAGAACGGTTAGTCTGGATGTCAACAAGTGCGGGCGATGTTGTTCCTGCACAGCCAAGATCAGATCAAAATGCCTACGCTGGCACCGAGGGAGCTGCAACTGCCCTCTGGAAGACTTTGACTGCTAATAGAGATGTAAATGGTGAAGCCGCCCCTGGATCATATGCCGAGCTCCTGCGGCCAATTTCCGAGTCTTCTCACGGCTCCTTGCTCTATATTACTGAGTTTATTTCCAGCAATGCCGAACTCAGGGTCTTCGGTAGACGCCTATGGGATTACTTCAATTTTGAAGAGGCTACCCCAGATAGCAGACGCCGCTCGTCGTACTGCGATGTTGCAAATCAAGCCAGAAGATGTCTTGAATCGAGGAAACTGATCACAACTGCGAATGGACATTTGGCTTTGGCGCCAATTCACACGAAACGAGGGGACGTAATCAGTATTTTATTCGGATGCAGCACGCCGATGGTACTTCGACCGGTTGGAAGCCATCATCAGTTGATTGGAGAGGCTTACGTTCATGGGATCATGAGTGGTGAAGGTACTGTGGATTACTTGAGGGACAGGCAGAAATCTGAAATGTTTCGTCTTTGTTAGGAGGGAGAGAGTGATGGACATCCCAACTGCTGATTCCAGAAGAACAAGCCTTCGCATTCAACAGACCAAAAAATCGTGGAGATACATGAAGAAAAGATTGGCTCAGAGATTCACACATAATTTTCAACACACTCTCATTGTACCAGAGTATTTCGGAACATTGAAGTGATGTGCAACAGAACCTCAAGTGCTCCATTAAGAGCGAATCTGGTGTGTTAGGGGCTCTGGCGATGAAAAGGGGGAGGTGAAGCGAGCAGGCAGGCAACTTCAAAGTGAAGCTATCCATCCCCATGGAACCAGAAGAGCGAGCCAGTAACGACGAGTAAACAAATACAGAACTTTTGCTCCCTCACAATTCACTCACTCGAGGCTTCCCTCACTTTCCCAGCTAAGTTCACAACTGCGTGTCCTAGAGTGGCCTTCTGCATTTCGACTAGGATAGAGGACGCGATGTCATTCCGCTGGGAGACATCGGGAAGCTTGGAAAAGCAAGTTATTCATCTCCAGGGTATCTATCAACCTACACCTAACTCCAAATACTATGCCATCCATGAACCACAAAACATCAATAAATCCCCTCCCTCAGCCTCTCGCCAATCCCCTCCATCGCACCCCTAGCCACCCTCCTCTCAGTCTCGAAATCCCTACCCTCCTCCCCAATAACAACACACTTCCTCACCTCTCCCCCATCCCCAACGACACACCTCCCAATCCTGCCATCAACCCACTCAATCCGCACTTGCTTCGCCTCCGCATCCGCAGCACTGATATCAGCAATGACCCTCTCCCTCCCCTTCCCCTTTCTCGACACCTTCTCATCAAGCTTGAACTCCTTCCTCAGACCCTTGATAACCGATACTCGATTATGATACCCTACAATCTCTTTCCTTAATGCCCTCGCAAAACGGCGCAGATCCTGTTTCTTGGCTCCTGGTTCCTTGCTCCCCATCGCGGCACTACCCTTCCCATTGGGTAAGTATCGGTCGACTAGTAATGAGAGAGGGATGCATGGTGGTATCGTATGTCGATGGACCCTCAACAGCTCGGAGCCCGCAAAAGGTTTATTGAGCATAACATAATAAGGACGCACGAATTTCCCCGTACTCGCGACATCGATGCGTAGTCCGAGGACCTTTCCATCGTCGACGGCGTTGGGGTCAGGGTCTTGTATTCGGAAGGTTGTAATGCCGGCGCAGAGGCGGTAGAGATTTTCGCGGGTATGGACGAGCTGTGCTGTGGAGGTGGAGAGGAGGGGTGTAGTGTCTGTTGTTGTGGGTGAGAGCTTGGATTGTTTTTGAGAGACTCTCAGGCGGTTAAGTGTTGAGCGCGTGGATTGAGAGGAGAGGATAGTTGAGACTTGGATGCTGCGCTGGGCTTTGAGGGCAGAGACTGAAGTTGTTAGAGAGGTGATGGGAGGGAGGGAGGCTGTTTACTTTGGTCTTGGAGGTCGGAGATCTCGTTGTCTAGTTGAAAGTCGATGGGGTCTTCGGGGATGGAATCATCAACTGAGGGAATCATGGTGATAGCTCAACGAATATGATCAATAAACGAGTTGTGAAGAATATCTTCTTGTATTGGAACTGATGTAGTCGAAGTCAACATGGCGAGACGCGTCGTGCAGGCTTACCTTATCTCAGCCTCCTGCACGTGTTCGGCGGGGCTGTGAGGCTGTGTCGAAATGGGGCTGAAGAAGCAATGGACAGATAAGATTATGTTTCAGGCCTCACTCTCACTCCCTTCAATCTTCTCTTCTGGATTCTTCAATGTTTCATTCAGCATCGATGATTTTCTCGTCCGTTACTTTCTTCTCTTCTTCTTCTCTTCTTGTCTGTCCTTTCCTGATGGCAAAATAGCGAGTCATCACTCCACTCATTAGTCCTTCGCGCGTCCCCGAAAAGGACACGTTCGCCCAAGCTGTTCCGGTGCCTGGCGATCCACTATCCTGGGCCCAGCCAAAAAGTTACCCTGCTTCCGCCGTGAACTTTAGAGGTCAGCGAGTCTCTTAGGCTCAAAGACAACACCACATGGATGCCTTTCCCAGGCGATACACTCCCTTCATTAACCGTGCATTCTCCCCCTACACTGCACAATAACCAGACTCTACCCCTACACCACGACCCTCAGTTTCCACACGCGCAAGAGCTAGACGAACTAGCTCCAGTTGGTCAACGTCATAAGAGAAACCCTTCTGCCAGCTCAGAAAAGGAAGACACGCAGCATCTCCTTGCAGCAGACTCCTCAGACTCAGACGAAGAAGACACGGAGAATTCTATGGGTACCAAAGCCCGACGACCTCGTTCAAAAGAGCCAGCAGGCTCAGCCTCCTCGACCGGAGGCCAAAACGGTCACGCAAACGGCAGCATGAACAACAATGTCGAATACCGGAGGAAGAACGCCTCCCTCGAATCACCCTCCATCACTGCCAACCTGATGTCCAGGGAGTCTTTTACGTTAGACGAACACGTCCCGCGCACGCCGACTATCAATAATCATGGCTTCTTTCAGCTGCCCATGCAGGATAGGAGGAATTTCGGACTGTTGGTTCTGTTATATTTTCTGCAGGGCGTGCCGATGGGACTGGCGACGGGCTCGGTGCCATTTCTGCTGAAGCCACATATGTCGTACGGTGCGCTTGGCGTGTTTAGCTTGGCTTCATATCCGTATTCGTTGAAGCTGTTATGGAGTCCGGTGGTGGACGCGGTATGGAGCCCCAAGCTCGGACGGAGAAAGAGTTGGATCATGCCGATTCAGATGTTATCCGGGTTTGGGATGATATGGCTTGGTGCGAGAGTAAAGGAGATGATGGTTACGGCTGGAGAGAATGATGGTGCTGGAATTTGGGGATTTACAGGATGGTGGTTCTTCCTGGTTTTCATGTGCGCGACACAAGATATTGCGGTTGATGGCTGGGCTCTGACCTTACTGACACCGGGGAATATCTCTTATGCGTCGACAGCACAAACGGTTGGCTTGACCGCCGGCCAGTTCATGTCGTATACCGTTTTCCTGGCCTTCAACTCCCCGGACTTCGCCAATAAATGGTTCCGAAAAATCCCCCTGGAGGAAGGTGTTATGACGCTGGGAGGATATTTGACATTTTGGGGCTGGGCATACATAATTGTTACGCTGGGCCTCGCGTTCTTGAAGAAGGAAGAGAAGACCAAGAACGAAGACGGGATCTGGGACGTCTACAAAGTGATGTGGGGAGTCTTGAAGCTCAAGAACATCCAAACAATCATCATCGTCCACTTGATCGCCAAAATTGGCTTCCAAGCCAACGACGCCGTCACAAACCTGAAGTTGATTGACAAAGGATTCAGCCAGGAAGACCTCGCCTTGACTGTCTTGATTGATTTCCCTTTCGAGATTGGACTGGGATATTATGCAGGAAAATGGTCAACAACATACACCCCTATGCGTCTCTGGTGCTGGGGCTTCGTGGGGCGCCTGATAGCAGCTGTCCTCGCACAGATAACAGTCATCATCTTCCCCTCCAAGGGCGTCGATACATGGTACCTGCTCGTCGTCATCGCAGAGCACATCTTCTCGACGTTTACGAATACCGTTATGTTTGTCGCGATCTCGGCCTTCCATGCCCGCATCGCGGATCCGGTCATTGGGGGCACGTATATGACTTTGCTTGCTACGTAAGTTCCACTTCTCTTCCCCTTTCAGACACTCAGACTGATGATTGTGACAGTGTCTCCAACTTAGGCGGCACCTTCCCTCGCTACTTCGTCCTAAAACTCGTCGACGCCTTCACAGTTGCAACCTGCATCCCGCCAGCCTCCGATTATAAACTTGACCCCAAACTCCGCGGCCCCCTCGTCACCGAAGCCTTCTCCTGTGCTGCTTCCAAAGCAAAATATATGTGCATACAAGGCGGAGGGGTCTGTGATATTAGCAGGGATGGCTATTATGTTATGAATATTGTTTGTGTATTGATTGGGGTGGTTACATTCTGGGGGTATATTAAACCGGCTGCTATTAAGTTGCAGGGGTTGCCGTTGAGGGCTTGGAGGATTGCTGAAGGGACCACGTGATGGGGATGGGGAAAGGCGGGGAGGTGTAGAATAGAATAGAGAGGTGAGCATTCGAATGCATTGAACATCATCCTGGCTGGCTTGCTGGGTTGGCTCGAGAGTGTGAAGTGAGAAGAGAAGAAGAGACTCAAGTGGGTGAATGTCAATGTGGAGACAAAGGTCTTGTTGCACATCGTTTCAATGTTCCAAGAGTTCTTGGTACATTGAGAATGTGATTCGATTAGCCTCAAGTGAGTAGACAGGAGAAAGAGCGGGAGTGAGTGAATGTGCAGGGAGAGGCAAAAGGTTTTGTTGCATGTCTCAATGTTCCAGGAATTCTTGGTACATTGAGATTGTGCTGAATCAGGCAGGGAAAAGGGAAAGAAAGGAAGACTCGAGTGAGTGAATGTGGGTGGTAGAGGGGTAAAGGTTTCGTTGAACTTTTTTTGTATGTAAAAAATTTTCTGCTTGTCGATGGTCGAGGTTTTCATCCGAAGTTCGACGCGATGTTGGGACGAAATATTTGTACTTGAGCTTGCTTTTCGCTGATCGAGTCCGGGGTGAATTTAAGATAGGTGGGTGGATGTGGTTTGTTGCGGAAGACTGTGGTCAGTGTATGAGAGTATGTTCGGATATTGGGATTTCACATGAATAAAGGTGGAGGGAATTCCGGCTGCTATAATGGCTTTCGTTGCAGGTTGAACAGCGGAACGTCTGCCCTTGATCGGTGCCAGTGCGCCACTCGTGACACCATTTTATTAATGATAGCTGATAGCTGACCACGAGTATGATAGATCATAAAGGTTGCCGAGAAAGGGGTGGCATCACGTGCTCACAAATTTGCACGTCCTCATCCCTTCCTCCTTCTTTTCAACATTCTGCCAGCCAGTTCTTCACTCCTTCATCACATGTAATGTACGTGGTTGGCATTTTCAACTTCTGCGCGCGGTTGACAAATTTGCCACTGGACTTCTTGGGGTAAGGATGTTTAAAAGCAATATTTCGTTAACAGTGCAACACCTTGCGGATTTAAAGCCCCTTTCGGCCATTCTGATTCAACCATATGCATTCTCCCTCACACTGGCGTGTTTCGGGAGATTCGTGGGCCATCATTGCCTTCTTCGCCGATGCATATTTTCTGCACCTGTACTTGGGCAGAACCCCTTTGGGACGCCCCCTCGCTGCAGAAGCAAGGTTCTTCAACCCTATATTACCTGAATGTCACTCCCATAGTTGCTGCTGCTATTGGAAGAATATAATTTACAGGGTTGAAATTGAGTGAAGCTATTCGATGTATTTGCTAATGAGGGGTTTCTGTGCCAAGGTCCTCAGCTGGATCGAACCCCTTGTGATGAGCTGGTCTCCTTGCAGAGATCCCGCATTGGTAAAATGTCCGGGATCTAAGTCAACAATTTTGTTGATTTCCAATAGCCCGTACATATAGGTCTATCCCTTCTTTCTACGCCGACGCTCTAGAGCTTCGTCACTTTATTACTGGTGACATCTTTCTCGTCCGGTTTTCAAGCCTCAATCGTTCTGCTTGATCTCCTGTCATGGGTGTTCTGACCCTGACAATCCTGTTCCTAATAAGTTCGGCATTCAGCATTGCGAAGAGTGCAGCAGAGATTGAACTCTACGATTACCATCGAAGAGATGTCGCCCCTTTTTGTTCGCTAATTTCCGTCATAACCTATCTCAACACCTCAATGATGACGAATGACATTCCTTACGCTTCTTACATTACCAATTCAGCTGTCACGGTCGCCCTCACCGTGTCAGCAATGGACTGAAGTTCTTCGTCCTCCTCTTCGACGTCACTCTTTGCGGCCCAATCGACAAGCCAAACAAGTTCGTGCATACTCCTGTCATCGAACGCTCTCATCACAGAGGCGTTGCGCTCTTCGGAAAACACTACCTGTAAGTCCCTCCCTCTCCATTTCCTTCCAGCTCCACCACTAACACAAACCCAGCAAAACCGAAGTTCCCGACGGCCACACCGGCATGCTCCACCAAACCGTCACCCTCTGCCCCAGTACCATCTACACAATCAAAGCCTACGCTCAACTTTCCCATCCCCCCTCACAAGAAGCCTTCCGTCACAAGAAGCTGCAGTCTTGTTACATTCAGCTTTGTGAGAACAACACGTGTAGCCACCAGGCACATCTAAGCACGGGGCTGGAGGCAGTATGCTGGAAGTTTAAGAGTGGGAAGGGGCAGAAGGTGGGGGAGATCAGGGTTTTGGTGACGTGTCCGGGTAGGAAGAGGGGGCTTGTTAATACGGTTTATTTGGATCAGGTTAGCGTGCATTAGACTAGGGTGTTAGACATAAAGGCTTTGGATTTCGTTTCTGCATGGGAGGGTTGAGCGTTGCATGCACACTGCTCAGGGGGAGCGCTCATTATTTTTCTGTATAGTCCCCGGTCGTTCCGAAATCTGGTTTTTTATTTATTTGGGTAATCTCTTCGCCAGAACTCGGCTCGGATGTGTGGTGTGGTGTTTGGCGATTCGAGCGATTCGTGATATTTTGTCTCGGCACAGGAGATGCAAAGCTTTTCTTTCCGGCTGGAATACCTGATTTATCAAGTGAGGAGTCGGGTTGATTGTATTCACTGCCTTAGGTTCAAATTACCACGGTTTAGAGTGACAATTCAGTCATCTGTCTGGGAATTACAGTTTGTCTCTTGAAGATGAGCCCCCCGGGTGTTCAAGAGTGACTGAGATGATAGCCTTGATGGGCTGTTGGATCATCCTATCTCGTTCTGAACATGATTCTACATGGAGAGTGGCAGAATAATGAATCATTTATAGCGTTTTAAAGGCTTCGTCTGCGGTACTTCAAAAGTCTTTCCCTTTCAACCCACACCCAAGAAGATATCAAGACGAATTTCTTATATCTTAGCAGATAGATGCGGAAAGTCTGGTAAAAGTTTCCATAATAGAAATCCGAACAGTGCGTAGAGCAGGCCCTCGAAACTGAGATATTATCGATGGAAGGCTTGGAGCACTTACCTATACCCCTCGGCACTCATGTTGGCACGGGCAGTGGCGAGCGCCTCAAGCTTGAGGATCTCGAGAAAACTAGGCAAGTCGTTACAGGATGGGAGCTCCTGAAGGTATGCAGCCCAATAAAAAATGAGAGGGGATTCAGCATCAAGGGCTGGCTGATATGTGTTGAAGGGGAACTGGCTGGGGGAACGATGAAGATAGTTGAACGTCCGACTTCAGAAAATCAATTTGGGAAGTTCCGCTACGATCCTGTGATGGTAGAGCGGGAACGTAGATATCGTCAAGCAACGGGACAACAACGTATATCATGGGAGTATGACGTGGGCAATGGGTTGGATCCTCTCCATGGGGCGTGAGGGGAAGGCTTCTGGGATCCACAAGGGAAATCACAAGAATGACTCAAATGATTCTATGGCACGGATTCATTTCACAAATGGCTCGCATGCGTGAATTATGGAATTCGAACCGATGTTTTCTCATATTGTTCTATAAGAACCCTCACTTGCTCGGCAAACCATTTCGCTAAAGACATGAAGCTAAAGACAACTCCTGGTAAACAACCAGACACATCCACCTTCACACGCTCGAAATGGAACGCTGGCCTCAAGTACCACGCGGTTGTCACGTCGGGACAGGAAGCGGCGAACGTCTCAGAGCCGGCGAACTCATCCGAACAGGAAAAGTGATCACTGGGTATGAGGCTCTGGAGATGTTCAGCACGGTAGTAGGTGGCCAAGAGTTTAACATACAGACTTGGCTGGACGGCTTTGAGAGTGAGCTGCAAGCGGGGGCTATGATCATGGTCGAGCGCCCGACTCTGCAGAATCAGTATGGGATATTTAGATTCAACCCCCGGCATCCCTGGAATATCGACGGTCACCCTCAGGGTCTTACTTCAGGTGCTGATCATATAGTGAAGGCTGGTTTGGATCCCGGTCATGGGTAAGGAGGAGATTTGCAGGGTCTTGGGCGTCTCGAGATGGAGTGGGAGAAGAGATGATATGGAATTGGCGTGGCTTTATAATGCACCTCAATCTCAGACGAAGAGGCCGTTCAGTGAAGTTGCGAGATGTTAGCCTGCTAGAGACACCAACATCGAGACTTTCCATGTGCTCTCCATTTCTATGAACCTCATTCCCCAGCTTTGGTGTCTGTATCACATTCGCTGCGCACTTTTTGCTGTTATTTGATTTGTGTCGTTCAAACGGGGATTCTTGCAGCGGTCGATAAATGGTTGGAAAGTGTTACAAACCTTCCACTTGAATCGTAAAGGGGCTCGCTAAAGCTCCAACCCCAATACCCCAGTCCCTCTAATACCCATCTTTCTTTGCCACAGCCTCAGCCACACCCCACAATCCAATCACAACTAGAATGATCGTCAATGCCGACAAAACGTGTGGCATTGAAAATAATCAGCGCGTTGAGGGGGCAACCGGGCAACTTTTCAGATGCATCGCGCTTCGGGCCGGCGCGTCTTCCGCACGCTGCGAATTGCATCTCCAAGGTCACCTTTAGCAATCAATTGAGCTGCGCGCTGCGCTTTGCAGCACTCCAATGTGCGCTTTGGCTGGAATTGAACCTCAACGTTACTGTCGCTCTTTTCATTGCACATTTCTTGGTCGTTCTTTCCCAATTCGTGCTTATCAAAAGCAATATACCCAGTCTCGTTTCAGTGCTTTCCCTGCGAACCTGACCTCACCTCCACCACACTCTTTGAAACCCCGCAGATCTCAAAACTCAAGGCATTTGGTGGACAATATATCCGACCTTTATCGTGCTGCCTTTCACTCAATCATTCCTTTTCAATTTGCTGCGTATCAGAGCCTAAATCGCACGACCTCGTCTCCTCGAGACGCAACCTCGCCTTCATCACCTTCCCAGATCTTTGCACCTCTCAAACCTCCTGCTTCTCGGCCAGACCATACCTTCACGCCAAGTCGTACTCATAATTTCAGCACAATGCCTCGAACTTGATAGCCTCTTCTCGATACTGCCAGCCAGAAATCCAATTCCTCATCTTGGCTTGGGAACATCCCTCGAATCAACCGGTGCGCCTTTGCATTTCGAAAGCCTCGATTGCTCTTTCCAATTGGCTCTGAACGCTACAAACGTATCAAATTCTTTGCTCCGATCCACGACCACGAAAGCCGATCTCTTGTTCATTCCATCTCGTCCACCGAACACGAAACTATTTGCTCACATCCTCTGCAATTCGCTGCATGACAACACTTCCTTCGAATGAAATCCCTGTCCGCAAACGAACTTTTGGATACACTCCTTAAAACATATATTTATTGGGCTTGATCGCATGGATATGGCTTGGAACATCAAACACAATGACACCCGAGCCTCAAACCCCGAGTAAGACAGAGCAGCAAGACCTATTCGACACAAAATTGGACTTATTGAGCCGGGAATGGGATTTGGGAATCAAGCCGAAGACCAATTATTCGCCGGAAAAGAGAGGGAGAAGCTTGAGCGACCAATGTATCGAAAAGATCCGATTCCTTCACTTTAAGAAGGCGTTTGATCCTGCTCTCCTACGATTCAGGGAGCAGGCCACCATTCTATACAGTGGATGGGTTCACAAACCCAAAGCGGAGCGTGGTGTTGTCCCAGAGGCGACACGAAACAAGCCCAGGCCAGTCACGGAAAGAGAACGTGTCCAACTGCTCAGGCTACTCCTCGGGATCTTGAAGGAAGACATGTCAAAATGGATGGCAGAGAATACACCATCTCCAGCGCGATTCTTAGGCAGCCAGGAGGTTGACGATAGCCCACTTCCACTTTCGTTGGGCCCAAAACCGAACAGTGATCCAAAACGGCAACGGGATGAGGAAGTCTTCTCTAAGGCTCCCATCATCTTCAAGAAGCCACGAAAACCGGACGCTCCTCAGCCAATTGCAAGCAGTTCTAAGGCCCCGGAGTCACTTGCTCCCGGCTCCATGCCTCCCCCTGAGGTCAAATCGGCGAATACGAGCTTTGCCTCGGATGCGTCCAGTATTTTCTCTCGCCGCCCATCGTATAATAGCTCATGGCAGCCCGGTACTCAGGAAACCGTCCCTGAAGATGAACTCATACCTCACACTCAAGCCGTAAAAGAATCGTTCATATATCCGCAACCCGACAAGGAATCTAGCACCGACTACGGCACCAGTAGCTTTGAGGAGCGAATGGCGGATGTAACAGAGGAGGCTCTTGGTATTGAAGCCGCAAGTCCTGAACCCCGACTAGACAGCCAAGCGGACGAAGGAGAGGGCGAAGGACTTTCACAAAATTTGTCAGGTATGGTGTTCGGTGATGGTACCCTTCTCGATTCGGAGAAGGAGTTCCAAGATAGTCTGCTCGATTCAGAAAAGGCGTTTCAAGACAGCCTGCGACAAGTGTTTTGTGAGTCTCCTCGAAGCATGAATCTACACCTTCGCTAACTCTATCTGAATAGGCGAATTGCCTTTCTCCCTGGAATCCGCTTCTTTGCGTGTCATTTATGAAATTACTCGAGTTTGCCTTCACGCCAACGTCTCTTTTACTGTGATCGATTTTCCTGAACCAGCTATTTTAGACGACTACAACATACTTTGGAGATTTCTCAAAGGTGTGCCAGCCCTGGACGGGAAGTCTTTCCCCGAGAGATGCTCAGAAACTATTTGGGATATGGCGTCCGGTTCGGGCGACATTGCTCATGGATTCCGGGGAATAGTATTCTCTGGATCTCTTCGGTTCAATACCGAATATCCCAGCGCTCCTCTGTTTCGATTTGTACTCGAGCCTATGAAATTGGACCTCTCTCATAGGTTAGAGCGACGATTTGGCCACGATCGCTTCTTTGAAATCGACATGCCGAACCTAATAGGACGAAATCTGCCAAATTCACTGAATGCTCTGGGAAGTCGCGGGCCTGAGATCATCCATCATTGGCTTGTCTCGTCTAAACATCCTCTTGTTGGCAGATATTGGCAGCCGTTTTTCGTGAAATCTGTTGAAAGAAAGGCGCGGAAGCGTGAAGCCAAATCCGAAGAGGACGAAGTTGCTGCCGCGCATCGGCTCTACTTCTTTGCTGTCGACAGCCATGGATACCAACAGTCCGAATGGGATGTTCGGACTATCGAACAGCTCCTTAATGCTATTAGGCCAAGTGAGGAAAACATGTCTCAGTCCTTCTTGAAGTTGTTCACCAGGACGTCATTAGCTGTTTCCCGAAATTCGGCAGCGGTCGTGTTGGAACCTAATCAGATACATCACTTACCAGATATTTTGTGTGGGAAAGAGGTCATGACAGATGGAGCAGGTCGAATCTCTAAGTCGTTGGCTATTAAGATTGCCACTAAGCTAGGTCTCACAAATCTTCCCAGCGGTTTCCAGGCGAGAATTGGAGAGGCGAAAGGCTTTTGGTCAGTCGGTAACAGCGAACATCCTGGGGACTGGATCGAAATTTATGCGTCCCAGTGTAAATGGAAGTCCAACCCGAGCGAACAGAGCCATCCTAGCAATCGAACTTTGGACGTTCTTCGGTGGTCTAGCCCACTGAAATCGGCAGATCTTAACCTCCAATTCCTGCCTCTTCTGATAGAGGGATCGAAATCCCCTGCCAAGATGAAAGAAGCACTCGCTGCACTCTTGAACGAGGGCCTCGAGAAGGAATTACTTGCAATCCAGTCAGCAATGGACGACCCCCAGTCCTTTCGTCAATGGCTTCGGCAGAGTCATTCTAATATTAGTGAGCGACTGAATGCAGGCATGGTTCCTTACAGATCTGGCTTGCCCGTTGCAATTGGAGAACGGCTCAATATGCTCTTGGATGCTGGTTTCGAGCCCAAGAAGCTGCACTTCATGAAGGACTTGGCATTAAAAGCTTTCGAGAATAAGTGCCTTGATCTGCAGAAGAAGCTGAACATTACCGTCGGACGGTCGACCTACGCTTACATGGTGCCCGACTTTTCTAGCAGTCTAGAGCCTAACGAGGTGTTCCTCGATTTCTCGAGCTTTGCAGACAACGTATCTGGCTTTGCGGGTACACTACTGAACGGCGTCGATGTTCTGGTGGCGAGATCGCCTGCTCATTATCGCTCAGATATCCAGAAAGTGAAAGCTGTCTTCAAGATTGAGCTGATAGGCCTGAAAGACGTAATCGTTTTCTCTACCAAAGGTAATCCTTCGCTTGCTGCGAAGCTCTCTGGCGGAGACTACGATGGCGATATCGCAGTAAGTTTACCTCCCTGAGCACGTTTTCCTCCTCAGATGCGTTGTGCACATATATTCGGAGTGAACGGCCGTTGCCACCTCATCCTCACCATTAAGACAATGCTAACTCCGATATCATCTAGTGGGTCTGCTGGGAGCCTACTCTTGTGGACAATTTTGAGAACGCAGAAGTTCCTGAATGCCCTGATCTTGTCAAGGAGGGCCTTATCAAGCAAGATCTGACCACATACGAACAGCTTATTGCCAGGCATGTAGATCCAACAGCAGTATTTCTCACGAAATCCTTTGCCTTTAATATGCAACGGTCTATGTTGGGCATTTGCACTGTTTTCAAAGAACATGTTGCCTACACGCAAAGTCTTCAAGGCAAGCACAGCACAAAAGAAGTAGTCTGGTTGAGTACCCTACTCAGCTGCCTTGTCGATCAGTTGAAGCAAGGTTATTCATTTACGGAAAATGACTGGAACCGCTTCAAGGAATTGGTAATCAAATTCACCCCTCTGAGACCCAAGTATAAGAACGACGATGGGCACTTTGAAAAGAATGCTGAACACATCATTGACCAATTGATGTATACGGCGCACCGGACTATCAAGAACTCGATCGAAGCCTTCCACAAAAGGCTTCCAAACCCACCACATTGGGACCCAGATCTAGTTACTTATTACAAGTGGGCGAGAGGAAAAGCCGAAACAGAACCGGAATGGAAGACTCTTCTGAATGGCCTGGACAAGGACATCATTACATTGAAAGTGGAATGGACCCGAAAATGGCCGCGAACATCGAGAAGTTTCCAACATGGCGAAGAATCCAAGGCTGGCTTCGCGCAAAAAACTGACGAGAGCTATGCAATGTTTCAGACCATTCTTCCGAAGACGGTTACTGCTCTCTCTCAGTCGCTGTTGCGCGATTGTTACGACGTAGAAGTGTCGGATTGGGCTCACCTCAGAGCTTCCGCGCTCTTCTATTCGTACCACCTTATAAAGACGGAGATGTCAAGGTTCGTCTGGTTTATGGCTGGCAAGCAACTGACAGCCCTGAAATGCTATTCCCGCGGCGGATTTCCACCTGCCATCACGCCAGGAATGTACGCCATGCTGAAACCGGATGCAGAGTATGTGAGAAGAGCCAAGGCTAACGAGCTGGTGTGGGATGAGAGTATGAGTGTCACGAATGCGGATGAGATTGAAGATCTCGGGGACGAGTGAGTGACAACCAACTTAGAACTGGTATTGACAAGGGGAATCTGACTGGTGTGCGTTTACTTTGGGAGGTGGGGCGTTACTGATAGGTTCGGGTCTCACGATTTTGGCGACGGAACTTAATTAATGGGTCTTAGTGTATAGTTTCTAGATGGAGAGAAAGAACTCGGATCTGGTGGGAACTGGTTGGGATCAGTCGAACAGGAATGGGTACTTGTAATGGATTTTCTATGGAGGAAACGGAATTGGCGCTTTAATTTTTCTCCAATATTTGGTTCCATGGCCTGGAATTGTTAGGGATCTTTTGTATAGTATATTTTTAAGTGGATGTCTCCTTTCATGGATGCATCAGGGAACTACATCGGATCGGATTTACTTTCTCCCAGCGCCAACCGCAGCAGCCTGATTGGTTGGCACATAATGTCGAAAAGTTTGAAGCTCCAAATGAAAATCATCTCCTGTACAAGCCCACGCGACAATCCATGTCGGCCGGAATCCGACATTCCAGCCTCCTGCTGAGAAAATACGATTGGATCTTCTGCGAATATATCAATGTACAGCAACGCGGCCTCAACATCAACAGGGTTGTGGGCAAGAACCACGAGCCAAAGGCGAATTCCACACCAGAAGTCAATAGGGTTGTTGTCAACCCAACGTCTGCGAAGCCTCTCGTCACGCGATTGGATGCCGTCCTTTCCTCAACCCTCTCTGCAAGTACTCTCAGAGTTGCTACAGCTCAAGGGAAGCCTACGAAGAGAAAGCGATCGCAAGGTCTCCGCATTTTGAAGCTGCCTACGGGCTCTGCAGAGGGAATCCGTATCATCAGGGTCACCACAGATGTACCGACAGCGCCGAAACCTCTCCTCAGACGGGTGAACTCCACAAAGCGATCTCGAGGCCTCATTATAAAGGCTCAATCAAAGTCGAGCGCGCCTGCGGCTACGGGGCTGTTCTCCTCTGAGACTGGAATCCCATACACTATCTCGAGGCGCTATGAGGAAGCGACACCCGCCAAGGCCTCCGCCGAAAAGGGACTGCGAGACCTCAGCCTCCGGAGGAGAGTGACTTCCGCAGAGCGAGTAACGCCTAAACCTGTCAGCAAGCAATCACAAACTGTCCGCTTCCGAAAAGTACCTGCGGATTCGAATCTGTCTATCGAATATGCACTGGAGCACGCCTTTCAAAAAATGAACTTCAACAGATTGGAAGATCGGCCCCTCGTCCGAAGAGTGGAACGCCCCTCAATTACGAAAACATACTTGGCTGCTCCAGAGCGACCAATACCAAGGGGCCGCCTCCAGCGTATTAAGCCTCCGAGAATCAGAAAGCATTTGAGCACACCAGCGAAAGAGCAACCCATCGTATCAGAGAAAGCACACGAAATGGCCCAAGAATTCGATCAGCCGAGACTGGAGTCCATTGCAGCAACGCAGCCAGAAGTCTTCTCCAGTAGAGTGTTCTCACCAGCCAAGACGAAGATCATCAAATACGACAGCTTACGGCTGAGAAAGCACGCAATTACATTGCCAACATTTGTCCCACTCCTCATTCGCAAAGTCAAGGGGCACGTCGAGGCCAGGAAGGTGAAAAGCTTCGCTGACATTGGGGAGCAAACGGCCCAACAACCTGAACAAGAAGTCAAAGACGGGCGCGCGATAGATTTCTCAGACATCTCTGAAGCATCGGACCAACGAGTAGTCATCCAACCACCTCAAGTCCAGGTCAAAGTTAGGCGCGCGATAGGCCTCGAGGATGTTCCTGAGGGAGTTGGCCAACCCACAGTCGACAGACGAATTAAAATTAATGCCAAACGATTTGAAGTTATTAAGGGCAAAGACAGGCGTGCAACCCGCTCTAACGATGTTCCTAAAGGAGTACAACCGCTAGTCATCAAACGACCTCAGAATATCGTCGTTCAGAAAGTCCCCACATCACCAAGTCAGCCTCTCGAGCCTCAGTCAGGAGTTCAGGACTCTCCTTTGATAAGACGTTTTGTATCATCGTCTGTGTATCCAATTCCAACTGAAGAGACGAAGAACCTCTCGGCGTTGGCACCTGAACGGGACCCAATGGAGCAACATGAGCTCGCAAATATAGAACATTGGAATCCATCCGAACGCATCGAGCGTGCTATCGAGTCCGCGGCTGCGAAGCGATTACAACGGGACTCGTGGCTAACGCGCAAAGGCGACGTGCGACTGGCGATCAGCTTGCTATTTTCGCCCAGGAGTCTGAAAGACGTTGAGAGGTTGAGGAGGATGTACAATCCCAATAAGGGAGAATTCGGGAGTTTCAAGGTCCTTCGACGGCTTGAGGTGGGCAATTACACAGAGTATAATAGGATATTGGCGTCTTTCGCGCAGAGCTGGAAGCCCTTTGATTTGAAGTTGAACGAACCGGCACATTTCACGACAAAGTCGAGGTACAGGGTAGGCTTTCAGTTGGACTCCGAAAAAATTGAGCAACTGGAGAGGAACCTGTTGGAAAGTGTGAAGAGTTTGCCCGGTACCGCTAATGTGGGCCGGCGTAATACAAGAGACAACGATGAGCTGAGAGTGATGGTTATCAATGGGCTTGTAAAGGAGGCTGAGGAGGCGATTCATCTGATGGAGCTCCTGGACCTGGAGCACAAGGGAGGTCTTCAAAACATCAGGGTAGAGGGGTTGGTGTTGCATGGGTACCTCGTGGGTGGAGACAGCCTCTTCCCTCCCCCGAAGGAATTTCGGTTCCCTGGAGCAGAGTCCCAGATTGCTCGGATTCCCGGAGGCTTCGATCAGGTCTCACAACTTGAGATCTGAACGACCGAGTATGATATATCGGGGCGGCAGCGAGTTGCCGAAAATCCAGGAGGATGCATATCCCAGTCCAGCCTTCACCAAAGGTCGAAGTCACCGAGATTTCCTAGATATCAACACGACCTGGCATTCCGAGCACGAAACCACCCTCTGACTCTCGTCGTGCTGATAAACGCTTGAGAGGATGATCCGGACACGAAGAGACGGGGCTGGAGCAATCTAGAAGTGTATTATATTGTACAAATAGTGTACATATTACCGTGCATCAAACGGCTACAACCTATCATTCACTTTATTGGTGAGTGGAGAGGAAAGCACGGGAAAGCCATGGTCTACCCAACTCGCGGCCAGATTACCCCCAACCCCACCAATCAATCATAGACACCGCAGGAGGCATTTCTTGGCCCAAGAATTCAAGTTTCGAAATTATATACCCAAATCCTCTATCAAACCATATCATCCTCTCGGGATTTTCTCACATCCCTCATTATCTCCACAGTAGTGCTGAACATAATCCCCTTCTCTTCATCGTTGTCGCCATAGTGGTATCCACTGCCAATCGCTTTCTATCCACCTTCAACTCTGTTCTCCAAATTTTCCATTGCGATCACATCCTCAAAGCTGTCGACCGACCCATCCTTCACATCCACGCTCTTCAGATACCCGCTCTTGCTCCCGCTCCTCATACTCCTACTCAACCTGAACTTCTTGTTCTCCCCGTGAACCCGAGAGAAGTTGGTGCCTGATCTCATATGGCCAAACCTCAAGTTGGACTGATAGTAGTCGGTTGCTGATTTATCCTTCAGAGAAGAGAAGAGAGGTCTGAAGGTCGAGGCGGCCATGCAGCAGATCCCGATTGCCGGCTCGATCATAGACCAGATGGACACGTTCGAGACTGCGAAGAGGAAGTCAATGGTTAAGTTGACCAGACGCACATACTCGATCCTAATGATCACTGTGAAGCCCGCGCTATGTTCTCTCAATCAGTCTGGCTTCAAGGTACGATTACAAGCCGAAGGGGACAACGTACATGATACCCAAAGCGAGCAGGGCCCCAACAACCATCTTGGCTTTACGATTCATCTTCAGATTCCAGATGACGAAAATCGGCAGGACGCCAAAAATTAGATCGGTGATGGCAGCGAAGACAGCGTACGAGATCGTTATGTTCTGTACCGTGGTAGCGGGGAAACATTTCCCAATTTGTCCGGAGAACTGCAGCCAGAAATAGCTGACCGGATTGCATTGCACGATGACGAAGATGAAGTAGACGAGTGTGAGGAAAGTGATGGTGGCCATGGTGATCTTGATGATCCAGAGGTGCAGTTTCCGGATGCAGATTCGCAGGAGGTAGAAGCCGATTGAGAGGCGGATGAAGATTGTTGTGAGGGTGTAGAAGATTTCACCGACGAAGAAGAACTGCCCTTGTTAGTGGGGTTGGAGGGGAGTGGATGGTAAATGAGGTGGAAGAGGAGTGAGTGAAGAAGGTATCGGGAGGCAAAGGGGAAATACGAACCTGCATGGCAATTGGGATATCGGTGGGTTCGATGTTTGCTAGATGTTGGCCGTTTCCGTGCAGTGCTGACAGTAATGCCGAAAGGACAAGAACTGTATATGTGATCTGGTCGGATCAGCCGGTTTTCAAGAGAAAATCTGGCGCGAAAGAGGCTCACCTGGCTGGCAACGAAGAGCCAGTCTTCGACCTTCCACATCTTCAACATTATCCATCGCACATATATCCGCATGCAGAAGAAGAACCAGGTAACCACCAACGGGACAATACAGCTGACTACCAGTCCAGGCCCAGCTCCTTCGCCGATATACTTCACCATCCCGATGGCGGGGTAGCGAGCGACACGCGTTGCAAGCAACCGCCTTGAGCAGACCACGGAGATTGAATTATTAAACAAGCAAAAGAAGGTTCAGACAAGAAAAAAACGGACGAACACGATCTGATATATAGTTTCACCTATAGTCGGTCCGATCCAAAAGCGACAAAACGGTCACTCTTTTATACCCATAATAACTTTTTAACTATAACCCTAATTAATTTATACGAAATAATACAATTATAGAATAGAACCAGGCGAAAAATACCTATTAATCAGATTTTAATATAATTTGTGGTTTATTAATAATTGAGGCTTAAAGTATATAGACTCTTTTTACTTTTTTAATTTTTCTTTATATAAAACACAAATATATTTACTTACTAAAATTATATAAGCCCGGACTTTAGAAAGAGATTATAGTATCTCACTAGCCTTATTATTAATATAATAATAATAATTAAGCCTTATAAGCTTAAATAAATCTTTTTAAATATTATTATAAAATATATAATAATAAAATAATATATAAATAACTAAGATAAATAAGCTATATAATAATACTTATAAGTATAATTAATTTCTAAGAATTAATTCTAATAAAAAACTAATTAATACTTCTTTTTAAAACTAAAAGCTTTTTCTTATATATTTTCTAATATTTAATTAAATATATAAAGCCTTTTATTTAATTAGAAAATATAATTTTATATAATTTATATAATTTCAATTATAAGTTTTATTTAAAATAGAAAACTAGATTTATAATATTTAATATTTATTTATATATTATTATATATATTTATTTTATTAATTTTTATTTTTATTTTTATTTTTATTTATAAATAAATTATTATTTTATAAATTTAAAAGCTTAGAAAAGTTAATTTAATTTTTTAGTTTATTTATGAATTCGTTTTTAGGAATTTTCTAAATATTTCTAATATATAGCTAATTTCGAATTTATAATTATTATTTAAAAAGAAAATATTATAAAATAACTTTTTTTTTCTTATTAATTAATTTTCTTTTCTTTTAATTATAATATTATATTTAGTTTCTTTTTATTTCTTATTATTTATATATTTAATAAATATATATTATATTAATTATTAAATATTTCTCTTAAATAATACCTAATTTAATAAGGTATTTATATAAATAACTAAGAATAGTTTTATTTCTAATACTTTATTAATTATAAATTTAACTAAAATACTTATATTAAAACTATAAGCTATATTATAAAGTTTTAAAATTAGAATACTTTTAATAATACTTTTATATTTAATAGAGATTTAATAAATAATATTAATATATTTAGTTTTATTTATTAAAACTGAAATATATTTAATTTAGAAAAAGAAATTTCTATTATTTGTAAATAGAATATTTCTAAAAATAATTAAATATAAGAATTTCTTTATTAGCTTTATAAATTTTAATTCTTTAGTAATATTCTTAATTTATTATTAAATATATTTATTAAATGCTTTTATAGGAATTTTTAATTATTTAATTATTTAAATAATAATTAATAAGTTATATAAAGCTTTTAATTAATAAACTAATAATATATGTAAAGATCGCAGAGTAGGGAGTTGCATTAAATAGTAAAAGAGTTAATTAAAACTAGCTAGAAAAGAGCTTGAGTGAAGTATAAAGCTTCAGGAAGTGAATATACAGATCCTAACTAAGCGGAGCAATTGCGCTAGCCCTAATTCAGTAATTCTCACTATAATATACCCCCAGGAAGGCACGATACCGTATTCTACCTGTTCTACCTAATTAGAGAGCTTTGAAATAGCGAAATTCGTCCGATATATAGAGTTTATAAAGCCGTATTAATATTCCGATCTAAATAGGCTTAGTATATATCATTTCCCCAGATTACCGAATTCCAGGGGAACCCTATATAAACCCCCTCTTTTTACTAACTCCAGAGCCTCTAATTAAATGCTCTTCTTTAATACTCTTCCAGAAATCTTTTCTCAAGCTTCTAATTATTATAAACATGGCTTTTACCTCTTTTCGCACTACTATTAAGTTAATTCCGGCTTATAAATCCAAGGTATTTTTAATCCAAAATATGTTCTTATTTTACCTTTTATTAACTTTAAATAGTATTAAGTAGCTTGCAAGTCTGCTATAAGTATAGCTCTTGACTATTAATATAAAGCTTACTTTTAATAGAATATTAAGGTTCAGATCCCTATAATATCTTCTAATACTCCTAGTACTTTTTTACTAAAGGTAAAGAAGTCTATACTAAAGCCTTATACTTCTTATCCTGCTTATACTAGTCTTAGAGAGATCCCTTATATGGGTTATTATAAGTTCTTTATACTATTCTAAAGCTCGTTTTGACTTAATATAGTTTTATTTGCTTTAAAGAATAAGAGTAATAGTTCTTGCTATAATATTATTAGCCGAGATTCTTGTTACTAGAAATATATTTCTGGTTATTTTTATTTAGCTATTCCGATCTCTTATATTCCCATTATATAGCTCTTTCTTATAGAACTTCCGATTACTAAAGATATTATAAGCTTTCTTTTCTTGATTCTCTTTTATAGATTCTGACTATTTTAAAGTATTTGTTCGCTTTTAGATACTTTATTTATATTATATTTGAAATTACTAAATCTAATAAAGAAAATAGTAATAAAAGCTTTTTTACTAAGGTTTAAAAGGCTATTAATAGAAATAAGAAATAGTCTAATTAGGTAAAGGGCCTTTTATATAAGCTTATTAATACTATAGTAAAATACCTTTAGATCTCTTACTATTAGCTCTTAAGCTTTATTATTTTAATAGATTTTATAAATAAAAGATATAAATAAAAGCCTCTTTTTATATTATTTAATTATTTTAATCTTTGCTTTAATATCCTAAAGATTTAATAAAGCTCTAAAGTTCTCGAATTTAAATCGAAATAGATTTTTTATAAGTCTATCTACAGATATATTACTTATTTAAAGATATATAACTTGAAATATATCTTTATTATACTCTTAATATAGCTATATATTCTGAATATTAATATAATAGAGCTTTATAATAATTCTTTTATTCTCTCTAATAATTAGTTAAATAATTTGCTTATTATTATAGAATATAGTTTAGAGCTTTCTAAGATCTAAGCTTAGATTCCTAAATAGCCTCTAGAAAGCTATAGTTTCCTTTATTATATAAGTAACTTTATATATTTCTGATTTAGTTAAAGAGGTAATTATAGAGCTCTATTAAGCGGCTTTTTATAATATTAAATCTCTAAATAAAGAGATTATATATCTATAGCTTAATTATTATATATCTAGGTTATTTATATATAAAGTATTAGATATAATCTATAGTTATATTTCTTTATATTTCTTATTATATTAAATTACTAGAAACCGGGTTCTAAATAGGTATTAGAAAGCCTAATTTATAGCTATAAAGTGCTCTAAAGTAGGGTTTATTAAGAACTAAGAAAATACTAAAGTAGTAAAAGCTATATCCGGTCTAATTATAATTATAATATAAAGTAGTAATCTAATTTTTTCTTAATATACCTTAATTTAATATAAATAAGCTTAATTACTATATCTTTAAAAATTAATTCCAGATAATAAAGTACTATGGTACTTCTTATCTACTATCCTAAACCTCTTAGTAATCTTTTTAATATAGGTATTATAAACTAGTCAGAGTTTTTTAGTCTTCCGATTTCTAATTATATGAATTCCCTGGAATTACTTTATATCTCGCATATTATAAAGCTCGTAAATTATCTTAATCTGAGTAATAATTAATTAAGTATATACTTCGTTATTCTTATAATAAAGTACTTAAAAGTTATTTATATAAAAAACTATAAAAATCTTATAATCTATATTTATATAAATATAGAACTCTTTATTAAGTCCCGAGAGTCTAATTCTCTTAAAAGTATTTATTTAGTACTTGTACTATAGAGTAGAAGAGTCTTATAACCTATATAGAGCTCGATTTACTTCTATTATATATCCTAGTATCTTGAAATTATCCGGTAGCTTATATATTATTATAGGCTTATTAGAATCTCTTTCTATATTAATAAATATATTTATAATATTAAATTACTTTATTTCTAGATTAAAATAAGTTATAATTATACTAGCTATTTAAAAAGACCTTATTATAAATATAGTAATATATGTAAATAAAAGTAATATCTCTTTTTAGAAATCTTTATAAACTACTAGCCTTAAGTAATACCGAGTAATATATTTATTAGAATTAATTTTATATATAAATACCTATTTTAAAGAGATTAGAAATATACTTACTTTATTACTAGGAATAATTCTCTAGTAATTTCGAGCTTTAAAGTTATTAATCTCTAGTTTAATATCTAATTTAAAGTATTCCCTAACTAGATACTTCTCTAGATTATTTTATATCTTTAGAGCCTTTAGAAGATTATTAATATGAATTTTTCTTATTATTATATTACCCGGAGTACTCTATTCTAGATATGCTCTTAATTAAACTACTATTATAATTATAGTATATATAGTCTTATAATTAAATTCCTTTTTATAATTCTCTAGCTAATTAGGCTAGAAAGACCCTAAAAGAAACTCTAAGTAATTAATCTAATTTAATTTACTTATTATTTATAGTAGTATACTTATTATAGTAATTATATTACTACTAGCTTTACTTAAATCTTTGTTCTAATTATTTCTCTTATATAAGTATATTTGGATTAACCTATTTCTGGTTTTAATAATTAGCTTTCTTATCTATTTTCTCTTTAGTTTTACTATTTAATCTTTTACTTTAGCTAAGCTATTTACTCTTTCTATAAAGAATTCTCTTATTTCTATTAAGCTATTTACTTGTTTTATAAATAAGCTTCCTGCTTTACTTATAGGAGCTTTTAGTAGATCTTATTACTAGTTCTAAAAAAATTCTTTCCTGCTTTTATTAGTTTAGTATATTTCCCTAATAGTTCCGGTATATTCTATTATATT